GGCGATCAACTTCTGGATAGTGACTGTGCTTGGAATAAAAAACGGTGGTTGAGGTGTTACATATACCCAGTATTGAAAATGGATACGAAAGACATACTTCTCACTTTGGAATCAATAAAAAAGGCCTGTGGGGCTTTATGCCGCCAAGAGCAAAGACGGACTCTCTTATCCAAGGACACTAGACTTTTTTTGGAATCAGTTTTTGAGAAAAAGAGATCTCCTAATTCAAGAGAACGTAAGGCAATTGCAGACAAATGCGGGCTGACCAGTGTTCAGGTGAGGGTTTGGTTTGGCAACAGGCGGGGGAGGGGGTGAGCAATGCCTAGTACCTCATCTCTCCCAATTTTTTCCTAGACTGTTCCAAAGCATTCTCCAATTGGACTATATGTGCCTGCAAGTCCAGTTCTGAGTTTGGCAGAGTTATCTCTGGAGGTTCCTGTCTCATAGCCTTTACGGCTGCATTCACAATTCGGCTATACTGCTCTAAGCGTGGTTGGGATGGTGGATTCTTTACTCTACATGCAGCCACCAGCTGTGCCGTGGATGCTAAAACCTGATTCGATGCAGCCGTAAAAATTTCATAAGAGTTGGCGGAAACCATTTGACGTGTTGCTTTGGCCACCTCCTCAGCGGCAGAAACCAGACCGCGACTCCATCTGTTTTGTTGGAGGTAGGGATCGGGGTTTTGAGTGGTGGCGATTTCAGCCTGGCATGCCGTTGAAGCTCTAATCAGATTGGTAATGGCCTTGACTGCATCATTCTGTGGTAGGTTAACTAAGGTTTGAATAGGTGACAGCTTGGTTTGCAATGCAATGTTGAGATCTATCACTTTGTCCGTTATCTCCTCAGGCGTTCCCCTCATATGCTTTAACGTATAAACATACTCTTGACCCTCCTCTCTACCTGACACTTCCTTACAGAAACTCATGATACTTGAGGTAATGGGCTGCAGGTCAGCTTGGCCGCCGTCCAATATTAGCTCATTAAATTCATTCGCCAAATTTGTTGCACACTCCGATACTGGTACGCTTTCCATGATACTTTTACCAGCAGCTCCGAGTACATCTCTAACAACATCGATTTTTATCTTACCAATCTCAGCTTTTAATTTTTCGACTTCACTACGCACTCTGTCGCGTTCTATCTTTACCTCTTCGATTTCTTTCCTTTCTTTGTGACGATTCGCTTCAAGGGCGTCCAGTTTAATTATCGCTTCTTTGGCGCTGCTTTCTACTTGTTGTGATTTCTTTAGCTTCTTCAAAACAATCAGATGTTCTTGTCTCAATTGTGAGTACAGACTGGCCAATCCATCGTACTTATCTTTCCACTGGTCCAACAGTTTAATTTGATCTTCGTGATTCTTAAATTGGTCATCGACGTTAATATTCAAATTCTCAAGTTCTTTCTCCAACGCAACAACTCTGCCATCGTATTGTTGAAGCATAACCTGATCCCTTTCATGCTGTTCCCTCAGCGCTTTCAGATCATTTTGAAATTGCTCATTCTGTGCAACTCTTTCATACTGAGCTTGCTGCTCTTCGCGCATTCGTTGTTCAAACATAGCTTGTTCGGACTGTTGCATTGCTAATTGCTGTTGCCTCTGCATTTCCAGCTGTGCTTGTTGTTGCTGTAAGGCAAGTTGCCTTTGCTGTTCTAGTTGGGCTAACGCCTCCCGCGCCTCCATTTCCTGCATTTGCTGTTGCTGGAGTCGTATACTTTCGTCCTGCCTTCGTAACTCCTCAAGTTTTTGTCTCTCCGCTTGAAGTTGCGCTTGAACACCTGTATTATCGGCAATAAAAGAACCATAAGCACCTGTGACTTGACTAGAACTGGGTGCAACAGCTGCACCGCCACTATATCCATCATTTTGGGTTGACTGCCTAGAAACACCTAAACTCATCACAGATCCATTTCTGGAACTGCTTTCAGCTCCGAAACTGCCATTGTTAGATCCCCGAGTAGCGGGTCTGCTAATGTTCAACTCCCCCTCGGACGCTTCCAACGTAGGAGCACTACTTGGTAACTTGGGAATTTTGATCAAACTGGTGAGATATTTGATAGCCGAACAATCGGCATAAAGCTCAAATAAACGGTAGTGCTCTTCACAAAACCTATCATACAAAGGTTTCAACGCATCGTCCTCGCCGGTTTGGTTGTGGAGCGCTCGGATCATGGACATGATGAATTTGTAAATGCCGTAGGTTTCAGAAACCAAAGGAACTAGTGCCGAGATCTTGCATTCGCTGCGACGACCGCTGGAAATGCTTGAAAATATCAATCTACCGAATTTATCGATAGTGTCTTGCAAATCCATCAAATCCAAAATGGCTTCATAACCTTCGTCTGGGTTAGATGTAGTAACCAAAGACATGTACTCTTCGTATTCGAAAGTTCCATTGAAGCCATGGTGGACACGATGGAATTTTAACTTTTGTAATAGAAAGTTAACATATTCCTCAATCAAATGACCATAACCGCTGCCGCCACCTCCGGGGTAAATACGACCAAGACTTTCTAACCATTCTCGGTTTCTGATACCTTCAACAATAGCAGAAGGGTGTCCCTCCTGTAGAATTTTGTGAAGAGATATCAACGCTTTGAAAAGGGATATTTCATCTTGGGCCAACGGTTGTACTTTGAATGCATTAAATATCGCTCTTGAGGATTTATGATCCCAAGTATACACTATACAAGCACGAACATGTTTTCTTTTCGGGGCAGTTTCCTCATAAGAACATGCTTTGCGTACAGTACGCTCCACATCCAAATCGAATCGAGACATTGACCCGGTGGGAGAAGTTTAACACAATTGAATAGATGATGAAGACATGGATCGAAACGTTTTAAACGCCCCTATCAAATTCAAAAGCTATAAAAATGATGTGTCGTGGAAGATGACCATTTACCTAAGAAGTGTTGATGAAGAATGCTCTCGATCTAACAACATGATTTGAAGTGCTCATTATTATCTTTAACCCGCATGCTAATGTTTTGTGTGCCAGTAGACACCATCTTCAGTTTTCCAAGCGCTTACTTCGCACCACGATTTATCAAATTACACGCCATAAAAAGTTCATTACATTTCAGCGAGATCAATAATAAACGTAACAATGTACACACCATTAGGGATCTTAAACATTCTTGCCCAGTATCAAATTGTGTATTGGCAGCCTGAGCACAATATTTGTAATTCTTCTGAACTGAATATCTATAGCATAGATATTTTATTATAGTACTAAAATACATTCCTGAAATGTCCAAATTAAAACCACTCAAAGTGGCAGTTTAAGAGTAAAAACAAGATCATATTCACGTCCTATACGCTTCTACATGCAACTGAAGCCTTCGTTTTGATTTATAGACTATATCACTGACATCAACTTTTGGTAAAAAATTAAAATTTCACACCCAGTGGGTATGATATAAAAGGACATAGCGTTTACGACTTTATGAGTAGTGCCATCCGCGCAAAGCTCCAACATTTCATCCCATAGCACTACATATAAATATTCAATAGTCAAAAACCTTAATGCCAAAATAATTAGAGAAAATCAATTATCATTACTTGCAAACCCTGACACAATGCCTTAAAGACTAAGAAGCAGCATTTTCGTTACATGGATGATAAAAATGACACTTTAATGGTAATATTTGAGTATTTGATCTACGGAAATACCGACGCCATATAATTTTAAAAAGTCATACCTACTCTGACAATATCGAAATTTTGCCCAACTCAAAAAAATTCATACAAACGGATCAAAAAACACATATATTGGGTAACGGTTTTTTAGAGTACCAGAGCATTCACAACTACCATAGCCCATTTTCCAATGCCGTCCAGCATAACACTGTCACTAGTTTATTTCCCCACAAAAAGCATTCGAAAAATCAGCCATAAAACCCAGTTATTTAGTCCCAACCGAACCACATATAAACAAGATACAAAACAATTCAAGAAAATCTTAACATCTCATTCCTCGCTCTTGCGCTCCTAACGACACGATATTTTGACATCGCGCTTTCTATTACCCACATAACGTACAAAACTACCAATATCACCTCTTTCCCAACGTCTAGAAAATTTTCAACTTTAACTAGAGCTACTTCACTATAGTATCCTTGCCATAGCAGTTGTTCCTAGTTATACAAACCAAAACATCTTCTTTATATATATATGTCTATTGAAAACCTCAAGTCTTTCGATCCTTTCGCAGACACAGGTGACAACGAAACTACCACGGCCAACTACATCCACATCCGTATTCAGCAAAGAAACGGAAGAAAGACGTTGACTACAGTGCAAGGAGTACCTGGAGAATATGATTTGAAGAGAATCCTCAAGGTCCTCAAGAAGGACTTTGCCTGCAACGGCAACATCGTCAAAGATGAAGAGATGGGCGAAATTATCCAAATGCAAGGTGATCAAAGAGCCAAAGTTTGCGAATTCATGGTAACCCAGCTGGGCATGAAGAAGAAAAACATCAAGATCCACGGTTTCTAAACGGTATCGTGTTGGTATAGCTTCCAGTTCAGATGAGTTTTCTTCTCCATATATCAGTACTCTAGGCACGTCAAAAGTTGGCTTCCCGTGCCACTCGACTTCTGTAACCGCACGTTTGTGTACATATCTTTTAAGTATCTAGAAAGGTTTAGAATGCTTAGCATGTTGCAAGATGGGCGCTTCCAAGCGTTTGCTAGCCACCGGCTGCCCACCAAGATCCCCAGGACGTCTGTCCAGAGCATCATCAGCATTACACACGAATTCCAAACCATCTCCTACATCATCTTGAATATCACAGTACTTTAAAACGTTACAGATTGCACCAGAATATGGTTTACACAGACTAACTACCACTTTAACAAGCCAGTAAACTCAACACATCTCATCTTAGCATCTACCAAAATGGGAACTGGCGATTTGAATCTGCTCAAATCCTGGAATCCCCACCTTCTCAAAAACAAGAAGAAAGTATGGGAAACCGAGCAAAACCTACTGGAAGAGAACAAGAAATATCGAGAAAGACAACAGGAGATCGAAAGGGAACGCCAAATAGACGAATTATCTTCCCTAACAAGGAATGGAACTTCTTCTTATAAGAAAAATTCCAGTTTGGACTGGATGTACAACGATGAAGCGGCAACTAGTGAGCACAACAAAGACTTTCTACTGGGCAAAAAGCGAATAGAAGCATCTGTACTAGAGAATAAGGAATCGGAAAAACCTACACAGGGCAAAAATGGCAAAGCTTATCTGAATCAAATCAAGCCTGGTATACACGGAGTTTTGAATTCTAACAGACCTAAGCCCTCTGCTAGCCTGTCACGCGATGATCCACTAGCAGCCTTCCAAAGGGCTAAAGAATCGCGCGTTAAGCGAGCTCCAAGCAAGATCACTAAATCTTTGCCGAAAAACATTAAACAAGAGCGTAAACATCAAAACCAGGCATCCAACAAACTGCGACAAAATCTCACTCATAACATGGACTATTAAGAGAAATATAAGGATTATTTTGAAAAGGGAAACTACTTAGAACTATTAAATTTTACGTTTTTTATGTTCAGGTTCATTCTTTGGATTCTCATCAGAGCCGCTACCACTGGATTCTAACTCAATTGGCCCATTGCTCAGGTCTTCATCGTCAATGTTTTCGTCTTCCAAATCCACTTGGGCCTCGGTGTAATACTTTGTGCAATTGGGATAAATGTCATCCGCTAACAGATTTGCAAGACCGTCTCCGTTAGGAAATTCTTTTCCAACCTTCAAACCTGTCCACTTGAACCACGAGAAGAAGGACTTCATTCCAGTGCGATAGTTTTTCTTCCCTTCTGCGGTCGACTTGTCTGATACCAGCGATGGGTTTATATTGTTGAAAGATTTGGGCCACTTGATTTGACAAGGCTCACTAGTCAAAAACCCAAGCTCTCCATCGCGCAAATCGTCCTCTTCAGTACGCTTCCCAGTGTATTTGAACTTCGTAATATCATTTTCAATTTTGAAGTATTTAGTAACAATTTGAGCTTCAAAGTCACCATCAATACCGTCGAACTCGAAACTAATAGCAACGTTACGGTGATCAAGCTTATTGTCCTCTAAGCACATCCATTTCATTTCAATAGATTTGATACAGTCAATATATTTCAGGTCCGCTGCCCGTACGTAATTCGCAAAATCGGAATGTTGCGATAAAACAACTTTCCAAAAGCCGTCTACCCCGGTTATTGCTTTGCCACGAAGTTCATACAATGGCGCCATCTTCCTCAATCGTATTATTTCGACCTCTTTTTCGACAACATCGATATCATCTTCAACTCTAGCGAGCGCTTCCAATGAATTCGTTCTTATGATAGCTGTTAATAGACAATTCCTAAGACAATACAAAAAGTAGCTAGCATTGACACACGAACATACAGCTTATCCTCCTGCGCACTCATCATTACTGCTTTTTAATTATGGATTAATGTTGTAAGCGATGCTAACTCAGAATATAATGTCTTACAATAAGTTGATGGCACTGGACACGAAAAACAAGTTAATTCTCCTCGAGCTAGCTCACTGAATAACGACACTATCGCTAAGTCAAAAATCCTACTTTGGAGGAATTGAAATTGAGTTTAAAATATACAGATCATTAGAGATACAAAGCCCCAATACAAAGTCCCCACTCGTGAACGCCCTTAACGAATAAATTTTATATATCAACACACCAGTCGGTATTTTCATCTCAGGTCTATAAGTCGAGATATAGTGCGTTATTTCAACAAGATAAGTACAGCACTTTTCATTAGCTAGATCGAGTGGAAAATGACAGGAGACGACTGATCACTAAACTTGCGCCTTAACCGTAAATCAAGGAAAATATTCGGAATGCAGCTTCTTCTGTTGGTCGTATACCTTCTTTAGCTTCTTGAGCATAGATTTAGTAACATCTGAACCATCCTTGTTTTTAACAGGCATACCATCCTGGTCCCATTCGGAGTATAATTCAGGATCACGGAACATGTTTTCTGGAGCCATTTCCGCCTTTTTACGTCTTTCGTTTTCTTTACTTTCTCTCAACTTAGCTTGCTCAACTTTCTTGGCTTCCTTCTCCTTTTGCCGTTGTTCTTTTTCTACTAAAATTCTCAGCAGCTCATCCTTCTCTTCATCGTTCAAGAATTTCACTAAAGAGCCTTGGTCACTTCTGTCATCAATCGAGACATTCAAATTTAGAAGATCCTGGTCGCGGACTCTGTCAGTTAGTTTAAGATATTCGCCACTTGTAACATTTTCGATGGCCAGGCGGCGTACTCCGTCACGGAAGTTGGACAAGCATTTGAGGTAAGGCATCAAAAGCTCTTCCTTATTGGAAGATCCAGTTGCAGCTTCGTTGGCCTCGTCCAACCAACCCAAGCCATCCTGCCTTGCTGGGAAACCCAGAATAGCCATGATTTTAGTAACGTAACGAACAATGTCGACTAAGGGCTCGATCTTTAAATCACTACCAGCGGCAGCAATGTATTGGTTAGTCTTGCTTACAAGTTCTCCAATATTTTTCAAGGCAACTGGAGTCGACAAGTTATCACAGAATGCCTCATGAACCTGGTCCTGGTACCGATCGAAATCTTTCATCAGGTCTTTTTCTTTTTGACTTAGTTTTTTTGACACATATTTGCCTGATTCTTCACTGTGGTCGATGTCGGCATGCAAAGCGCGCACGTTCTTGAACAGATTATTCAACGACTGCTCCAGAGATTTCACTTCTACAAGTAAGCTTTCTTTGAAGTCCAAGGGACTGTTCCATTGAGCAGAGCAAAAAGTCAACCTCAATAGACGGGAAGAGAACTTGTCCAAGGCTTCTCTGACCGTAATAAAGTTCTTCAAACTCTTCGACATCTTCTGTCCTTCAATATGCAAATGACCAGTATGCAAGAAATAGTTGACCCATTGGTAATTATCGAAACAGGCTTCGGATTGTGCCAATTCGTTGTCATGATGTGGGAAAGCCAAGTCGACACCCCCGGTGTGAATGTCGATGTTGGAACCAAGTATATCACTAGCCATCACAGAGCACTCAATATGCCATCCAGGTCTACCTTTGCCCCAAGGAGACTCCCATTCGGGCTCACCCGGTTTAGAAGCTTTCCACAACGCAAAATCGTTAGGAGAACGCTTGCCATTGGAAGCGGAGAAATTACTCAACGAGCCTTCCGCATCATTAATTAGACTTAGCTGACCCTTGTTCCAAGGTTGACACTTAGCGTACTCGTGCTTCTCAGACTTGTCGAACATAACGGTGTCGAAATAAACGGAACCATCGTTAGCAGCGTAGGCGTATCCATTATCTATAATTTTTTTGACGAAGTCGACAATTTCAGGAACGTACTCGGACACTCTGGTAGTTACGGATGGTGGCAGCACATTCAGAGACTCCATGTCCTTGTTGAATTGTTTCTCCCAGTATGCTGGCAGTTTACGGAAAATCTCAGGATCGTTCACTGTGCTTCCGGATTCTTCGTCGAGGACGGGGATGAGAACATCCTTGACCTTCTCGTAGAAAGTCTCCGCATTCTCTTCGCCTAGAGCTTCAATGGCGGTTTGAACAGAGGCAGAGTGCATTCCAAACTTGGGATTAGCTTCCTTTTCCTTTGCAATGTCAAGAGATGCGTACCACGACTCGAATTGCTGAAAAGACGAAATTGCAGAGTTTAAATTGGTGGAAATGTATTTTAGAGCAGCCTCTTGGCACTTTTGGCGCACTTCTGCGTTTGGTGCAGGGGTTTTCGCTACGAAATTCTCGAAAAGGTACAGTTGGCGCGCACGAACAATAATTTTGTCGTCGATGTCGGTGACGTTTTGAACAAACTGGATGTTATAGCCAAAATAATCCTGCAGCAGTCTTCTGTTGACATCGATAGAAACGTAGTTTCTTGCATGCCCCATGTGTGTGGAATCGTACACTGTGGGTCCGCAAGAATACCAACTTACATTTTTCCCGCCAGATCTTGGAACAAATTCCTCCTTCTTCCTGGTCAAACTATTGTATAGTTTCAACACGGATTCCTGGCTTTCTTTGGAAGGCTTTTGCCATACCGGCTGACTGATTTTTGCGCCGATGGAACTGGACATTTTGCTAACTTTTCGCTTTCCTAGATTTCTTAATTGCTGTATAAAACCCAAGCTTTTGAGCATAAATCGTCTGAAAAAAAAGCTAAAGACCACGAAGCAACTTAACAAGTTTCACGATGATTAAATCCAAGGCTCAATGCTAAATTAAACAATCCCAAAATGCTACGATTTGGTCTACCTAAAACTTTCAACTTGTTTGAACATTTATATGTTAAATTTACTTCTATTCTGTATCTGAAAAATGAGTAATAATTAATTTATTGTGGGTGACGGGCCCTACAGTGACACACGTGACCAAGCGTCAGAAGCGGAATGATGACGACTGTGGTCTTCGATTTGGCCCAGTAAAACATTAGGCATCTTTAAAAAGCTGTGATTAGGTATTTGAAGATATTGAAAGCCATTGCGTTTGTTTGAGATTTGATTTATCGAGTGAAAAATTGAGTTTTTGGATTACTTGTTTTTTGTTCGAGAAGGAGCCGACAAGACCTTGACCAGGCTGAATGCAACAGATAGTTTAAAGAAAAGGTGAAGATTACTGCCAAGGGTTGTGTTTATCAAAGAAACCGGCCAGGAAAAAAAATGACGTTAATGGCAAAATTATGTCATTCTGGCAATCTAGCGATTGTTTTCGAAGTACTTTTTCTCGTAGATGCTTGTTATGGTGGCACCAGCAGTTATAAAAGCTACACTGGACGCCATCAAGCATGTATGATCCATTTTGGGGACAAGATTTGCGAATCTCATCACACAATTAGCAAAAAAGATCGGCTTAAGATTTCAAAACAGAATGTCGAAACTTCCACCACATCATAGTACTACATTTTTAAGAGAAAAACAATCTTAAAACGAGCCTTAGCGAAATGTTACACTTTTGGTTGTATGACGTTCGGGCTTCCTGCCTTTACAACGGTTCATTTCTCTGTTCGTTTTTTATCACTCTATACCGTTCTGGCACACACAACAGAAGAGTCGTAGGCTCGAATGATAGTTAAAGTCAAAGATTCGTTTCAAGAGGGCCCCGAATCGGCGTTTGATATCTCTGAGGAGGCATTTTAACCAAACTAGAAACTATCCACTGTGAGAAGGACAAAGACAAATTTTCGCTTCAACGTATGGCCGAGTATTATGTATATTCAGAGGCGCATTGCTCTGAAGTAATCCAGAATGCAACAGATAAAAACAAAATGCATGAGTAGCAGTTCAAATAGGATAAAAAATCCTTTTTGTGTGGAAACAGTGCTTACACCTTGCTTGTAGGTGAACTGTCATACGTCCAAGGGTTCATAATCAAGAATAGAGGTCAATTCATCAGAGGTCAATTCATCAAATCAGAAGTCGGTCATAAGCAAAACTGCCACCCACAAACAACAGATACGAATACGCTAAATAGACTATTGGCTGCCGAGCCTTTTCTAACCAAAAAATTCAAAATATGCCTTTCATCTAAAAAACGGCAGAATCTATCTAATTTGGCATCTACGATGAAAAGGGGTTCAAACTGAAGGTCAAAAAGTGGAAATTATCGATTCATCCTACCAAGATTAATACCCGGGTTCTCCCTTACCCAAATGGTGTGTATAAATGTATCTAAAATTTGACATCGACGTTAACCTTCCAAGCTTTTTAGACAATCTCATGGTACTACAAGTTTCTCAAAAATTATACTGCCCCCACCCGAAGACCTTTTATGGATTTTCGAGGCATGTCGATAGCTCGAATATCCCATTTCCCTTCATTTAGTGGGTTGTTCTTTCGTACTGTCTGCTATCTGTCTACTGAATTATTCCGTATGTAGAAAATATCGCCAAGAAATACGAGGTTATATAAAAGATCTGGAGATCTTAAGTCGACAGAAACATTTCCACTAGCATAGAGAGTCTATTGCCCACCCAAGCATTTAACAAGTGATGAACTCGCCGACACTACTGGAGTCTAGTGTTGAAACTACTACCGAAAGCCCCGACACTGTTGAAAGTGACGAATCGGATCTAGAGCATCAAGGTGATGCTCAACATCGCGATGAGGAGGACAAAAGACAGATTAAACTTGCCTCCGTAGGCGCAAATGAGCAAAATGAAGAAATGGTTTCCCTATATGACGAAGAGGAAGATGATTACGAAGGAGAAGACTCGAGCAAAGCGTCCAGCAAAAAACCTCCTCCCGAGGACATCGACGGATCAAAAGTAAATAAGCAAAACACATCAATTTTCACATTCAATCTCCCATTCGGGGGCAAATCGTTGATACCCATCTCGCCTTTAAGTTCTCTGCGCAAGACTTTATTACCGGCTTCGTCCAGTGACAATGCACATACGAAGAGTAGACGGAAAATCAAACTCAAGCTTCAACGGCAAGAAACCATTTCTTCGGTGGAGGAATTGGAGCTGTTTCAAAACCAAAAGGGGATCGATAACGTTCGAGCTCGAGCAGTGAAGAGAGCTTTAAAACCGGGTGCGTTTCTTAGCACCATCAAATCGTTATCCACCGATCAGCAGACTACAACTCTCGATGGGTACTCGTTAGGTAGAATAGAATCCATATGGGATGAACTAGAGGGAGATGTTGTTTTTCTAGGAGGTTACAGAGGAAGTATTTTGCGAGACTGTAAAACTAAACGTAGAATCTGGTTACCGATTCGAGCCGGGCTCAATATCCGCAAAGTCGACCTGTTGATCGGGCCAGAACCGGACTCAGAGTTTGAGGCCCAATCGAAACTCTATCCTGATGGAATGCTAACCCATTTTGGGCCGGTCGATGTCTGCAAAAAAGTCATCAAAAAGCTCCGAAGCAATCCCAAAGTAAACGTGGAAGACTTTGGATACGACTGGCGACTTTCGTTGGATATTCCGGCCAGGGACTTAACCAAAAGGTTAACAGAAATTTATGATAAACAAGATAAGAAGAAAGGAGTTATCCTTGTAGCACACTCCATGGGGGGTTTAGTCGCCCACAAAGTGCTACAAGAGCATACAAATTTGATCAGAGGTATAATATATGTGGGGTCGCCTAGTCAATGTCCGAACATTTTGGGACCCATGCGGTTTGGTGATGAGGTTATTTTCAACAAAACCATTTTGAGCGCAGAGGCAACTTTTTTCATGAGAAGTAGTTTCTACTTTTTGCCCTTTGACGGAAGATGCTTTGCAAACAAAGACACTCTTGAACGTTATGATCTGGATTTTTTCGACCCAAAAATATGGCGCCACTATGGCCTCTCGCCGCTAGTGAGCGAGGAACGTCTTAAGGCAGAGGACAACGTTGAGATGGCGTCTCCGGAGAAGGACAAATTCAGTTTGATCCCCAATGTGGACATGATGAGATCTTTAAGCGGTAGTAACGATGAGCCTGTACACTTTGTTACGCCTTACAACAAGTGCCAGGAATACCTTGAGAGAACCTTGAAAGAGACCCGTGAGTTCCTGGAAAGTCTTGAGTACAGAGAAAACAAAATATACCCTCCGCTAGCAATCGTATACGGAAACCGCATACCGACGGTCCGTGGAGCGAAAGTTCGGGGGCTAGAACAGATCAAAAGTGGAGAATATGAAGACTTCTACTACGGACCTGGAGATGGTGTTGTACACCATAAATGGCTTCTGCCAGAAACACGGGGGTTTCCAGTAGTCGCCAAAATCGCGTCCGAGTGCGCCCACGTCAGTCTCATGACGGATTTTGAAGCATTGGCGAAGGCGTTCATATCACTTATAGATAACGAGTAGGTTTTCTAGAAAACACTAATTAACACCAACCTCTCCCTTCAGTATGCAATTATGCTCAGTCTTCCTCGGCAATATCGAAAGTCACCGTAAGCCACAGACTGCACGCACTGCACTGCACCACGATAAGAAAGCCACCACTTGGATTTTCCAGCCCGTTTTCCTCGAGCATGTCTTCTGTAAATTCAAAACTGTCAGGCGCCAGGCAACGCGGACAACTCATGCAAAAAGCGGCAGTGTCTTCATCGTGTTTGAACTCGTCCAGCGAGTACGAATCCAAGCCCTCTCCACTATTGTGAAAACCGTGTTTTTTGTACGATTCAGCGAGCAGGATGTCGTAATTTGCTCGGCTCTTTGCATCTGAGAGTACTCTGTAAGCTTGTTTTATTTTTTCAATGGAAGTCTTGCTTCCAGTGCCGATGATCTCTTGCCTCTGCTCACGATTAAGACTTTTGTCCGGATGTGAGCTTAAAAGCTTGTCTTTATAAGCTTTTTTGACCTCTAAAAGATCGCAATTCGCCTCCAAACCCAAAATTTCATAGTGGGACGCTTCTAGCACCATTATTTCGATGCCGATAAACCAAAAATGCTTTTAGGATGATTCAAACCTAAAAACGTCAATAGCTTCTCCAGAATTTGTTCGAATTTGTATCTGAAAAAAGGCTTGTAAACCTCAAACTCACTGCTGAAATTGAGCTCTGTCTAATGTGTTCCCGAATCGCCGAAATGTTGTTCAAAAGCCTGTTTTAGATGCTCATCTGAATATTTTCAATATTCATTATTCTTAGTATCATAGTAGTTTAACCGCCTGAAACTTTTCAGCTCATCGGATTACCTAAATAAAAAAATTTTCCAAAATTTAAAGATGCGATGAGATGAGATTGAATCGTCAACAAACTTAACCTATTAAAACAAACAACTAGTGGGTGAGAAACCAATAAAGAAGACTCGACTCTTCTCATTCATTCAGTCGTTCAGTAGACACTTTTTTGGAGTTTTTAGCACGATTTTTGGCGAAGCTTTTCCAGTTTTGAGAGACAATGGCCCAAAAACGAGGATTCAGTAACATCGAGGTTCAAAACCTTGAATCGGAGCCTTCCGTGGCCGTGGGAGCATTTTTCAAAGGTATTCAAGTGCCAAAGAAAACGAAATTCGAGCTTTATCACTCAAAAAACGGTGCTGATAGCTTTCTTATCCATGGAGAAAACGATCGTGTCGAGTACTCCGGCAGTACCGACGTAAACTCTAACGAAAGCAGTCAGTACTTAGTGGGCATTTACGATCCTTCCAAAAGAACAATACAGTTGCATAAGGCGCCAGTTTTGGCCGCGAAAGTGGCGTCGAAGGCGATCAAAGACCTGTCGGGGCCAGAAATCAAGCAAAGTGATCTTCGTATAGGAGCGTTGAGAAACGCTTTGGGAGAAGCTTTCGGTACTAAAAAGGCCAAAAAAGCCATTGCCGACATCGAGCGCAACAGGATCGACTCCGACAAATTGGTCGATTCGGCTGTGGACATCATGGACTCTGTGAAGACCGCATCGAGGGACTTGCCTTCGAGAGAAGCCCTTCTACAAGTGTCCTCGCAAGACAGAACCACGCCCGAGGCCAACGTCGATGCCACAGATGTGGAGCAGATTTACCCAATTCACAACATAATACCGAAGAAGGAGTGGCAGCACATTCGCGTGGGAGCGGTTCTAAAGGAAACGGACGAAGCCGGAAGACTCGAGCTTTTCCCTCACACCAAGTCGTCTTACGTTACTAAGAAACTAGCCACTTTGACCCAGGCGCAGCAAATGACAAAGTTGCAACTCTTGTACTACCTCTCTTTGCTTCTGGGAGTCTTTGAAAACAAGCGTGTCAGTGATAAAACCAAGCTATTGGAGAATCTAAATGCGCCTCCAGAGGTGCTTGTGGATGGTATTCTCGAAAGATTCACAATCAGCAGACCGGGCCAGTATGGGCGTTCTAAAGATCGCGGGTTTTTCATCGACCCTCAGAGAGAGGACAAACTACTGTGTTACATCCTAGCCATCATTTTGCATTTGGACAACTTTATTGTTGAAATTTCGCCCTTGGCGCAAGAACTTGGGCTCAAACCATCAAAAATCGTCAACCTTTTCAAAAATCTCGGTGCAATTGTGAAAGGTGCTACTGTTTCCCAAGCAGAGGCCTTTGGCATACCTAAGAGCGCTGCTTCCACTTACAAGATAGCTACGATGAAGGTACCATTTAAAGTCCCAGAAACTGGCAGGAGGGTCAGACGTGGTGGACGTTAGGAGTAAATTAGATAGACGAGACATACGAATACTACACTCGTAGGACTATAGTTCCTGATTTTAAATCTCAATCACTTCCCTGAAAGTGTGTTTAACCCAGATCTCATAAGTAGTCAATTAAAAGAATAAGAACACTTTATTTCACTGCAAGACACAATGGAAACTGGATTAGGAATTGACCTAGGCTCAGCTGAGGTTAGAGTCGGAGCGTACGAATTCAACACGAATCAACTAGTCGCGGTTGAGTCGCGGCAGGTAAAGTATTATGATCATGGAAACAAAAAGGTTACTCAAAGCTCAAAAGATATCATTGATGCTATTCTCGAATGTATAGAAAAGCTTCCCATAGATATATCGCACGTTAGGTCTTGTGGTGTTGCTGCAACATGCTCGCTGGCTCTTTTCCACGCCGCAGCTATAGAGGGTTTGGTTCCCTACAAGCTCTATGACATAGATACAGAGCCAGCTCAAAATGTTGTATTCTGGATGGACGGAACAGCAGTGGGCGAGACAGAAGAACTCAATTGCTTATGTGGCATTGAAAAGGATTTCCTGGGTGGTGGTTTCATTCCTGAAATGGGAGCTCCAAAACTTTTGGCATTTTTGAGGGCCCTGCCAAGTCACAATCCTGGAGAATATGAGGTCTATGATCTACACACCTACATTGCGTATGAACTGGCCCTTCGATTCAAGTGGGAATCAACTCTCCTGATAAATAGGCCAAACAAAAATGGCATCGGCCATGATGGGGAAGTTAGAGGTTGGAATCCGGACTTTTATGAGAGTGCCATTAAGCTGCCCAATAATGTCAAAATCGGACCCACCCGCATCAACAGAATGTTTAGCCCTGTTAAAGTTGCCAGTTGCATTGACTGTTATGCGGGTTGGTTTGCGATGTGTTCGTCTGAACCAAATAAAAGTCTATTCATGGCAGCAGGTACGTCTACATGCTATCTGTACGCGAAATCTAAAGACGCTGGATGTATCCCTGGGATCTGGGGACCTTTCACAGATATATTATCTGAGGGCGATAACCACGAGTGGTCTGTTTACGAGGCAGGTCAGTCGACTACTGGAAAACTAATTGAACATCTCTTCGAGTCCCATCCCGCTGCGAGACAACACGCAAGCAATAGAAACTCCTTATTTGCGCATATTGAAAGTGTCATCGAGGAGATTGAGCAGGTTACAAAGCAATCAATCCATTTCTCAGCAAGATACCTGTTCACCTACGGGGAGCTACAAGGCAACAGAACGCCGTACTGTGATCCAAATATGACAGGCATGTTCATCGGAGAGTCTGCGGATATTTCATTTCAGGATCTGGTTTACAAATATGTAACGATTCTTGAGTTTCTCGCCTTCCAGACGCGACAGATCAGAGATTGTTTAGAAGCCGATATTCGAGATATTACAATTTCGGGCAGTCAGGCCAAAAATTCACGACTTCTGTCACTTATTTCATTAGTGAACGGTAACATTCCTGTTAAGAGGTCTACGGTCAGAGCAGAGTTGATGGGAGTTAAAGGTGCCTTTTTTATGGGCAAATCCAGGTCTTTGAATGAAAGTCTTTCAAGTGTTGCCAAGACACATATTGAAGACTCTTCTATGTCATACGTTGAAATTATAAGTTCTCTTCGGGACAACAATAAGATTTGTCGACTCCTGGAAGCGAAATACGAAGTTTACTTGGACATGGCGAGGACTCAGCGGAAATACCGGTCAATCGTTGACACACATTTAAAGTGAAAAGGAACCAAAACATTCAGCTTATAACTTTGTTGATGTCCACCCACTCGATTTGAGATTTCTGCCTATCATCTCGCTTCACTTTGTAGAAATGGTCTGCAAAATCAGCAGCACCCATATAGCGCAAAAACTTTTCGTCATGAGTAATGACAATGAGCTGAAAATTCTTTTGGTGCCGGCGAAATTCGATAATGTTACTCAATGATCTTGCCAGACTCTCGATGTTTTCTTCATCCAAGTTCGTAGTGGGCTCGTCAAGAGCAATGACACCACAATTTACCCCAAAAGTCTCTGACAGGGCAAGCCGAATTATAATCGAAGCTAAAACTTTCTGCCCTGCAGAGCATCTCCCACGCATGTCCAGCTCAGCATCTTGTTTGTACATCGCAACACGGTAGTTATAAGACTTTCCTCTCGTGGAGTTCGTGACCTCATCTGATTTTATTTTTATACTATCCACATCTGTCCCGCTGTAGGTGCGCTTCCAAAGTTCGTCAATGATTCTGTTAATGTCCTGCATTTTCAACGAGTGGTACTTCATGATAGCGCTATCTAACGCTTTTGAATAAATGTCAATGTCATCAGTGACTAGAGTCTTAGTTTGCAATTTAACCCACTCTTTTTGGTATGTGTTGTCAACATCATGATAGTCATTATTGAGTTGTGCAAACAATGATTGAATCTGGTTCTGAAGCTGTTTGATTTCGCCCATTCTTCCCGCATTATCGGACGAAAGTTTTTCGAAAAGATTCCTGAGACGAGCTGACTCATGTTGATACTTATCTCGCTGTGCTTCCGCATTCTGGATGTGGAGATTCTTAAGTTCGTGATCGATCTTTTCCAAATTAGATCGAAGATCTATGAGGTCAATATTCATCTTTATGTTTTTCCGCTCATTTGAAGAATCATGTAGTTTACGATTCTCAGCTGCCAATTGGTTGGTGAGTACGTCAACTTCATCTGAGAGAGTCTGAATTCTCTCGCTACCGGCTTTGATGTCGTTTTCCGAGCTTTCCAATTGCGAAGCAAAAGTGCGCTCGAATTCGTCGGAATCAAACTTGAGTCGCATTAAAGTATCGCGTCTGTCCTTCAAAAATACCAATTTTTTATTCTCAGCTGTCTCTTGAAGCGCAGCTTCATTTTCCTTCGCATTCTTTTTTACCTCGAGGGTAGTACGTTTGGCGGAAAGGTTTTCGAGAGAAGATGATACCGACCTAATAATCGTCTCGACCTGGTTTATCGACTTCTCATGTTCTTGAATCGAAAAGGAAACGTTTTCCTTTTCGTTCAGTTGCCTCTCAAGATCGTTGACTTTGTATTTTTTTTCTTTGATCAGACTTAGCCAATTGTTGAGCTCTCGGGTTTTGGATTCCTTTTCCTCTTGCAGCTCAATTGCCTCCCTTCTAGACTCTCTGAGTAGATCTTGTATTTGCTTTTGTTTGACCTGGAGGTCTTCCATTGTCTTTGAACTTTTTCCCTCACCGTTTTGCACACTCAGCTCATTAGATACATCTTGGAACTCTCCATCAATACCTGATACCTCTCTTCTCAATCGTATGATACTTTCGACGATAGGACGCATGGATGTTTCGCACTCCCCAACTTCCTTTTCAAGCTCACGAAGACGATTTTCGCTGGAAACAAGCTCTGACTCTTCTGCAGCTGTGCTTGAAGTGGCTTCCTCAAGCTGCGATTTCAACGAAGTCTTACTCTCAGTCAAGGACTTTAAAACCGAAAACTCAGTCTCCAGTCCTCTTAGAGAGTCCAAATATTCTTTTTCCTCCGACATAACTGTTCTCAACGTCTCTTCATACTGTGTGTTCGTTCTGGCTTGAAGTTCAGCCAATAATGAGCTTTGTTCGGTTTGATCGTTGAATTTTCTCTGACATAGGTAACAGCAGTTGCTGGTCTTTGCGACTTCAAGGGCTTTGAGATTAAATTCTAGCGTCGTTCGATGCATCTTGAGATTTTCCACTGCGATTTTGTAAGACTCTTCTGCTTCACGTACAAGATCGCCGTAATCATCTAGATAACAGTCTTCGGGTAGACTTTCCTTTATTTTATGATTCAAATCGATGATTTTTTGATCAGTTTCGTTCAATTTTGTTCGGGAGGTTGTACAGACGAATTTTTTCTGCGCCAGACTTTTGAGAAGATCATTATTCTCTTTAGTTGCTGCGGCTAGTTCCTTCTGAATCTTGACGTATTGGCTTCTGAACTCAAGATCAAGATCCGAATCCGAGTCGAGCTTCCATCGCTGCGCAAGAAGGTTTTCTGCCAGGTCTTTGAACAACTTGGCGAGCTCGTCCCGCTTATTCGTCAAATTCTTTTTCAGCAGAGAGAACCTGGCGTTTAATTCTGCTTGCTCATTTAGCTTGAGAAGCTCACGCTGGTTTCTTGCGAGATCGTCTTCTAAAATCAAAATTTTGGCGTGCTTTTCTTTAATCTGATCGGCTAAAGCATTAATAATGGTCTCGCCATCTTTCCCGTTGATGCGGGACTCATAGTGAGCAACATTTTCCCTCTCCTTACTCAATTCATTTTCAAAGCTGGACATTTTTCCATACTTAGATTTCAGCGAGTCCAGCTCATTCTGCAGTTTCTCTTTGTCATTCTGGCAGTAGATCAAATGCTGCTCTTCTTTCGCTTGGGAGTTTTCTAATTCCGACAGCTCTTTCCAGAGCGCTTCTTTCACCAGCTCGTTTTGTGCACAAATCGACGACACCGTATTCTCAGCCGTCTGTACAAGCTCGTCTAGCTCTGACGCTGCATCATGACTTTGAATGATATGATCCTCGCGAAGCTTTTGGATTAAAGATGTCGATTGTTTTCTGGAGTTGATATAATTGGCTTTTCTAGTCTCCAGACCGCCTCGCTTGGATATAAGAGCATTGTGAATATCGCGAGCCTCTTCTAGTGCACGCCGCCTACTTTGAATTTTATGTTTCAAACTTTCAATGTGCTGAGCTTTCTCCTCCAGTGCAGTAGAGAAATTGTCTATCAAACTTTTGAGTTCCGTCAATGGCATATTTATCGGCTCACTTGCGGATTCCAAACGTGAAATCTGCTCCTGTAACGATTGCTGATTGTGTTTTAGACCGTCCATCTGACTCAAAACCTGCTGAAACTCTTGATTAGATTTGAAGAGCTTGTCGGATTGTTCTGTAATTTCATTGAGCTGTTTATCTGTTACGCGCGCCTGTGCATGGTATTCCTCTATTTTCTGCTCCAGCGTTGAAATGTTAATTTTAGTCGAACGACTGCGATCTCGGTCGACTTTCAAGTGCTCTACAGACTGTCGCAGTAGCTTGATGTCAATAGACATGTCTTTTTTGATGGTTTTCAAATTGTCGAGCGCCTTGGTGTATTTCATAGCCTGGAAAATCTCGTCGAATCTTTTCTTTAGGTTTGCCGGCTCGCTCAGCGGCCACAAGCTGTCTTCTTGGTGGCAGAACACCACATAGTCGAGAATTGCACTGGGAACACCCATATACAAGGGCACCTGGGTGTCGAGTTCTGCTGCCCTGCTGCTCAAGGTGGTGCGTTCGCCTCTATTGATGGCCACCAATTGACCCTCAAGGGTCTTGAAAGTGTTTGTAGTCTTCTTAACAAGCAGCTGGATATTTCTAGTGACGATCATGTTTACGTCGTTTGCACTAGTGAAGGCCAGCTTCACTTGCGCTCGAACGTCCTTTTCGCCCGTAATTTTAGGATCGTGCACGAAAGCGCCTCCCTTGCTGTTAGGGGGCAGATCCCCAGTCGTGGCATATTTAAGGCATTCAATAATTGTCGTTTTACCCGATCCGTTGGTTCCTACTATCAGGGTCAGAGGTTTGCCGAACTCGATCGTTTCTCGTTCGTTGGAGTCAAACGATCGAATCCCCTGGATCGAGAGTTTGTATATGGCTGACATTCAGCACTCAATATCGCACTACAAAAACAAAGTAACACGTTGAAACGCTATTTGAGGCTAATTTGAAGGCTCAATTGATCATCGAACCACCTCAAACATAGCTTGTTTTACTATTAAAATTAATGCGATGAGCTGAAATTTGTCAAAATGTTATTTATCAAAACATTACCCGGCCATCTAATTTAAATTTCAAGGTTTTTGTGTCGTTTGGCCAAAAAAAATTTATAAAAGGAGCATAATCTTCAAGTTCCCGACCTTGAACTCGGGTACTACTTATTTGAGTGGTTGAGCGAATCAAGACAAATAACCTGTATAGAAGAAGGTATTTTTTGTTGAAAGGTAGCGAAACCTGTGAGAAATACAAATCACACAGTAAAGATAACTAAAAATCACTGGATTTGCATTGAAGTTAAATTCGGTAGAGAGGTTCAACTTCTATAGTCAGAACGCTTTTATTTATCTTTTTTCTCTGGCAGCTAGAGTAGTGGTAGTTTCAGAAACTGCAGGGACAGAAAAAACACGACAGAAGCGCCGTTTGCTCCAATAGACTTATCGTAAAAGGTATCTGAGCTGGCAAATACCAAAATCGCACTAGCTTTTAATATTGGTTTTTAATTTTGGCCAAGCTAGCGACGCGTTTACTTTGTTCGAATACAATGCAAAACGAACAATTTGACGATTTCGTAGCCACGTTGCAGTCCTTCAGGGATCTGAAATCCGGCATCTCAGGGTCCCGTATTAAAAAACTGACCTCATACGCTCTTGACCATGTGGACCAGGAGCCGCAGCTCATGCAATTGATCATAGACTACTCCCGCGAAACGCTTGCGACCCACAAACTGGGCTCCTTGTACATTATAGACTCGATCGGTAGAGCGTATCTCGAGCAGGCTCGCGCGCGCGATGACTACATCAAACCTACCGCTAAAGAAGGATCTTGCGCCCATGGCGTGTACCTCTTGGGCGAAGCCATCCAGGAACTTCTAGGCGACGCTATCAGCAAGAGTGACGAGGATCATAAGGAGAAGATTAGGACCCTGATCGACATCTGGGATAGAAGTGGCCTTTTCCAAAAAGGGTATCTCAACGCTGTGAGAGCTAAATGGTTCTCATCGCTCAGCAGCACCGCTGCAGCTCCCGGTACTGCAACTGCACAACCTAATAGCACTTTCGTCTTTTCAAAGGACCCTGCCGAACGATGCATCGACATCTTGAATAACCTGCAGCCCATGTCTCAGGTACCTAGAGTCGCTGTCCCAGCCAACTTGCAATCTGCGGATGTAGCTTTACAACATGCTGCTCTGTTCCAGTTCTTGGTGGATCTTCAGCAAAACGGAATGCCCGTAACGGCCCCAATAGCAGCTCCCGTGATACCACCCCAGCCGGTTCCCAGACAAAGCAACCACATGAACGTTAATGACCAGTACATGCAAAATCAAAGAGAGGATAGACGCGACCGCTACAACAACAACAACAACAACAACAACAACAACTCTTTCTTAAGAAGAACGAGATCTCGTAGTCCTCCACGGAGAGAAAATTTCAGAAGCTCCGAGGGCCCTAACGCCTCCAACAACCATCACCTGTATCCTGGTGAAGAGAACGTCCCAAGTAGCTCTCATTTCAGACCTAAACCCGTGTCTGTAGATCACACAGTCCCACCAGACCACATTAAGGTTTTCAGTCGTACGCTGTTTGTGGGTGGTGTTCCTCCTTCTATGAAAGAGTACGACATCGCCCACGTACTAAGACCGTACGGAGAGGTGCAAAGCGTGATTTTGAACAGCTCTAGAAAGCATGCCTTTGTGAAGGTTTACTCCAGACGCGAGGCCGAAAACGTACTCAACAATTTTAACAAGGACGGGTCATCTCCGCTAAGAACTAGATGGGGTGTTGGATTTGGACCTCGAGACTGTTGTGATTACCAGCATGGCTACAGCGTAATACCGCTGCATAGACTTACCGATGCGGATAAAAAATGGACGACAAATGCCGAGTGGGGTGGAACAGGTGGCCAGCCTTTGCAGCCAGGCTTGGCCTTCGAAGAACCAGATATCGTGGTGGGAGAAGGTGTCTCTTCTAAAGCCATATCTCAGAAGATGCCTACGGATAGTGGGAGAAATGGTCCTAAATCTGGGAAGCCAGTCAGAAGCCCTGCGTACCGCAACTCTCCGGGCCAGGGTCAGTTTTATGGACAGATGGCATCGGGGCCCATGCAGGCTCAAGTGCCTGTTCAGGCTCAATACCCACCTGCAGGATATGGAGCTAGCCCGCCTATACAGTCGTACGGCATGCCGCCTGCGATGCCACCACAGGGTCCACCGGCTATGTACGGAGCTCAGCAAGCTCCTCCGGCGCAACAACCTCAATTCGATCCGACTGCACAGCTCAATTCTTTAATGAGCATGCTCAATCAACAAAAATGAGCACACGCACCACCGATGTGTGAATATTTAGATGACAGTGTATTGTATAATTAAACAATGTATTTACCGAGAAAGACCATGAACTCCGAATTTTGTCGAGAGCCTTGCGAGTTGAGACGGCTCATAGTTCATAAAGGCTTTGCTTAAACACAAACAAGCACAGCATATGCTGATCCAGCTGGTACAGATCCATCCAAAGCTCCAGTCAATGGAAAATGGACGTCCTATTCACCATTTTGGTTTTTCATATCACTTTATCCTTACGTGTCATCCACAGCGGTGTCAGTGAAAACCGAACCAACATTATCTACGAAATTACTCATATTAACAACTAAATTATGTCTAAGAGACTTGACGCTACGTTTAAAGCGCCAACGTACCAATTAATATCGATCCATTACCCTCTAAATTCCCATCAAGTCTCTTTCATGCTTCGAAACGTTTGAAAAAAGACCAAAAAAACCGAACAAGAAAAATGCAAACTACAAAGGGCAAAATACAAAACTCAACAACCCGAAATTGCCAATAACAATAAATATATACCTAAATTCATTCAGTATTCCATTGCCTAAACGTTGATTTCTTCTTATAAACTATCGTCGCTCAAAGCACACACACACGTGATCATTAGGCTTTACTGGAAAATTTTCAAAGTATCTCTATACAGTGAAATTAATGAAAGAAATTGACGATGAGATGAAATAACAAAATAATCGAAGATTATCGACAATTCTTGAACAGAAAGCAAGTCAAATCAGCGAATAACGCGTGAAAAACCTCGCTTGAGCGATCAATGACGCTACAAACACTGGCCTGCAGAGGCATGGCCACAACTTTGAAACCTTCTGGGATCAGAGCGGGCCTCATATTGTCCAGAATTCCCATTGTAACGCAAGATTTGAGCAAGCTTGAAAAACAGTATTATGAGTACCAAAGCGAGCTGGAAAAGCGGTTAATGTGGACTTTTCCGCAGTATTTCTACTTCAAACGGGGTACGTTGGCGGAAAAACGGTTTTTGGCGGCGCAGAAGGGCCCCGTCAGCAAACAGCCAGGAGTGTGGTTTCCAAAAGGCGTTCCAGACATCAAACACAACAGAGAGAGACGCAGCAAGCAGGTGGTCAACTTGCCACAGAACTTTGGCTCTGCAGGTGGTGACCAGGTCAGCGAATCCGACAGCATCTCAAGGCCCATAGTGCCCAACTCAAGAATCACAGAAGCAGACCGCACCAACGACACACAAAGCCTGGAAAGAAAGCTGAGTGCCACTTTGTACCTGCTGGTGCAGAGCACGGAGGGCAAATGGGCTTTCCCCAGCTTCCCAGTGGCTTCTGAAAAGGGTGCCAAACAAGCATTGCATGTCACGGCGGAATCTGGCCTTAGAGAACTGGGTGGACCAAATGTAAATACTTGGACGGTTTCCAGCACTCCTGCTGGCGTCTTAAACGGCCCGGATTCCGCCGAGTTTTTGGTCAAATCCCACATCATTTCCGGAAAATTTGATCTTCAGCATAAGTCCCAGTATAACGATTTTGCATGGCTGACCAAAAGCGAGATTCAGCAACGTGTTGATGCCGCGTATTACCAAGGTCTATCTTGGCTGCTGGCAGACAACTGATGCAGCAAGACTTTTCCCTATCACCCTAACACAAAAAAGCTCTATAGCCACCCCTGTACATACACATAGAACGCCCAATTTGTCATTATACTAACCTAAATAGAGTTATCGTCTTACCGATCTTCTTACAAACCTGGTTCTTGGCGGCGCATCATCATCACGTCGACGGCTAGCACCATTTCCAAGTTTACGGTCCGGTTGGCCCCTCTTGTCGGCAGTTGTGGTGGTATGAGCATCTACGTCATCTGAGGGGTTCGGCTTGTGGAACTTGGCGATCAAATCGTTTTCAGTCGAGGCCATGAAAGCTAGTCGTCCTGGATAAAATCGAAATATAGGTCTATCCACTTTGCTCTTCCATATTATCTCGTAGATGGAATCCCGTGTGTCTAATGCATATATTTGCAGGCATGTCGGAGAACTTAACGCCAGGATCGAACCGTCATAAGATAAATCCATGTCTCTGATGGAGTCAGAAAAGTTGTTGATAGTTAGAGTGCAACACATGGTCGACAGATCCCAAATTGAGCATATGGTGTCTTCCCCGCCGGCGAATAGATACGATCCGGTGTGATCCAGTTTTAAACAATTAACAGGGCCTGTGTGGCCTGAAACGGCGATCAATTGTTGCAATCCAGTTGTAAGAACCTCATAAATTTTAATTTCCCCAGACCGGAAGGCCGCATAAACCTTACTGCTATCGTGCGACCAAACTAAGGATGTGATCTGGCAAGGTGAAGACACATCATTCACCAAATCGCACAGACGTGATTGCCACAGTAATTCGTAATCTCCATCCGCATCAAAGAGTAAGAATTGATGGTCCTGTGTCAAAACAGCAAGCCATTTACCGCTAGGGTCGTACAAGCACATGTTATAAACGGCCCCAGCCTCAGTTTTCAGACTTTTGATAATGGTGCCGGTAGAAGCATCATAGATATCCAATCCATCCGTGTCGTTTATTGCAGCCAGTAAAAACCCACTAAATGGGTTCCAAGAGACAAAACTGTCTTTTTTCAGGGCAGGCAAGGTCTTCGGCAGAGCTTGAGTCAATGTCACATAAGTTTCTGACCGATCGGATTTGAGCTTCCAAAGACTTAAAGATCCATCACCTCTGGTATACGCCACATAAGAGCCTGTTGGATGGAAGTCCAACGCCGAAACTGGATTTGGTTCATCAGAAGATTCCGTAAACCTCAATGTTGTCCGCGGAGCCAATTGTGAGAAATGCCTATCTTGCAGGACACTTTTCTCACATTTTGTGAAAAACTTGGAATGAAAAGAAACCGCTCTATCTGTATCGGTAGTATTTGCAGTCATTGAACTTTTTTAACCCGATTGATCGATGTATCGAAAGCTCTGTTCGCGCCAGTTGACGTTCTAGTAATTTGTCGAAATCGTGATTAGTGATAATAATGCAATACATAGATGAAGAATGTGGCCAAGATGTGACTTTGACACATAGAAATCAGCTCGGTAGGGTCACACAAAACAGAACCTATATTTGCGTAGTCGACGTGATATCAATATTCAAGTGTTCTAAGGATAAAATTCTGTGACGAGCAATTGTAAATTTTATCATATGGTACGAGTCTATGATTTAGAAATATTCAAAATGTGACAGATTGGTATAAAGTGATCTTGACGCTCTGATCAAAGACACCCTTCATAGCCGCTTCTCGCTCGAGTAAAGCCATCATTGACGTGGTGTGGTGTTGATGGAAATTTATTCGATCAGAAAGTAGACATTTGGTTTTTGAAAACTTTAAAGCTTTCTACTCGTAGATTATCTTCATCAATCTTGGCTCAAGCTATAGATCTCCCGAGTTCAAGAGAATGCTAAGTTCTATTAAAAAAATCGCTGGAAAAGTCAGATTAGTTGGCCCTGTTAGCATTTTAAAACTTATTGCGGCATAATCTTTGATCTCTTTCGAGACAATACAAAACCGTGAACATGTTTCTTCAAAAAAAATTTATATACTGGCTGAGCAGTCTGACTTTTATATTGTAGCAACTAACCTGACAATTGCTCAATCTTCGATCTCCAAAAATTAGCCTTTTATGTCTGTAGAGCCAAGCTTTGGGTGCAAATCTCAAAATGTTTATCTTAGTTTACCTTTAATATTGGGCAATATCATCAACATATTTATTGGCACCAACTTAACGTTAAAGTATTTAAACTAAAAACCTAACCTTCGCTTTGCAATGGCCCGTGGCAAGCCCCACAAGCCGACAGTACGACATTTATCAGTGCAGCGAGATTTGGATGAGACTCGATTAACAGACTATCAGAAAAGGCTAATCAGTACTTCACCCGTAAACTATAGCGAACCCGAAAGCGATGATGGCTCTGGACTAGTAGCGGGAGGCAAAAATGGACGAATAGAAATCGATCTGGGAGCACTAGATGACAAAAAATTCGATGTTTTGGTGAGCAGTGTTGGAAGCCCGAAGAAGGGCCATGAGGTTTACAAACCCGGGAAACCTCATTCATCAAGTGGCCCCAGCACAATTAGGATGGACGAACAGGATATCAGCGAAGTGGATTTGCAACGTAAACGAAATGCACTGGAGCGTGCTTTCGAAGAAGATAGCACTGACGATAGAGAGTCTTCAGAGCAAGCATTTGAGGATCCAGTGCGAAAACTCAGAAAGAAAAGCCCAGAAGCATCCCAGAAACAGAAATTCGAAGAGATTTTGGCCGTCAGACTTCGATACCAGAAGAAGTTTGCGTTGCCACCGGTTCTGTTTGCGGATGAGCTGAGGGAGAAGGTCAGGAATCACCTCCCGCTTTTGGATTCAATCTTGAAGGGCAAACGTGTTTCTAGGTTCCTTATAAAAGCTCAGAAAGTTTCCGAATCGTCTTCGAGAGCTGTTTTGACCGTCGACGAGCTCCGAAGGCTGGATCTGAACGAGTTCACAGCGGGCTATTACGGTATGAGACGCCAGATGCTGGTTGCAGCGGATATTATAAAGAAATACGAGAAGGCTATGAAGAAGATGAGAAGCGGAACTTTGAGATGGTGGGGAATCCGCGATTTTGCACAGTACGTGTTGGCCCCTGAGCTTTTGTGTGCACTGTGCTGCGAGGAAATGAACTTGAATATCACGGAAGCGTGGAATCTCATGGAGAATACTACAGAATTTGGTCGGATTGTAGCCGACCGCGATCCTCTGGAGCCGTTCGAAGTAGAGTACGAGCAACGCGCGTTGCGAAATTTGGGTCTAGACGAACGGTACTCTAGTATGAGCTACAGGGAGGAGAGCGAGGATTAGCATTATTAAGAGGTGGGAAGTGCTGGGTCAATTGGTTTCATTCTCGATTACTTGACACGGTGTTTATCCAGTTTGTAAGATAAAAGCGACGGCTACGAACGAGGGTTCGTAGCCGTCGTGTTGGGTCAATGAATTTTCATCTTGTTAATTAGGTCTGTAAGAAAAAGACAGAGAGAACGGCAAACAACGACTTCCCAGCAAGATACTGGTGTTTAAAACTACATTATTACTCACACCTACGCTCCACCCAAGTCTCACTCACGTCTTCCTGGCATTGCTCACTGCGGATTCTCCGGCCCTTTCAGTAGCTCACGGAAGTCTTTTTTTTTCGCTGTCGCGCTGCCTGTGAAATTATTTCATATTCCCCGGTGCAGTGTTCAAGCCAGAGGAAGATAGCTGGCAGTCACTCCTATGGGCCCGCCCAATTGCGTCTGCCAGCGATAACCTGCCAGGTAAAAGGATATAGAATGTCAAGAGTGGACTATCGAGAGCGCTATATAAATGGAGGAAGGGCAAATAGAACAAGTAGATAACAATTTAGTTTAGAACATCCCACGTAGAATCTGAAGTTCATCGCGATGTTTGGATAAACAAAACCAAACCATGGTAGTCGACTAAACCTAACCTAAAAGCGTACCCAAAGGGCAAATCAATGGGACGGTTTAAACAGGGTCAGATGGGGTTTTATACAAGTCACTCTGTACGGAAACGTCACAGATGTACAAAGTGATATGAATAATGACAGTAAAGGACAGGGTGATTAGAGGTTAATACACTACGCCAGAGTTCACTACACTTCAGCACAGCACCCTACAATACACTACACCACCACCCAGTTATTAAAACTCACATCAATTGTCCTCCTCAAACTCAAATCACTCACTCTTTCTCCCTCCCCGCGTAGTCGTACTCGCTGTCCTCTCGATCACCAAGCGCTGTCGCTGTCGCTGTCGCTGGCCATTGAAAATTTTTTACAATGGGCATCGTCGCCCAGTGAGAGTTTTACTCTGCTATTCAGCTACTATTCCATCGCATCTCTTCCCATCATCACCAACTAGCGGATATTTCTGACGTTTTTGAAATAACTTTGAAACTTGATAGCGGTTTTTCCAAGTCGGTGTGAGGTTTGAAGGAGTTGTTGTAAGAATATATTACCACTGTCGCAGAATCTAGAGCTATGTCATCTCAAAAAGCGTGCTACGTGTGTGGAAAAATTGGCCACTTGGCCGAGGAATGCGAATCGGAAAGACTGTGTTACAACTGCAACCAGCCTGGCCACGTCCAGTCTGAATGCACCATGGCCAAAACCGTCGAGTTCAAACAGTGCTACAACTGCGGTGAGACCGGCCACGTCAAGTCTGAGTGCAGCACTCCCAGATGCTACAACTGCAATCTCACCGGCCACATCTCCAGAGAGTGCCCGGACCCCAAAAAACCCAGACTTGGTGGTGCCAGTACCGGCGGTGCCTCCGCTGGTAGCTTCGGAAGAGGCGGTTTGAAGGTGTCGTGCTACAGATGTGGCGGTCCTAACCATATGGCCAAGGACTGCTTGCAGTCTGAGGCCAAGTGCTACGCTTGCGGAAAGACCGGTCATATCTCGAAAGACTGTGCTGGTGGCTCTCAGGCCAAGACTTGCTACAACTGCAACGAGGCCGGCCACATCTCCAGAGACTGTCCTGTGGCCTGAACAGCAGGTGCAGACATCAGCACAGCACGTCCTGCCTTGCTCGTCCGGAACAGAAAAGATGGGAAACGATTTACAATTCCAAGAGCACACAGTGTGTGCGTATGAGATTCTTATGAGATTCTTATGTTTGCGAGCTGGGAAACTAATCGTTCTCTCTCTCTCTCTCGGCTTGCATGTTTACTAAGCTTATGGTTATTGTTTTTAGACCTGTGTACTCTATCGGTGGTAATTTTATTAAGTTGGGTTTATATGTCAGAGTAAAAGTTTGAATTGAAAACGATCAATTCGTTATAACCGGGTTTGTCTGTATATAGAATCGGCCATCTTGATGCTCTTGACGCAGTTCGCCGTGTTGTGAACACGAATAATGTCGGCGCCATAACCAACACATGCACTCGCCACAGAGCCCGTAGAAATATCTCTGTCAGCAGCACTGGTCTCTCCTGTAATATTCCCAATAAACTTCTTGCGAGAAGGCCCAATAAGGATTGGCTTGTTTCTGAAATTCACGAACTCGGAATTCTTTAACACGCTGTAGTTTTTTAGAACATGAATACTGCGAATGATGTCCAAATTCTGATCGGCATTCTTGGCAAACCCCACGCCTGGGTCGAGAATGATCTGCCAGCTTTTCACACCCATGTCTAGGGCGCCTTTGTATTGAACTGCCAATTCTCTCGCTAACGCTCGGATCAGAGTCGTACTGTCTTTGTTTTGGAACTCGTGCCCGTAGCAGTACTCTGTAACTGCGTCCTCGTTGTAATCTTCAGAATCGTACACCGTTAGTTTGCTCATACTCTGGATATCGCCACGAATGTGAGACATGGCATAAGCGACCGCAGGATTATTGGCCAAAACCGTAAACATGTTACTGTCGAATTTGCCGCCCGAAATGTCATTGACGATATCCACCCCAGCTTCAATAGCCTGCTGCGCAACTTCTGACTGGTACGTGTCAATCGATAGAATAACCTTTTCTTGTGGCAGCGAGTCGCAAGCCCTAACAGCACGGATAAGAGAAATTGTGCGCTCCAGCTCCTCGTCGAGCGTCGCCTGGGCAGAGTTTGGCCGTGTTGAACAGCCTCCAATATCTATAATGACCTGTTCATTCAGGCTTAGCACATCTTGCACCATTTCCTTGATTCTCAAAAGCTGTGAACTCACGTCGTTTCCCAATTTACCGCCATCAGAAAACGAGTCTGGAGTTGTATTCACGATCCCCATCGTTAAAGTTGGCGATACAGTTGCAGCAGTGAGCCGACCGGAGACTGTGTCCTTGATCAATTTGTTTTTGAACTTGAGAAACCTGTCAGCCCCGTTTATTTTAGGAAGTGGAATCAGTTTGCATAGAACGTCCTCGTCATTTAATTGTTCGTAAACTTGGTTGAGATGGTTAATGATGGGCTCCGCTGTGACAGGGTGCACTTCGTTTGGAGGAACCAGCTCGCACAAAGGCTCCATCACAAAAGTACGCTCGATCAATCTGGGGTGAGGAACAACCAAATCGGCTGTGGACATCACAATGTCCTCACCATTACCGTTTTTGTAGAGAATAATGTCCAAGTCGATGCTTCTTGGACCATTCTCAAACTCCTTCACCCTCTTGAGGTCTTCGTACTCAATATGTTTGCAGAGACGCAGAAGATCATTTGGGGAGAGTCGTGTTTCAATCTCTAAACACCCGTTCAGAAACTGTGGTTGATTTTGAAAGTACATGGGCTCGCTTTCAAAGATCGACGATGTTTTCCGTACTATCACGTCTGCGTTTGCATTCAAAAGATCGATGGCACACTGAATATTAGCCAGACGATTCCCAACGTTAGTCCCAAAAGCCAAGTAGGCGACACTAGGCTTTCCGCTCACGACAGGCGTCACCTGTACGGCTGGAAGGTCGAAAACTTCGGAAAGAAATTGGGATTGTCCCACTTTGGGAACTTCCTTGCCAGAAAAATCTGCAAGAGTACGCGTACAGCTAACACCGACTCCCTCCGTGGCAGTGATAGCGTTCAACTTGAGAACTTTTACGATCACTGCTGCGGAACGGTTTTGCTCGAAATATGGCTGCAGAAGCGCGAGATGCGCCACACATTCTACGAGAGCTTCGACAGTCTTGAAGTTGGAAGCTTCCACGAAGCTCACCACCTCCTGTATCACTTTTTGGTGGTTTATGTTTGAATCGGAGTGCTTATCCCATGGCACGTCGATATCAATGGTAACGTACTGTTTTTGCATACGCTCGAAAGTGAACACACCAATCAGAGTAAGCAGTTTGAGCCCCGAGATTACCAGCCGGTCTGTGTACGGATGTTCCTGTGGAGCATGAATCAAGAGACGGATGTTTTCAGCTCTGATGTGAGCTTCTTGTGCTTCTGCTGTCAAAGCCAATTTCTCAATTCCCAGGTATTTATTTTTGACATGGTGCAGAACCTTGTCAGCCAGCTTACCCAGTGTTTTGTAGTCCTTATTTGTGTCTACGAATCGGGCCACTTCCTTGGAGATCACCGCGTAATTCAGCGAGTAGCGCAGCTCATCGGATTGCGAAGCTTTGGAAAAATTTGTGGTCATTTCCAGCGAGATCTGGCAATCCTGCGGAACCGTTCGATTCCAGCAATCGGGACCGATGATGGCACGAATGCCCTGTTTTTCGATATGAACTTTATCTCGCGAGACTCCGTTTCTGCCAAGACTCATCATTGATCGCATGAAGGTGGTTTTGGAGGTTTGAAGGCGGAATTGGGATAAAAATTTGGTCAACGGCAACGTGTCTTGATCAGATATCAGAAACTAAGCCTAGAGCCAATTATCATAGGCTTTTGACAGGGACCAAACAGTGAGAACGCAGACTTGAATGGTCAGTTCATCATGTACTGGGATCATTTAAATGGTGATGCCACAACCGTCTAGAGTGATCCAAATTATATCAAGTTTGAATATAATCAACTTCACATGTTAAACAGTCTGTACCAGGAAGAGGTACAGAGGACTCATGAACAGCCCTAATTCTCATTTTCGAGCTTATTTTCTTGCAGCGTATACTTGGCAAATCAAAGCTTCTCTTTGTTGCGGAAAAGAGCGAGATTTTTGACACTCTATGAATATAAATGAATTTGGAAATCTAAACATGAGCTTAAAGTCTTAATAAGTAGCCAAAGCATTACCTGGAGTTGAAATCTTAGCTCAGGAAGCATCTTTTCAATTTTCTGCTGAGAAGCGCTCTCGGTAGTTACATTTCTGTCACGAGTACTGTTATAACCAAATGTACTCGTCTTGTTTAACTGGGACATTTATACTATGTCTAAAGTGAACTTTGAGTCAACAATTTAATGAGCTTGACAGAAAGTGGCACAAGAGAGATAAAGCGCATCGATGATGAGCTTCAAACTTTTAAGACCAAGCTGGACACTGGTCAGAAGCTTGGCTAGCTCCGCTACTCCCAAAAAAACCGACATTTTCATCGTGGGAGGAGGCCCTGCCGGTTTGACACTGGCCGCTGCAATAAGAACTTCGCCCTACTTGTCCGGCCTCAACACCACATTGGTGGATGCTGGCGACCTCAAGGGCAAAACTGCTCAATTCTTTCATAACCCGCCCGAGGACTTCTCAAATAGAGTCATTAGCTTGACGTCTCAGTCCAAAAAGTTCTTGGAACAAAGGGTTGGCGTCCAGCTCATGTCAGACCGGTTACAAGCGTTTGACGGACTATATGTGTCAGACGGATGCACTGATGCGCAATTGGAGCTGGAAAAGGACTCCATGGGCTTCATGATCGAGATTTTCAATATTCAGAGCTCGCTTCTACACCGACTTTCAGGACTACAATCACCCACCCTCAACTTGATAGACCAGACCAAAGTACTCAGCATTGAGTACAAAAACCCAGAAGATCCACAGTCGTGGCTCAAAGTGTCGCTCAGCAATGGCGAGGTTTTCGAAACTCGGCTTTTGGTTGGGTGCGACGGCTTCAACTCCCCAGTAAGAAAGTTCTCCAACATAGAGTCCCGTGGATGGTTCTACAACAGGTTTGGCGTGGTGGCAAACATGAAGCTGGACTTCCCGCCATTCAAAGTGAGGGGCTGGCAGAGGTTTTTGCCCACCGGCCCCATCGCACACCTACCGATGCCTGGCGATCGAGCAACGCTAGTTTGGAGCACCACCGAACCACTTTCAAGACTGTTGCTTTCGATTGAGCCGCAACAGCTGGCTCTTCTCGTCAACGCAGCATTTGTGTTGGACGATGTTGACATGCAGTACTATTACAAACAGCTCGAACAAGGCAGCATCACTACACAGGAGCTTCAAGAAGACATAGCTCATCGCACGGAAGTCAAGTATGGGAAGCTCGAGGACGAAACTTTAATCGACGAAATATATCCGCCAATTGTAAGTGAAATCGATGGCTCGTCCAGGGCTAGGTTCCCTCTCAAGCTTTCGCACGCCGATTCTTACGTTGCAGAGAGAATTGCACTTGTGGGCGATGCTGCCCATACAACACACCCGTTGGCCGGACAAGGTCTCAACATGGGTCAAGGTGACGTCGAGTCCCTAGTAAAAGTCTTAGAAGTGGCATCACAACGTGGCCTCGATCTGGGATCCTTGCTAGCGTTGGAGCCTTACTGGGCAGAGCGCTATCCATACAACAACATGCTTCTCGGCGTGGTAGACAAGTTGCACAAGCTATATTCTTTAGATTTCGGGCCCATTGTTGCTGCAAGAAGCATGGGGTTGAAGCTGCTACAAAAACTGGAACCGGTCAAACACTTCATGATATCTAGCGTCAGTGGAAAGGCCAGGTGAACTTCGGGCTAAGAGTGATTGTCTATCATGTGATGCATTTAAATGATGAATTTTAATGTCAAAACCTATACTACTGAGTTCAGCATCTGTAAGAATCTTCCTCAAATTCCATTCGTAGAGCCCGCTATGAGCGTACTTTTCGAGACGACTTTAGGAGACGTGGTAATTGATGTCGATTGTAAGGCTTATTCGGTGGAAGCCTTCAATTTCATCAAGCAGTGCAAGAGCGGTTTCTTCAAGTATCAATGTTTCTACAACCTAAATAAAGACTACTCAATAGAATGCGGAGACGCTTTGGTTGGGAATGAATTGCGAAACACTCTGAGAATACACAATGCCTCAATTCATGGTCTTCTTAGCGTAGAAAAACCGATGTCTGGCGAAGTAGTCAAATCGTCGCAAGAGTATCAAAAATTTAGACAGGCGAAGCTGGGGGACGTCGCATACCTCACGTCGCTCTTGGAGGACAATGTGCCCGTTGTGGGCTCAAAATTCATGATTTCACTGGCAGATCACCTTAGTTCGTACGACGACATTGTTGTGTTCGGTAGCGCGAGCACTGAAAGTTTGGCCGTACTGAGAGCCTGGAACGCACAGACGGTCGATGACGCCAAGAGACCAAAAGTTGATATACGCATCAAAGAAGTGCATGTATTGCACGATCCATATCCAGATCCCAACGGGTTTCAAAAATTCGATGTGAGTCTGCCCCGAGGCGACGTAAGACTTCCGCCCAATATGTTGTCCCAGGCCGCCAAAGAGCAGTCTGAACAGCAGCGTGCAAGAGAAATACGTAGCAAGGAGCTAACTCTTGAGATTCTGGGCGATATCCCCCATGTAGGAATCAAGCCCTCCGAGAGAGTGCTATTCGTCTGCAAGCTTAACAGAATGACACGAGCCAAAGATCTAGCGGTGATATTTCATCGTTTTGGATTAATCGACACCATTGAAATCGTGCACGACAAAGAGACAGGATCGTCGTTGGGTTACGGATTTATAGAGTTTGCGAACAAGAAGTCGTGCGAAACGGCTTATGCCAAGATGGATGGCGTGTTGATCGACGATCGCAGGATTCACGTCGATTTCTGCCAAAGTGCTAAGAAGCTCAATTATTCATGAGCTCGGGTGTGTTCTACGAGTTGAATGCCTTGAATTTAGTTCTCTATTTTGTTCATGTTCTAGACGGGAAGATTAACAAAATTCAGATCTTAGATCTATTCAAAGTATACAACAAACTTTACTATTTCGAAGAGATAAACAAGAACTAAACATCGATCATGGCTTCTGATCTTGCCTTTTCAGAGGATTTTAAAGCGAATGTGGGCTCGTGGCTTTCTTGGAAAATTTCGTTTCCCTGGAAGAAACAGTGTAAACCTCGGTCACTGGGAGTAATTGCCAGAGCGTCTGGCGATGAGGCCCTAATTCACTTCCGAGAATCTTATTCCAAAATAACCGTCAAAGACAATGCAGAAGACTCCATCAAGCCCTTGAAGATCAAGAGCTCCGACTTTCGAGCTCCTAAAAATCCTATCGTACTGTGCCATGGACTTTCAGGATTTGATCGGCTAATCCTATTGCCATCCATGGGACAATTGACCAAGATTTTGAGCAACCATTCTTCTTCTTCCAATTCAGACCAGTTTATGGAGCAAGATGCGGAAAAGTCCAGATTGAAGGGTTTGTTGGAGGTAGAATACTGGTTCGGGGTCCAGCAAGCTCTCGAAGCTAAAGGCTGCACAGTTATACCCACCCGAGTTCCTGGATTTTCTAGTATTCAAGATAGAGGTCAAGTTCTGAACGAATGCATAGAACGAGAAGCTAGGTTTTTGAGGTATTCCCGCAGCCCTGACGAAGTGTACAATTCAAGCCAGGAAACAAGAAAAACAGAGGGACGTCAAGAACCCATCAAGGTGAATTTGATCGCACACTCGATGGGCGGATTGGATTGCAGATACATGATCCACAATTTGAAAAACAAGAATTTCGACGTCCTCAGCCTGACCACCGTGTCGACCCCACATCACGGGTCTGAAATGGCGGACTTCGTTGTGAGTCTCTCTCGAGACATGCAAAAAGGCATTGCCACTGATTCAAAACTCAAAATTCTGCCCCCTGCTATCTACCAATTGACAACAGAAAGCATGAACGCTTTCAATAAGACCACCCCGGATGATCCCAACGTAAAATACATGAGTTACGGAGCTTCCATGCAACCCAAATGGTACAACCTATTTTTCACTTCCTGGAATATCGTCCACGATCTATCCGGTGGGGAGCCCAACGATGGGCTCGTGAGCGTCAAGAGCAGCAAATGGGGAGAGTATCTGGGCACGATACAAAATGCTGACCATTTGGATATTATAAACTGGAAAAACAAACTGCAGAAGGACTTTTCGCGAGCCTTGGTACCTAATGACCTCGTAAAGGAAAAATTGGAACCTGAAGTGAATATGCTGGACTTCTACTTGGGCATAGCCGATGACCTGGCTCGCAGAGGGTTCTAAGTTCAAACTCGTCGACCCGATACCCAGATCATGTGACACAAGACACTAGCTATCATGCCTAGGGGCCATCGGATTTCATAGTCACCTACTTATCAACTACTTCGATTAATGTTCGAAGTCCGGACGTAAAGGTAGGACAGGCAGACCATTGAAGCTAATTATAAGCGTTGTGGGAAAGATTTTTTTATTGGTGAATCCTTTTCATAACATTGCTGCCGAAGTAGTTCTCAAATTGACCGTTTTGATAACCCAAAATGCCAGATGGAGCTAGTGAAACTAAGTCCAGTAGGTTGCTGAAGCTGATGTCAGTTTCGTTCAAAGAGGCATCTTTGGACTCTCCGTCTTTCAGAGCCAGTGCAAATTTTTACCAGGTGCAGATTGAGTCGTTCGAAAGCTGGATCGAAAACGTGTCGAGATTTTACAAGCTCAAGTTTTTGCCGTCACTGGATGACTTCAAACAGCTTAGCGACACTTTATTCGCACAGTCTCTGCCTCCTGCAGACTATCTTTACAATGGAATAGTAGAGAACCAGCTGTACACGCCGGCAATTTTGGAAGCATTTCATAGTGACCTCTGCAATCTCTCAGGGCGGCTTTTGCTCTTGCTAAGAGGTGACCCCGAGTCCTTCTTGTCAGGGCTTGTCAAAATCGTGTCTGAGATTATAGAACCTTACAAGGAGAAACGAAGAAATTTCGATTACTACCAGTCGAAACATGATACGCTTTTGGCGAAATACCAAAGCACCAAGGTCAATGGTCCTAATATCGAGCCTTCTAGCATGCGTGAAGACGCATTTCAGCTTTTCGAGGTTCGCAAAAGCTATTTAGAGGCCTGTCTCAATCTTGCATGGGAAATCGCTCAAACTCAAGAATCTCTGGACGAGACCATGAACGGAGTGGTCAACACTCTGATTAGAAGAGGACCTTTGAAAAATGCAATCATGAACACTCAGGATGGTGACGAGCTGCTAGAACTCTTCGAAAAGCATCAAAGGTGGCACAAGGAGATAAAAAGAAATAACTTGTCCTTGGCAGAGGATATGAAGAAAGCTAAGGAACAAGTACAAGCATTCACAATCAAGCAACTGCAACCTTCAAGGGATCTCAATGATTACAACATCAGGAGCATAAATCAAGCAACGTTGAAGCTCGAAGTCGAACCAGGAACCAAGCACGCGCGGGAAAAGTCTGGGTGGCTATTTATGAAGACTTCAGCAGGTAAACCGGCACGCACCACTTGGGTCAGGAGATGGTGCTTTGTGAAAAACTCTGTCTTTGGTATTTTTCTTCTGTCACCAGCGCTGACAGCAATCGAAGAAACCGATAAGTTTGGAGTTCTTTTAATGAACGTTCGTTACGATCCGAACGAGGAGCGAAAGTTCTGTTTCGAAGCTCAAGTAGCGGGGTCCGAGCCCGGAACGGGTGGTAGAAATAACACGGCAGAGCGCATGTCTCTTGTTTTTCAGGCCGAAACTTTGGCAGACCTGAAGTGTTGGCTCAGTGTATTCGAAGAAGCCAAACAACAAGTGCTTCTGCTCGAGAAGCATGACCCAGAGTACGAGTTGTCATTTTCCAGAATTCCGCCCATATTTTACGAGTTTGCATGCAGTTCTACGAGTCAAACAGATCAGCAGCTCACCTCTTTTGATACAGATGGGCACTACGGCAAGTCAATTTTACAGTTGATGCAAGCTGCCTTTTCAGAGACGGGTAGTATCATTTTTCCACAGGACTCTCCATTTCAAACTCCATTACTGAAGACTCCAATAATGACAAAGCTCACGAAACTCAGCATTATCTCAAGCTTTTTCCTTGTTAGTGATGGCGTGCCTAACGCGGTCATGGCGAATTTCTGGGGCAGTGTGAATTGGAGCGAACTTTGCTACAGCGGAAGGGCGTTTCCTTCATCCGCCTCAGAACATAATTATGGCTCGCAGGTGCTGTGTCCCATGAAAAGCTCAACGTCTCCGATCTGGAGTCCAATAGCTTATCCGGACTTCTATCCAAATGATATGCGCAACAAGGATCTTCAGTTTAAAAGTCTGTTTTTCTCTACTGCCACTCAAAGGACTGAGAAAAAGTTCAACGAGCTTCTTCTTCTGTCATTCCCATGCTCATGGTCTCCGAACGCAAAACAAGGGTTTTCTGGTATGTGTTACGTGACAATGAACAATCTTTACTTCTACATGAACTCGATGGGATTTATCTGTCTCCTGAACAGAAGCTTGGAGGATTTGGTAGCTGTGGAAGAGGCAAAAAGAACAGATGAAGCCAATGGCACCGTTCTCAAATTGTATGACGTCAACGAGCTCTCCGTATCGTGTTCGATGTATTTCGACGACCCGGCACTCATTGCGACCAAAATTCGCTTATTACTGCAAAATGGTGCAACAGAAAACGCGAAGAGTGAGCAAGATGTCATGGCGATATTTTCAAATATAGACAAAGAGTTCGCAAAGAGAACGCAAGCAGAGGCAAAAAGAGAGGAAAAGGCACTCGCCCCTGCAAACAATATCGATAGTTTGTTTATGGGCACAGGCGAATCTGTTCGAAACCTCGTGGAACGCCAGCAGAGTTTTCGGGGAGAGTTTAGCTCCGCATTCAAAATGGATTTCAGCATCCCGCCCAAGGGACTAATGCATGTGCTTTTCGGCAATAAGTCAAGCGTATTTCCACGAGCATACCTCCTGGCCCACAAGACTGGAATGGAAAACGCAGTATCATTTTGGCATACCAAAAAAGAAGGGGAATTAACGGAGGCAATCAGAGAAGTTCGTTTCCAAGTCGATCCAACTCAAGGTTTTTTTTTTCCTGGCCAGGAAAAGGAGTCTACCTTCCTTAACGTGATTCAATGCATCAAGGTGGTCAAAGATAATTTGTATTATGAGATCGATCAACAAGCAGGGATATTGAAGGTGCCGTTTGCCAAACCTTTCAGTGTGCGGTCCAAAATTGTAATTATCACCAGGCTAGATGCCAAAGCGAGTAAATTCAACTATCACGATAAAGCAGGAGGCACCTCTTCCTTGTTTCTATATTACGACCTCAGCTTCCACAACAACGAAGCGCACGACGTCCCAACGACGAAGCTGAACATCATTGATAGGTGCGCGAAAAACGTAATCTTACATTTCATGCGCTACGATTCTATAGCCCTGCGCAATGTTATACAGCAGCACTTGGACAAGATTGGAAAGCATGGTAGGATACTCAAAGCCATCAGACTTTGTGGTCAGCTCGCTCTGGTGACGGATGCGCATGATTTTAATGGCATTGCCGAACAAAAAGTTGCCCGATACTCACGGAGCTCATTACTACGATTTGCGATGAAGTGCATTTTGTTTTACACGGTCAATATTATATTTGCGATGGTAAGGATGTTTTTTCACCTGGTGCACACGATTCTGACGAACGTTGTTGCCTTGAACAGAACTCTGTTGCTGGGACTATTTTTGTCGATCGTGGCAAACATGTTTTTAGCGGGCAAATCTACATGGTCATACTGGTCCGTGCGGCGTGCGGAAAACTTGCTCAAGAGCTACTTGGATGGCGATAGGCAACCGATGCAGCGGGCTGTTTTCGTGGATGACTTGGATTTGCTGTCGGGTGCGCTTGTGGATGGAAACGGCGCATGTTTCGAGAAGTTTATGTCGTCTGAGCACGATATCGAGAGCAGATACCGCGCTACGCGCCACGAGATCGGGCTCAAGCGCAATGAGCTGCTGGTGGAACTCAAGATCCTCAATACCATGGAAAAAGAAATGGTTCACGGTGATTATTTGTCATTTTTGGCCAACGAGATCCAAAACTGCCGTACTGTGGAATTGGACCTGCCCGAAATGTGGGATATCGATATTGAGCTACAAAACCATTGCAGAAGATGCCAACAAGAATACAAGAGCGTCAAACAACTGCTGTGATAAAAGAAGTCATTTTTTGGTGTGCCGAGTGTGCTTGGGTGTGGCCATGTCCATATCTCATGTCTGTGCCCTCAATACTAAGATATATAAATTACCCGGACTCCTTAATTTATATATAAATAATTGAAAAGTTCTGATTTATTAACTTTTCATCTACCACATCTTACTTAACGCAGCAACAATCAAAAAACATCGACTTTGTAGCCTTGATTCGCACCTTCACAACGGACAGAATTATTTGAAAAGCGTACACGGTAAGGATACCGGATACTAGAAATTTTTTCTACCTTTTTTGGCCCATTCTTGTTAAATTGCATTTCTTCGATTTTCTGTATCTAACATGATGATAACCTACTCAGCTCACTCAGATCAATTATGATAGATAACATTTCCTATCCAACATTCATCAATTAACTGACTCAAGATACAGATAACTTAGATAGTATGTCCGAGTAAAACGTCGCGAATTGCAGAAGTCCTGTGAACGTCGTTGATCTTGATCGTATCACTTTGTACTAAGAGTGAGAACTCAGTAAATTATAGCATCTCTAAGATCATCTAACCAAACTCACTTCCTAAACATGAGTTGTAAAGTCTGCTTTTCGCTGCTCAACGGTCAACTTTAATGGCTCAATTGAGCGCGAGATTAGATAGCGAGCTTCGCAGCATTTCTCAGAAACTGGATAGCATTTTTTCTGACGAAGATGCCGTTTCAGTTAGCATTGAAAGCGATCCCAAACTCAAGCTTCTCGATGAGCCTGTTCTGAAGAAGGAGGCAAAGGACACACAGACACTCCTGGCGCGAGATGCGCAGCTCAGCAAGCAGCTTGTGGTGTATCGCGAGCTGAGTCTAGTCTCAGATCTTGTGGAAGAGGCCAAAATGAACCTGCAACTGTTGGAGCTTGAAAACTGCTTCTTCTCTCTGCAGAACATACGCAAAAAACTACATGCTCTGGACCTCACAAGACTGCCGATGCGGTTCGAGCAAGATCTCAAATTGCATCTCGACGAAATGCATGCAAACCTCATCTTGCGTTGCGAAGACGTCATGCACCAGTTTTGGGACATTGGTGCGCGCCACATCACATTTGTGCGAAACACAACCGTCGGATCCGACCAAGTCGAAGTGGAATACACACAGTTTCGCCAATTTTTAACGAGCTGTTTCTACTCAGAGGGCAATTTTCAGCCTACAAGCTGGTTCGTGTCCTCACTTAGCATGAGTGATACTCGAGAAACCGTGACTAGAAAGCTGTCGAAAATCTACGCGGACTATATAGCATTGGAATTGGGTCAGGAGAAATTGAAAACATTTCTGTTCTCCACCGATGTGCTACTGAAGATTGAACGCAATACTACCCTTGAGCTAGTGTCTATGAAATGCACATTAAAAGAAACACTACACAGTTTTGGCGCTATTGTACACTTTCTGTCACAGGTCATCATAGTCGATGACGCTAACATTATTTTGTCCCGCTTGGGCAGCACACTTGCTTTCGAAGTACTGAAGTTTTTTAAGCAAAACTCCAATGCTTTGCTTGCACCCGACGATGGGCATAAAGTATTACTTACGGAGCTTAATAACGATTTGAAACATTTATCAAATAGCTCTAACGGCAACTGGGTCTATGACGGAAGGGAACTTGACTCCATGCTAAATGACGACTCTGTCATCAACAATCTCAAATTAGACAAGTTGTTACAGTCGCAAATCTCTAGAATAAGAGAAGTATTCCGCACTCAAGACTGGAAAACTGCCTCCTTCGTTGAGCTTCCTCGTACGGAAGCTTCTAAAAGCAGGTCAGAAATTCCGGTAACACAAAAAGAAGAAGAGAGTGCACATGAATCAGAAGACGAATGGGGATGGGGACATGAAAACGACATCCCTGAGATCGAAGAAGAGGAAGAACATGATGGTTGGGATGACGAAATCGAGCTAAATGATGAAACCGAACTTCCAATGGGTGACAAGCAAGGGTCACGGACACCATCTAGATCCGAGCGCCGCAGCGGAGTTCTGGAAAATGACGATTGGCAGAGTGCCTGGGACGAAAACGAAGGTAAAGGTGAGGAACAACCTGGTAGCAGAAAAATTACGAAACTCCCTGATCTGTGTTTTCAGGTTCTTCAAGATTTTGAAACCGGATGTGATGAAATTGGAAGGGACAAAATCCAGACAGTAGTGGATTACAAAAGAAACCTACTACTGACATCGTTTATGGCCATGTGTGTTTGCAAATGTGAAGACTGGTGGCAGCTGCACCGCGACATTGAATACATTACATTGAAATATCCAGATCAGCGGAAGATATTCCGGCTGAGAGAGCTTGACGCACACTCTGTGCAGACGCATGTGGACAATTTGAAGAAAACAATAAAGGCTCTAATGGAACAACAGTTCCGCAACTTCCAAGCAAACGACAAAGCGCCCAATTGGGGCATCACTGTTGAATTTTTGCTGCCGTATCTGGAGACGGTAGCTTTTCCGGCGATTTTCAAACTGCAAGACCCGCAAATGCTAAGTGGATTTGTAGAGTTCGTCTACCATGAATGTTTTGTCTCCAAAGTAATGTCCTGGCGGATGATTTCGGAGAAAAACTCCGAGAATCTGGAGGAAATGATCAAGCTGATTCTGACAAGCACGAGGCATCCCATGTTGGACGCAGACGAACGGTGCAAGTACTCTCGTGAAAAACTCGCTGTCATCGGAAACGTTCTCACGGCCCACCTCACTGACATAATGCACATGTTTTCGAATGGCGATTTCTATCTATTTTCGACAGACGAAATTGTTCAGTGGATAGTGCTACTTTTTGCCGACACTAGCTTAAGACGAGAATGCATTGACGAGGTACGGACTATTCGTCAAGAGCAAAGTGAGAACAACTGAGACGTTCCACCGCGTGTGTAAGGAGCATAGGTTACATGCTTAAACGCGGCCATTCGAAACTCGCGAGCGTCAGTTTTAAAATTTCCAAATCCACCTAATTTTTGATCCACTTACGTAATACTTTCCCTTTCTGTTCGCCATTGTTGCAGAGGGGTGCGCTAATATCGCTGACTATATAAAAAGGCCCATAGTAAATGATGAAGTGAATGTACCTAGAAAAACGTATAAATACAGCAGCTAACAGCACATTTATTGAGCATCTTGTCGTTCCCTCTATAGTGTTCAATCTGCTCACGCAAACACCTTTGAGAAATCTCTCTAAAATCCGAATTTACAGCTTATTAAAAACTTTAAAATGTCTGATGCCCAACACTATCACTTTGACGTCGTTATGACCTGCGAGGGCTGCTCGAATGCCGTAAACAGAGTATTGACAAGACTGCAGCCAGATGTGTCGAATATTGAAATATCTCTCGAGAAACAAACAGTGGACGTTGTGAGTGTGCTTCCGTTGGAAATCGTGCTTGAGAAAATCAAGAAAACCGGAAAACAGGTGAAAAACGCAGAAGTCTTATGAGTGAGATGGTGTACTGTGCAAATTGAGACAGTTGAGACACACACTCAGTTGGGTCACTGGAGGGCTCATCAATCGGCTTTAGGAGATCGTGGTCATGAAACTACGAGTACCTTGGCTTATGTAATCTTAATGTACTCATGAGCTGATGAGCGTCATGTGACAGCAAATACACTGTATTATGTAATCATAGTGTACTCATGACCTCGATTATGCACGTGACTACGCAAGTACACTTCCTTATGTAATCAATAATGTACTCATAATTTAAATTGGTTTTAAGTATCACTATTCACGAATTTACGATTCTTTACTGGCCATTGAGTAAAATAGTGTGCCATTACTACACCGTTACGACACCATAAGCATTCCAACTCTCCAGCGACTCTCAATTGATCTCAATGGACTTCGGCGATGTGCTTAATCTGGAAGACCAGTATTATCAAGACGGCTTCCAAGAAGGCCGAAAAGAAAACCTTACCCACAATCTTATAGAGGGCAAACAGTACGGTCTGCAAGTCGGGTTTCAACGATTCCTACTGGTGGGTTTGATTCAAGGCTGCTGTAAAATGATTAAAACGCTCAATGTCAGCACCTCTGTAGACAAAAATATCGACATTATAATCGAACTGATAGACGAGATTCCCCACGGAAACGAAGACGCTAGTGTGCAAATATACGAGCGTAATTTGGTAAAGCTTAAAAACAAGTTTAGGCTCTTACTCATGGCACTCAGCAAACACTGGAAAAATTTGTCACCCGGTTCTACCAACAAACTGGCCTTCGAAACGGTTGAAAACGTCTCGAAAGTGGTTGCCGGAGAATTGAACGCCTACGTCGAAGATGCGGGACTAGACGTCAGCTCGCAGCCCCAGACCGATATGTGGTGATTTTTATCATCATTGAAACTTTTTCATATAAACTGGAGACATTCGATATAAACCCAGTTTTGCGTCTGGTCTTCATCATCGACGTACTTGACAACTACGTTGTCTTCGAAATACGTATCCTTCCAGGACTGCATTTCATAATTTGTGAAAGTCCCGTTCACAACGCTGAGGTCTCGAATCCATTTGAAGCTCCACAATTTGGTCTCATAATCGTTGATCGGTTGGTCGTCCAGCGACTCTTCCTCGATCAAAGACTCTACTCGCGCCCTTGTGAGATCATTCACCTCGGTAATTCCCTTCCTTTCAACGATTTCCAATAGCTCAGCGAGAAAATTGATAGAGTGAACGGTGTACTCAAAACAAACATTCTCGAGCGATGTAGGGTCGTCCACGCCTGGCTCCGACCGCTTACTCGTTTTAGAACGCGTGGACTTTTTTTTGTAGTGCGCTCGAGCTACATTCAGTCTTCCCAGGGCGTTCAGTACCGTTTCGTTCCCGCTCAAAAAATACCGTAATCTCTTCAAAGCTTCTTCAAGAGTGTACAATCGTTTGTTTTTCGATACTTGCGTTCTGAGTTCCTCTTGCTGCTTTGCCATTTTAATTTGAGCAGCTTTAGCCTTTTGTAGTTGCTCACTTTCCTTGTAATCGTCATACCATTGATCCTGATCCTGTATTGCGTCCTCTACGCTAACTTTTGTCTCTGTGTAATTGCCAAATTTATCAAAGGTTCCAGTTTTGGACTCCTCGTCTAGATTAAATGCTTCGATCTGTATATCTCCCTTTTTTGCTTCGGCGGGTTCATATAGGGTCTTCTCGGCGACCACAGCATTTTGATTTGAGGATTCCTGTTCGTCTTCAGAGGCGAACATATCGTCATTCTCAACAACAGAAGTGCTGGCATGAACGTCTCCATCTTTCAAAGTGTTGATGTCTGGCTTCAAACTGCTCGCGTCGTCCGAAACGGACGAATCACTGTCATTTTCAGCATGAGTAATTCTTCTTTTCTTAGTGACGAAGCCTTTCTCAAGCTCATCCTCTGAGTCTTCGCTTCCACTATACAGTTGAGCCTTACTTTTGCGGTTCGTTATACCATCATAATCCATCGTGTTGTTGCTCAACGCCATCAACAAGTTCAATATATTCAAGAGCATCTGGCAAGTGCATCATTTCCTAACATTTGGGCTCGAAATTCAATAAAAAAGTATGCTTAGCGTATATGATGACGATGGATCCACCACTTATAGCTTTTCCTCAATTATGTAGCCCAGTAAAATATTCTGCGATGTCAAAACTGACCGATGAACTAATCTCGGTTATGATTTCCCAAGGTACGTTGACTTTCCATTTCAGTTTGTAACTCAAGTAGTCGACACCTTTTGCAGTGGCCGTGGCGATTAGTTTCAGGCTGTTGAGCTCTGCCAAATTCTCGTAAACCTCAACGTTAGCCTTCATCAATTCATTTTGATGGAAAATGTTCGACTTCACTTGGGCACCTTCTCCTACAGGAAAGATGGCTTGAAAAATAGAAAACAAGCGTTCTAGTGGAAAAAGCGAGGGTTGCAGGTAACGAGGGTTCGTTTCCATCTTACTTCGACGCCCGTAAGAGGATCTTCCGGCGCGGAGATGTGATTTCTTGGAAAAGATTTTGCTGTCGTAACGCGGTTCTAGGTAAGAGCACAGATAAGCAGCAAGTAGCAGATATTTTGAGATCGCAGAAAGCTCATATGCGGTGGCTCCCTGTTTGGTTTCGTCAAACCCACCCGTTGCGTCTTGATCGGTAAATGTGTCTCCAGTCGTGGTGTAAAGTTCGATGTTTGACCTGTAAAGGGCCAAGGGCTCGTAAATGTTATCGGCAGTTATTGATTCAACGTAGCTTTCCCATTTCGAGTCCATGATATCGTTTAAAGCCACAATGTCATTTCCTGTGTATGAATGAAATGCCTGGATGATCATTTTGATGTAATTTTCGGCAATTTGCTCGAAAACCGAATCCTCCGGATCGAGCCCACACTTGACGACTTGAACAAGCAGTTCTTCACTCTCCACATATTCGTTTGTCTTATTTCGCAGTAATATCTCTGCAATTTCTTCATGTCTGTAACGTGGAAATATGATGCTAGGGATGTTGTAAGTGCTGTATTTGTTCAGAAACGCAACATCTCTCACAATATAAATGAATTTGAGTTGAATCTTGAAGTCGGACGGGAGTTGTTCGTGCAGCTTCAAAAATTTTGGCAGTAGCTCAAGGTCAAGCTCTTTTAGCTGATCAAAGCCGTCCAAAACCACGTAAAGATTGATAGACTTCTCCAGTACCTGGTAGCGCTGTAAGACCGCCTCCAAGACTCGTAATAGAAAATAAAAATCCTCCGCCTCTAGCGCATCCTGAGTGTCGTAATTGATTTCAGGAAACAGTGTTCTCAATGTGCTGGAGACTGATCTTGCGACATGCTGCAACAGAGGCTTCCAAGTGACCAGTTCTACCGGATTAAGCCAGCAATTGCAAATTTGCGGGTTTTCCTCGAAGAACTTCCGCACTGTCAATGTTTTTCCTGAACTTTGATGCCCTTGAATTATCACATTAGGAGGTGCAAGATCGGGGTTTTCGTTCACCAAAATGGACAGAGCACCGCCTTGATACTCCCGGAACAATACTGATGGTACGGCTGATGCCATTAAGTGGTTCACACCCCTCTCTTTCTGAGATTTCGTGTTTTCGTCAACTTTCGTTGTAAATTGTAGAAATAGTTCTCTGTAGTGTGATATTGGGAATATTCAAAATCTGGGCTATAATCTCTTGATACGAATTTCAACACTTCAATGAACGATCTCATGCCAAAGTAACTCCTGTTACCAGCTCATTGATCGTTGAGCTCAGCAATTCGAACTCAAAATACCTTGCAACTCTTTGATATGTGGTCAATTTTTGAGTCAAATCCTTTTCTGAAATGGAGTTCTTCCAGCTACCGGAACACGGGCAATGAGCAGACATCAAGTCGTCTTTCACTTTGCCGCATTTGGCACATCTGAGATCTTGCATGTAGTAGTTTTGTAAATCAATTTGTAGCGTTTGAATCAAATATTCTTGCAAAAGCGTGGGATTGAAGGGTTTCCGACACTGTTCACAACTTAAATGGACGACACTATCTTGTTTGCAGAAATCCAGATCTGTAATGAAGCTACAATGTTCACAGGCCAAGTTGCTGACCTCGAGTGACGAGCTTGGGTTTTTGAATTCAGCCTCCCAATCAAACTCGCGCACTTCAAAGACCTTCAGCAAGCTTTTCCGCAAACCACGGACCTCTAATTTGTGGTCTTCGGATAAGAGCATGATGTGGCACAAATATTTGACAAGCTCGAGGAGTGGGTTTCTAATTTTAAGGTGTGAACCGGGAAGTACTGGCGGAGTGTAGTCGGGCATGAAATTTGGGTCCAAAATGCATTCTTTCTGTGTCCGTAACAGCTTTTCCATCCGCTTTATTAAAGCAGAGCCGAAACGATTTGTGAATCCGGTGAGCACACCGCTCTCTTCTTCATCTTTCTCCAACACAACCCCCTCGCGAGACAGCTGAGTCAAACGCTGTGAGTCTCTGTTGTCACCATGATATTCCTCCTTCGACTTCACCATACTATCCAGTATAACCATCATCCAGTCGTCAAATTCTTGCTGGTAGATCCTGGGCAGGAAACTCTTGATGTGCCATTCTGAGTATGCTCGAAGATCTTGGCGCTCTTGATCAACAATATCGATACATGCTCTGCCTCCGAAGTTATGCGGATCAATCCACAGAAGCAAGTCCCAATACCTGCGGATTGATAAATCTAGAAGACCAAACAAAGGTGAAGTTCTGATAGCCTTAACGATATACTGACTGTACGCATAGCAGCTTTCAACCGTTATCTTTTTCGTCTTCAGGAGAAGTTTTCCACGGTCCGCATAAACCACTTCGGACCCAAGGTTTTTGCATACATTCATGAGCTGTAAAATAGCTTTCTTGGTGAGATTATGAACATGGTACTTCAACGCGTAGTCGAACAGCTTTGAGTCTGGGGACTGAACCCAATGAATGAAAGTATGCACCAGAGAGTCTGCCGTTTCGTTTTCTTCCAGGGCGCTATCCCAAAAGGTTTTGAGAAGAGCTCTCAGCACTGACAGGGAAGCGCTTGCAAAACTATCTTCCACGAACGCTTTATTCGTGGTGGTTCGTAGGACATCAGAACTGGAATTATCTACCTCCATCAAGTCGCTGCCCTCCGCTTCATTGATCACGGCAGAAGTTAGCACAGTGTTCACTGTTAGGTTGCTCATTTCAAACTCCAATGTAACACTGTCATATATGGATGGCGAGTTTATGACAAAGAGATCGAGGTCACTCATCAAAGAGGCCATGTGAGGATCGAAGTCTCTCTCTTTTCCACCAAGATCGGGTATGGGATTTACATCGTTCCACCAAAGAACAATGTTACTCTTTTTTAGGCTTCTCGCGTACATTACGTCGATGACGAAAGACATTTTGTCAAGTCTGATGTTGCAAATAGGTATATTGCTGTAACGAGATAAAGATATCAGGTTGTGTAGCCATGATCCAAGACTTAGGATATGGTTGGAAATTCGTTTCATCACTGGAACCTGCCAATTCAATTGTGGAAAATGGGCTTCGGCGGAGGACATTTCGACAGTAGGTATTTGACGGAGCGGCTTGATTACATGTCTCAGCTTTTGACAGTATGGCGAAGAAAGTAGCATCAAAAGCTGCGATCCTTTTTCTTCATTAATTTTGTTGATCATTGAGGATAACTTGCGATACAGAACCCTCAAGTCGATAAAAGAATGCATTTTGATGTCAAAGTTAGAAGGTATTTTCATCAGATCGTAAAATCGATCCAGTTTCTCAGATTTTTGTGAGTGAAGCTCTTTGAATATAGACTGCAAAGCACTCACACTGAATTCCTGAGCGTTAGTTGAGGGTTTCAGCACAAAAATATCTGCCTCCGAGTTCCAGCTCTTATATGAAACAAAGAACTCGTAGCCGAGGTTAGTTGTCATATGCAGCAGATATCCCACGCTGATGGAAAATTTGTTTAAGTAGCGCTGGGGCGATACTGGGTGTAGGTTTTTCGGATCGAAACCCTTCTGTAGACCTTTGCCTAATGCACCAATGACACTTGAGTCAAATTCCACCACAGATCCTAGTTCCAGAATGGCTCGCTCAGCTGATGTGATCGAAGACTCATATATGCCCAAGACTTGATCGTGATTGAAAAGACTTGATGGCCTGCTAGTTTCCTGCAAATACGAGTCTTCTGAGAGAGTGAGTTTAAAAAGAGGGCTGGGATCTTCAAAACTTGCTGTAGCGTTATTAGGTAGAAGGGCTGTGGACTTTTCAACTGTGCAGTTTTCGATCCCTCTAACTGGAAGTGTTTTGGACTTGAAATTGATGTAAACACTCTTTGGAATGATGAATTTCAGTTTGTGAACTTTACCATTTAGAAGAACCGAAACATCTAGTACCCCCGGCTCTAGCGTCTCTTTGTATTCTAATATCTCCCAGGTAGAATTGGCATAAGATTCAGCATGTTTCCGCATTATGTTACCTAAGGCGCTTCTTTGATTGGCCCTCGTGCGATCACCAAAGAGCTGTGTTCTCCGCTGGCGATCGCGGTCTTGAATTTTCCACTTTATTTTCTGATATGAAAGCCAAGCCACATAGTCTTCTGTCATAGATGGCATTACTGAAGGAAGAACCAAAGCAGCCTCTTTCTCCTCTGCGTCTGCGGTTTTCCGCTTCGAACTACGCTTGGATGTCACTTTTGCGACTCTGCGATTCGCCACTGCAAGCGGCTGCTCTTTGAATGCTTCTTCAATATCGGTAAGAGCCGGTTTTGGTGTAGCCTTCTTGAAAAACGAATTCAGTGACGCTTGCTTAAATTTGTCTTCACTAGTTGCAATCTTCTTTCTGAGCCATTCGGGATGTTCAACCCTTGGGACAGGGTTTTTCACGTTTTGCAATGCAGCAGGTATAGTGATGATTTTCTGTACAACAGACGCCAGTCTTTCCCTGTAGTATTCCCAGTCTATTATCGCTCTGGGGTCGAAATTTTCCAACGAAGAATCGACCAGCCATCTCCTCAAAAATACTCTCTTCAAGCTCAAGTCGGCAGAGAAGATGGCAACGGGAATTGCACGCTCAGTGACGGGCGCATTCACTGGACGGGAGCTAATAATGTACTTACATTGTAACCCTTTGTCTTTTACCATTTCTTCACCGAGAAACTCACCTAACCTTTTAGCGGTTGTGATAGACGTGGATTTTTGACCTTCATACTCTTTCAGAGTTTTAGACATGCTTCTGTTTTCGCAAATAAGATCTATTAGATCTTCATCTTCTAGCATAACACCTTTAGAATCTAAAACGTCAAGCCATCTGTTTGCAACCAAAGCAACTGATGCATAGCAGCCCTCTAATGAATCGCCATCCAAAAAAACCTTGAAAATGTCGCTTTGGAAATTTTTGATTAGTTGCAGTTCTCCTCTTCTTTTAAGCTCGAAACCTTTTAACTCAGCTAAGGAACCATCATTATTGAAGACTGCGTATCTTTTTTTAATGCCCTTGCCTTCTTCTTTTGACGTTGGAAGAACCATAGCTTTGTAAGGACCATCTACCTCAAAGAAAATCGAATTGTCACTCCCAATCTCGTATCGGTGATTGACGGGGTCCACCAAATTTTGATATTGATGGTTTGTGAACTTTTGGTGTACTTTGTAGTTCAACATGGAGCATGGGTAAGATAGAAAGAGCTTTTTGCCGTTTTTTAACTTGAACTGATAATTATCAGGAAAAGATTGAGGTATGATACACCAAATACCGTCTGTGTCCAGCTCCAATGGTCTTCCAATCTTTTCTACAACGGATCTGGCCATTTGAATGATTGTAGCTCCGGTCAGACAAGTAATGCCCGCCATCTCCATTGAATACCACCTTGATCCCTTTCTCATGACGTATCCGTAAAAAGAGTTCAAAATGACCTTATGCGCAAGTTGTAAAGAGTCATAGAGAATGATCATTTTTTTCGCCTCGTCTCTTTCATGCTTTTGATCACTGTCAATGGCTGCGTGTTTCTGTTTCCACGTTTTTGCCAGTCCTTTGAACTCGTATCTTCTGTCTCTGAAAGATCTGACAGTATTCACATAAAAAGGGTTCTCTCGCTGGCAAATAATAGCAGTTCTCTCAACAACTTCAGACGATTTCACCCTGTGGTATACTTTTCTTGAATATTCTGTAAGTCTTTTCTTGATATGGGCTACCTGGTCGCTGTAGCTCAGTTCTTCGAATGAAAGAAGCTTTTTAAATGATTTCTTATTTTTATTGGAAAACGTCTCGTTTTGCAGCGCTCTCTTTACCATGCTATATTCATCCATTTTGGATGGAAAGTATTCTCCTCTCCATGACCACTGTAACTTTCTATCGCATGCCTTACCAGGACGGTTGAAATCACAACCTGCGCAATCACGGTCACTCTTGACACTATCTGGCTGCAAACGATTGGTAATCATAATGTTGGGATACATGGATGCTACGTCAACGTGGTAAATTAGAGGAAATTCATTTCTTTTAGTGTTTGTTTTGAAATCTACCAGCTGGTTCTTGATTTGCTCTTCAATCTCCTCATAATTGGTGACGTCTTCAAGTTTGCAATTGTTCTCAACTTCGACGCAAAACTTAAGAGCATGCGGTAGGTCATTCAGCAAATCATCTATCATTTCCGGGTCAATTTTGAAATCGTTTTTGATGTCGCTTCTAAAGACACCTGCTTCCAAAGATTCTACGTGCCCACCAACGTAAGTCTCTGATTCTAACAAATGCCCATCATAAAATCTTTCAATTGGATCTGTGTGCTTGTTCGGCAGCAATATGTCACCCTTGTATGCTTGAACTGTCAGTAACATTTCGCAAAGAGTACCTGTACCTTTTCGCAGAACTTCATCAGGATTCAGAGGAATAATAGTGCATAGCGAGAAAACGAAAGGATGCACATATTTCATGTATAGATAGTATGTCGCAACTGCGTCAGACACAGAGTACTCCGACAGCAATTGCGGTTTTTCGTAGGCGTAAGGTGTCATCAATTCTGGGTCAAGCTCGATGGGGTTGTATCCCAATTTGGCTTGTGTGACGGCTTTCAAGCCCTGTGAACCTTGTGGAAGGTAGGAGTCACGCTTGACCCATCTGAAACAATCCATATGCGCACAGTACGTCGATTTGTACTCACCTTCGGAATCGACTGCGAACCCGATTTCTTGGAACATGTCAAGACCATTGATCTTGGCTCTAGTTTCGACAAATGGCCAATCGAAAAAATCACCATTAAATGTTGAAATGACAGTAGGTCGAACGTCTCTAATGTGCTCAAAAAATCTTTCGAGAAGCGCAAGCTCGTCTGCCTCATTGAATATGGTAAAAAACCCAGGATACTCTGGTTTTGGAGAATATTCGAAATCTTCGATGTCCTCGGATATGATTTCTCGATTAGTTATCAAGTACCCTTCCCCGTCTATCATATATGATATCATCATAATTTGATCCACCGTAGCTATAGGAAATTTCAAGGGTGCTTTTGTTGTCTCAATGTCGAAAGCCAAGACAACTGGATCAGCGAATGCCACTTTTTCAGCAACCTCCAAGAATCCGCGCGACGTCACTTTATACCATTTGCCGACTCGAACGTCATTATCGATCGCCACACGCACATGAAAGGGCACATCGTATTCTCGGATGTCGGATATAAGCCTTTTGGTATCCTCTACAATGCCTGAAGTAGAGCTGTACATGGATCTCTGTAAATGGTTCGTCTCGTTGTCCAAAATTATGGGTCTCAAAGTTCGGCGCGCTTCAAACAAATTACTGGTATTAGAAAACGTTAGTTTGAGTAGTACCTTGTTGAGACCTGCGAGTGGACTGCCTAGCGACAGATCGTTTTTCACCACGGTTTCGACTTTTTTCAGACAATGCTCCAGGTGTTTTTTCAAAAACTCCTCGACATCATGAACTCGAGATTCGTCGCGACACGCTACCAAGAAATATGGATCAAACGTAAGTGTGCTTTTGAACCCTCCACCTTCTTCGTCTAAAAAATAGAAATCTACACCCGAGATTCCCGAACCTGTAGAGGGCAGCCCGCCGTTGGAGCCCGAGCTTGCGAAATCCTCGGAAACCATTGTCGGATGCATATTGACAAGCCAGCCCACTCTACCCGGTGTTTCCTGCCAGTTTTTGATCCTCCCACTAAATTGGGGTGCTATGTATCGCTCGAAGCCCATCATGGTGTCTATTTCATCCTTTTTCAGCGTTTCTATCAGTTGCTGTGCTGTAGAGTTCACCATTGTTTGCTGCGGGTTTTTGGAACGCCCATTGCCTGTATTTTTAACAAACTTCGCGGTATTTGAGCCCTGAAACCTACCTGACATGATGTGAACGGCGGTAAAAGCTGGTTTGGGGTACGTTAACTGGATGCACAGGAGCCCTTCGAGTGTTCATCGGGACGCGTTTCGTTATGCTTTCGTTATACCAAAAAAATGGATGAGTGTCACGTGTATTTTTTAAGTGAATGGCGACGCGATGATCTTTGAGTCACGTGATTAGATTTGGGATCAAAAAGATGGGCAACGTGACAATCCAGAGCGACAGGACAAGTCGTGGTGTAGGAGCTTTGATGTGTGAGCTTCCGTGCGTGCGAGTTTTTAAGTCAAGTTATTTTGCTTAGTTTCATTCTATTATACTTCGAATTGCACTGGCTTTTCCAAAAAAAAATACGGCGATTGGCTCGGATGGAAGTTCAGGACTGCAGTCGCAGGAGAGTCCAGAATTTGGGTTGAGAGTTATGTACATAAAGTAGTTATAATTTTCTCACCTAGATGGAAATGCCTTTTGTATCATGGGCTACTGATGACCGGTTTTTTTGATGCGAACAACAGTTTCAGAAATTTAACTCACACAGCTTAATTGCCAAACGTTGATCTTGTATGGGCAGCCTCCGGGACTATTATGTTCCAAAGTTCAGGAACTCTATTCTTTCATTACAGAATGATATATCGCGTAATTCTAGGATTATCTACTCTACACACCTACACTGTAATAAGTGCCTTATATCAGAAAAATGGTGAAAACAGAGCAAGAGTGAACAACGAGCAAAGATGAAACAATACACGTTGAACCCCCACTTTGAGCGTTTGTTTATTATATTGGGAAAGATGGTTTCGAAATAAAGTAAATAGACATCCCTGAACAAGGTAAACAAAAACCTACAAAATATCAAATATTATGTGGAAAGAAAGCTCAAATTTGAAAAACTGACTGCGTTGAAGCCTTCAAGGTGTTTGAAAATGCATATCGGGATTGCAAAGATCGCGTTTCCTCGAAATCTCATCACCAAACTCCCAGTGACACTCTGGTACAAAATGATATGGCAGAAATATTGATCACGAGGGCTACAGACGGGCAGTCTTGGCTGGTAATTCTTGGAACTCTGTATATCCATCATGTAAAGACTAGTGAACCCTACGAACAAGTAGAGTGCTCAACGTGTTCAAGAATGTCGTATAATCCTTACGCGTACGCCCAACACGATGAAAGAAACGTGTATTTGAACGATCGATCTCAACAAGGGCCAGGAGGCATCCCAGCGCAGCACCCAAACGCAGCTTCAAGTTTTGGCAAAGGACCACAGCAGCATCAACAGCAGCAGCAGGCAAACGCGCCCAATGGCAGTTTCCCGTTTCAGGACCCCAGATCGTCTATGGCATACCAATTGGGACAGTCGGCTTTCTCCAACATTATCGGTCAAAACAATTTCAGTCAAATTCAGGAAAACCTAAGCAAGGCCACAGGCGACACATCCGCCGTGTCGCACTATTTCCAAGTGTCTAACAGCTACGTGTTTCGCAAGTTGAAAATCATCCTCATGCCCTTTTTGCACCGCAACTGGCAACGACTGCCCACCCCTCAAAATGGCACCGTGTCTGGCCCCAGCTTCCAGGTGCCTCGCGTTGACGTAAACTCGCCAGACATGTACATTCCCGTGATGGGCCTCGTGACGTACATCCTGTGCTGGAACTTCCAGCAGGGCCTTCAGGGCTCTTTTGATCCCGGCAATCTGTACCAAAGACTGTCAACAACTCTGGCATCCGTTTTGATGGACTTGTTCATTCTCAAGATGGGACTTTTTCTGTTAGTTTCCGCGAAATCACCCACCACCAGCATAGTCGAGCTTGCGTGCTACGTCGGCTACAAGTTTGTCCCATTGACCTTGGCCTTGCTCCTGCCCTCGACGCCATATTTCGCATCCGTGGTGGGCAAAGTGTACCTACTAATAGCTTTCGGCGTATTTTTGCTAAGATCCGTCAAGTTTAATCTTTTTGTCGATGGCGGCAACGAGGTGCACACTGTGAAAAAAAGCGTTGTCAAGAAATGCAATTACTTCTTGTTTATGTACGGCTTTGTTTGGCAAAGTATTTTGATGTGGCTAATGGGATGAGGCATCAAAGTACCAGCATCTTTAAGCTTGGAAAACAAAATGAGTGTTTTCTGTTCCAGCAAGTATGTACATAGCATGTAGTTATGTTACATGAGCAACGGGGCCTGCTTGGCGTCGTTTTCCTCCTACTAAGGTTGTTTTCTGGCTAAAACCTGTTTATCTAGTAGCTCATCATGATCAACTTAATTGCAGCTTCTATAAAATACTGCTTGACCATTCAAAGCAGCAAACAAAGAGAAGGTACCCATGGACCTGAACTCGGTTTTCAAGCAGCAGCTAGATTTGTATGAATTGCTGGATTTTCGAGTTAAATCCCCCGATGACTTAGTCAAGTTGACTGCTTTCCAAATCAAGCGGAAATTTAGACATCAAGCTCTAAAATATCATCCTGACAAAAACAAAGGAAACCCTGATGCGGCATTGAGATTCCATCTTGTGGACGAGGCTGCTAAGCTTTTGAGCAATTCAACGGCGAAAAAGGCCTACGACTCCTGGTATATCGGGAACTTTTTGAAACGACGCAAAGCTGATGAACATATAGAGCTGCAAAGGGCGAAGCTGCATGCACGAGAGAGGGCTGCTTCACCCAAAACACAGGGAACTTTTGATCTTGCGACGTATGAAGAGTATGGTCATTTACTGCGAAAACTCAAACACTTCGAGGTTCCTTACGGCGACTGGCGCAATTTCGATAAAAATCCTAGTTCTCCCAAACACAAGTTACAAGAGTCGAGTACTCTGCGATTAGAGCTCTCTAACAACAAAATACTGCGAAACAAGGACCATCTGATAGACCTATTGAGCGAAGAGTTTCAAGCAACTGTTTTCAATTTATACTACTCGTCGAGAAACGACTACGCAAATGACAGCTTTATCGTTGCATATGCTAGCTTCAACAACATTCAGGACACTTTACGCATTGTGAAGACTTGGAATACAAATAAAAGCTCTAACTCGACTCGAGGCGCCCTGTGGAGCCACCTGGAGGATATTTCACCCAAAGTAGACCCGTCAATATTTTCCTTCAAGCACAAGACTGATCTCCATCCGGCAATACAACAAAGACTAGCCAACGAAGCAGTACAGATCGATTGACGATGACAGCTCGACAGGCGTAACAATGGCCAGTGATAGCCAGTGAACGCCGTGTGAGACGATGATTTTAAAGCTCTTCATAGTATTACGCTCATGGTCGTTAGCTCTAGCCAGTAAGTTCAGCTACAAACGACAATCGGTGATAGTTAATGGTTCATGGTCAACCGTGTGACACCATTCGTTTACTTCGTCGGCTATGAAAGGGTTCTTCAGCAAGAAAAACCACGAATCCAAAAAGGAAGCGTTGAAAAGCCTGCAAATCGAATGCACTACTGTCATTAGGGAACCTCCCAGCCGCTCTGTGAGGCAATTACCGTCAGAACCGCTTAATAGTCAGAAGTTGGACTGCTATTCACAGGTTGTGGCGCATTTTGAATCGCCTGACCTCTTGATTCTCACGAAATCTGAAAAGTCCGGCAGAGGAGATACCAGCCTTGAACCGAACAAGCAGCCGTTGTCTCTGAAAGAAAAACAGTGGCTAACGAAAGATCGCATTTTGAGATATCTCCGATCTACTCAATGGGATCCCAAAAGAGCAATTAAACGTGTGGAGAGCACTATCGTCTGGAGACGAGAATTTGGGCTATTTGAGGACGACAGTGGCACTTCTTCAACTCTTTTAAAGAAAGCTATGGCAGAGAATGAAACTGGCAAAATGTATTTACTAGGGTACGACCGTCACCGAAGGCCGCTGTTACACATCAAACCAGGACGCCAAAACACGTCTAGTAGTTTTGCACAAATTCAACACTTGATGTACATGATCGAATGTGCTGAGGCCCTAATGCCTCCAGGAGTCGAATCTTTGACTTTGCTGATCGATTTTAGAAACTATAATGGGTTGGCACCCCCACTTGCCCGCATGCCACCTGTCTCCATCAGCAAGCAGGTATTGCATATCGTTCAAGAGCACTACCCAGAGTACCTGGGTCGTGCTATCTTGTGTAACATTCCATGGTATTGTTGGAACTTTCTCAAGATATTCCATCCTTTCTTAGATCCTGCGACGAGGCCTAAGCTAGTTTACGAAGAATACTTCGATAACTACATTGAGCAGTCTCAGCTGGAAGTCATGCACAATGGCAATCTGGACTTCTTTTACGATAACAAACCGTACCTCGAAGACTTGGCAAATTGCGTTACAGAGCGCAGATCGCATATGTTTCAAAACTTTGTGAACCTGGGAAGCCGGGTGGGCCTTGATGAACACATTTTGAAGAGCTATGAGTCAAAAGTAGATAAATGCTGAGCTCGCAATGAGAATGCGACTGCTTATGGGTGGATTGAATTCATCTTTTTTAGCCTGCAAATCACCAAAGGTCAAAACGAACGTTAAAATGTTGGTGCTTTACGCCAAAAGAATAGGACAAGTTAAGAAACTGTGGTTTTCAATTCAATGTCAGTCTGGAAATCGATGAGAGAGAGAGAGAGAGAGAGAGAGAGAAAGAGTTTGAACCTTCCTGAGGGAGCGATCTCAACGAATTCTAAGGAATCAAGTGGCCTTTTTTCAAATTCCCGCACATCAGGATAGTTTTCAGAGGCAGCAAGAAAGAGCACTACCGGCATGAATACAAAAAGGTATCCTAAAAATACTGAAAATCCGTGACAGACCTCAAACTGACACCAGAGGAATCGCACATCTCAAGAGAGCACGTTTTTTTTTCTTCAGGGTCCTTACAAAATGGGCGGACGTGTAAAATATTGCACGAAACGGAGGCTTTAACGAAAACGAATTTGTGAGTTTCTGGAAAGCAGTCAATGCTACGTCGTTATGGAATTCAACTGGCGAAAGGGCAGCATTTCAAGGTGATTGGTACCAGTAAGGAAGCTTGACTCTCCATAAGTCATTCACGCACGTGAGCTCTTGCCTGCTTATGTAACCTTTTCTCTCGTCAGGTGGTAGCGAAAAAAGCTTCGAAAATAAGGTGATTAAAGCCCGATGAGCTGGGATCTCTGCAATAGAGAGTACAGCACATTAGCCCATAGCCAATTAATACTGAAACTGCTAACAAGGCAGCCTTTATCGGCAAGAAGCGCAATTCCTCAATCTGGAGGCTTTTGGATAAATTCCTTTTCCTTCTGTGAAGCAAGCATGAGCCAGCTTCCTTCTTCGGCCAAGAAAGTACGGAGATTTCTTCAAAAGCAGTTTCCCTGTAGCAGAGTGCTTGCACAGAGAATTCTTAAATCTACCATACATGCTACTGTTTCGCTTATTTTTTGTTTGATTCCCGAGATTCGCGACCGCTTGGGAAACCAGCCTGCAATGCTGCCCTTGATAGCAGTTATCGTTCATCCAGGGCGCAGAGTGAGTGCCACGATCCAAGGCGCTATCTACTGCACTACAGGACTTCTGGTGGGTCTTGCTTATGCTCTTCTTGGTCGGGTTCTCGCGCAAAAATGTCTGGGCTCCACTTGGCACTCGATTAGCGAAGCGCAACACTACGCTAATAGCTTTGTGCGCTACGAATCGGCTCTGGCGGTTTTGGCCGTTTTCGAGGTATTCATGCTTTTTTTTCACGGGTGGATGAGATCCGTTTCCCATCATTACTTCGGCATCGTGTTTCCACTGTTTTTGGTGGTCCATTTCGCATTCAATGCTTCGCTTGATCAGACCGCAGGCACTGTGGCTAAAGCTTTCAGTGTTCCTTTCTACTTGGGAATCGGAATGGCACTGTTTTGGAATTTAGTATTGTTTCCCGAGTTTGGAAGCACTTATCTCGGTAACAGCACCGTTGACGCCCTAAACGAGATTCATCGATCGATCGATTCAGCTCTGAATTTCTTTATTTCTATTGACATTAAAGACTCCAGCAAGTCCCTTTATAAAGAGGAACCGATCTCGCTGGCAAGGTTGCTTAACATGAAAAAGTCGATTGACAGCAAGGTATCCAGTTGCGACTTAATTTTGGAGGAGTGTATCTATGAGATCTCATATTCGTACGTCTCACCCGCAGACTTAAAACCTGTCATACAATCTTTTTCCAATCTGTTGAAATATATCAATGCCCTCATCAATGCATGCCAGCTGGAGTTTCTGCTAGTGGGACGCCCCAACTCGGGTGCAGAAAATGATACGTTGGACATAAAGACAGACAGAGAAATACAGTACGCAGACGCGAAAAAGCTTTTTAGAGTTTTGAGACGCATGAAGGACCCCATTTTTACTCTACATCAAACACTGAGCGAGTCTCTTTTTATGGTCAAGGCAGCGCTAGCATATTCATACGATGTGAAGCTTGACAAAGTACAGAGGCCAACACTTTTCTCCAATAGTGCTGACGAAGACGCGCTACGCAAAGAAACTATTCAAGATCTTGATTTTAGTGCCGTTATTGAAAATTTACAGAGTGCATTTATCGAGTTTGATTTGAAAGCCCGGGAAGAGTTGATCCACTTGGAATCCAACCTTCTTCAGCCCAATGATGAGATGTTTCTCTTTTCCTCCTTTCTTCTAAACTTCAAAGAGACGACTAATGCTGTGGCCACTATGATGAAGCAGGCACACATAATTTATCAGCGCAGAAAGCTTAAAGAATCCAAAGGCTCATTGAGGGGCAAAACTCTGTGGGTGAATTTTTTGAGCAACTATGAAAGCTTTAAAACATGGATCACAGGAGCTTCGAAGGGAAACATAACAGAATCTCAAAGTCTCAATGGAGGTGCCATTGCGGACAATTATAGACCTCCTGCAGATATGGGCATCAAAAGACCCCTAGGGGAAGAACGAGCTCTACTGTCTCAGCGGAAAACTGACGTCGTTAACTTTGCCAAGAAAGAAGCGCTCTTGCCTGCAACAAATAGAGTTCATGGTCCTTCGAACAGCGTATCGATCTCTGGACCTGGTACGCTCGCTGAAGGTCCAAAGAATGTAATTGTGAGACCCGTTTTTTCAACTGTGTTGATTTTCTGCCACGATTTCTATTCAAAGTATAGGGATCATTTCAGATTTGGGCTGCAAGTGACAGTTGCTTTAATGCTCTGCTCATTTCCGATGTTTATTCCGAAGACAAGACACTGGTACGATAAGATGCGGGGCACTTGGTTTGGCTTCGTCTGCATTTTGGCCTTAGAGCCTTCAGTCGGAGGCACGTTTTGGGTTTTTTTCCTCAGAGGAGTCGGTGTTATTCTTGGTGCTGCATGGGCTTATGTCTCATATATTGCAGGCTGCAATCAGACTAATCCATATCTAGAGGTGGTCGTCACAATATTTGGTGCCGTTCCAGGGTTTTACTACTTTTTGGGCACACCTTACGTCAAGGCCGCAATCATTCAGATTATTAGCATATATGTGGTAATGCTGGCTGCAATCATCCCCTCTGCCAATCAGGGTTCGATTTTATCCAATTTTGCCAAGAGATGTTTGGCAGTAGGCTATGGTGGTGGGATTGCTGTCTTTGTGCAGGTCACTATGTTTCCTGTGACTGCAAGGGAGCAGTTGAACGGGGAAGTTTCATTTGTTGCTGGTTGCATATCGGAAATGCAAATTCTTCTGGCCGCTGGTCTTGAAGGCGAATCGCTAAACTCTAGTTTGACTGAAGAGAGATACCAGCGGTTAGCTAAAATCTCATCTAGTGCAAAAGCAGCCCTTGCTAGAGCGTCTTCTTACAATGGGTTGACGCGTCAAGAGCCTATACTCAGAGGTGAGTATACTGAGGTTGAAAAGGTTTTCACGCAAATGATATACATCGAAAGGCAAATTATTGACCGCATGGACAACATAATTCTTTTGAGAAGACAGTACGGTAGCGCTATCGTGGAGGAGCTGAATACTATGGTATATGCGTACAGGAGACAATATGTGGCCTCTATTACCAGCTTGATGGGGGCAGTTCAAGAAGCGGTACGCAATAAAACACCTCTTCCTCACTTCTTGCCAAGTGCTAGGATTGCACATAGAAGACTCGTGAACAAAGTTCAAAGCACGTTGAAAGTAAGATACGCTTCACAAATGAGCAGTTTGAAGCCCAGGACCCTGTTTGACCCCTACACGAACAGCGCAGATAAAGCGGAGGATGATGACGCTTTGAGAGTAGAACCAGTCTCGAAGAGAAGGGCGTCACTACCCCCACACGAGTATATCATGAAAGAGAAATTCTTGAGCTGGAACGCTTCAAGCGCAGCATCTGAAGAGGTGATCGAATACGTGGAGGAACTCGTCCAACTAACAAAAATAGTTGTTGGCGTAAATGAGTTTAAATATGGATTTTTATCCAGACCTCTCTACGCTGACTGGGCTGCTGAAGCCGCTGTTGCTTTTGACAAATTTATTGAGCAATCAGAGCCTGCAAAGGAGAAGACTGCTGGAAGAGCTCCCCGATCCCCCCGCCAGGCGGATCACACTTCTTTTACATCAGTTGAGTCGGCAAATGAGCTGGATGACGGCTCAAGTTTTGAGGAGCATCAACCAGTTGCGGTAGATGCCGCTTCATCCTCGGCCAGTGAAGATTCCGGCCAAGTTTCTTTGGCTCGTATCGCATCACGGAAGAGTGAAGTGCCATCTTTGCCATCCAAATTTCGCAAGAGAGCATTTTCGATCTCATACAGAGGTGGCACAGGCGGCCATCTCCACCCCTTGTCGCAAGCGAAGACCCTAGGTGGCAGCGAAATGGCGGAATATGCCGAGGTAGAGTCTGACTCTGACGAGGAGTTGCCTCTAGCACTGAAGAAGATGATTCTGAACAGAAGAACATGAAAACTGCATCGTCAGACAATTAATCAATCAAAATTCACGACATCACGAAATATCTTGGATCGGCAGTCGTAGTCCTTTTTTAATCAATATTGGTACACCAGTTTAATACAGCTAATCTATTTCTATTACTTCCGGACTTCTAGGAGCCTTAGCTTTTGGACTTTCATGATCCTTAGTACCGCGTCGCTTACTGTTACTTTGCCTTATGCTTTGACCTACACCAGTGAATTTTACTTTGGAGTCTTTAGCAACAATTCCTTCGTATTCTGCTCTTTTTTGTGGTATGATGGGGAAACCAAAAAACAGCACGCCGTCGGAGACACTAAGCGGGGCAGGTGCGCCATTCAAATCGATTTTTACATCTTGCAAGTCGGTGTCACTGGCTTTGTCTTTGTTTTTGTTGACAGACTTACCCATCAACCTCTGTCCCTGGCCACTGAAAGCATTGCCTTTTTCCTGAGTTGAGTTCACTGTGGCCGCATAGTCTATTCGCCTGGACATAGGACCCAAACCCCTGGCCGAAGGATCGATTTTGGAACTTTGGTTTTTTCGCTGTGCTTTGTAGTCGGGCTCAACATATCCAACCGGTGGAGCAAAATCAGTGACCAGATCAGTTTCTATCACACAAATACTCTTGGCGTTGGATTCTGGTTTTACTTCTAGGACCTTGATGCGGTAAATGTGGTCATTATAGTTGATTTCGATAATATCGTCCACACTGAGCGTGGAAAACTTCCGCAATACGTTTTCCAGTACTGCTTTGGGGTCCGAAATGTCGAGAAAGTCTACAGACTGAGGCTCAATTTTGACAAATTGACCTAGAGGGACGTCTGTAGAGGCTATCTGCAACAGAGACCCTGGGTTCACGTTCAGAGACTCCATCATCCATTGTGGCAAATAAACGCGGCCCTCTTCGGCAGTAAACTCCAAAACACCTCCGTGGGTGGTTTTCCCAGACTCCGGAACCGTCAATTCGAACAACATTGGGTACCTGACGTTTAGCATGGTCAACTTGTTCAACGCACTTGGAGGCAGAAAAATTTTGCCACCAAAATTGGCATCGTCTTTTCTAATTCGATCATTCATCATTACAATAGGATAGCACCGGAAGAAGTCCTCAAACTTCTGAGGTACATTGACAAATCCAGGCTGAAATCCGCCAAATCCACCAAATCCAGAAAACATAGTGCCGTTTAAATGTCTTTGTAGATAGTGTTAATAATGTCTAGGCAGTTGTAGAAGTTGTAGCACGTTGTTGTATATAAGTAGTGCTACTGGTCTCAATAAAAGGCTTTAAAGGTCAAGTCTTTGGTTCTGATATGTACAGTTCGCATTTATAACTTATGATTGAGTCACGTTTGTGTTGATAGCACTCTATACGACGCTGAAGCTACTTGTCATCAAAATATATGTTAAGTTTAGGGAACTTTTACTGTAAACAATAGTTAACCTTTGACTAGAAAGCTTGAAGAGAATCTCAGGTCGCGCGAAGGTTTTGAAACAAGGATTTTATCAATCAATTGTTCCAGAAGCTGTGAGTCTGGTTTGAAATTCTTAGAACAAGCATAAGACTGTTAGGTAACTAGTATCATTTACCTAGTGAGGGATCATCGACGACGCGTTGATATTTCTAAATTGAAGCAAAATGTCCTCTGAAAAGGACTTGGATCCTGGTTTTGAAGATGAGGAAGACTACTATGGGAACCTAGACCAACTGCGAAACCTGATCGATGCTCCAAATGGTGAGGAACAAGTGGTTGAGTATTCAGATCAGGAATCCCGTAACGATCACGAAATGATTGACGACGAGCTGGCAAACGAAGAAGACTTACAAACTCCTGAAGATTCGGAGGGCGACGAACAACAGCGGTATGAGGAAGAGAATCTACTGGCAGAGTTCTCCGATTACGGAGAGTACTCAGATGACGAGTACGACGAACAGGACTTCATGGACGCCATCAGGGAAGCAAACAACTTCAAAGTCAAGCGAAAAAACAAATCTAAACGTAAAACTAATAACGCAGCTCAGGGAAGACCGCGTAGAGATAGAAGTCTGGACCCTGAAGTGGCCCAGTTACTATCTGAAGCCAATGAAGCCTTTGTGCGAAATGATACTCAAGTTGCCGAGCAATTGTACAACCAAGTTATTAGAAAAGATGCTAAAAACTTTGCCGCCTACAAGACATTAGGTGACATTTATCAAATACAGGGCCGATTCAACGATTGCTGTAATTCATGGTTTTTAGCAGCTCATTTGAACCCTTCAGACTGGGGTTTTTGGAAGGTTGTTGCTACTCTATCTTCAGACTTGGGCCACGTTCGCCAAGCAATCTATTGTTACACAAGAGCACTGCGAATGAACAATGAGGAATGGGACTGTGTGTATGGAAGAGCTATGCTTTACAAAAGCACCGGACAGTTGGGTAGAGCTCTGGAAGGGTTCCAAAGACTCTACAATCACTCTCCAACAGACGGAAACCTCCTAAGGGAATTGGCAGTCCTTTACGTCGACTACAATCGGATTAATGAAGCAATCAATTTATACATAAAGGTGTTCGACGCAAACGTGGAAAAGCGGAAGGCCATAATTTCAGCTGCAGAGGATGCAGTGGAGTCATCGGAAGAAAGTAGCGGCGAGTTCAATGACGACTCAAGACCTGAGATCGACGAAGACAGCGAGGATTTCAAAAAATATCCTAACATAAAGTGGCGCAGGATTAATAAGAAGTACCGCTGCATAGATTTCGACTGGTCTTCACTGAACATTTTAGCAGAGTTGTTTCTGAAGCAATCGGGCGAAAACGCGGGTATAAAAATCATCAAGCGATGCGCAAGATGGATTCAAAGGAGAGAAAATCAAACTTTTTGGGACAGTGTCAGTGACGACTCAGAATTTGACGAGAGAAGATTTAAAAACAGCAGGTACGAATCATTACCTCAAGCTGAAAAAGAGAAGCCTTTTGTTCTTCCGATCGATATTAGAGTACGATTGGGTCTTCTAAGGCTCAGTGGCAAACATGTCTTGGAAGCAGTGAATCATTTTCAGGCCCTCTACGATGAAAGCTTTGTGGATATCACGGATCTGTACTTTGAGGTGGCCTGCGCTTTGACCAAAGCCGAGAAATATCCCGAAGCAATAGAATTTTTTACCCCCTTGCTGCAGATCAGCGACTTCTGTACCGTGGATGTTTATAATCCTCTCAGTAGGTGCTACAAGGAAGTTGAGGACTATCGGAATGCCAAAATTATGTTTGAAAAGCTGGTTGAGCTGAACCCAGATGACCTCGAAACTAAGCTGACGCTGGCTGAAATCCACTACCATCTAGATGACCAGGACACATTTAATGCACTTTTGTTGGAGGTATTAGAGGCTAGGAAACAGCAGGACGCGGATGCCCAAAAAATTTTGTCTTCGGTAGACAATGAGTCGCTTCAAGATTCGGTTGATGCGGTAGCTGCTGATTTCGGGAAACCTCTCTTAGAAGACACTCATATGAAAAAGCCAGCAGTAAAGAAGAAGCGCACACCACAAGATACAGAGCGTGAGAGGAGAGACCGCGAGAAACGAATTACCACTAAAGTTCTGGATAAATACAACAAACTGAAAATTTATCAAGAAGGTATGGAAAAGGGAAACGAATATCAAACCACACTGTGGATAGACACTGCGTCGGATCTGATCGATGTCTTTTCGAGCGTAAAGAACTTTTTTGTCAAGAGTCGTTCCAAGAAATTTGTGGGGATCATTAAGAGGACTCGCAAGTACAATAAAGTAATAGATTACAAGATCAAACGTCTATCGAAGCTTTCGGAGGGGGACAATCTGCTGGACGGCTTACCACTGCTAGAGGAGCGTGTTTTCTTGACGTCCTCGACGGAGCTTAGAGGTCTGACATATCAACAATGGTTTGAGCTCTTCATGAAGTTGTCGCTCGTCATTTCCAAATTGCAAAGTGCCGCAGACGGCTTAAGTATCATTGAAACCGCACAAGAGGTCAATGTATTCATTCAAGATAATGCGAGAGCAAAAATGATGAAGTTCATCAAGTTGGCCATTGTACTACAGATGGGAGACGAGGAGGAGCTTGTAGAAAGCTTACGTGGAGTTTTGAACCAGTTCCAATTCAACAGAAAAGTGTTGCAGAACTTCATGTTTTCTCTGGCACAAGGACAAATGGCATCCAACATCCTGAGCTCGACGGTACAGCAGAAATTCTTTTTGCGCCAGTTGAAAGCGTTTGACAGTATACGGTACGACCAGCATGTTGCGGGTCAGGCTTCAGTCACGAACAAGAAGGTTGTTAATCCGGACAGACGCAAATCTCCATATCTGCACTACATCTACGCCATGCTTCTTTATTCAAGCAAAGGATTTTTGTTGGCCCTGCAGTATCTCAATAGGCTACAGCCTGAGCTTCAGCTGGATCCGATGGTCAATCTTATGATGGGGCTGGCCCATTTGCATCGCTCTATGCAGAGACTGACAGCTTCAAGACATATTCAAATCCTGCATGGGCTGCAATTTTTATACCAATATCATGAAATTCGGTCTACCAAATATTCCGTGATCGAGAGACAAGAAGCAGACTACAACATCGGTCGCGCGTTTCACCTACTGGGCTTATTTTCCATTGCAGTGAGATACTACAATCAGGTTTTGGACGATTACGACGATATTAAACTAAAGCGTCACGCAGCTTATAACTGCATTCTGATCTATAATGAAAGTGGGAATTCAGAATTGGCCAACAGCTTAATGGAACAATATCTATCGATTTAACTCCCCACTCAACTAAAGCTAACAAAACTGTATAACTATCTCTCATGTTCAGATGTCATTTTTTCCTAGATTGGCATTAGAGTTACAATTATTTAAAGTCAGTCCCTTAAGCTTGTTAAACATACGATAAGACATCAAATCGGCTAAGAGACAACGATGAATACTCAAGTTCCGTTTGCTGTAAGTTTACATTTACGGTTTTTGGATAATTTTGGAACACCTTTTGCTAACTTTTCCGGGGCTTCTGGTCTCTTTTGTTGGCACACAGCCTAACAGAAAAGATGCAGATTTATGCCTATGCATCGACAGATAAAGCTTAAAACCAGTTTGAAGATGTGCATACAGAGACTGCGGTATGCTCAGGAGAAGCAGCAGTCACTTGCCAAAAAATCGCGTAGAGAGGTTGCTCAACTTTTGGGTGAAGGAAAAGAGCTAAAAGCACACTACAGGATTGAAACTTTGATCAACGATGATGTGCATGAAGAACTGCTGGATATCCTTGAACTTTATTGTGAACTACTGCATGCCAGGATTGCTCTCCTCAACAACGTGGTGGATGAAGCCGATCTGATAGATCGCCATGTGGACGATGGATTGAACGAAGCTGTTCGAGCCGTGGTTTATGCGGTTTTGCATGCTCCTGAAATCAAGGAATTACAACAAGTCAGAGATCTGCTGACGTTCAAGTTTGGCCCAGACTTTTATCGTGCAATTGTGGATGCAAAGGTGGGTGTTCCAGAAAAAGTACTCAAGAAATGTAGTCCCAACTTGCCTGGCGAGGAGCTGGTAACCCTATATCTCAGAGAAATCGCATCTGCATATGACGTTCCTTATAGCAAAGCTCTAGATCCATCGCAAGAAGAAACTGGAGAACTAGAAAGCACTTTGTCACCTGGAGATTCTAGCTCTGATGACGGCAGACCCATAGTGGCTGTCGATAACGGCTCACTAGAAGATAAAAAACACCCCATTACGGTGAAAAAACCCAGGAAAAACAGTGACAACATAGGAGTTGACCTCAAAGTTCCTCAGGACATTAAGAAACAAATCAGAGTTAAGACGACCAAAGAAAATGTACACGAGACAGATCTTGGTGAACTCCAGGAGCGCTTTGCTGCACTTCGCAGGTAATCTATCTATGGGTTTTTTGCATTCCTAAGCAGAATTGTGTATTGATGTATTCTCTGAACTTACGTAGGCATATGACGGCGAGAGAATTTGAAAGCTTACAATCATTTAGCCCGCTTCATGGCTTTCAGTCTCTTGGCCCATGCATAACGAATTGACTTTGTGATTCCGGCCGTAAACACCCCCTTCACAGTTTGCAGCGTGCTGTTTCGAAATATTCTCTTTTCCAGAAGATCTATCGAGTTCTCTAGTGTGAAGCCTTGTGGCAAGTAATGTGAGTTGTTTACTATGACATCTTTGTAAATGGGTCTGTAGTAATCTTGAAATTGCACGAAATTCTTTTCCACAATGTTTTTAACTTTGTCTGGGTTTTCAGCTCCCAAGTTGTATCTTACGTCTCCCGCGTAGCTTAAAGCTGTTATCTTTTTGTAGAATTCGAATTCGTCCAAAGGTTTACTACTGTCCTTCTGTATCAGATGTTTTGCCAAAGTTGCAGCGGCTTTTAGATTGAGTTGGTTCCAGTATTGAACTGATAGATCGTTTTTCAGTACTTTTACCGGCTTCTGGAGCCTGCCAGCAAGGTAAAAAGAGTTCCATGTTGCCAAATCTTTGAGCAGAGTGTCCATCGACACAACGCCATATTTAACAACCTGGCCGTTTATGTCAACAAATGGATTGAAGTAGACACCTGCGCCTACTTCTTGGAACTGAGAGATGAACTTCGATCCAAAAAAGCGCAACGAAGAATAATGATGGGGGTTTTGTCTCACGTTCAAAGAATGGAAATGGTCTGGATGCGAAACCCCGAAAATTATGTCGATTTGGGGCATATCCTGTGACTTAGAGTACCCTGATTGCTGGAAAACACCAGAACCGTAGCCAAAGGCGTATTTGACAGGTGCCTTGAAAGTTGAAACCACGCTTTCAAGGTTTTTTTGAAGTTCAGGTTCAATGGCCAAAAGCTGGTTTGAACCGTAGTCCGTTGGCAGTTTTTTAAATTTGTAGCGATAATTAGTGAATTGCGCCGCGAGCTCGTCTGATTTTTTGATCCCTTGCTCCAGCAGAAGAAGCTCGTCGCGCGAAAAATCGTGCTCGAGTTCGGCTGCATTGGTCATAATTGGTCCACGCACGATGGGCTCAAATGAGTCCTCACGCTCGTTTCTGCCGACAAAAGACGACTGTAGACGCTTGTCATTAAATATCTTTTTGCAGTGACTGGTAACACCTCTTGTACCGCGTCTTGAAACCTTCAACATGGCTGTTTGTTAAAGTACCAAGGGAAATTCTATAATCTGGAATAAAAGCTTCAAACGGCACCAAATATTGAGCTCTTAAAGCGATAGAACTCTTTCAAATTGAGCGTTTATCAGCCAAATTTGAAACAATTTCAAAGAGGCCCTAAATCACCGTCTGAAATCCTAAAGACGTCAGGATCTCTTGAACTCGTTGAACTTTTAGTTGAGCTGAAATTATGTAAATTCGAAGTCATTACATTGTCATTTCAGTAGTAAGTCTATATTTTATAATGCTTACGTAACCTTGGAAATGCCAAGCGTGCAATTTTGGCACGTGACATTTTTTTTAAATAGTTTGACCGGCTAGCAGTCTTGGTGGTAGATCAGTCTGTCATTGAGCCTTAGGCCAGCTCTGAAGTTTTGGTTATGCCCCTGCTGAGGATATCAAGTTTGCAATGGATTTCGTCCGTTCGTTGCGCGTTGCGCGTTGAGCGAGCCTTGAAAAAAAACTAAGAATAAATTCCTTGAGAAACTAATTGAAACTGGTCGTAAAGTCTGGTGTAGATACTTCCCAGTGACTTCCCGACCAGGACGTTCTCAACAAAATCGTCGCACTCTGCATCTGACAATCCCGGTTGGAATCGCTGCTTTAATTGGGCGCTAGTCTGTTCGCCTGCGTTGAAGCAGGGCTGCATGTTCTCTTTTTGCATGATCTCACACATGGACACTATCTGGTCAACGTATTTTCGTAAAGCACCGAACGCATCTTTGGTCAAAGTCACGAACTTTTTGTAGGAGTCCGAGTTCACGCCGTCCAAAAGATCAATGTATTCGTAGGTTAGCTTGAAGGGAGCGGCTTCGAAGCCAACCGAGCCCGGAGAGTTCGAAAGCATAAACCCGAAATCGATGTGTATCACATGGCCCTCGTTGTCGACCATGATATTACCGTTGTGACGGTCTTTCACTTGCAAAAGATAGCAGATGACAGAGTAGGCGGCCAAACTCGAACAAAAATTGTCGCGTGCCCTCTTGAACCGAAATCCAGTAGGATCGCCGTAAGCACGGATAAAGTGATCCTTTAGGCTTGCTATCTGACCCTTTTCATTGATATCTCCGTCCTCGACCATCTTCTTAGTCAGCGATTTTTTTATACTGTGGACGGACAATGCGTTGGTAATCGTCTCCACAAGACCTGTGTTGGCGCTCGTGATCAAAATCTTCATTTTCTTGACCCACACGTCAACGTTTTCACGGGCCCATATGTTGGCCATGGCTTGAATCAATTGGCACGCGAATGCTTCCTGTCTCAAGTCGTCACCCGACTTGGCAATAACGGAACACAAATCCCAATTTTCCAAATTGCCAAATTCGGACGTGGCTCTTATTCTCTCTTTCTTGGCATTCCAGTCTTCGCCCAAATATGAAGTATCCATCTTGGTTCCCTGGAGACCACCAGTTTTCATATCATTTTCCAACTTTCTTTCCCCAGCCATCCCATGAATGGCTTCCAAGTCTCTGAAGCCAAATCTATCTTGGACTTCTTGCATTGACGCAATGATTTTAGCCCTGATCTGGTTGGTTGCACCATGAAGCTGATGCGGAGATTTGTCGAGCTGCGCAAGCATCACAGCAGAAATGCGCATTTGTGTTGCGAGATCTTCTGCGGACGAAGCGTTGAGCCCATCGAGCTCGACGCCTTCTAGACTCGTGCTGATCTCTTCCAAATTGTTGATAAATTGCAATTCCGGATTTCTATTCGTGGAGTCGTCAGGTATTACAGGAACTTTCGCGGCCGATTGCACCATCAGTTCCCGCCTGTAGGTCTCGACCTCGTTGCGATTTGTTAGTTTGACAACGGACATATCACCCAGATCCACCTCCTTGTTGTGAGTTAGTGACGAGTTCTCACCAGTCGAGTACGAGCTCGTGTCAGAATTGGAGCTCTTGATCTCCCCGCTGGCATCTATAACAGCACCATTAGAATGGATGTCCTTGGATATGTAGGCCAGATCGAAAATGAAGCTGTTGTCTCCCCGATTCTTTCTAAGAACCCTTTCATTATCGTCCGTGGTCGGGTCGAAGTCCATTTCATCTCTTAAGTATTCAATGAGCAGCAGAAATGGAACCTTCTCAGCGGAGTTTAAAACTTGTGCTTCATTTGCTGTGATGTTGACAAGTTTGTGAAGCTTTCCCTTCTTGTTTGCTGGTAGTAGTGCAGGTATATCAACCTCGGCAGGTAAATCCCTATTCAAAAGTAACAGTTCAGCTCGGAGAGCACTTAAGCGTGCCTCAGTAGGGACTTGTGCCAGTCTTTGAGAAATCGACTCGAGTGCAATTGCCAGCTGAGTCTCACACCTGAAATAGTTGGACTTCAAAAGTTTAATTTTCTTCGGTGTAGAAAGATGCTCTAATTTCACTCCATTCGAACCGTTCCGCGACCATTTCCCTAATGAAGTTGCTTTGTTATATTCAGGAGACGCAGCGAAACCCATGGTAGTTGAGTTGATGCTCTTTGCCTCGTCGGAGTTGTCAATCTCATCATGAGATCTCGAAGACACGAGCGAATTTCCAACAGTGCCTCTGGCTTGTTTCTTATGCAGATCTGGTAATGAGATGGTGTAGTCTTCTTCGTAAAACGAGTCGGTTGCACCGACTTCTTTGGACTGTTGGTAAACTCTGTGCACATACGACTGGTCCGTGACTCTTGACTTTCGCTTAGGTTGTTTGATAGAAGTTGAAATACGATCCTGAAACATCTTTTCTCCCACATCGTCAATTATATCGAAATTTAGTGAGGTGACAGACTTTTGTCTGGGTTTTTTGAATAAAGTGTCTTCTCTGGTAGTCACACTGTCTACTAGTTCCACAGGCGAAGAGACTTCATTGGCGCCAACCGTTGAAGTACGCTTCTGATTCGTTAGAGTGTTTTTGATCGTAAGGTTTTTAGTTAGGTTCTTCATCGCATTCTTGGCCAGTTTGAAAATATAACTTTTCTGACGTTTTCCCTGAGACTGTATGAGTGGTTTGGTGACCTCTAGCACTGTCGGAAGAGCACATGCGCTCATTACCAAGGAACAAAGTATTAGCGCTGGCGCGATATTCTCATTCATTTTTTCGTTTTCTGGGGCACTTTTCGAGGGATTGAAAAGAACATTTTGTAAACTATTGATGGTTCTGCGAGCCACTTGAAAACCGTAGCTTGACGGGTCCAAAGAGAGGTCACCCAGTAGAGCCTGCAATTGCCAAAAGGTCAAAAGCGCAAAATGAGGGTTCTCGGCGCTGAGTTTGAGCAACAGTTCTTCCAGCGCGATCGACTCAGTTTCCACCGTAAGTAGTACTTGTACCAACTGTGGGATATAGAATTGCAGCTCGTTGTGTGGAAAGCTGAGCAGTTTTTGGCACAGATAAAAGTGTATGCCGATATTGTGCGAATATCGTGTCAAGTACTCGATATTGTTGTAAAGCGTGAAATGTGCCGAATTGATGAACTTGAGCAACAATTGGTTGTTCCCGGGAACACTTGCCGAGTAGCTATCGCTCTTGGCAGTCTGGGCTTGTTCTGACATCGGTCTTCGAGCACACTATCGATAAAGACAACGTTTTTGCGTTAAACAGGACAATCTTGTCAGCTGAAATCAAAGGAAAACGGAGCAGCGCCGACACAAAGTAACTGCCCAGCACTACAAACAAACCGAGACGTTTGTTGATCGAGCAGCAACTATGCTGGGGAATCAGAGCTTGACAATTGTAGCGTGAAGTTCTGAAGATGTTACTAAATTCATGTGTGGTATTTCATGAAGTGTCTTTAAATCGAGTCATTATTGACGTAGCAGTAGTAATTAGTAGAATTAAATCATTATATACGTAGTACAGATCGACAAGGCAGACTTGACGACAGCACCGTGGATAACCTACTGAAGACTGACTGTGATGTGTGCAGTAGTAGTAACGTTAATGATGGTTCATGATGGGAATTAAAGTGAAAAATAGTTGATGTTAGTTTATCTGATGTAACAAATGCAAAGGACTCGAACGAGAAAAATATCGTATGCTTGAAAATGATTATGGCCAGCAATCTGGATCAGGAGACCGCCGTCCAGAATTTGCCCCAGAGCGTGGTGGGCTCTTCTTCTTCCCATATCAGGGCATCGATTTCTCTTCTGTCAGAATCGATATCAATGTCTTCGACACGGGTCAAAAGCCTGCATCTGTAGTAGATCTGAGCGCCAATGTAAAGCACCACCAGCAGAATTAAGGAAATGTAACTGGTGAAAAAGCCCGACACGGTGGTTTTGGGAGAGAACGATTGGAATCCCTGCACGAATATCACCACGGCAACCCAAAAGGCAGCGTAGTAGGCACCCCAAGGCATGAGCTTGGACTTGAAAGGCAGGTCGTCACGTGAAATGCCGCGATGCTTCAAGCACTGCATGAATCTGATGTGGGAGAATGAGATGAAGAACCAGGCGCATAGTCCAGCAAGGGTCGAAATGTTGATCAGCCAGTTGAAACCCTCATTGGCATTGCCGTTGGTGGCAAGGAACGCCAGCAGACCTAGCAGTGCGGTCGCAATAACGCCCCAGTAAGGAACACCATGTTTGGTGAGGTAGGTGAAGTGCTTGGGGGCGATGCCAGTGTTTGCTAGCGAGAACAAAATACGGGACCCAACATAAACGTTGGAGTTGGCGGCAGAAATAATAGTCACTAAAACAACCGCGTTGAAAATGTCTGGTAGGACCTTAGTGCCAGCATGCTGAATGGAAATGACAAAAGGCGAAGAGGCAATTAGTGCGGCAGAAGAATCCTGTGACAGACTCTCGTCATTGAATGGTACCAGAAGTCCGACAAAGAAAAGCGACAGGATGTAGAAAAATAGAATTCTGAAGAACACCTTGTTGATGGCCCTTGGAACCGTCTTTCTTGGGTTCGCCGCTTCACCGGCAGTGATACCGACAAGTTCAGTACCTTGGTATGTGAAGGAAGCATTGATCAGAGATGCAACCCATCCTAAAAACCTGGCTTCGGCTTTGTTGTCGGAGATGATACCATCACCCCAAGGACCTGGATTACGCCAGTAGCGGAAGCCGATGGGGCCCTGTTTAGACCCGCCACAAACAATGACAAGGGCGTAGATCATATAGCCCACAATGGCGACGACTTTGAGCGAGGCAACCCAGAACTCGACTTCACCGTAAAAACGGACTGGAAAGAAATTTGCCAGTGTGATCACCACCCAGAAGATGGCAATCCAGGCGGCTAGCGGAACGGCCTTCGTCCAGTACTGGATGACTTGGCCTATGACGGAAAGCTCGACGGCGTATGTGATGGCCCAGTTGAACCAGTACATGTAGCCGTTAGCAAAACCGAGGGCTGGTGATAGAAAGCGTGTGGAGAAAACTGTAATGGACGATGTGACGGGGATGAAGGTGGCCATTTCGCCGAGAGACTGGGTGACAAAGTACACGAAGGAACCCACGAAAATGTACGCGATGAGAGCGCCCACGGGGCCCGAATATGACAGTGGAGAGGCGATCCCTACGAACAGACCGGTTCCGATGGTGCCTCCCAGGGCAATCATGGAGATGTGGCGTGGTTTAAGAGCTCTCTTGACCTGGCCCTCCTGGACGTGGCCGTGAAGTTCGGAGCCCTGGTAGCTGCGCGACTCTGCGTCGCTCATTCCATCGCTGTTGCTGGGCCAGTTGGTCTCTTCCGAGGTCACCTGCAACTCGAGCCTTTCGGCGCCCTCTTTGCCGCTTGTCTTGGCGCCGCTATCGGACTCGTAGGTCCAAGCTCTTTTCACCATGGCTGTTGTGTGTGGAGGAAAAGCTGTTTGTAGTGGTGGTGTGGTGCGAGTTGAAAAAATTAAAGCCCCACAAGTATTTGTGACAGTGATCCGTTCAGTGGCCCGAAGTTGATGGTGAAGATAGTGTTAAGCTCAGGTCGTCTCGCAGAATTTCACCTCGTATTTAAAGTAAACTCAAACTTAATTAAACCTGAATGGGTTTCGTGAAAACCCACTTATATTTCACCTCACGTTACAAATCCCAGGGAATTTCTTTCTCACCCTTTTCACGCAATCCAGCGCTTCTTCTGATTACAGTTTCTTTCTTAACGGCTCTAAAACTCGTCCACCGCCCGAAGATGATGCCTTAAACTGCGACGAAAAGGGCTTTGAAAGTTGAATGGGTGGTGAGACCATGCAGGTTTGCGAGAGAGGAATATGCGGAAACATTATGTCACGTGGCGTAACGCGCCGTGCCTTGAAGATTGAGTCTCTTTTTCCTTTTTCCCTCTCTTTCTTTTTCTCGAAGAATGGGTTAACTCTTCCACACGTCTTTCGGACGTGATGATGTAAGCGAGGAAAATTCGTCGTTTTCACGTGCTCTTACGTTCGATGTGACTAGATTATTTCCTCTAGTCGTCTCTCCTCTAGTCATTCCTCTGATCGGTGTTTTCAAGGAGACATCTGTCGCGGTGGCAAAGGGACGTCACGAAAAGACAGGGAGTTTGGCCACCGGAAGAACAAGTGCCAAACGGGAGAACATGGGATGGGATGGAATGCAGTGCATGTTAGTCTTTCAAAAGCGGCAACTCCACATACAATTGGGAGCGTTTTGCCACCCGATTTGAAGCAAAATGTGTTGTTTTGGGAGAAATTGGCGAAGTCCAAAAAACGGGAGCCATTTGCTAGGAGTGAAAGGGGGGGTGCAGAGAGCCTACTAGAATGCTTGAGTCGGAGTCTCAGAATGTTTTGATGTGTCTTATTGGCCCATTCGGTTGGTGTTGTGTGGTAAAGTAGAAGTATAGATAGTTGTGTATCGGCGGTAAAAAGTTGAAGTAGGGTCTGAAACACGGTAGTAAAAGCGTTATTTCGTGTAGGGTGATGTGTCAGGTTTGAGGCCGTTTTATTCGAGTAGTCAAAACAAAAAATTGATAGCTCATGGTGGTGGTTGAGTTTTGTGCTGTGTGAGTAGTGTGCGAATATCTATTGTTTTTGGGTAATCCCGCGATAGGGCTGGGAAGCAGATCTTTGAGTGTCCTTCTCATACTTGTCTCTGGGAAGCTGAATGTTCTCTCGTGTGTAGTAAAGTTTAAATTGTCACTCTCTAAAAATTAAAATCTTACTTTCGTGAAAACAGCGGTTTCCCCGTATATGACCACTTTCCAGCTAGTTCACAGCCTCTTATGTATCCTGCGACTATCGATGCCGCTTCCATTCGGGATTGTAAGTCGATGAGACTGGATATCATTTTGTACTATACTGTCACAACCGCCTGGTGACAACTCTACTCGTCACTCGAGTAGCAGCTGAAAAGCCAAAGACACCGGCCATTCAGATTGGTATGCTGGAGTGCGATTTGTCGACTATAGATGCTCGTTGACACTCGGTAACACAGGTCACGTGACTCCCCGGAAGGGTTGGCAATGCACCATTTACCAAGACCAAGTGAGCTGTGACCCGTAAGCGTAGGGCTACTTGAGTCAAATAAAATCTGCCAAAGTGTAAGTACGTATTAGAGAAAAAATAGGTACCATTGAAAACGAAGTTGCAAGTGTTCTACAAGATGCGGAAGGGGTAAATTTAATGAAGCGTCTTTTAACTTAGTCGCAAGAACTCACCTTTTGAGCTAGCTTTCTACCTGCTCCCAAGCATCCATGAGCAAAACCTACAATCTAACTCCTCTCACAAGCATTTTTTTTGTTCTGCTATGATAACCTAGATATATCAAAAAAAAGATCGATGCCCGTATATAGTCAGCGACAGAGCCGTTTCACTAAGTATTATTACAACCATGTGAAGTGATTGCCCCGCACATCAACGCTAACAGTAGAGACAAAACCCCCACGCGCAACATTGCCAATCCACTGTTCAACATTTCAAATTTCTTGCACCTCATCATTAACATGAAAACCAGCTTTTCCTGACACGATGGAAAATGAACAAAAAAAGGAGACCAGACTACCGAAAATTTCCTTGAATATTATGAACACCACGATCCTCATTTACCAGCGCTACTCACTACTCACAGGCTAGTCCTCGTTTTACCGGGACCCTGTTAACTTCATAAAATGTTACACCGTTAGTCGTATAAAGCGACATTAACACAAATAATAATTAGCTTGAGCGTTTGTAAATGAAGTAGTAGTAGCTCATATAAAACTAAACTACCCAAAAAATAACTCGAGTTAGTAGCAGTAACATACGCAGCATACCAGGGCGTTTTCGCTGTCACTACTGTTCTTAAACCATCCAAGGTCACAATTGACTCTAGCGTACAGAAAAGGTGGCCTGGCATTCGATCTTTCGCAGGAATATTCAAACTAGGGCAAGAAAGTCACGAATAAGACCGAAGTCACCGTGCCCGAAAACTCGACCAAAACATTGAAGTACCACGTCGCTGGACACTCACATGCATCGTTCCAGCAATTCAAAGTCTTCAAAGGGCCCCCACAACCGGTCGTCCAGCAGCAGTTCGGGAACTGGAAGCATTTTCTCAAACTTGAAGAAGCTGACCACTGGCAACAGCGGTAACAATGGCGAAAAAGACCACAGCAATCAGAAATTCGACATCTCGGACATTTCGTCGCCCAGCAAAATATCCCTGCCTACCACTGGCGAGTTCACCCACAAGCCTCTAAGCAAGCAACCGACCTTAAACCTGGCGAGCCTGTCATCATACACAGACGTCGGAAGCTCTCATAACAGGTCGTCATCTAATGTCTCCGTGGGGTCCCCTACCAAGTATTCTTACTCTCGAAGAGCTTCTCAATGGTCCAATAACGGGCCTGCCGGGAACGCCAATGGGCCTAGACTCTCTCGCCAGCAGACAAGCCAGAGCTTATCATCTGCGAGCGTGTTCTCACAAGGCTCTTACTCGAATCTTTCCAAATTCATGGGCTCAGATGGCTCTATACGTCTAGAGAAGCCACGAGACCCACGTGAAATTGAGGAACTCTTCGAAGAAGTTCTGTATAAACGGAACGTCTACCAAAGTCTGCCGCCAGCAGCTCAAAAAGAGCTCAATGGCTACGATCTGGACAAGAAATGGCTGATGGTAAAACAGGACTTACAGTCCGAGCTGAAAAAACTCATGAACAAAAAAAATAGCGGCAGGTCGTCCGCTGCTTCCACAATTAACCCAACCGTCGCTAACACCGACTCTTTTTCGCCATCAAACCCCAATCCTGCAAAGTCTGTCTCCATCGATGAAAGTCTGGCAGGTCAGGACCGTTCTAAACCATCTATCTCTAACGTGAACGACCAATTTTACGGCGCCAAAAACGGGAATTCGAGTACTAATACTCTATCTCAAGATCCTTCTCACCTTTCACCAGATTACTATGTGAGGAAAATAATATGCAACGACATTTCTGCCAAGAGACTGAATGACTTGTGGGTCTCACTGCGAACAGAGCAATTAGATTGGGTTCTTGGTTTTTTGGACGCTCAAGGTCAAGTGGCCATCGCAAATGTGATCACCAAAACGTGTTATAGAGAGACTCCCGAGAACCTTTTGAGTGACGAAGTTCTTGACAAGGAATTTGCCTACTTCAAATGCTTAAAAACAAGTTTAAACTTAAAGGAAGGTGCTGATGAAGCTGTGCTGTCTAATAGTGCCAGAATTATTATTTCTGCCATTGTAGAGGGATTGCTATCGTTACGTGTTGCAACGAGGCGAATAGCCTCAGAGCTGCTACTTTCATTGAGCCAATGGGCCGTTCCCGGTGGCTTCAATCACATCATGAATTCTCTGGAAGAAGAATCTCGATTTTGTGATAACGTTCATTTACAAGCTCGTCTACTCACGAAGTCCCCAAATAAAAAAGGCTCAGTCGATCAACATGCCGATGAAGATGGTAATCGAATCATGAAAAAGATGGAACAATGGATGCTTGTTGTTGAGTTCACGCTGGATGGTAGAGGCAAAATGGGTTCTTTGGTCGGTGCATCAGACGACTATAAAACCTCAGGCGGAGAGAACGCTATCATGGAGTATGCATACCTGACAATCCTTCTTATAAACCATCTCTGCAAAACCTCATTTGATGTTAAACAGAGGACGCTTGTTCGCTCCCGTCTAAAGAACGCAGGGCTTTCCAGGATCATCAATAAGATGAAGTTGCTCAATTACGAAAAGGTTGATCAACAATTGACTATTTTCGAAGACTGCACTGCGGACGATTTTGATGCGCTGTATGCACAAAACTCTGATATCGAGGGAGTCGATATGAAAGATCCAGTTTCCTTAGTGCAAAGCCTTTGGAACCTTTGCAAAGGCTCCGAAGGAGAGCAACATTTAACTTCATTACTACAAAATCTTTTGATAAGCGCAGGGGAACTAGGGGTCAAAAGTAGCGAGAACTCCACTCAAAGTGCCAAACAATTAAAGCTGGTCGATGCTCTTATCTCGAACGTCTCATTAGCTTCGGTAGACGCACAATCTTCCTTCAACAGTGCTCTGCAGAGACTTTACGATGCAATGCAAACGGACGAAACCGCAAGGCGAGCAATTCTGGAGAACAGGGACTGGGTGAAACGCTACGAAGAGATCAAAGCTGAACGCGATAGTTTACAAACCAAATTAGCAGATGCAGAAGATGGTCTTGTTGGCCAACTACAGGAAGAACTGAAGCAGAGAGATCGTATTCTAGAGAAAGGCCAACGAGTCACATTTCAGCTTCAACAGGAGCTTGGCGAGCTGAAAAAGAAACTCATCTTGGCCAAACATCAGCATGAAGTTGAACTTAGGAAGACCCTTACAGCTTTGAACTCCCAGCCGCAGAATGAGACTGCAGAAGCAGTTGTGATCAGCAATGGCCCACCAAAGCCTCTGAAATCGGAAAGAAAGATGGCGATACAAAAGGCTTTACAAGCTAAGCTAGAATTGACATCTCAAGAGATCAGTGTTGAATCCAGCAAACAGGAATTTTCTGTCAAGCCTAACAAGAGATTAAGGCTCTTGCGCTCTCGTATGGAAGACATTGAAAATCAAGCGCGAGAACTAGAGATGACCAATTTCTCGGAGTATCGCAACGAAAACGAGAAGGAAATAACAGAAGAACCCCTACAACCGACGGAGGTCGCTGAGACAGCTCCATCGAGCTCGCAGAATTCAGTAGCAAAGCTTCAGGAGCTTCGCAGCAAGTTAGCGTTGCTCCAAGAGGAAAGTAATGATATTTCCAAGTTTAATGTTGAAGGCAGGATGAATGAGATTTTGGTCGACCACAGGTCTGCTGCTCTAGACCGACTAAAGAAGCTCGAAAACGATTACAAGGACTTCGGGATAAGCTTTGATCAAAATGCTCCAGATGACCTCCCAAACCTGGATACCCTTCCTGCTTCGAAACAAGGACTAAGAACTCTGGATCCTAAGGAAATCAAAAACATAAATGAGGAGGTATCCACGATCCTTACCGACCTAGATGCCTTGAAGGCAAAGGGCCCATTACGTGACAGTGCTACTTCGGAGCCTACTTCGACCTCAGAGTCGTCTGAGGATGAGAAAGAAGTATCGACAGCTGAGAGTAATGAGGCACCATCCGCCTCCTTTCTGGAAGGACTTTCACAGAAATACGGCACTGGTTTGGCGACCAACTCCAACTATCGTTCTGCCAACTCGGCGAGAGATTCGACATATCCTGGGAGCGGGTATCACAGGAAATCGTTTATCAATCGCGTCAAAAGATCGGATGCAATACCATACTTGAATGAACTATCTGGTAGATTTGGGACGACGGGCACATCAACAGATGAGTCCAACAGACCCCAGGAAAACAATGCGAAGCTCGGTATCGGCATCTTGGTCAATGAGAAACCTCTTTCAACTATCAATGATCAGTCAAAGGAGATTCACTCATCGATCAATGTTGCTTATAACACTACTGACTCAAATATTCTTGATCATGCTTCCAACCGTAGAGTCAAGAGTGGGGAGCAAACTGAGGAGATGGATGGCAAAGTCAGTCATACCAAAACAGTTCTGCTGTCATCATCATCACCATCGTCACCATTACCATCAGCACCACATTTGCATCCACAAACAGAATCACAAACAGAATCACAAACAGAATCACAAGCAGAATCACAAGCAGAATCACAAACAGAATCACAAACAGCATCAAGAATACAATCACTTCCTCCCTCACCACCGCCTCTCCCCCCACAGCTGTTTGCGAAACAGACTAATTCACTCACCAATAATCCGATTAAGAATGAACATTCCAGCACAGCAACCTCTAAAGCCGCCGCCACTTCGTCCAATATACCACCACCTCCTCCATTTCCTCCTTCAATGACACCTACGGGTTCTCGAGGCTCAACTCCTCCTCCTCCTCCTCCACCACCTCCACCACCTTTTCCCGCAAACGCCAGTAAATTCTCTTCCAATGGTCCACCCGCTCCTCCTCCTCCCCCTCCCCCGCCACCTTTCGGCAGTATTTCAGGAAAGACAAAAAGCGTTCCCCCTTCGCCTCTGCTTCCACAGTCTCCATCGCTATTTGAGAATTATCCTCGTCCGACAAAAAGACTCAAGCAGCTACACTGGGAGAAGATTGATGATGCCGAGGACTCTATTTGGAAAAATGCAAAAGCTGAAAAGTTCGCGGACGATCTATATGAGAAGGGCGTTTTATCTAGATTAGAGAAGGCGTTCGCTGCAAGAGAAATCAAATCGCTGGCTAGCAGAAAGAAAAATGACTCTGACAAAATTTCTTTCCTATCAAGAGATATATCACAGCAGTTTGGTATTAATCTACACATGTTTTCGTCACTGACGGTTGAAGAAGTGGTTACAAAAGTTCTTAGATGTGACAGAGACTTTCTAGCCACCCCAAGTGTCATTGACTTCTTATCAAAGCAAGAGATTGTTGAAGTCTCGAACAATCTAGCAAGAAACTTTGCTCCTTACACTGTCGACTGGGAAGGGGTCAAGAACGTTGATGAGTCGAAGCCACCAGAAAAGGATCCCTCGGAGCTCCAAAGAGCTGACCAAATTTATCTGGAGCTCTTTGTCAATCTCCAAAGCTATTGGTCCTCTCGCATGCGTGCAGTTAAGGTCATAACAACTTATGAAAAAGATTACAGTGAACTGGTGGAGAAATTGAGAATGATCGACAAGGCTACATGTTCCATTCAACAGTCTGACAGCTTGCGTAACATCCTAGACATTATCTTGGCGGTTGGGAATTTCATGAATGATTCCTCGAAACAGGCGCAAGGGTTTCGGCTTGCCACACTACAGAGGCTCACTTTCATCAAAGATGACAAAAATAGCATGACATTTCTACATTACGTGGAAAAGATTGTAAGGGAAACATATCCTGCGTTCAATGAATTTATCAAAGAGCTTGAGCCCGTGGCTGCGGCAGTCAAAATCTCGATTGAGCAAGTGGCACAAGAATGCAAAGAATTCTCTCAAGCAATCATCAATGTAGAGAGGTCAATTGACATCGGCAATCTCAGCGATCCTGTCAAATTCCATCCACATGACAGAGTACTGATGAAGGTCCTACCGGTTCTTCCGGAGGCAAAGAAGAAAGGAGAGTTACTAGTGGACGAAATGAAGTTGACGCTTCTGGAGTTTGATAACCTGATGAAACTGTTCGGTGAAGACCCAGTTGACAAATTCTCTAGGAACTCATTTTTCAAGAAATTTGCGGATTTCTTGCTGGAGTACAAGAAAGCTCAAGCGTTCAATCTAAAAATGGAGGAAGAGGAGAGGGCTTACGAACGGAGAAAAAAGATGGTTGAGGAACAACAGAAAAGAGCAGACGAAAAATTGAATCAAAACGACGCACGAAATATCGAAACTGGGGACCGTCCCGCTGCAGGTGGAGACAGAGACGTTATGGACAAACTTTTGGAGAAACTGAAGAGTGCAGGTCCTACAAAGAACGATCCTTCTTCTGCGCGTAAACGAGCCGAGGCTCGCAAGAAGCTTCTGCAAGGCGGGTCTCAAAATGGAACTATTTTAGACAATTTTGACGCAGATGGCGCAAACGGCAGGCTTTTTTCACCCCCTCACCACGGCGGTGATATAGCAGAAGAGAACGAACTTCAAGCGTCACCAACTCCCGATCCCAAAATGGAGAAACTCATATCCGACGATGCCCCAGACTTTTCTCAGAGCAGAGCAAGAGATCTTCTACTCGAGCTAAGAGGAGCCGAATCACCCGCTAGCAAGACCGCCGTTGCAGATCACAGAAAGTCGCGCTTGAAAGCAAGAAGGAACAAAGATAGCGTTGACCTCACATCCACCTCCGAAAACAGATTGAAATTTGTCGCCTCGAAAACTGGCGAAACACAGGAGGAAGAGACCTTGCTCACTGGATCTACTCCTTCTGCAAAACAAGAGATTAGCGATTTAGGTCATGGTGTAACGCAGGCTGCCTCGAAAAGCGAGCCACCGACAGAGGTTAAAAATGGTATAGACACCAATAATGGTGACCAAGCTCATCTCAGAAAACTCTTGACAATGGACAAATCCGAATTGAGGGAAAGCGAGAATACTTCAGATTCTGACAGTGCAGAATATTTAGATGCATAAATGCAGACAAGCATTTCCGGGCTTTTGATCCGAAATCTGATCCGAAGTTCAATGATATATTTGAACTCCGCTGTTATGGTAAAACCCAACACGCCACGAAATGTGGACTATACAATGTATATATAAAGAGCCCGGTTTTAACAGGTTCACCATCTAATTTCGAGTCGTTGAGGGTACCTCAAAGACTGGATCTTTAGATATTGATTTTTTTTTTGGAGATCATCGTTTCATTCTAGTCAGTCCATTCAATGTTTTGACTTATGATCTTTAATGGAAAGTCAAATCCTAATCCTCTCTGATCAGAGTAAAAACTTGAAGCTGAGAGGCCAGTTAGCAATCAACAAGTAGTGATATGTCTGAGGAAGAGGAATCCAAACGGGTATCTGTTCAGGTGTCGTCTTTATCGACCCAATTGATCGAAAGCATTGATAAACAGTCACATTTAGAAGAGCAACTTTTAGTGGCTAGGAAAGTTATCAATGGCAACCAGGCCTCGCTCCAAGCTATGGACAGCTTGAAAGAGCAGGTCTTCAACTTGAAAAAGGACTTAAAAGCCGAAAAGGCTCACAAGTTTGAAATGCGAAGTCTCCTAAAGACGATGGGAGAAGAGAAAGAGCTAGCGCAAGCAGAGGCTCATCGTTTAAATAAAGAGGTTGAAGATCTGACCGCATCCCTTTTTGACGAGGCTAACTCTATGGTAGCTGATGCCCGTAGGGAAACTCATAACATACAGATAAAAAATGACAAGCTTACTGAACAACTGCAAGAGAAAGATGTACTGTTAGAGACTCTGAAAATCCAGTTGAAAAACCTCAAAGGCGTTTTATACACCCTGGAAGAAGAACAAAACGCAGCTCTCATGTCAAATCGGAATTCAATTGCAGCGAACGAAACCGGAACCGTGTCCAGCGGATCTTTAGAAAAAACCATGAGCGCTTTGACGGGTACACTGCCGACTTCTGACACTGTTATATTCTCACCGTACATCAAGTCCCTAAGGTATGATTTGGGTCTGTACAACGAGTTTTTGAAATTCGTAGCCGTTTTGCCAGAATGCTCGTCTATTAGAGACACCACTTCCCGCTCCAAGCTTCTCAGAAGACTGGTACACGATGAGATCCAGCCAATGCTCCGGTTGGACAATGCAAGTGGGGTCGGCTGGTACGTGAGACGCAATTTAATGAATTTAATGATGGAAGGCATGGTTATTATTGAGCCTATCAGTGGAATAAACGAAACATACCGTCTGGGCCATAGCTCGAATTCGGCAACTAGTTCACCTCAGTTGCCAAAAGCCGACAAATTTAGAGATGCACACCTCTACAATTACCCAGCAAACTCTCCACCGGTTGCTATTCAAGATCCGTGCGCCTTTTGCTCCGAAAGTCGTAATGACATTCTAGAGCACGGAAGACTTTACGTTCTCAAGACTTTGCTAAAGAATGAAGATGGCACAATAACTCCTTCTGCCCAATTCCCACTTTGTCACTACTGCCTGCTCAAGATCCGGCAAACATGCGAGATATTTGCCTTTTTGAGATTGCTGAAAAGCGGCGCTTGGCATTTAGAAGACCTATCAGACTACAAGAACTCCAAGAAAGTATCAAGCGAAGCTCTCGCTCAGAACGGGGCACCAGAAAGCCCCAATATCGATATTAAATCAAAGCGCTCGAGTTTCATGTCAGGTTTGTCCAAGACCGTGCCAGCGAGAGGAGCAAATGCCCCAGAAAAAGTCCCCACATTTTCATCGCACAACGCAACTCCCTCTACAAACATTCAACGGGCCTGGGCTCAGCTCTGTAAGCTCCGAGCCTCACTGCTCTGGGCGCACATCGGTGTCTGGGCTTTAGAGGACTGTTTGGAAACAAAGTTGGGTCCCACTACCGACTCCTCCGAGAACTTAGTCCCCAACTTACCCCGGGATGCCCTACAGAAGCGCGAAACCCGTGAATCCACTATCAACAAACCAGAAACTTTCTCGACAGAGAAAGACTTCGATTTCAAGTCTTCAGAGGAATTTGGGTTGAGACAAAGCGCAGCTAGTAGCCACGAATCGGTTAACACAGAGAATGAATTAAGGGCTCACGACAAAAATCCCACTTCCACGCAATCAATTTCCAAAGACATCAAAGGAAGTGCATCCGACTCGCACACTTATGCAGATGTCGAGTCCCCACGAAGCTTGAATGATAAAATCGAACCAGAAGTCTCCTCCAAAATCTTAATCGCGACCCGTTCGTTGGACCCAGCAGCGAAAGAAGACGTGAAAACACAGCAGCCCGCAATCGTTTTTCAAAATTCATCATCTCCTGACAAAAATGAGAACACCCAGAGCTCCGCGGTCGATCATCAGCAGGAAGCCAATGATAAATCTCTCGATGTAAGTCAAACCCCGATGCTGGCAACCGACGAAACGGCTGGCATGGCTAAGCCCGAAATTTCAGCTTCAGACAGCAAATTGGGAAGCACCACCGAGGACGAAGATGCTATGTTTGACGATGCTCACAGTACAGTATCTTGAGTGCTCAACACTGGTCAAAGAACTTGGAATTCCGACATTATTGTCTTGTTGGGCTCGCTTTAAAGCTCTTTGACGCTCGTAGAAGCTCTTTGTACGGCTCATCGCTGGTAATTCGTTATGTGAATTTCGGATTCTACTGTTAAAGTAGATAAACAAATTCCTGATGAAAGAAACCAGAGTTCAGCACGATCAATGCCCAAGGACTCTGCCCATGAGTCTTCTCTAGATGATAATTTGTTAGAAAATGAGAATGGCTCGTCAGGAGATGCTTTCGCACTCTCAAGCTTCGAGCGTGGATTGCCCATTAAGAACGAACAAAATCGAGAATCGAGCTTTGATATTGCAGAGATTACGCACTCCTTTTTGGCAGACGAAGAATCCAAATCAGGGATTTTGATGGCGTTTATGAATATGGCTAATAGCATTCTAGGAGCAGGTGTTATCGGACAGCCCCTAGCTGTCAAGAACTGTGGATTAGTCGGCGGATTTCTAGCAGTTGTGCTTCTTTCAGGCTTAGTGGACTGGACAATCCGTCTAATTGTGATTAATCTCAAGATTTCAGGGACGTCCAGCTATCAGGATAGCGTGGAATTTGCAATGGGAAAAAAGGGTAAGCTATTAATCCTGCTAACAAACGGATTGTTTGCATTTGGTGGTTGCATTGGGTTCTGCATCATCATAGGAGACACAATACCGCACGTTTTGAGAGCCTTCTTCCCATCACACCAAGCCCTGTTCCATCGAAACGTCATAATCTTTTGTGTGACCACCTTCATCTCATTCCCTCTATCGCTAAATCGAGATATTTCAAAACTATCTAGAACTTCAATGCTGGCATTGTTGAGCATGGTTGTGATTGTTATAATCGTTGTGATAAAAGGATTTTCAGTCGATTCTGTCTACAGGGGAAAGCCGGATACCAAAGAGTTATTTTTCACACCCCGAGTGTTCCAAGGCATCTCCGTGATTTCCTTTGCCCTTGTTTGTCATCATAACACAAGCTTCATTTTTTTTTCTTTAAAGAATCCCAGCATGAAACGGTTTGACAGATTAACCCACTTAAGCTGCCTTGTGGCTATGACTTTTTGCCTAATTATGGGGTACTCCGGGTTTTTGATCTTTCGAGACAAAACCAAGGGCAATATTTTGAATAACTTTCCAGGAAGTGATAATTTGGTGAACGTGGCAAGGTTTTGTTTCGGTTTTAACATGCTAACGACGTTTCCATTAGAGATCTTTGTGTTACGAGATGTTGTGCGAGATCTGATTTTTTTCAACGCTAAGAAGGATGAGGGCTTTCCAACCGTGCTGAGCTTGAAACTCCATGTTTTGATCACAACGGTCACGGTTTTTGTTACTATGGCCATTTCTTTGACCACATGTAATCTTGGTGCACTTTTTGAGCTCATCGGTGCAACGACAGCTTCTTTGATGGCGTATATACTACCACCTTGGGTGAATTTGATACTCACCGGCTCTCAAAGATCCACTCGTGAAAGACTTCCACACTACATGTGCATTGCTCTTGGATTTGCCATTATGATTATTAGCAGTACCCAGACCATTATAACATCCATAAATGGTGGAGATCAAAAGCACTGCGAGGTATAAACACTTTTAACGCTATTTAATGCAATTAATGCTGCTACTAGTCGTCTTCATCGTCTTCCTCAATTCTCATTATTTTCCGTCTTTTATACCTGACAGGATCTGTTGGGCCACTCTCCTCGGTTGCTCTCTCTTTAGTGGTGGTGGCTGCTTCAAATTCTGAAGTATCAGGCGTTGGTCCTGATTCTGGCTTATCAATACCAATATCTGCAGGAAAGTCACCAATATCTAAGTCTTTTGCGTCTTGGGCCTCAATAATTTCAGCCACTCTTGGTGCTAGACTCATTCCCGAAAGCTGCTCTGTTGCCCCCAATACTTTCGGGCTGGGAACAGGTCCATCAAAGAGACTTGTATAATCGTTAATGAGTTTCCCGTTATTGTTCATTCTCTCCGCGGCTAAGGAGCCAAACTGTATAAATTTGTGTTCCGGTAGCGAGCCTTGATACTTGTCCAGTAGAAAGCGCATAAACATCTCGTTTTCGTAAAATATGGCCTGCACACTGTCATCATCAGAATCGTCAGAGTCACTGATAATTTCAGCACTCGTTACTTCTCGTTGTCTGTAAACATCATTAGCATGGCTTGCGTTATGACTTGATGGAGCATCTCTCGCTTTCCTAGTTTTCTTGCTTTTATCATCTGGAGCCTGCTTCTTCCGTACGCTCTTCTTCTTTTTAATGGCAGTTCCCTTATTGGCAGTTTCTCTGTATAGGCCATTGGAAGAAGAGCCTTTATTCAACGCGTGGAAGTAATCAGTTTCTTGTTCACCAATGTTTTCTGCGTCAGAATTCCCATTTAAACGCTCTTCATAAGAAGCTCCGCCCACGGGCGTGCGAGAAACTCCCGAGTTGGGCAGCTCTAAGTAGAATGAAGACGGCTCACCATTAGGCGTATCGAATGGGGTAGTCAAATGTTTAACGATTAAGTTCACAGAATTTTCGAGATCTGCGATCTGACAAGTCGTTGAGAGATAGCAGCTGTCCGTTTCAAATCTTGTGAGCTGATACCCGCAAAGCTTTAAAAGGGCACGGAAATCAGAATCGCGATGAATGGCCTTTTCAATTGTTGATGATGACGTTTCGAATCGTTCGCGCGTGCCGTCATTGCCATTACTTTCTCTCAAAACCTCTTCCAGCAACCAACTCTTCATGATTGCGCAAGAGCGTCGCAAATTATCACGCAAGACCTCGACGCAATCTTGCTTTTCTCTGTCTATGAGTGCTGAGACAACGATCCCAAACTTGAAATCCAGAATGGCAGCCTCGCTCATTCCTTCAAGATCTGATGTAATCCTAAAATTGGAAGGTGGAGCTACTCGTTCAATCCTATTTGAATCCATCGTTTCACCATACTTTTGATAATAACCGGCCTCTCTGTCGTGTATAGCTGGAAAAAGTATTCCAACGAACCAGGATGGAGATTTTACCAGCCTTTCCTTCAGTTTTAGCATAAAGACATCTGCGAATTTCGTAACGTGCTTCCTGGCTCTGGACATGGTTGGCAACCCAATTGGACTTAGCATGTCTTTGAGTAAAATCATGAAGTCTATACGATACAGTAAAGACTCTTCTTCCGCGGCTATGAAAATACGGTATAGGAACTGAATGCATTTCTTTATGTCATCATCGGTCAATTCTCTGAAGTTTTCGAGATAGGTGATATATGTCTTTATCGTGTTTTCATTTGCAAAAGATCGTTGAGTTCTCTTGAAATTGACTTTATTCTTTCGATTACTCAAATCTAGTAGTTCAAGTGCCTCTTCTAGCTCAACTCCTTCATCTTTTGCTAACTCTTTGGCTTGCTCAAGGAGTGTATTTGCGTCTTGATCCAGTGCCGATTTTTCTGATTGCTCTTGCTGCTCTTTACTCGTCGTCTCGATGAGCTTCAACAGAACGTGAATCAAATTAATACAGCCTCTTTTGTAAGACAAGGAATGAGAACTTGCAGTTCTTGGAATGCTTGACAGAAGTTTCAAGCGCTCTTCCTGACAAAGATGATTCTTAACCTGCTCTTTCGCTTCCTTGTCGTCCTCATTTTTGCTCATGCTCTCCAACAGAGATAATAACTCCGTATAAGCTATCATTCCAGCGTGTACAACAGCCCATAATTTATGTTCCATTGCTTTCCGCAGAAGCTGCCCGACCAATATTAGTGGTGTGTCTTTGAAGGCAAATGATATAGGCTCAAAGTTAAATTCCACGTCAACTTGTTTTCCGATTCTGCTGTATTTCAAAAACCATGAGTAAAACAAAAGATACTCAATTTGATGAACAGTTACCATTTTATCATCTTCCGTGGTGAAATAATCGGTTGCACTGCTCAAGAGGGAGTTAAACCCGGACCTTATGAAGTCGTTGGTGAACTTCCTGAAAATTGAACACGTCGTTTCATCCCAATAAACTGTTTCTTGATCAAAACTCAAAAAACTACTTGGGAGCCCTTCTACTGTTTCATTCGCCATTACCGTTCTTTTATTCCATTTTTTGCGGGAGTCTAGTTTTTTCAGTGCGTAGTCGCTATTCAGCAAGTTTTGGCCACCAGAAACTGTTAGCCTTTGGTGGTCTGACGTCTGAATTGAAAGCATTGTGCCAAATCGTGAATGGCGAGTCGATGTATTTCTGATGACATTCTTTTTCATTTCGTGCTCTTTCTGCAGCAGGCCTGAAAGCTCTAAACTGTTATTCGCGGTCTCTTTTGCCAAAATATTGTTGTTCGTTGTTTGGCCTCCTGCTGCCTTCTTGCGATACAGAACAGCATGGTTTACGTTCTTGACGAGAAAGAACATGACTTCCAGCAATGGGACACTAATGAAAGCTGCATCAAACTCCTGATTGATGGAATTTGAAAGTGTGAGAAGCAATCCGAGGACTTTGTTACGATGGAAAGCTTCAATTACGGCACTTAGCGAGATGTCGTTTTTGGTAATGTTGGGAGGCAGCATATCGGTGACGTTAATGCCTTTAGACAAAGACTTCTTGTTGCTGAGAGTCAAATCACTAGGCTCAATGGCAGCAACGTTCCTCAGAAAGTTCAAAACAAGTCTCAAAACCACGTTATCTTTAGCGCTTCGCAGCCGCTTTTCAACCTTTATAATCTCTACGGCTAATCTGACGGCCGCTTTTAGCACCTTCCCGTTTTCGACACTCAAAATGGTTTTTTTGTAGATAACCTGACTTTTTTTTAGTCTTGAATGATGCTCTACTTGATTTTGTGTAGATTGATCGGTGAGAATCAGAGGCCAAGTCATTAATACCATCAATTGCAGAACATTCAGTGCTATTTTGTCGTGATACTCCTTATTTTTCAGGTAATCCTCTTGCTTCCCACCATTTTTTCTAGCCTTTCTGGCTGCTGCAGAGTACAAGTTCTCCCAATTGACCATGATGGGCACCAAGTCATCAGTTAGAATTTTGTATTGTGCAGCAGCAGCAGCTACATCCCATCGATTCTGGCGTTCATCGACCAGCTTAAACCACCGCTTCAAATCCTTCAGGCAAGCAAGACAGTCATCACCTATCTTATATGGAGCTGGGTCTGCATCAGAGCTGTGATCGGGACCTCCAATGGCAGTTGATAGTAGTGCAATTCTAGCTTTCAAAATTCGAGACTGGTCGTCAAACTGGGGCTCTTTTTCGAGCCCTGAAGCACGATTATCTGTCTGCTCAGCTTGATCCATTCTCATCTTCCATGAGCCGTTTCCCACACGCTGTTAGTTGGATAGGCTGTTACAGACTTCGAATGGGATGTCTTACGCGTAAATCGATGAAATTGGAATGTTTGGCGTTTTTATGTGCGTCACAGTCGTCCAAAAAGACACATATATCTACATCTTCGCGCTCATTTATACATATTTCTAGGTTTCCAGTAGCCGTCTGTTTGGAGTCAATCCAGCTATTTGGCGTCAATCACTTGAGTTTGGAATCGGATCTATGACTGAAGACTTATTGAAGTCTTATGTTTTATACTGGATGGAGGGCTTTTTTTATTGTATGTAGAAGTTATGCTGGGTAGGGTTTACTTGTGGATTTGCGCGAGATTTATAAACTGACAGTACCAGATAATGTGCAGTAGTGACTCATCTTATACCACTCTTAGATTTTAATTTGTCACCTGGGTCTTTAACTTTTTATGCGTGCAAGACAGGCTTTCTGTGACGAAAGGTTATCTCACAATAAACTCTACAATTTGAGAGTTTTGATTCAACACACGATATTTATGCGATCACAGTTCTAATTTTAAGCCATTCTTCATCTATCCACGAAGCTATTGTCATATTTTTAACTAATTGTTTAATCGAAACGACGTTTACATGTTCTGTAACACAGAATTGCGGGTCGAAGGCAGTTGTTTTGCCATGTTGGGGATGACTCCTGAAGCGCTCAAGGTCTTTACTCTGTTAACGGCTTTCATTCCATGAAAGCCCAAACTCATAAAGTATGCCACAAGTCCAGAAGCAATTCCAGCGCTCATGGACGTCCCGCTTTTCTGGATTTCAGAGTACGCATCTAGTCCAACGCTTGAAACGTCCACTCCCGCCCCGAAAGCATCGACGCACTCGCCGTAATTTGTGAATGGGGCAGCCTCGTCATTTTTCGAGACATCAATAGACCCAATTGTCAAGACCCCATAAGCACTTGCGGGGCTCACATTGCAAGCATTTTGATTTGTGTTTCCCCCAGCAGCGATCACAGGAATTGCTAGATCGCGAACAATCGCTTCAATAGCAGCATTGAGAATTACGTTTTTGGCCATCGTGTAGGGAATAACTATCAAGGAGGGCCTTCTCGTCACAGTGGCCAGCTTGGAAACATGTTCCAAAGCCCTCAGCGTGCCGATTAAATTAGCATTTCCCTCTGGATCAGCGATTCTAACATCGAAAAGATTACACTTTTTAGCCACGCCAAATTGAGCCGAGCCAATTACGCCCGCAACTGCTGTTCCATGTCCATGGGGATCACCTTGGGTCACAGGTCCGTCGGCATAATCTCCCACTTTTTGAACACGATTTTCAAAGGCCGGATTCTTGGCATCGATTCCCGTGTCAAGCAAATAAACGTCAACGCCAATTCCTGCGTTTGAATGGTACACAAAGGTAGTGTCGCCCTTGAGTAGTGGAGCCTTTTGGGATAAACGCACCAAATGCGACGGCGCGTTTGCCTGCACCACGTACTCTGCCGGTGTCAGTGCTCTGTCCATGGACATTGCCACAATACGCCCGTCGTAATACATGGTTTCGAGAATCGACTCTGGGAAATCACCGTAGATGGCCTGAAACGATTTCCCTAACGTGATGGCACCGATGCCGCTGTTTTGATCCATTTGTTCGAAATTCTGGCTGAGGATCTCACTCACCGCTGCTGTGTCGCTAACTTGCGCAATGAATTTAGCTGCAGAGGCCAAGCTTGAACCCAGGAGAGCAGTTGTGATAAAACTGTGCATGTTGTCGAGAATCGCGAGCCGTGTATGAACTGATGCGCCAAAATTTGAGTTAAGAACACTGATACTATCCTTCAATCGATAAAGTCAACTACAAAGAAGAGTACTACATTCCCTCCACCGCATCCTTCTTTCTTATTTGTGATCTGAATCTGGTCAGATTATTGTTTGGATACGCCGACGCTGACGCTGACGTCTGTGCCAAGTGATCGAAAATGAATTTAAATTACGTACTGACGCTGGTGACAGCGCAGTACGAAGTGACAAGAAAATGCCAAGCCTGTAAGGTAATGGAAAATTGCCCAAATGGCTATACTATGCAAACGTTTACGAGCCACCAGGGCCACCAATCGATCACTTGTCTACTTGATAACTCTAGATCGATGCCTGGCAACTCAAACTAAAATTTCGGTCATATCTGAGCCCTTCACACCGCGATTTATTTTTTCGCAGCTTTTTTCCCAGGATTTTCCTGCGTTCAAATTATCTCTTACTCAAACTACACCGATTTCTCCTATATACTTGGAACGGTAACTGCACGATACTTACGCGTATTTGGAAAAAGCGAAAATTATCAGCACAGGCAGTTCGGCTCCGTTAAGATTCGAGCAAGTTATTCGTGTTGTGCAGGTGGTGAGTCGGGGGACCGCTAAATGGAAAATTCACAGTCCGAAAAGAGTTTTCAGCCAATTCTCAAGGCTGCTTGTAGGATAATATATAGCGTGGAGGGTCTGATGGAGTTTGTCGAATAAGAATTAGAGGGCTCAGAATAAAGCATCATCGATTTGTAAAATCAAAGTCGAATTTAAACGGGTCGTTAGTTGTCTTATAATTGGACTTCTCAGTAGCGGGACTACTATAATAAAAGGTCTAAGTGTGTACAGACTTCTTTCTGCTCGAAGAATGATGCCCAGAATGGCAAGATCAGAAACAAGTAGAGCAGCTATGGGTTTGAAGACATCAGAGAGTGCAGCATACGAGGTATACATGCTAGACTACGAATCCGAAATTTTGGAGCACTTACAAAAGATGGAATTCAGAAACGGTTCAAAACTCCCGGTTGACCCGGTCATGATCGATAGCCAGCCGGAACTGGAATGGTACATGAGACCGTATCTGATAGATTTCCTATTGGAAATGCATGCATATTTCAGATTGAGGCCCGAGACCTTGTTTTTGGCCTGCTCCATTGTAGACCGTTATCTTTCCAAGCGAATGGTCCGCAGAGCTCATTACCAGTTGACCGTCACCACTGCGATGTGGATCGCAGCCAAATATGAGGACAAAAAATCCAGAAAGCCTCTATTAAAGGAGCTAGTGCAGCTTTGTCGCGACTGCTACGAGGCCAAAATGTTCGTGCAGATGGAAATGCACATCCTGAGCACGCTCAATTGGGAAATCGGGTCTGTCACCTCCATGTACGACTGCTTGATGCTGTTCCTCGACATGGACTGTTTGAAATACGACCAAGCCGCTTCATCCATTACTGGTCTGGCCACCTTTTTGCTGGAGAACTCGATGTACGAGAGAGACTACATGTACTATTCGTCAGCTATAAGAGCTCTTTCGGCAGCCCTTGTGGCTTCCAAGATGCTTGAAAATAGTGCTATAGCCGAACAGATCCAGTCTGCAGCACTTGCCAGCAAGAACTCTCTAAATCAAAAGCCAAAATCGTTCTACGGTCATACAAGCAGAGCAAGAAAGCCCAATGCACTGGATGCATTGCAATTGACTGCTGAAACCCTAGAAGACATCAGAAAATGCAGCCTTCAATTTATCAATGATACATTCAAAACTAGGACCATCGGGAAGAATTTCCCAGCTGCGCTTCTCCAGAAATACAACAGTTTCTCATTCGAGCCGATATTTGAAAGTTACTGGTTTCAACACATAAGCGTTTATGGCACCCTCTGTCAATTGACTCGAAACTATAATGCCACCAGCCATGGGTTTCTGGATCACACTCTAGAGGGTCTCATCGACAGGTTGATTGGCTTACTGCCCATAGGTCAAGGCTGGACTAGCCATCTGGATACTTATAACTCAGCTTATTGGTCTAATGGTTCAATGGCTTACAAAACTGATTGCCGAAACATGTCAGACCAGGCTGTGTCGCCTTCTAATTCGCATAGCTTTAGCGCTTCTTCAATTGCGCAACCATCAGATTCTGACTTAATGACGCCGCATACCCCTTTGTCTTCATCGGGATCTGTTTTTAGTGGCAATTTCTCTAGTTTGTCTCAATCCTCGGCCGATTCACCCATGTTCGTTCAATCCTCGAAACCTCCCATGGCAAGATGGAGCACTTGCTCTTCCGGCTACAATCAAAATAACTCTCGAAGGGTCTCGACAAGACTTAACAGCGTCGAAAGTAGTATGATGGAGTGACCCAGAAAAACTCCGCACCCAGAGTAATCAATCTTGATACAATTTTACATTTAAACCCATTAAATATAATACAGTTAATATCGACGTATGACTTACCTCTGCGACCACCGCTGCCCTTTGAACTTCACGGCATTGATCAAATGATCACTTCAAAAAAACTGAACGTGATGTAGCATTAAGAAGCTTTTGGGGTGCTGATATCTGACTCGATAATCATACTTTCTTCGTCGAAACTTTCAGTTAATTCTACTCCGCTGGGCTCTGGCGAGTCGAGGTGTTCGGACACAAATTCATCATACAAGGAGGCGGAAGATGTCGATGCAGAGACGTCAGACTTATAATCCCCCGAGTTTCCGCGGCCAGCCTCGAAAACAAGTGGTTTGTTGAGCTTTTTTCTATTGCCTGTTTTTATTAGTATCTTGTCCTTGGCTTTCTGCAATTGCGGAGAGTTGATGTACCATCCGTCATCGACCATTGTTTCATCCACGTATGCTTCTTTAGATAGCAGAACGTAAACTAGTAATGTTGCAAACGCAAAGAGCATTGTGTATGAAAGTCTTCGCTGAAAGATTGCGTCCTTTTTTACGCTTTCCAACCGACTCAAGGTTTCCGAAACCAATTGATCGTTAAGCTGTTTTTGCTCATCTAACACCTTCAGTGACGAGTCTCGCAGTTGCTGGGAGAAAACGCTCAGTTCTCCCAGATTTGATAGGATCGTTTGGTTGAGAGCCTCCACTAATGTATCAAACTTCTTTTCTTGGTTTTTTTCCAAGTTGGTGAATGCCCTTGATACCAGCTTACTCTGCTCTTCGATGTATCGTAGCGACAAGGTTGAGTTGCTTTCAAGCTGACTCAATCTTTTCATCATAGTCTTGAAAATAGACTCTTCGGCAGAAGAGGAAGGCATTGAAGAAGGCATGTCGAGAGCGCTTTGGAACTTGGCAGGATCACAAGTGCTGTGATTGAAATTTCTGAGAAATTGATCAAACTCGAGGTATGGTAAACTGGTTGGACACTGTGAACCCGCAAGTTCTAAGTCAGGAATAGCGGTCAAATTTTCATTAGACCTAAAATCCGGGAATTGGCATTTATCCAGAACTTTTCCTGTAAGAGACAAAATCGCCATTTCTTCCTTAAGGCATTCTTCAGTCTTCTTTTCTACACTCCTAGCAATTTCCTCTTTCTGAGAATATCTTACTTCCAGCTCGTCCAGCTTCACGTCGTCCATCATAGTCTTACCATGAACTCGAATAACCGATATGGGACAATAAAACTCATTTCCGTAGTGCGATAAAACCTCTACTCTGACATAACGCGCCCATATTAGGGGATTTGAGATGTCAAATTTTTGAACATTCCGTGTATTATTTGCATTGACCTCACCCAAAACCTTCCATCCAGTCTTGGGGGGGAAGCGATCTGCAACAGCGAACCTCAGGGTCTGGAAAGTTGAAGAGAAAAACTCATAATTGGCAATGACAATTTGCTCGACCAAGATGTCTTGACACAGCTCGATGACCACGAATTTGTTGGACGCAGAACATGGAGTTAAAAGATACTTATCTTTGTTTTCGTGAAGAATTGCGTTCGCACCAGAGGCTTCTGAGTTTGTTTTAACTATTGTCGCAGCACAGTCAAGGGAAGCGTAATTGAATCGATCTTTATACAATTTGCCCTCTGGCTCATCGTTTGCACTGCTAGTGTGGGAGGTGAAAAGATCGACATCGATTTCGAGATCGTCACCTATAGTTTCTCCCCTGTAAATCGAAAGATCGGGACGTGAGATTGGTTTGGAGATTGGCTGCACTTCTCTGCCAGAGTCCTGGCTGAGTTTAATCTTCTTCCACTCGTCGAATGAAAGGAAAGTGGTGTCGCTCTCGTTAAGCTCTAAATCTTCGGTTTGAAGCAAAGCTGAGCGACTGGCTTGAACAGAACAACTGGACGGCGCTGAAACCGTGGGAGATGAATCAGTACTTTGAGTTTTGTCATTGGAAACTGTGCTTTCACAACTAATCTGGTTTGTTTGGCTCTGAACAGACGTTGCGCTTATGGAATGAATAATGGATGTTTCGAAATGCTCTGAAAGCAGTTTAGACAAATCAGTTGTGGACTCAACGTCTTGCGTGCCACTTGAATGATAAACGCGCTCTCCAGATGGGATTGTAGATAGCGTCAATGACGTCTCAGTAGCTAAATCAAAACCGCTAGATATACTGTCAAAGCATGATGCAACACTCAAAAGACCTACAATTTCCGAAAGCCGGTAATGAATTCTCATATGAGAGGCAAGGCCCACTGAAGTATATGCCTCCTGTCAAGAAGTCGTCAGAGATGGTGTTGAACAGGCAGTATTGTTCCAGTCGATCAAGATTTCGATGTTTTGCCAGGTAACCGTGTACGGAAGTAAACCTCGGTAAGATACTCTGACATCGGGTTGTTTCCAAGCCGGGATCAGCTCCATTGGTACTATTAATATTATTACAACTGTTCAGAAATTGTTCTGTCATCTGAACGTATGGCTTTTTATTTACAAATGGTCTTTTTGATCCGTTTGCTTGCATGTAGTTCGAATTTTGACGACCAGTGATCTAGCGTTGGATTTTACGATACTGACGTTGTCGTTGAATGAGGCTGCCGAAATATCCACGGCATGCCTCTTGGGAGAGATTCTGACGAATCTGAGAGGCAGAGAACCCAATTTGGTGATGGAACTTTTGACCACTTTGTTGCTTCTTTTCGGAGATGGCGGAACGACAGAGTTTGGATTTCCTCGCGGTTTTGTCGGCGACGCTGGCTTTTTGGCATTTGTAGCCGTAGTGGCTTTCGTAGTGTCTGCCACGTCTGTCACGCTTGCAGCGTTTGCAGCGTTTGCAGCGTTTGCAGCATTTGCAGCATTTGCAGCATTTGCAGCAGTCAATTTGACCTTCAAAACAGAGGGTTTGGGGGTAACTGCTGCAGGCTTACGTTTCGCATTAATCTTAATTTTTGGAGCCAAATGAACCTTCAGAATGCCCTCTCGCCGCAATTGCATTATGCCGTTACCCACATGTTTAGCAACGAGTTTGCGATCCCTTGGGATTGCAAGTCTCACGCAGAACCGGTCCTCCATCTGGTATATGACTCGTACCAAATCGAATAAGCACTTTTTTTGGTATAAGCTCGCCAAAGGGGAATGCAGGACGTCCCAAATTATCTGCTTCAAAGGCTCATAAGAGGCAAATTTACGACGCATGAGTGTCACGAGCCCATTTATTGTCCCTCTCAACTGAGTTTCTCTTTTGTTGGCCGTTTCCGCGCTGAAGCTCTCAACAATCAAGTTTGTATCTCCCAGTCCAGCAGCTCCACCGTCAAAAACTGCATTCACGGTTGCGTGTAGGCTCTCAAAGTCGTCGTCAAGGTCTTCGAGGTATCGCTTATCGGCTATAAAATCAATGGCGTCAACAAGAGTGCCCGGCAGTTTCACCCTGACATATGGATCAGGGTGTAGCAGCATATGCTCAAAAAATAGCTTCAACGCTTCTCTGTTCTTGATACCTCCTTGCACAAGAAGAATTTCAAAGGAAGTTAACAGTAAATCTTGGACTCCTTCGCGGAAGTGGATGCAATTTGCAGCAGAGGTGTGAGGGCTGTCCTTCACGGTATATTCAAGTATCTGTGAGATGTCCTCGTAGACATAGAAGCCATCGACTGCAAGTCTCAAGTGTTGATTAATGATGCAATTTGTGACCAGCAGTTGATAAGATGGAATCCATTGATCGAGATTCTTGAACCTGCGCAGCTCATGGAGCAGATCGCGATAAAAAGTCACATCCTCAGTGTCATTAAGGGCGCTCGTAACGGTACTGGTGATTAGGTTTACGACATAATGCGTATCGTCATAACTGTTTTCTGCGTTTTCGTTATATCTAACAATGTTGAGTAAGAAACGCTTAACGAACCGCGGACATAGATCATTATCGTTTTTCACCTGCGACAAAAGGTGAGGGATGGCTCGTTGCAGAAAATAACGCTGATAGTCAGAGAAATCATTATTGAAGGGGATGTTGGAGTTTTCGTAACAGAAATAGTGCTGGAAAATCTTTATCAAGTGCTTGGCACCTCCCATAAATTCCCCGGAGTTGGCTTGCGCAACCTTGAAGTTGGATAATGCTTTACAAGCCTCAATTCTCACACCATAAAAATATCTATCGTCCATCGCCGTTCGGGTCAGGATGGATGAATAAACGAGAGAGTTCACATTTGAGTTTATTACCACGTCTTGAAAGAACCTTATGCTGTCGATCTGCGCCTCGACATCTCGATCTTGTTGCAACTGCGACGCGAACATGTAGTCGGGCTGATTGATATAGACTTTGCAAACCCATTCAAAATCAGCATCAATTCTGATCCACTCAAATGCTTCATTTTGCTGCTGAAATTCGTCACCCTCGCTGGTCATAAGAGGGTCGGTAAGATTCCATTGTTGACAATCTTTGGCACTCGTTAACACATCGCCAAGGCAGTTTACCAGGACAACATCTTCATTCTCATCATCCGGACCCGCGACCTCGGCGGTCTCGAAAGGAGTTTGATCTTTGCCTTCTTGCTTCGCGGATTTGTTGATTTTTCTCCTTCTTTTGAGCCTCTTGTATTTCGTATTGTATTGTATGTCAAGTTTCGTAAAGGTGTCTTTAAGCTCGACGATGTGCTCGTACGGAGTACCATCGGCTTCATGAATTCGAATAGTCATGGAACCAGTGAAAACCGGTGTCAAATTTGTGTTCGGATAGGATATGTGGCTCAGTGCGCTAGACTGGAAACCTTCGGCGCCTACTGTTTTATCTTGAGCTATCTCTTGCACTTGGCATTGACGGATTCCCATTTCCACGACCATTCTTTTCTTGTTGAAACGCTGAGTAATTCTAAAGATTGGGACACCAGATCCGAATATCCACTCTTTAAAGAAGTTTTCAAGCTTGTTTTTGTTAACTCTCTCGCAAACATGCTGAAAATGCGATGTTGAAAGAGTGCTGTTGGGCAGATCTCCGGACATCGCTTGTAAAAAGATCTTGGGTAAAACACGAGACATACCAAAAGATCGCTCAGTTTTAGTCATCCTGCGATCTAGGATGTATAAAACAATCGGTGCCTTTAGTTTTATAAATTCTAACTCCTTGGAGAGCGATGTGACAGGCATTGATGCATGTGCAAAAGCGCCAGCCATTGGTGGTTTTTCCCAATCGCGGTCAGCTACTCGCTCGGATAAAGTTTTGACCCTATATTTGAATTCGTTCAAACCCATTAAATGCTTGGAAAATTGCAAAGCCATGTAACCCGCCATTCCAATGCAGCACCATATGTCATTTAGTTCGAGGGGCGTTACGTTGACCCCAGACCATTGGGTTGCCAAGGCCCAGCTCAACTTATCAGTTGTTGAAAATGTAAGGTCTATTACTTCAGGAGGATACAGAAGCCTTGTGTTGCAAAAAGTTGTGCTTGCAAAATCCATCGAATCGTCAGGAATAGAGGGTAGAAACAGGAGGGAATAAGAGGTGAAGGAATACGATCCAAACTCTTTGGCATAAAAATCCAGAATTTCTTGGGTGACTAAAGTTGAATTTAGAATCGTTCTCTCGTCAATGTCGGGACTTGGTAGTGTATAAATTTGTATTGGAATAATATCTCTCTCCTCGTCGTCTTGAGTTTCTGAGATAGCATTTGGTTCATCGCTTTCATCTTCAGGCTCACCCTGAGCCTTTATATGGGGTAAAGTCCACGTTTGAAAAGCGCCAATAGCCCAACCAATATGATGTGGCGCTACTGGATTGAAGATTTGAAAAGATACCAGCTTCCTTGACAAATCTGTTGGGTGTGGTGCTTCTTTACCCGTGGAGAATTCTGAAGCGCAGACAACCAGATCCCTATTCAGGGGATTGTCTTCTTCTTCCTCCTCATCGAGGTCGTCGTCGTCATCTTCATTGTGTTCGCCTACGGAATTGCGACTCGAACGGTGTCTTGTTGAGTGCATCTCATCTTGGTCATTGAATTGATCTGCCACATCTTTACTATAAGGATTATCGTCTCGAAGCCTCCGTTTCTTAGGTTCAGTAGCCCCTATTACGTTACTGGTTCCGATGTCCTTCACTTTTTTAGGGACACTGAACTCAAGTTCCCAAGTGCATTTTTCCTCCATGGTGTCCACACACGGCAGCCAGTGCGAAGCACTCGAATTCCACTCGGTATTGGTAGTACACGCTGTCCACAAATGCTGCTCACGGGATGTATCGAATTGAAGTCCATTCGTTGGGTTCTGAAGCTGGTAATTGATTTTGATTGTGATCGGGGAATAAATGGTGTCCTGAGCGGGGGTACGAATTGAAGGCGTGATTGGCGTGAACGAGGATATCGCGTTTGCCTCTTGGAGTGTGATTTTGACGGAGGGTGGGATGCGTATTGTTAGTTGCGAACGGGTGGCATCAGACGTTTCTGAGGGCGGATTGAGCTCTGCAAATTTGTTTCGAAGGAAATGCGCTTGCTCGACCGAGTTGTTATCGAAGAGCGGTGACTCGGAAAGTTTCCCACTGCTGTATTTGTCCGCATACCACCGGAAAGGGTCGTCGTGAATGTAATTATCACATCGTCTATTCTCGACAATGACACCTGTGATGTTAATTTCTTTGCAATCGAGCGTGACATACTCCAGCTTGTCACTCAGAGGTATCAGTATGATCTCTGCACACGCACTTAACGAATGGGTCGATATATCGACGTCTATAGACACCCGCTGATGTGCAATTTTGAACGCCGTTCTGGGAGTAGCAGCGAGCATTTGAGACCCCAGGCCCGACTTAGGAGTGCTCTTATAATACGCCATGTGTTAATTTGAGTAAGGCGTGATAATTCTGGTAGAAACGGTCGCCTTTTGGGACTGTCAGATGCTAGTTTTATGGTGAGATCCTACCTCTTGGTTCTTTAAAGTATGTGTATAATTACAATTTACCTACTTGTTTATGATCACGTGAGAAGTGTGTCGATGGTGTGTACTCGCGAGTCCAGTACGGCAACCTTTCCGGCTTAAGGCTGTGTGGAAAAGAGCTTTCGAAGGGACTAGAATGATCTCTGGTTTGCACGAATTTAGCTGCTATTTTTTTGTAGTCGTAGGACGTTTTTAGGACTGCAGTATGGACTATTTCGAGATTTGAATTAATTATTGAAAACGACGGTGGAGGACATACATTTGGGGAAGTTAGTGCATCATTGTGGCTGTGTTTTTGGTACATCCTGGGTTCTTGCTGTTGTGCTCCCCAGAGCTTACGATGAGCTTAAGAGATGTACTTTTATAAAACACGTCTGTAAAGGGCTAATTATTTAGGATTTATTTACGAAATTTGATGAAGAGTTGTAATAGCCATGGTATGTGATAATTTTTGGCTTTGTCCTAGCCCAAATTCGTAGCCCAAACCTAAACTCTAACGCTATTTCTTGACGAATCTTGCTCAAGGTGACCAGGATCCCATCAAAGTGACATAGAACTACAAACTGATATGTGTTTAAAGCGCTGATTTACGATACTCGTTAGTCGTTCTACGAGAGTGAGGGGATTTGCGTAACGGAATCAACGTCCTCGGAATCCACAGATTTAAACACTCAAAGCTACTTATCATCGCCGTGTCAGAATTGTGTATAGTGATATGCGAAATAAAACAAGTGTGTCTTGAACCAAAACCAAGATTCCCACGATTCTACTTTCAGCTCAGCTCTCACATCTACAATTGGGCTGTTCTCTCATCTTCAGAAGGGCTGAACCTGCCCTCAGACCCTCGATAAGCCTGTTTTCTATCACTTTTTTCCAAACAGTCACCCGAAGATCAGAAATAAGTGAAAAATATCCATACTGTAGCCCTTGTCGTAGTTAAACTGAAATAAAATATCACCAACTTACTCGAGCATTTTGGTCCTTCCTGACGCCGTAAGCTCGTCGCAATGATCCCCGAGCCTATTGATCCTGCTCTACTCCGAGAACACGCGTTCCAAGACTCTGGGGACCTCGGCATAGTACTGGCAAAGGAAACGTACACCGAGCTTGGAGGATTCAAATCGATATTCGAATATGGACTTGGATATTTCAACTACGGGTTTGGGTTGACCCGTGAAGTGCACGAACGGAGCATGGCGTGCATTTTGAAATCGCATGTTCTGGATCATTACGGTTTGTACAGTTGCGTGGCCTTGATTTTGGCTATCCTATGCTATATCGCTCTCATGCAGGGCCTTAGGGGCGCTAAATCTGTCAAAGCCGACAAAGACGGTGACAACGTGTACTATGTGAAGGTTTGAGGAAATTAGAAGTCGTGTTTACAAGTCGTGTTTATAAGAACGGTCTTGGATTTCGGTGTGTATATGTGGATATATATATGTACTGCGTACATCGTCAGATCCTGTCAGTAAAAAACAATACTAGATAAAAGACAATGTGAACAACAAGTGGTGGAACAATTGTTGTGGGGCCCCTAGAGAGGTTTTTGGTCGTCAATCCAGGCCTCAGATTTCAACTCAGGCACGATCGTCAAAACTTTACCGGTCTTTATCACAGACTCGACGTTCTGCACCACGAACTCTTCCATTTTCTTAATCGTTTCGACGGTGTGTGTGCCCATGTGAGGCACTCCACACACGTTGGGCAAGTTCAAAAGCTCATGGGGCACCTGGGGCTCGTGTTCGTAGACGTCAAGGCCAGCAGACCTGACTTTGCCCAATTTCAAGGCTTCAATCAACGCTTGTTCGTCGATAACGGCACCACGGGCGGTGTTGACGATCACCACGCCGTCCTTCATCATATCAATGGCCTTGGCGTCCACGATATGGCGGGTCTTGGCGTTCAAGGGAATGTTGATGGACACCACGTCTGAGATCTTCAAAAGCTCGTCGAACCCCACGTATTCGCACCCGTTCTCGAGCTCCGGTGCCAATCTGTTCCTGTTATGATATACGAATCTCTTGAACCCGAAGGGCTTGAGTCTCTCGACGATGGCGCGGCCAATGCCCCCCAAACCCAAAATCCCCACGGTTTTGCCCTCTGGGTCGTGTCCGATGGGTGCACCTGCTGCAGCACCGGACGAGGGCCACTTGTTCTCGAGCATGCGTCTGTGGCCGTCCTCGAAGTTGCGGAGTGCTCCCAAAAGCAGGTAGACGTGCGTGTCTGCCGTAGCGTTGTTCACGAGTTCTGGGACGTTCGACACTTGAATGTGTTTAGCAGCGAATTCCGATACATCGATTTGGTCGTAACCTGCACCGTTGTGGCACACTGCAGCAACGCTTTCGGGTAAAGCCTTGGCCAATTCTGCATCGAAACGGCCTGTGTTCTGGACGCTTGCAAAGGTCCTGGCAATAACCTGAGTCTTGGAGATCTTGCTGCCGGAGTCTTGGCATGCCTTGAGAAAATCGGCTCTGGTGCTGTTATCCTCCACAGTCACAACTTGTGCGATTTGTCCCAGTCTTTCCCATGCTTCTTGGGCATACTTGATCGCTCCTAATCTTAGCACAACTGGTTTCGCCATTCTGTTCAATTCTGAGGCTGAGTATATATCTATTTAAATCTAGCACACTGAAAAACAACTCAAGGTCCTGCAAGAGAGTTTGTATGCTGTTGGTGAGTAGTTGACGTTTAGTTTGAAGGTTCGAGTAACGTTTTCAAGTTATCTTTGAGATCTTATATCGCAGATTAACCTCAATTGAATAAAATAGCTATTACCGTTGTGTATCGTAGTACTCTTTTGGCCAATCAGTTGAGTGGAACGGAGTCAATGACGAAAGTTTGGATTCGGGCTTACGCGATGATCACTGGTGAGATAGGAGAGAAGAGAATGTCAGGTGCGAGAAACCCCGGGAAAATTCGTCGTGTAGAGTTTGAGTGATGAGGACTATCTAGGTCAGAGTAGGATATTTCGCGGAAGCGTGGCAAAAGCGTCACGAAAGTTGTGGATCTGGGTTCAATTATCAACAGAGTTTGGGCAGGGATGGATGCTGGATTCGTGCTCGTTTTTCGAATTAGCCTGGGTGCTTCGTGATGACAGATTATCACAGAATGATGTAGTAATTAATGTCGGTCGTGGTTGTTTTCTCAGTGGGCATTGAATTGTGGGATTCAGAGGTGGCAGGGGAGAATCGAGACAAGTAAGATGGAGGGCCAGTTGACTCAAAGTGGCGACAGTTGTATATTTTGCTCTTATCTGTTGAACCAGTTTGTTCTGTCATGTTGATATATGAATATGATATTAATATATCATTTCGAATCTAAGCGACGCTCTGACACGGGACTGGAGAGAGCGATCATAAAAGCCCTGCCAAGAGAGCTTTCCCAGCCATTTTTGTGAATTTTGAAGTGTGTAATGCTTGAATATGGATATTTTGGGATCTGCTAAAGACATTTTTCAGGTTTTTTGAGCTTTGGAGATTACCTTTCGACTATCCTCGACAGTGCTGGTTTTTTCTATAGTAAGGATTTCGACTAATATCAGTAAACTTTTATGTGGAATTGGTATACGAATATGTCGTTCGAGTTGCATGCAAACTTTGCCACAAATCCTTTTACTTCATAGGCGTTTCAAGAAACGTTGGTGTTATAATTCTCGTTCTTCCGTGTGTTGTTACCTTGATGCCCATATATACCATATGTATACAACGCATTCAACCGTTTACTTTACATACAAGCCGATAGACTCCAGCTTCCAATCAGGTATGTGCATTAGATTGTCTAGCTTCCTTGACCTCTCAGAAAGACCTATCTTTCAAATTAGTGGTTTTTAGGTTTTTGAGTGTAAACTCTTCTCCGACTTTGGCATCCAGCTTGGCCAATTGTTCCGGTGGAAAGTAATTGGGGAAAATTAGCGACACGATTACGGTGAGCAACAGCACTAGCGGAAATCCTAAAGCTCCACGCGTGTTTGTTATGGCAAATTCAGCAGCAAATCCAGCAAGACTGATACTCAAAAACAACACCAGTTTCTTTGTAGGCACGTCTTTCAGCGGGTTGCTTATGTCACGCCTGGACTTCTCGGTGATCATGAAACATACGCGGTCGATTATGGCGTTATTAAGAAGCCCGCTGATGCCCATGATGAAGAAAAGACCCGAAAGTACCGCTTGTGGAATTTCACCCAGACACACCAGTAACGGTCTTGACATCGTGCCCAGGATCATCAGGCCCTGGAACGTGTTTGTGAACCTTTGTTCCACGCATCGTGTTACTTGGCCTTTGTCGTTACGCACCAGCAGGGCTTCGGTGTGGAGTGGAGCCTGTGGTATCAATCCGTTCGGTGCAGGGATACCAAGCACGCCGCTTACACCTGTAGTTAACCCCAAAAGTGCAAAGTCGTAGTGGAACGTGGACGGTTTTTTCAGTTTGTATTCGGATCGCTGCGCCATTAACGACGATACGTTGTGGTCGAAGTAGAATAGAATCGTTAGAATGATCCCGAATGGAAGGGCTATGAATACGTCTCTAACCGGGATCTTGAAATACGCAAGCCACGTACTGCGGTCTCTGAGGTGTGAAGTGGGGTGGAAGGATTTGGTGATGGGTAGCTTTTGGAAATGCACGTCATTGAAGTACCCGCCAAAATGCGTGAACGCGGACCAAAAAACAACGGAGAGGGCCGTGGAACAGTCTGCGATGAAAGTGCGCAGCTTCTTATTGAAAAATGGGGTCCGAACCACAAGCTTGGCCGCAAGTCCAAAAGCAGTCATAATGAGCGCAACGACGATGCTAGCGTATCCGGCAGTCAAGTCGAGCGAGCCTTCGTGACGAAATTGACGGGTGAGGATCTGAATGCCCTTTTGAACATAAACCACATTGATGAACAGGCCAAAAATATCACACGGGAACTTCGTAACGTACTGTAGCAAGCACACCGCGTTGCTTACGGCCAGTATGAGGTGCAGCACCATCGACCAGATACAGACCCAAAACATAAACCCAAAGTAGTTTGAGTTTAGCGACTTGATGACGTCGTAGACGGTATAGTTGAAGATCGCGATCGGGCCTGTGACGCCCACGATGCACAACGGCTGGCCCGAGAGCACTCCAAAAACGATACCACCCAGCGCGCTGGCCAGCAGCACCTCATTGACTCCATAGGAGTGGTTTGTGCGGTCAAACATATCCTGGGCAAAAGCAATGGCCGGGAGTAAGTTGTTGAAATACGTCTCTATCACGCTTGGAATCACTCGATAGTTCCAAGCATCGGTCCAATCCGAGACGTATGTCGGCAGCCGGTCCTTGACATCGCGTACAATTCCAGCCAAAGGCCTGGGCAACTTTCTGACCGAATTCCATCGGTGTCGGCTGGATTCATAGCTAGCGTCGCCTGATCTAACCAGGTCGCTTGTAACCTCGGTTTTCGCCAGTTTAAAAAAAAGTATTGTAAAGCAAACACACCACTTTCGCGTGAGCTGCTGTTCCGTGGTGATTTCTGTAAGGATTGGCCTTCAAGACTCGACTAACATGCGCGTGCGTAATGCTGAACTCTTAATCCTGAACCCTGTGCGTGCGGTAGAACGCAATTAAAAATCTTGTCTTATCACGTGATCCGAATAGGGCACCAAAATCTCAAATTTGTAACACATCGATGAGATTAAAGAGCACATTCACATGCGAATTCCATCATAAAGCTGACACCAATGAAAAGAAGAGAGTCTCTTTGTACTTACAATGACCTCTCTCAGATTTCATGGGGCTCCAATGCCGTGATAAGCTGAAATGATGTGGTGTCACGTGCCGTGATGATTCTGTCAGTCAGTCAGTCGACCGCGACTGGCAGCATTGTCTGCTCCTGATGTGTTATGCATTCGTCTTGTGGACCGACGTTGACACGCACAAGTTGAGGTTGTGTACTTGGTGGTTCCGATATTATCAATTAAAATAATTTGGCAAGTCTCTTCCTGGCCCCACGGAGGTAGGATCAAGCGCTAGCATTTGAAATGTTCGAGGTATCTTTTACTTTTCTTTAAGCAGTTTAATTTTGGTTGATGAAGGCGATTTGGTTGTGCTATGCAATGCACATGATATATATTATCGGTTGCTGTGTTCTACAGCACCCATTACGCAATCTTGCGAACAATTGTTACCCAGCAGGTGTAGATAAGCCCTTTAATTAGATGCAGGTCCTGACGTTTGGCCATCTCCACGAGTGTCTGCATTTTTTTTCGGGTTCACACATCGATTTGTGTTGGTGAAAGCCGGTCAGGCATTGAGAGTTGAGCTGACATCTCATTGTCAAGCACACTGAACACCGCTTGTACGGCATTTGCATTCCGTAAAGCTGTCAAAGTATCATGATTTGAACATTTCAATCTCAATCCTCGTTGTCACGATCACAGGCATCCAAATAATGATAATCGTCCAGAAAAAAATCGTAAAGTTTCCACGACGGTAGTACCGTGCATGCATGCCAGATAGCATGAGCGTCAATTTGCCATCTGTAACTGAAAAAATCGAATAATTCACACGACATGAATAGTGAAGTGCTAACGACTAAGGCCACGGGCACCACGCAAAGTTTAAAGATCATCGATTGGCGTGGCATATAGTGAGCTTTCCGAGGCATTCTGCCAAGCGCCAGCCGACGGTAATTCTTGGAAGCCAGTAAAAGTAGAAGCACATACTGTAAAACACCAAAAAATACGTTAAACCGCATATTGTAGGTGTAGGACCAGTCCAAATACTGCCGCACGATGTGCATGCCAAAAATCAGCACAACAAGACCAGACACCAAGTGGCGATACGTATTTTGGCGATCTAGTCTTGCAACACGGATGAGAATGGCGTGAAAGCCACTCAGGACGGTAGCCCCCGCGAAAAAATAATCCAGTTTCTCTGTGATCTCCAGGTCACGGAAATGGAAAATGGTACTCGAGCTCCAGGCAAGCATGCCTGCGATGGCGACATAAAGATACTTGTTGAGCACTGAGCGAACATTTCTGTGCGACGACGACGACGATCTTATTTCGCGCTGCAGCAGCTGGTAACCTCGGTAGTGAGGCATAAAATTGGCCATGCTGAACACCGTGGAGAATAGTTCTTGCATTCCAAAAATTCTCTTGAATGGCCATTTGCCGTGAAATTGCACAATTGGTTCGCCATTCTGAATGCGCATTTTAGTGATGATGTGCTGGCATTGGTAGTCGCAATGAGATGCGCAATCCCACAACAGCAAATTTCTCGACAGCGAAGAAGCGTGGTAAAAGCCAGATTGTGACTCATCAATGAAACTCATGGATAATTGTTCGTCGAAACCGGGACATTTCATAACCGCCTGGCAGTCTTCAGTACATTCAATAAACTCGTCCAATCTATCACCAATTGAGCCCTGAGCAACCTTTAGCGCTGTAATGAAAATCAACAGCTTGTGCAAAGCTAACATCTTCTAAAATGGGAAAAACACACCTTGAAATGATATTCGCTCGCACGTTTGAAGATGAAGTTTTCTGGAATGTGGGTTCTTGGATGGTTCGAGCCGACGATATGTATCGGCATCTTTTGATCTTAAATCACTGTCTACGATACAGTGTCCAGTTCACGAATCAAAGCGGCTCTGCTCACCTTGAGGAAGTGGCTAAGGTCTCCAGTGTCATTGAGATTGAGCTCTAGTTCATCTAATGTCTTTCGTGACAACGATGGTCGGGATTCAGTCAGTTTGTACTGCGTTTGGGATAGATCTAGACTGATTTCACACGACGCGGTGGGATCGGATTCCGAAACCCTGTGAAACACGAATTGCAAGACCTGCGGTGCTGGTGCTTCGATATCGAGACCTAATACATGGCTGTAGGCATTCACCTCGGCAATATCCCGCTGTTGCTGCTCCTGAATGTGCTTTCGCTTGTTACGAATTTCATCATGCTTCTCGGTTAGCAAGTGTTGTAGCTTGTTGGCATCGGCGGTCAAAGCGGCCCTTTCGTTTTCAAGCTGCTGTTTCCGAAGCCTATACACCTCCATTTTGGCAGCGTTTTCGTCCTTTTCCCGTTCTGAACTCTCAATTTCTGACCGTGTTAGTAGCGTGCACGTTGAAAGTACAAGATTAACCTTAAAGTCGCTACATACCATTTTTCAGCGTCTTTTCATCTTCTATAAGCTGTGTTAGCTTTGCTCGCGACTTCTGTTGCTGAATTTCAAGGCTGTCGACATCTGCTTTGTATGCATCTATTGTCTTCAACAAAGTCAACTTGTGGTTTTCCAAAGCGACCCGGAGCTTTTCCTGAAATTCCTCCATCGCTCCCTGAAGCTCTGAAAACTGACCGATCGCCATTTTGAACAGATCCTTAGCCTTTTATATGTGTTTTTGTTTAGATGTTTACAATTCCTGAAGCGCTGACATTAACTCGATTAATTAAAATTCAGTAACGCTACAGTAACTTATCAAGAACTGAAATCAGCCTTTTACGAGACAAACACGTCTATCGGCTTCTAACTGTTCTTAAAGACACCTTGGTAGTCTCAAGTTTAGTTGTGATTTAATATTGGTATTTCTTAAATACTATTGCGCTTCTAGCATTGACTGGTGTTTAGCGAGATTGTACGATACGATGAGCAGTGAAGAAGGAACTAAAGACATCAAGTTTCTAACATTTAACACCTGGGGTCTCAAATATGTCTCTAAATTTCGCGAACAGCGATTGAAGGCTATTGCTGAAAAGCTGGGTGGTAAATCGAACGCATTAGCTCTACATGGCCTCTCTACAGCCCACTCTGGTGTGGATGATTACGATATAGTAGTACTGCAAGAAATCTGGTGCAAGTCTGATTGGGACTATATCGAACGTAAATGCCAACACAAGTATCCATACCGTCGACTATTCTATTCTGGCATTCTAGCTGGTCCTGGTCTGGCGATTTTGTCAAAGATTCCGATCGAATCCACGTTTTTGTACCGTTTCCCCATAAATGGCAGACCCAGTGCATTCTTTCGAGGCGATTGGTACGTGGGCAAGTCGGTGGCTGTCACGCTGCTGAGACCTAGCAGTGCAGATGGGTACCCCATGGCAATTCTGAACAGCCACATGCACGCTCCGTACGCAGCAACTGGTGACGCGGCGTATTACTGTCATCGTTCGTGCCAGGCGTGGGACCTGAGCAAGCTGGCTAATCTGTACAAGCTGGCTGGATACGCAGTGGTCATTGTGGGGGATCTCAACTCGAAACCGGGGACTTTGCCCCACAAGTTTCTCACCAAAGAAACCGGGTTCGTTGACTCGTGGGAACAACTACATGGAGAACAAGATCTGGCACACATTGCCAAGCTGGAGCCGCTGCGTCAGATCGAATACGGCGGGACTACGTGCGACTCCATAATGAACACGTGGCGCTCGATGCGTCAGCCCGACGAGGCTTGCAGACTGGACTACGCCTTGATCGACCCCAGCAGGCTCGAAACGGTGCAGGCATGTGTAAAATTCACGGAAAGAATTCCAGAAATAGGCAGTTTTTCGGACCATTTCGCATACAATTGCACACTGCGTCTGCGTCCGCGAAACGTCAACTCCCACACGCACGAAGAAACCAACAGAGCAACGATTGTGGAGCGTCTGGAAATATACGAGGACATGCTAAGGGTCCTTGGACACTACAAGAAAGTGGCAAATTGGCAGAAAATGTGGCGGGGCACCCATTTCTGGCTATCTGTCCTATGCATCTTGGTGGTCCATATTGCAATCACGTTTACGTCAAATCGCGCCGGTTGGTCTTCTGTTTTCTGGGCATTTTTTCTCACTGTGGTTGTTGCTACAGGGCTGATTGACGGCCTGATTTCATTTTTGTTTGGCAGAAGTGAGGTTCGTGCGTTGGAAGAGGTTAAGCTGGAGGTTTTGGATGCCAAATTACACGCCTACAGGCTCCTAGAGCATAAGATCTGAGGAAGAAAAAACAAGAGAAAGTGGAAAACAAACTAACCAGAAGTTACCGCGATACCACCCCCGTCACACGCATTTTTAATGTCTTGCGACAGAATTTGACATTTCCGTCAATTTTCTTATATACACTGTCGTCGTCAAAAGTCTAACGAGTAAACAAAATCTGCTAAGAAATTAACAATTTTAAAGAAAAACACGAAACCAAAAGCGTGAAAATAATAAACCCAAGCAATGAACGATAGCCCACAACTATGTCACAGAAGAAAGAAGCCAAACAATCATTTCTGGTCAAATCTCTAAAGGCTTTTCGAATCCTCAGATGCCGAAACATCATAATAAACGAATATCACCACTTTAGTCACTAAATACGTAGTGAGCTCTGAAAAACCATGTAAGGGGGCCTCATCTCAGTTCACAAGTTAAACCATCACAACCAAAACACAAACGTCAAACATCAGTATATGTGCCCCAACCAAGCTGGAAGTTGTTACCAATGGCCAAGAAAAAACAATCAGGGCCGGAAAGCGCGGTTCGGGCTGCCCAGGAGGGCCGTGCACGTGGCGGTACGGGCTCACAGTTGCGATGGATGAGATCGCTGTCGCCCGTGGGGAAACTCTACCGTTCTAGCGCCAGTTTGATTCATTTTCCAGGAAAAGTGATTTATAGTGGGAATGTTATACCAATGGCCGGCGACAGTGAAGAAAACATGTCTTTGGACTCTGGAGGGAAAGACACAGAGCCCGATTTGGCTCGTCCATGTGGCATGGCGAAAAGTATCGTGGGTCTGCTTACCACGGCCAGTGTGTATGCTGGAATGGGCGATATGGAGCAGGCAGAAGAAATCTTTGAGGACGAAGAAGACGGAGAGGACGAAGAAGACGGAGAGGACGAAGAAGACGGAGAGGACGAAGAAGACGGAGAGGATAACGAGGAGGACAAAGCTGAGGTGACCAATGCCGCCCACGAAGAACAAAACGAGCCAGAGTTTGTGCCACCTGAGCACGCAGATGAGAGCTCAGACAGTTTGCAAACCGTCAGCGATCTCAATTCCCTCGCAGACACGATCACTCACGTCTCGAAAAAGGACACATTGTTCGAAATCTCCGTGGTTCCCAACCATGACGCGACGTCCATACAATCGACGTCCTCCGGATCTCGTCAACTAAAAATATACCGGAAATTACTGTCGCGATTCAACTTGAACGAAGCTGACGACGAATTTGTTCTCAAACAGTCCTGTTGGCTCCTCAAGGATCTGCTCATTCAGGGCCATATCGTCTTGACCTCCCGGCACCTATTGTTCTTTGCATTTTTGCCAAAATGCACCGGCACTGCTAAAATGTCGGGGACCCTATCCACATATTCCGGCGGCTTAAGAGGCAGATGGACTCGTTACTGGGCTGTACTGAAGGATCACACGTTGTCACTTTATAATTCGCGTAAGGACCTATATTTCCCATTATTAACCATCGATTTGAGGTACGCAAGCCGAATTGAACTTGACAAGCGTGGAAATGAAAGCACGAGTTTTTTCAAGATCCACACAGAGACAAAGAACTACAGATTCAGTGCAGACTCTCATTTCGCGTCTCGCTCATGGTCAAGTGCCCTCAAAAAGCAGCTTTTCACTACTCGGAATTCTGAAAACGACTCTATGTCAGTGAAAATTCCTTTGGCCAACATCATCGACGTTGATGAGCAAATGCTGGTCGCGCAGTCCGTCACGCTTAGAATCCGTGTGCTGGAGAGCCCGACTTCTTTTGCGGTGGATGATTACTTCTTCATGTTTTTGGGCAAAAACGAAATGAACCTAAAACAAATCATCAACGAGCAGCTTTCGAAAATGGATAAACCATTGATCAAAACTGCAAACACGAGTCATGGGCCAGCTCCTAATCTTGATTCCCAAGCTATGGAGGTCAATTCTCCAGAAAAAGCTGTACGTGGTCGGTCTGATTCTAATTCCAGAAAAATAATCAGAAGAGTACTATCGCCAGTTTCTCGAGTTCGCAGACCATCCTTCTCTGTGCATGTACCGTTCAATCCTAAAAGTCCGCAGCGTGCTTTACGTCTTCTCAAGACAAGAGATGATAGTGTTGGAAATATTAGGATTTCTAACGGAGACACCGAAGGTGAAATTAACCGAGATTCTCTCGAGGAAACTGCAGAGTTGCTGAGTTCGAGTGGTGTTCCGATAACGCCGGTTGCAACGTCTGACAGTGAGGAGTCTGCAGAACTGTCAGATGATGCGAGAGCAGGAACATCCAAATTTGCAAGTTGGACTCCACAGCCAATCAAAAACATGGGCAGTATGTGGGGAGCCCATCCCGTCCACTATAGAAACGAAGATGCAGACGTGTTCCCGGATGATGATCAGTATTTGGCTAGCGCAAAAGAACAAGCGGTTGCAAGCAAAAGATTTAGATCGCACTTTTCTCTCAAACAGAATGAGAATCTGAGAGCCGCCTATTACACTCATTTGAACAAAAACATCCCGGTGTATGGAAAGCTTTATATTGGCTCATCCGTTATTTGTTTCAGGTCTTTGATTCCTGGTACCAAAACGAAGATGATTTTGCCTATCGAAGACGTTGAAAACTGTTTTAAGGAGCGCGGTTTCCGCTTCGGGTACTTTGGACTAGTCCTAGTAATTCACGGGCACGAGGAGCTCTTTTTCGAATTCAGTTTGCAAAGTTCCAGAGATGACGCAGAGTTTGTTACTTTGAAGCAATTAGACTCCATAAAGCTAGACGCAGGTAGTTCACTTAGTATGGCTGATGGACTATCTCAAAAACTCAGAAATGCCGATATTTCATCGGAGCAGCAGTCTACTGAGGCAGGAAAGCTAAGGCTATTTGAAGACAAAATAAATGCCGAAGGATACGATCTTCCCATGATGGTAGAAGAAAGCCCGTACTACAAAACCAGTATCACACCGAAGAAGTCCTACAAATTTGGGCTCCTTACCATCGGATCTCGTGGTGATGTTCAACCGTATATTGCGTTGGGAAAAGGTTTGCTGAAAGAAGGGCATCGTGTTACCATTATAACTCATCTTGAGTTTGCAGACTGGGTTAGATCCCATGGAATAAAATTTAGAGAGATTGCCGGCAATCCAGCTGAATTAATGTCCTTAATGGTGCAGCATGGTTCTATGAATGTGGGTCTTTTACGCGAAGCTTCTTCACGATTTAGAGATTGGATTACAGAACTTTTCGAAACATCTTGGCATGCATGTCAAAATTTGGACATTCTTATAGAATCACCGTCTGCCATGGCTGGTATCCATATCGCAGAGGCACTTCAAATTCCTTATTTTAGAGCATTTACCATGCCATGGACCCGGACTAGAGCATATCCACATGCTTTCATTGTTCCCGACCAGAAAAGAGGCGGCAACTACAACTTCTTCACTCATGTCCTCTTTGAGAACATTTTTTGGAAGGGTATTGGTGGTCAAGTCAATAAATGGAGGATCGAGACATTGGGGTTGAAGAAGACTAACCTAATGATGATGCAACAGAATAAAGTGCCATTCTTGTACAATATATCACCCGCTATATTCCCACCCTCCGTTGATTTCAGTGAATGGATCAAGGTGACGGGGTATTGGTTCCTGGATGGAAAAGACGATTACAATCCACCACCTGCTTTAACAGAGTTCATCGCAAGAGCCAAGGCGAATGGCAAAAAGCTTGTTTACATTGGATTTGGTTCGATTGTGATCAACAATCCCAAGAAGATGACAAAAGCAATTGTAGAAGCTGTACTTGATGCACACGTTTTCTGCATCCTAAACAAAGGCTGGTCGAACCGATTAGAGGAAGAGACTGAAACAGACCCTGTTGAGGAAGAATTTCCAGATTGCATTTACAACTCCGGATCTGTGCCACACGACTGGTTATTTCCTCATATCGATGCAGCAGTCCATCACGGTGGATCAGGCACTACAGGAGCTACACTGAGAGCAGGCCTCCCCACGGTCGTCAAGCCTTTTTTCGGAGATCAATTTTTTTACGCTAGCCGCGTTGAGGACATCGGTGCCGGCATCAATCTCAAGAAGCTCAATAGTAAGACATTGTCGCGGGCATTGAAAGAGGTGACAACAAATTCTCGAATTTTACAAAAGGCACAACAGATCAAAGCGGAAATATCTAAGGAAGATGGAGTTCGCACTGCGATTAGCTGCATATATTCCGAATTGGAATATGCAAAGAGTTTGGTTGCCGCGAAAAGCCAGGATAAGCGCAAGAACATCAAGGATGTTGGCTCACCTGAAGAAAATTCCTGGTTTTTGGTTTAATCTTTATTCGTCAAGTTCAAGGTTATATATATTAGTCTATTCACAGAATTTTCCCCATCACTAAAAACCCCAAATGAGACCGACCTCTTTGCTGAACAATCTCAGCATGCATATTTACCAATTCGTGACTTCTTCAGCTTCACCAAATAGAGAGGCCTTCATAACCTCGCGATTCTCGTCATCGCGCCAAAGGCAAGGCGGAGAGCTGGTTATCTCCGAAACGTTCTTCTTTAGAAAGTCGATAATGTATTCGTTTATCAGTTTGAACTCGAGCAGGAAGGCGTCGTGGCCCTCAGGAGAGTCAATTTTCTTTAGTTCCGACTTGGGCATATGCGCAGCCAGATATTCCTGTTCTGAGTAAGTGAAGAGTCCATCGGATTTGATGCCAATGATGAGAGATGGCTGTTGAATAGACTCCAATACCGCATCCAGTTCTTCTTCATACTCAGTGCGGTCGCGTGCCAGGTCGTGAGTATCGAGCTTTCTGGTAATGGAAATATAACAATTGGCATCGAATCGCTGGATGAACTTCTTGCCTTGGTACCGCAGGTAGCTCTGTGCTGAGAAGTAAGTCTGTGCGGACTTGATGGTTTTTCCCTGCTTGGAGCTAATAGATGATGTAGATGTAGCCGAAGAAACGGATTTGAGGGATTCTGCAGATGAAGTATCGCTGGACTCGCTATTTCTGCGCTCGCGATTGCTGGAATTGGAGCGACTGTGTCCGTCGTTATGAATTGCCAAATTGTGCTCATGCAAACTCGAAGGTTTGGTCTTGTTTAGAGCTTTATTGGACTTTTGTTGGTGGATTAGAGACGGAGACCGTCTGGAGAACTTTTTCTCAAAACTGTTTCTGGAGCGGTAGGTCAGGAGAGCTGACATCCGGGCCGCTGAGAGCCCGACGACAGGCTGGTGGCCCTTGGGATAGTAGCCGTCCAAATAGTTGGGATCGGAGTAAATCGACTGTCTTTGGGCTTCGGACCACGAGATGCACCACGCCGAATGTCTGGCGCTGGTTGCCAGAGCAACCATATTTTTCACGTACTCGCGACCAAACGTCGCGGCCCACTCCAGCGCCAGCATGCCACCCATAGAGCCTCCAATGACACAGGCCACGGATGTGACACCCAGAGAGTCCAAGACTATCTTATGGGCCCGGACGTCGTCGCGAACAGTACACAGTGGAAACTCTGGTCCGTACACCTCGCCGGAGTCTGGATCCACGTTGAGCGGCGAGAACGACCCGTAAGGCGAACCCATGGAGTTCAAACATACGACCAAAAACCTCGACGTGTCGAACGCGAGGTCTGGGCCCAAAAGTGGGCCCCACCAGTCTGCCACGTCTGACGACCCAGTGAGTGCATGACACACCACCAGGACGTTATCACCGCGCTCGTTGATCTGGCCCCAGGTTTTGTAGGCGATTGGGAAATTGTGGATTGTTACGCCGGACTCTAGTTCCAGTTCTGGCACCTCAACAATCTCTTGGTTTTGCACCAACGACACATATGGGTTGGTAGTCTCCAGCGAAGCCACATCAACACTTTTCAAGCTGGATTTCAGCGAATTTCTGCTAGAACACGACGGCATTCCCTTGATATTATTTTTCTCGCTTCTTAATCACACACACTGCGCACAGGTTTAGGTATCGATGCTGAAAGTTCCTAGATCCAAATTTCCCGAATTTTACGAAAATGGACACCGCGTTGCTGGTAAATTAACGAGTAGACTAGCAGACCTGTGATTAAATTTTCGAAACAATGGCGAATCAGTGACGGAAACTGAGGAAAGAATACCTCGTCGTTTGTTCAAATTTCCTCTTTCTTATATCTGAGTCAAAGTTCAACGTTCCCATTTGCTGAATGGCACCGATTCTCAAATTTAGCCGATGCGGGCCCACAACTGTGGCGAGAGTTGCCACGTGACCAGCGGGCGGAAAAATCCAAGTTATTTCAGAGTCACATGAGCACAGCGTGACTTTATGTACACGTGATATTAGTGTGACATACCAAGTAACGTGACCATGCCATGTGACATCAGACGCAGCGTCCTGATTATTTGTCACGTGTCTGTATCTCATCACGCCTGTCGCGCCAGAGACGACGTCTGCTCGTCTTCTGTACTTCTCGTAGCCTCTCCTGCTTCTACTCCTACGTCTTCTGTCTCCTCCGAAACATCTTCCTCCTTACGCAACAGCTTGTTCAGTTGCGAGTCCGAACGTGCAATCAGCTCGTCGAAAGTGCCGGTCTCGGCCACACACCCGGTCCGGTCCAGCACGATCACCCGCGAACTGTGCTGGATCGTGCTCACACGATGCGCAATCGATACCGTGGTTTTGCCTCTCGCGCTACGCGCGTACAGCGAGCGTGCCACGACGTCTTCGCTTCGCGAGTCCAGCGCGCTCGTAGCTTCGTCCAAGATCAGCAGGTCTGCATCCAACAAGAACGCCCGTGCCAGTGCAATGCGCTGCTTCTGACCACCCGAAAGTTGTGCCCCTCTGGGACCTACTAGTGTCAGAAGTCCGTCTGGAAAGCTAGCCAAAAATGCAGAACAATTGGCACGTCCGATGGCCTGTGACACTCGCAGTTCGTCCTGTCTAATCTCCTCGGGCACCGTGTACAGAATGTTGTCGAGAATGGTCCCGTTGAACAACAGTGGTTCCTGTTGCACAATGCCCAACAGGCGTCTGTATTTGCGCAAATTGAAATTCCGAATGTCTTGGCCACCAATCGTGATGCTCCCACCGTCCACGTCATAGAAACGCAGCAGCAAAGACGCCACGGTGGATTTCCCGCCTCCAGACGGCCCAACAATGCATACGTGCTCGCCCGCATGTATGCGTATATTCAAATCTTGGAAAATGGTATGCTGGTGACGCGTTGGGTAAGCAAACTTGACGTTTTTGAACTCAATTGTCTTGCCAGCCAGCGATCCAGGACCAATCCCGCGGGTTGGGTGAATCAAAGGACGACGATCGTTAAGTTCAAACACACGAGCAGCGGCTCCTGCGCCTTTCATCAATTCCGAATAGAAAGACGACATCCCAAATAGTGAGCTACCAGTGTACACCGCGTAGATCATGAAGCTCGAAAGGTCTCCAACGGTCATGGCCCCGGAACGGATCATCGAGGTTCCTGTCAACAGCAATGCCAGAACTGCGACGTTGCCCACCAGTCCCGTAAGACCAAAAAAGCCTCCCGAAGTGATTGCTTCTTTTAGACCCACTTGATAAACTTCTCTTACCTCTTTAGCGTACTGGTTTATGGCTTGTTTTTCGCCGCCGTAGGCCTGTATCGTTCTGGTAGCAGAGAGCTGCTCTTCTGCAGCCTTCGTGAGACCGCCGACCGACGCTTGCAGCGTTCGTGAAAGATTGCGAATTCTTTTACCGTAGATCAAAGCCATAGCCGCCAGTGGGGGTGCTAGCAACATCATTACGCAGGTCAGTTTCCAAGATATATAGCTCATCATACCAAACCCAACAAAGCCTTGTATCAGAGACCGTGTCCCGTCCGACATATTTTGCGTCAGCGATTTCGAGACTATGCTGGCGTCCGAAGACAGTCGCGAGATCAGATCCCCTACTCTGTTGTTGTCGAGAAACGTGGCGTCTTGTTGTAACGAGGCCTTGAGTGTTCGAGTTCGCAAGCGCGCGACCAATTTTTCGCCTGTGACTTTGAGGATCACTATTCTCCCCATATTGGCAACTGCACCCACAACGAATATACCAAACAGTGTACCGTAAAATTGCGGCATGGTGAGTCCAAAGATCTGTTTGTCGACAGTCACTGTTGCTGCAGAATCTTGTGAATCTTCTGTATCGTCCTCTTTCGCCACGTCCATCAGCTTTCCGATAACGCTTGGAACCAGCATGCTCACAGAGCTTGATACAAGGATCAGGGCCAGTGCAAAGAACATTGATCTGGATTCTGGCCTTGCCAACTGGAACAATCGTTTAATATCTTTCCATCCCGATGAATTCTGTTCTCCCTGCGTCAAAGACTGCCCATTTTTCGATCCCTCACTGTGTTGCCACCTCAATTGTCTCACGGGAGTCGCTAAGCGCAACTGATGAGCCAAATTTGGCCTGTGGAATGATCTTGAGCTCGTATTGATCAATTTTATACTTGAAGTTACCGCTGAACGACCGAGTTTTGGGCCCAACTTCCTCACCAAATTTCCATTGTGTAGAGTCCTGATACCCAAAGTCAACAGCCGCATCTAAAATAAAGACCAGAAACCACTGTCTTAGCTTCGGATGATTGATGGGGATCAAGTTGTGAATATTGATGAACATTTCCTAAGATGATGAGAATCTGGGTTAATTAACGAATTTTAAGATAAACGAGTACAAAAGTACTCATGATGCTTTTCAAGACGGCGAGTACCCGACGGCTGTTAATCTAGCACGAGTACAGGTGACAGAGCCTACAGCGTAAAAGAGCCAAAGGAGAGATGAACTTCGAGAATTGCATTGAGTATCTATCAGTAGTACTAGTACGCAGGTTCAAGGGACGCCACACGCTTGATAGCGTTTTATTTGAATGAAGAGGCTCGAAAGCCCAAGAAAATTTGGTTAAAATTGAAACAGTAAGATTACAGATCTCTTCAGCCAGCCAGCCAGCAAACTTTGGTAGGTTCTCGCTCTATTGTTGGTAAGGATTGGCGCTGTAGGGGTTGGGATAGTTGGCAGTGGCAGGCATGAATTGAGAAAATCCGCCCGCCATGGGCGAACGAGGCTTTTGGGTTGCGGGCTTCATGGCTGGAGGCTGGTTCACAACAGGACGCATTGGCTTCATGTGGGGTGGAGGAGCCGACCCATATGTGGGGCCTCTTGCGTAAACAGGCTGAGCTCCCGGTGGCACGGCCCCCATATTGGCTGGGACCTGCCGGCCGTAGGGATTGGACATGCCAGTAGGAGGAGCAGGAGAATAAGATCTCGACCCATAGCCCGCTGGACGTGGCACGGCCGCAGGCGTTTGATTTACAATTGGCACTTGCTGAAGCATTGGAACCTGTTGAGACATTGGCATCTGCTGGGGCATGGGTACCTGCTGGGGCATAGGCATGTGTTGAGGCATTGGCACCTGCTGGGACATTGGCATTTGTTGAGGCATGCCCATGGGCACGCCCCTTGGAATAGGACGATGGTGGGGTCTAGCACTACCCGAGGCCATTGGTGCCGGCTGTTTCCCATGCACTGGCGAAATATCGTTCCTGTTTGCACTTACCGCGTTCAAATTTGCATATCCAGGCGAATGTTTCATGGTTGTTGCCTTCTCGTTGGGGCTTTGATCAGTCCCCCTTCCAGTAAATGCGTGCTCTTGAGGATGGAATTTTTGCGAAGTAGGAGTCACAACTTGCTTGTTGGGCCTCTGCTTGGGAATCACTAGCGGCGACACTCTGCCAGAAGCATTCATTTCGCGGCTAGGAGAGGTTCTTGTCACTGGCTCAGACTTCCCGATCGACTGCTGACTAGGATTGCCGACCCCATACCGAAACTTGCTTTCGTTATTCGTATAATGACTTTCGTTGTCTAGCATTTGGTTCTGTTCCAAGTAATCAGGATCGAAAACATTGTCAAGGGAATTGTTGACACTACCGCCAGCTTCGAAATCAAAATCATCAGTGTCTCTTTTATTAGAATACCCACCGTTGTCCATTTTCTCCTTGCTTCCCAATCCCATCTGAGAAATCTGTTGAGATAGACTGTAGAAATCCTCTAAAACGTCGTTTTTCGCAGATGTCTCGTTACGGGAATTTCCTCCGTCCGAATAATAGCTATTGGCATTGCTGCTTCTATCAGCGCCACCCTGCGCCCGTAAAGCTCTAGAGAACTCCGTGTGATCAGTACTGTTGGAGTCTCGTAGATTCGAAATATCCAAATTTTTGACAGTAGGTGACCTCGTGTAATCTTCATACGCTCCAGCAGAGTCGCGGGCCTGTTCACCATATGCCAAATAAGGAAGTTCATGTTCTGAAGTTCCAAATGGGACCTGAGAGTACTTGTCATATATTGTCGAGAGCTCCGACTTTCTTGCGGGAGCGTCTTGAGCGCGAGGTTTCTCTGCTCTTTCAAAATTCTCGAAATTCGATTGCTGGATTTCTATGGTAGGCGTAGCTTTCTTGTTTCTAGCTGGGGTCCGCAACTCTGCCACGGAGCCTGCAAGTTCATCGACTGAGCCCTGTGGTGTTTTCTCGGCATCGGTGTAGATTGAGGAGACGTTTTCTTGAGATTCGGTGTAATCACGGCTTCTTGTGACTCCAGAGGCATTTCTCAGACTCGTCTTGGTTGGCTGGCTCTCTGAAGGGAATCTGGAGATCGATGCCACCAAAGGCGATGTTTGCAGTGGAGTGCTATCAAACAACTCATTGGAGCCAATAGCAGGTGACGCCAACGCACCATTCAAACCTTCACTGGAGCCACAACCGGTGTATCCAGCGTTGACCTTCTTCAGAAGGACATTTTTGATTCCTTCTCTCCACTCTAAAACAGACCATGTCATGTTCGACTTTGAAGCGGCTATCGATATAATGTCTTCCTTCTGCAGGAAATGAACGTGTGGTAAAGTAGGCAAACCAAATAACAATGAGTTCAAATCATGTCTATCTGCAATCAATCGTTTTGGTCTTCCGTAAAGCTGGAACGCGTTCATGGTCGGTATCAAGAAACGGATGATCGTGTCGTAACCGGGCACTGCATGATGTTTTTCTGGCATGATGAATATGTCTGTCTCTTTTGGAGTGTCCTTCTTACCGAATGACACCCGTCCTTCGAGCTTGATCATCGTCGAAGTGTCGATAAGCATGGGCGAAGATGGGTAAAGCGCGTATACGGCACAGGCGTCGGTGACGCTAGTCATAATTTGAGCCTTCTTGGTTTTCTTGTCGTTTTCATAGAAGTTGATTTCACCGCATATGCGTTTGCTCTTACTTTTCTTTGTCGGCTGGGAGATCACAGCATAGCAGCGCTTCCAAGGCATTCCGGCCCCGAATCTGACGCTGACCCAGTCCTCGTAATTGAACTTTGTGTCGGCGAGGATGACCCTGATGTCTCCAAGTTTGGCTCCCTTGGTCGACAAGAAGGCACCTGTGTAGGCTTCTTGCAAAGCGGTGAACTCAAAGGCGCTGAGCCTTAGCGAAGCGTGCCAATGAGCGAAGGCGTCAGCGTCGCTGAATTGTAGGAAGTATCTGTTTTTCAGCGTGGTGGACGCTACGATCGTGTGATTGAGCTGTTTCTTGCCCTCAGCAATCACCGCTTCTTTGGGACCCAGTGGTCGGAACGATGCATCGGTGAAATTTATGTAGGTTGGCTTGGCAGTGGCCTTCAGAAGTTCCTCTGGATTGTTTCCATTATCGGCCAGGACGCGAGCGTCCCAAACGGCCAGCTGTGTGCCAATGAGAACACCATACACTTCTTTCCAAGTGCGAGCGGCTGGAGAGCCGTCGCTATTGAGGTCTTTGAGAATGAGAAAGACGCCTTCGTGGTAGCGGCGGTGTGCCTGTGCTGACAGAAGCGTGACTATTGGCACTAGTTCTGGTGGGATTGCTGCAGTAGATATCTGCTCAAGTGGTGGCACAGTTCTGCGCGGAGAGCTATCGCTGGAGGAGAAAATTCGGGAGAAGCTGGACGATCTAGAACGCGATTTTTTGTCGTCTGCGTTCTGGAAGGGCTTGGGCGGCGCCAGAAAGCCCTTGGCAGGCGAAAGCTGGCCCATTTTCATGACTGGAGACACTTAGAAGAATTGTGCAAGCTGGCGGTGCAAAAAAAAGTGACCAAACGACGTTATAGGAGAAAGGGTTTAGGCTCTCAAGTGTTGCTGAAAGAATGATTTTACTTCTGCAAACCTAAGAAACAAAACACAAATATCACTGGACGCCGAATTCGGTGCTTATTCCCACAAAGAATCCTTCAAGTCGCTGTTATTTCCGAGGTTCCCACGATTGTCTTCAACGGTGATGTTCTTATCGAAAAGCGGTCCAAATTGCTTCAAAAATATTCTTTTTGAAGCCAAAGACTACTCAAAACTGCTGTCAACTACAACAATACAAGATGTCTTACTGTAACTCCTTCACAAGAGCCTATAGTCCGATTTCTCACAATTATCGGCACCTAATTTGTTGATATCTTTGATTTGACTTTGAGCTTTGCAATAACTGAAAACTTAGAGCTCACCTTCTAGTTCTTGCTTACCTAAGCCGGATTCAGCACCATTGTAAAAAAAATGGCGATGAGCCACTGAAGAATCCACAGTCCCAGCAACGAAAGGGCCACTGCTAACTCGAAAATGGTGGCGGAGTAGAATTGACGTAAGACCACATTTAAGGCATCTTTAGCCGTTTGAACCAGCTTCTGAGCTGCCGTAACGGGCCCGATAGCGTTGGAATTGATTAAAGTCTGTTGTGACTGCTGTTGTGCCGAGTTGTTGTCGCTACGGGCCCATTGTTGGATCGCAGCAGGGTCTATGAGTGGTATAGGAAAGTGTAGGTTGTCGTGGAGCCAAAGGAGCGCCTTTTGGATCTTAATGAGCTTGTTTTCGATCGTGCAGCGCACAACGCTGGTCATCGGGCCGTACAGCAGGGTGCCATTGAAGAAATCGGCAAGCGCAGTGTCGATGTCATCAATCGCAGCAGCAACAGTGTGATTTAGTACAGTAGTGGCGTCCTGGCTCCAGCCGAAAACCTCGCTATTGAGCTGCGTGCGCGAGGCGTTGATGTAGTCGTTTGTGGCAAGCACCCAGCGCGCCATGTCGTCGTGTAGACTGGCGTTGGCGGCGCTCAGGACAGCCTGCGATACTTGGGAGGCCTTGGGGTCCGCCAGGGCACGTTTCGCGACCGCCAGCAGCACAAACTGGCATATGCACATGACGAGTCCTGCAAGGGCTATTCCGAGCACTGTGAGCGCCCGAGGCGACATGGCATACGCCACACACCATCTTATTTTGCGCCGCGTGCGAATGCTGGTTGTCAGCTTGCTTGCAAGCCATTTGCCGAACGCGAACGGCCATTTGTCGAAGACTTGTTGGTAGTTTTCGATAACGTCGGTTTTGGCCCAAGGTGTGCCTTCAACGGCCGTCTTTTCGTCTGATATGTCCTGCAATCTGCGCAGCCGCGTCCACTGCTTATATTCAGACCACACAGATGGCACCATTGCGGCAAACGCGCCCACAGCAAGCAGCGTCACTAAAATAATCACTATCACGCTGATAGTCTTCGAAACGCCAGCGTAAAATTTCACAATGTCAGCCTTGCTCGCAGAGCATATGCCTGTGGAAGTGCCATTGCTGGCGTTTGGAGTGGGCAAATACAATTTCTGGTTGTTTGCCAGCAGCTTGGAAATGTTAACGGTCGAAATCTTGGATCGCACCAAGTCGAATGGTACAGAGATCTCAGCGTGAGTCTTGTTCATGACAGTTTCAAAATTGAGGGTTTTGTGGGCCAGCTCGCTTAACTTTAGGTCGATAGACGACGGGATGTACATGTTTCGCAGCTTGGCAATGCTTAGATTCATGGCATTGACGGACGAATCGACGTCAGACGATGAGCTCCCGCCTTTAAAAAAACTCTTAACGTCTTGCACGGCTTCCAGCACCTTGTTAATGACTCCAGAAAGGTCTTCGAGCCCGGAATCGATGTCATCGCCCACCGCAATCAGCGTGCTGTTCACAACGTCCAGCAGTTTTTCAGTAGTATTTGTAGCGACGTCAACGGCGCCATCCACAGCACTTGTAGCAAGACAAATGTAGGTGCCGAAGTAGAAGTCGAACAGGAATATGGCGACTTGTTCGCCAGCCTCGACCAGCAAAGACACTGTTTTCAGGGTCGCTTTCACTGATTCCTTAATGGACTGCTCCACCAAGAAATTACCAAACTGACACATGTACTGGGGACCTGAGTCCATCAATTGTGAATACATGGCGTCGATGGAGTTGCAACTGTTCAATGCGTACATTTTAGAGCTAGCTATCGCATTGTTCAGGGAAATCGAGAATAGTGTTAGTTTTACTATGATCAGTAACAGCAGCACAGTGTACTGATTTAGCCAAACCTGAGAGATTCGGTCTCGCAATTGTAAATATGGTTTCAGGCCCATTGTAAAAAAAGTGAGAGCATGTTCATAGGCCTCGGAGTTATAGGTCGGTAAAGTGTATTCTAAAGTTACGTTTTTTATACAGCGCTGTGTGTCGTGTTATGAATAATTATGAAACAGGTCCTGAAACACAACGATTCGAGTACCACTAGGTTTCAGGTGCTAGCTCAAAACACTGCATTTCAACAACATTACACTATCATGGCCTTTTTTCATTCTATGTTATGCTACGCTATATGATACCCCAGGCGTCCTCGGCACCATGACAGAACTTGGAACAAGCCACTGACGCAGAAAGTGGGTAATTGGACAGACCGATCTTCTCGTCGACAAATTCGTCCGCAAAATTGTCTCTGCCCCTAGCCATGGCTCCGACAAACACACATATGCTTTCGTCGTCGGCCAGCTTCTGGATGTGATCCTGAGCACGCACCACGGGCGCATCGAACGACAGCGTCACTTTGCGGCACTTGGTGGGCAGATGGTCTGTTATAGGGTTTTTGATGACTTTGAGCAGTTTTTCCTCAGAGTTGACGGACCGGATCGATAGCTTGTGCAGCAGCTGCACCATGAGACCCGAGAATCTTTTGAAAGTTCTTGGAATTCTTACTGTGGGGTTCACCTCGATCAGAACACCGCGACTGGTCTGGATGTATACTTGAAGCTTGCCAGCCTTGTTGATAGGAGAGTCCAAAAGTGTTAGAAGACACTGGTGTGTGATATCGGGTCTGGCTTCGCTGATGTCCCTGCCCATTTTCTTGAGCAAGCCCTGGTGATCATCACAGTTCAGTAGCACGTACTTGTCGCCTCCTGGGCCCGAAGACGAGATCTTGTGGGTTTCCAACGACGCCATTGACAGCACTACGACCATCCTTTGGGTGATCTTGTCCTTGGAGGTGAGCACCGTGGGCGCCTGAGGAACCAGCGAAGCGGGTAGTGACTTTTTCTCACCGGTTTTCAGAGCATCTCTGACCTTAGAATCCTCAACCATGGCTACCAGAACAGCAATTAGGGTCGACGACAGGTGTAGTTTGAAGTCTGGTTCACTGCTCATCGCTGAAATTTTTTGAAACTTTTGAAATTTTTCAGATATTAACACTATAGAGAACTAAACGTCGAAAGACAGAATTCGGAGATGAGATCGGAGACACAACCATTTGCAATGCGAGTAAGCAGTTGTGGTTGAGATTCGATGTCTTCACTTGGGGTTTAGCTTTTTTTCGGCGAAAACTGGATGTCGTTATGATAATTCTTGGGGTTTCAAAAATCAATTCTGCTTAGCGTGCTTGCCATTATCGTGCTATGTCAGCGGTAAGTAGCTCTCGTAACAGAGTCTCACAAGACAATGGATACTTGACGGAGACGGTCTGGGAGTCGAGTCACATCAGCTTTCGATGTGAGACGGACGGGCCGCGATGAGCCGTGTGAAGTGATATATTCTTTTTAAAATACCAAATGTGGGTCCGTTTCGACAGTTTTGATACGCTATACATTTCCATTGTCGAGCCAATTCACGCTGGAACTTGTTTTAGTCGACGCCCAAGGCCAATACGGTTCGATATGATTGACTTCTCGTGATGTTTTTAGGATTGTAATACAATAGCATCACCATTGACGAATGATCTATATCAATTTCAAGCTTCAATAACGTCTATATAAAACACGAACTTGAAGACAAGTAACAGCTTCGATTCGGCCAGGTTGATGAGTCCCTCAGCATGGATGACTGGCTCGATGATGACGATGAAGATGACGAATTGCTGGACACCCTTTCGAAAAAGCCGCCCAGAGAGCTAGGAAGCCTCTACCCGCAAGCCCCACCATCTCAGAATGATGGTACAGCGCAATTGCTGAAAGCTCAGGGCGAAGCTAGCATGCTTCGCGATCGAATCAAGATCATCGAGAAAGAAAAGGATCAGGAACGGAAACTACTGTTGCAAAAGAGTAAAGAACTAGAACAGAAACACCAGCAGGAACTTGAATCTTTGAAAGCTGAGCTGCAAAGGGCAGAAGATGAGAAGAAGTTTTTGGCATACGCTGGAAAATCACATCTGAAAAGCAGTAGTTCCGCCAATGCAACAGTCGTGCCACAGTCCTCCTCCCCAAGTTCCCATGAAGGTGTCAATAGCAGCGATGCAGCGAGTAAAAAACGTAGAGTTGTCGATACCACGAAACCCATGGTGGTAATAAAACCAAACCGCATTTTGACCGACGAATCGGGTCTTTTCATTCAATCCGTCATATCTCATCAATTAAAGGGCTCAGAGATGAGCACTTTAGAAATCCTGCATCACATACGTCTGGCAGAGGTCCAGGATTTTGAATTTCGCGATTTCAAAATTTGTAATGGGGATCCTGTGGGTAAGGGCATTTTCGAGCTGCTCATGTCGCGACAACGTTCGTCCTTCAAATTAGATCAATTCATTGAATCCTGGCTGGAGAGCTTGGCGGTGCTCATAAAAGACATATCTGAACACTCAAAAGAGTGCAAAACCGCCGTGCCATTTTTAGTGGCACTGATGCATCATTCCATAACGTTTCGACCAAGCGCGGTCCGGCCAGCGGCGCTAAAGGACTTGTTTCATTTTATGGTGGACTTGATTCGCACCAACAGGGGCGTTTTGAAGAAACCCTTGGCCAAGTCGCCATTGCATTTAGACGTGGGCCCCAACATTTTCCAGTATGAGTTTATACGCATACTGATTGTACTCTATGCATTTGATACACTCGAAGATAGCTTGAAGACATTGCAATCACTATCCTCACAGTGTCAAGTTGCCTTCATGGATGAACCATTCTGCGAAGCGATAAATGATTTATCCCGTTATTCCTTAACGATATCCTACCAACCGGTCTTGAACGTCGTTTACAGCACCATGGAAATTTTCAACTGTATGGCCAACATGTTACTCGACTCGCCGCAACTAGCTCAAAGAATACCACACACTTGGTGGGAAAACGTGAAAAACCGATTCTACCAAGTTTTAACCAAGACTGTCAGTAATAATGAGGTACGTGAGAATGACTGCAATTCGTTATTTTTACCTGACGAGACCAATATCTACGGTTTGATCCGGAACCTAGGTAACAACTACAATGGCCGGTTTATATCCCAACTTGTTTCCAGAAACGAGCCTCTATCAGTGCCACAGGTAATCTTGAAAGAATTCCCAGAAAGTGAGTTAATCACCCATAAATCCGTTGACGTAGAATGGTGGAGTCTGAAATTGAAGATCGGAATCGTGCAACTTTTCGGCAAGCTGGCTACTGTTTATCGGTCAGATCCCGTTGAGAAAGGTATGATCAAGGTTTTGGCGCGATTGATGGCTCAGACGCAGGAAACTTTGCTAACGGTCCTGCTAGGACAAGAATCGGAGAACATTCACATGTATTACTCCCTTTTCTCAGAACTGTTGAAGCTGATATTTCACATTTGGCATGACAGGGGATGCGACTTGGGGCTTATTAGCGAGGTGGAATGCGAGTTAACGGTTTGTTTATGGAGAATAGTATTTGGCACTGACGCGGAAAATGACACTCACATCAATAGGATGGAAATGATCGAACACAAAGTACTTGTCGATCAATTCGACGAATTGAGATTACAGTCGGATTTGGAATTGTTCGAAGATGCTTTCGATGGTGAGCATGTGGACTTTGTGAAAGAGGAGATGCAGTCAGTGAGTTTTGGTCGGTGTCGAGAAATAATGGGAGTCGGAGTGGATATGGGTATTATGGAAATGGCCAAAAAAATGCTGGAATGTATTACGTCAATGGAAGACGCTGACGTTTTGTATTTGGCCATGCGTGGGAATGATGTGTCGGTGAAGGATGGTATGTAAAACGTTAGCCCTCGCTTTGGGAACGAGCGATCAATATTTAAATAATCAAAATGATGGCCATACCATTGATGCGTACTGTTCTGGCACGAACGTCTGGGGCACCTTAGATGCCGACCCCTCCGCGTCTATCCTCGTCCTAACACTAAACGTTTTGTTTAAATGAGTATATGGCTATAAAAGTACAGAGATCATTCCTGCAAGATCAAAGCGCTGGCTGTTATTGACACAGCGCTATTCTTGCTGACGCTTCTTTCCCATTTAAGCAGATTGAGGCTTGGCAGTGCCGGTTTGGAAGCCGTTCTTGAATCTTCTGGAAACAAGCTTCATGTGAGCCATTCTACCGGTACCGGTAGTTCTTCTTCTCTTAGCCTTAGCACCCCAGTTGAAGGATCTCATCTTGGCAGCTGGGTAGCCACAAGAGGAACAGGTCTTCTTCTGGATGTGGAAAGAGCGACGACCGCATCTGTTGCACAAGGTGTGAGACTTGTTGTGACGCTTACCGAAAGAAGGAGTACCCTCTGTGTGCGAACGTTAGTAAACTAGTATCTTTGAAAGCGCGGCAGAGCCGTTGGTCAAAAGATCAAATGAAAAAAACGAGAAACAGGGGATAAGCGTGGAGTGTTAAGGGAACGACTTCATTTGCCTAACTCTCTCTTTCATGAACCTCGAAATAATAATCCGTAACTCTTGATTGCCAGAAACTCGTTCAACTCGGCAAGAACCCATTCCACCACGTCTAGTTCACTTCGGGAACATGACTCACCATTATCTACCCTTCTGAACAAATCACTCTAGGTCTTTGAGAGCATACATTCCGAGCTCAAATTCACTATACCAGTGTTGAACCTCTGGCAAATGCTCTTCGCTTTAACTTCTCGTAAACTCACCCATAATTGTCCGTTTTTTTTCGAAATTTGACCCACGGATCGTGCGACTCTAGCGCTCTTGATTCTCCTGCTTCTATTCCCTTACATACTACCCATTTTTGATTATTGCGTTGCTGAGTATTGTAGTGGAATTATGTATAAGTTCACTTATGGCTTTCATTTTGGTAAACGTTTCTTGAATTTTTCCAGCGAGGTGTGCGTGTGTCACTGTTGACGGATCAGATCCCAAAAAAATTTGAGCCGGTGCCGTTGTACGAACATATTCTGCCAAAACGAGTTTGTTACCCTTTTAGGCAATTTTCAGGATTGGAAAAAAAAGTGACAAATGAGAAATAGAAAACCGTCGGTATTTTTTGGACTGCTGGAGATGTGTGGGTGTTGAGAGAAATCAGCAGTCATGGGATAAATGACAGTGACAGTAATGGTAAGAGTGACAGATGAGAGAGGGCGAGAAAGGGCGAAAGACACACTCATGGGATAAGTAGAGTAGATCAGAGCGGGTTTGGATGTTGACTGGGATTTGGCTCTTTTGATAGTCGTGTCTCAATCCTACTGGAAAGATGGGCTTGAATTTTCTGAGTGTTTTTGGATTCTACTTGAAAAATGACGTCCCAATAATGACACATATGCAAACCTATACAGTGCTTAATGGTATTGAGAAATCTGAAAATCCCACTAAATCAACGAATTGTGGTTATTTGCGGACTGTGCTTCCGTACTGTGATATCAGGTATCATCTTTTGATGTCGTCAATTGGGTAAATAGCCCACGGTGGTTTATCGGTAAGACCGATTTTACCATCATCACCACAAGCCGGTTTAACAAACATTACAACTCCTAGCCTCATTCAAAATTCATTGAACAGGTTTCAACGCCTTCATAGTTCTTGCCCAACTGTGTATAAACAAAAAAAATCTGTGCACGATTGAAGACACACCTCTCGAAGCTGGAGGGAGTCGCGTAACTCTTCTCAGCAGGCTTATTCTTTAAGTTGCACTCTTGCAAACAGTTATCAAGTGCTTTATGATAAACGCACCTGCAACCTGCGATAGTCTCGCCTAAGCGCATTATACTCGAAGTCATTTAGATCCATTCAGGTCCATTATTGACAACAAATGTGGGTCCTTTATACCCTGTATTACCACGCTCTCACGTCTTTTTTGTCCAGTCCCTCTCAGATCTCATCACTCAACGACGCATTCGACTGTTACCTTTTTTGGCAGAAACTGTGAAGTACTCACGAAATGCTGTGTGACACCCTGAAAAAGGGACCACTCTAGCATAATTTGAGCCCTGAAAAACGACTATAGTGCCAACTTTTAATGTTCTTGCAAGTTCACGCCTTTTGCAAAATTTGGGTAGGCCTCAGCAAGAATCTTTCAAGAACTGACGCAGCTCAATACAGGGTAGTCAAGGTGGATGCGATTTCAAAACTGGTTTGACTCGTGCCCCGGCTGGTCTCGAGAGAGTGGACTAACAACTAAATAAACGCAATCGATAAAATATTAAACGTATTTTGCAATGTCTTTCAAAGCCTGTTGTGTAGCTAACTGTAGTTTCTGGGCTTCCGTGAGTTTTGTAGTAAGCCAAATGTACTATCTGGCAACATCAATTACGTCGATGAATGTGCAACCAGTCTCGATTTCGTTGTTGTATGCCACAGCAGAGTCAACATGTTTGTAGCCAGCTTTCAAAGTTTGACGAAACCCATTCTTCTCTTTCCACAGGAAAGATGGAATAGACTCCATATTCAATGACCATAATCCCAAGTACACTATATAATTCACATACTGTTTCCCGAGTATCTCTAATAATCTTAACGATGCTAGCTGTGGTTTCAGTCTGGTTAGTGAGTGAGGTTGTCTTTACTTATTTTCCTGACACTGGTGATCTTTATAAACATACAGTCGATGAGGTTGAAATAATTCAAATACAAGAACGAACGATACAGAAATCATGTTTGGCGACTCCCACAATGTCTCGCAATGAACCGTGGTACGCCTCTTTTTCCATTTTAGCCAACTTGAAAGCTTTGGATTTCTCAAGCCTCCTTGTGAACTAAAGACTTTCGACGACACGAAGTTGTAATGTGCAAGTCAAAATTCATATATGTATGTAAAGTCTACTCAGAATTACAGCTGACATTCATTTACACATCTCTGGTCAAGCTGGATGGATAGTAAGTAGGGTCATTTAGGTATTTGGGATCTTCCACAGGTCTTTCGCCCTGAGGTGTGATACGGAACGCATGTCTCAAAATTGGCTCTTCCCAGTCGATGACAGCAGAATGATGCACTCTACGGTTGTCCCAGATGGTCACGGTACCTGGCTCCCAGTTGGCGCGCAATTGCAGGTCCTGCGAATTGTCGATCAGGTCGTACAGAAACTGCAGTATCTGGTCGGACTCACGCTTCTTCAACTCTACAATCCGGCGCGAGAATGTGCTATTGACAAAAAGGGTTTTTTTCTTCAACACTGGATGGTATCTCACCAAAGGATGAACGTGCGTTACGGGGGCGCGTCTTTGAATGCCGCCTTGTACCCGGGAATTGTCCGCCTGTTCTTTAGAACTGTGCACAACATGCAAAGTACCTAAGAATTCTTGGAATGCGGGAGAGAGTCTTTCATATGCAGTGAGCGAATCGCTGAAAAGGGTGTCTCCGCCTCCATCAGGGCCTTCCAGCACCGAGAAAAATGTGTACGAGGGAGGTTGCAATTCGTAGGACACGTCGGTGTGGAAAGATATGGAAGAGTGCTGGTCCTGGAATACACGATTAAACTCCTTCTGATCAGGCCGGCGAAACGTAATGTGGAGTTCCGGGTGATTTTTGGGAGCCCCGGAGGTCTGATGTATGTGAAGCTTGCCAAAATGTTTGCCGTAGTCCACAGCGTATTGGGGACCACGTTTTGCGAAATCCTGGTTGCGGAAAACAACAACTCCTCGTTGAGCCACTAGGAGCGCCAATTCGTCTTTGGCAGCGTTAGAAAGCTCTGTCAGCTGGATACCATCGATCTCAGTGCCCAATTTGGGCGTAATTTTCTTGACGGACGCCTGGGAGGGTGCAAACTCTGAGAAAAGATTTGGGAACCCAGCGTCTGCTCTGAGACCCGGGTCTTCGTAATGGTGGAATTCCAGAGCCTTGTAATTTTCGTTCTGGTTCCATTCGGGTAGAAAGTCCGCGAAATTAGATTCTGCCCGGAATTTGTTTCTGATACGCAAAACTCCGTCCTTGCCAACTTCGTCCTGTCCTTTGTAGAAATGGGTATCGAAATTACCGTACCCGGGCTTCGATATTTCCAGCAATAAAGCGTGTGGCATAATGTATTTGTGAGTTTATGATATGATCCTGCAGGAAACTGAGTCTGTAATTTCAAAAACCTCTGATCAAATATCTGTGTACTTACGATAATAGCGTAAGAACTAACAAGTTTCCATACTACATTGAGTCGATCTCTTAAATTTTCCCACTCTTTTATACCTAAATTTCGGCATCTTCCAGACCTATTCACACTTTAATGTCTTAATTCGTTATCGTCGATCAAAGAAGACATTTTGTCGCCAGGAAGCCTCAACTCTCGGTATGACCAATATCCATTACTCATCTCACCTTCATTACTGGAATTCATTTGTTGTCAAGTTCGCAATGGGAATCAAACACCGCTGGAATTGTCTTATCGTTGGGCTTAGGTTGTCGATCTTGGCTGGCAATTGGCAATGGCTTCTCTGGAAGTCACTGTGTCGTTATTTTTCAGTCGTCCAGAAGTCACTTAAGGACAAAGTGACGAAGTTCTGGAGCTGTAAGACAATGGATGTGGGCAGTGCAACGTCGAGACTTGGAACACTTGGCTTGAAATTTGGTATATTAATTTCAGGTTGTGAAGAAATTGAGAGCCAGTTTTAGCGGGGTCTTTCTCTTATTTTTTCAAGATTTTACTTTATCATTAAGAGCTTGAGGTGCAATAAAGCGTTAAAAGCACTGACGCAACAATGAAAAGCGAATCCAACTCTGGGACAGTGGAGGTTTCTAGTGGTGATAAAGCCTTGGCAGTTGTCAGCCATGCTGAAGTCGAAAGTTCGTCGTCGTCGTTTGCGGAAAGTTGGCATTCAAGCCAAAATCCGTTTCTGGACGCTCATGTGGAAAAGTATTATCGTGACATCTACACGGACTGCAGCTACGAGTGTCTTGGCAGGTTCGACCCAGATATAAAATGGTCCGAGAAGGAGGAGAAAAACATCCTGAAGAAAATCGACTGGCGTGTGGCACTGCCCGCGTGCTTCATGTTTGCTGCGCTTCAGATCGATCGTGGCAACTTGCAACAGGCCGTCGCAGACAATCTGTTGGAAGACCTGGGAATGAGCACCAACGATTACAATACGGGAATGCAGCTCTTTTACGCCGCTTTCACAATTGCAGAGGTGCCCTCGCAAATGTTGTCGAAACGGATCGGGCCCGACCGGTTCGTGCCCTGCCAAATGGTCGCTTGGAGCATTGTTGCGATCGCGCAGGCCGCTATGAGCAACAGAGCTGGATTTTTCGCGACCCGGTTTTTTCTCGGGCTGCTAGAAGGCGGATTCATTGCGGACTTGGTGCTGTGGTTAAGTTATTTCTACACCTCGAAAGAGCTGACGCTTCGCCTTTCGTGGTTTTGGACCACGCTGTCAGTGGTGCAGATCGTGACGGCGCTATTGGCATTTGCCATTTTAAGAATGCGGGGTGTGGGCGGGCTCACCGGGTGGCAGTGGCTCTTGCTTCTAGAGGGATTGCTCACTTTTTTCATTGGATTGTCAGGGTTTTATTTGATGGTAGCTTCAGCCGTGCAGACCAAGAATTGGCTCCATCCCAAAGGCTGGTTTTCGGAGCGTGAGGAGAAAATTGTGGTCAATCGGATCCTCCGGGATGATCCCTCGAAAGGCGATATGAATAATCGTCAGACTCTGACACTTCGCAAATTATGGGCTGCCTTAACTGACTTCGATCTGTGGCCGGTGTACGCGATTGGTTTAATTGCGTACATTCCAACGCAAACCCTCGCACCCTATTTGACCTTGAACCTAAAGCAGCTTGGTTTCTCAACTTTCAATGTTCAGTTGCTTTCGATCCCGTACAACGTCTTGCACATAGTGCTGCTACTGCTAATTACGAAACTTTCAGAGCTCTTCAACGATAGATCGTTTGTGTGTTTACTCGCGCCCGTTTACTCGACCTTCCTGCTCGGTTTTATCAGATGGTGGAGCGGTTCTATGGTGCAAGCCTGGCCAACCTATGTCATTACGACTTTGTTTCTGGGTCAGCCTTATATTCATGCGATTTGCGTCTCTTGGGTCTCGAGAAACTCTAATTCCATCAAGACGCGCAGTATCTCATCGGCGGCGTACAACATGTTTGTGCAGCTCGGAAGCATAGCTGCAAGCCAGATTTATAGAGCCGATGACAAGCCAAAGTACCATCGCGGAAACACCCAGTTGTTTTTCATTTCGCTCGCCTTGATTCCTCTGTTGCTGCTCACCAAGGCCTACTACGTCTACCGCAACAAGCGCAAGGATGAAATTTGGAACTCTTTCAGCGAGGACGAGAAAAAAGACTACGTTTTCACGACCAAAGACCAGGGCAACCACAGGTTGGATTTCAGATTCGTCCACTGACACTTGCGTTTTATAAGTTTATATATTCAAAGATTCACCACTGATCATCGATGGATATACCACGGTACGAGTTTGACCAGGAATACATGGTGTTTCGTGAGGATAGAGTGGACAGGTTGGACTAGAGCTCAAGGTTGTATAAGGACGTTGTCGGTGTCTCAATTTTTGGATATTCATAAATTCACTGCGACGCGTAAAAATGTGTATTTTTTTTCGCGTTTACGCGTCTCGAAATTTACGCGTCTCGACACTGACGCGTTTCGATACTGACGCGTCATATGCTGAAAGTTCCAAGTTAGCCTGTTCAAGTTAACCCAAGCGACAACCCAACAGCCATCCATCACTCAAAGAGCCCAACTTGTTCTTGCCAGTGGTGAGTTTGTGTTCTTCGACCAAACAAACGATGTCCGCACAGTATCCACCCTCATCACCAATAGCGTCCTTTAGAGACGACGACAACGACCCATTTTACCAGCCTGTCGAGAAAGAGTCGGCCTCTACGCTCAATTTTTTTAAGAGAAAGACTGGCGTTAGCCATGCGACCAAGTATCCAACTCCCAACCCATCGTCGACACTCGGTAAGTCGTCACCGTTGAAAACCAGTGCGAAATTGCTTTCCAGTTCTCAAACACCCTCTGAATGCGAGTTCGAGCACGAGCTGCACCGTGAACTCAACTTCGCACCAGTGTCGACCTCTGCAGAACCGCTGGAGATTCCATTAGACCCTCGGTTCGAGACAAGAGTGTCCGTGGGACGGAAGAATACCCTCTGCGATGTGGTGCTGCCTCGTCATAAAAACGTTTCTCGACTACACGCCTTTGTTACTTACTCTCCACAAACCAAAGAGGTTCAGGTAGAATGCAAAGGCACGAACGGACTCGTTGTTGTGTTTCCTGTAAAGCTGGACTTGAAATTGACTATCAGTGCTGAGCACGCCAAGACATACAGACTTGTAGATGAAGCCAACTGCGACCTTTTACTGGCAACGAAAGAGCTGGTTCGGGACACCGAGCTCACCTCTTTTGTGGTTTTGCAAGGCGAAACGGTATACATGCCTTACATCAAGCACACTATACTCGACTTCAGACAGGTAGAGTGTGAGCTTAATCTCAAAGAAGCTTTAGATGACAATTACGACGATCTGCAAAACGAGACGGAAACAGAGGATGAACTTGTGCCGCTAAATATTACAAGTGACGATTTTCCACAAGAACCACACACGCCCCCTCGTATAATGACGCCTCCTTCTTTCCAGGGTCCGTCTTCATCGCCAAAATTACACATGAAGCCACTTTCACAGGCTGTCAAGAACCTTCCATCGACGATACCACAGCCAAAGCCTGAAGCTACTATTGAGCAGAATGTCCCTTCCAATGTACCACAATCGAGCCCCATTGCTGAGGCTAGACAGGTTATTGGATCTACAACATCGCACACAGAGCCAGCAGCTCGAACAAAGCAGGATCTTTCTTCAGTACGCTCCCACAGTACTATTCAAAATGTCAAAACTGAAATTGAGCAACAGAGACCCATGGAGACCAAAGGCAAAGATCAGAAGAAGACTCCAAAGTCATTGAAAGATGCCAAGGATGAGCATTCTGCAAAACACACTAAAGTGGAGACAATCACTGTTCCTGGGCGTGTGGGAAGCGATCCCAGCATAAAGCCATCAGAAATACCCAAAACGCCTGAAAAACGAAAGGAAAACTCACACACAGGTAAAACAGGCGTTCCTCTTCGTCATACCGATGAAAACTCGCGCCGTCGCAAGTATGCGTCTCCTTCCCCGATCAAAAATCACAAACGAAAGAACCAGCCCGAAAAAGCCCATATATCAAGTGCCGACATACTTCTACAGGTTGCCTCTCGAGGAATTGCTGTAGCAGACCTCCAGCATGTGTTGGCTAACCATCTGGCATTCTCGAATGTGCAGCAGGTTCCATTCTCTCAACTTCGAGACGTAAACTCAACCATCTCTAAACTAAAGGCCTTTGAATTACGTGCACTTCTAGAGGCCGCAAAGTGCATCGGTGTGATCTATCGAAAGGGCAAAGACGCTGCTGGTAGACCACTGGACGAAGAGTACTACTACGATCTGGAAAATGATACGGACGCTAATAGACGACAATTGGTATCCTCGTTGAAAGGTGGCAGATCAGGTTTAAGAAGTTGCAGAAGAGTTCATAAGCAGTACTTCTGGAAGAAACCCACCAAATGATGATACGCACCATATAGTTCTCGTGGAACAAAGTCGGGAATTGCAAGCTATGAATACCTGTCAATCTTTATCTACCTTAAAAATATAATAATACAATTAGATTTCTTACGATCGCTTATTACACGGCGTGTTTGCTCAAGAACATTTGCATTTCGTTCGTGTCAATGTCCTCTGGGTCCTCTGATGATATTGCTCGTAGTAAACCATCCAGCATCCCATCTATCTTGTCGCCTTCGACTTTGAGACATAGCGAAAGAACACGTCTAAATCGACCTTCTAAGTGTGCTTGCTTTTCCCGTACCGACTTTAGCGATTCATTGAGGTTATGTTCGTTTTTCTCGTAAGCGGTTATGCGAGCGCGAAGAAGTGCCTCCGGTGGTATGCTCTCTTCCTGTCCGGAATTTTCTTGCATCAATTGTTTTAAAAGATCATCTAAGGACGCGTCTTCGAAGAACTGCTCAAAGTTCCCGGAGTAGTCGTTCTGCAATTTATTTTCCAAAAAGTTGAAGATGAAGTCAATGCGAAATGGCTCGTCAGCGTCGAACTCGGCCATTTCTAGAGACTCATCATCAATTCCTAGCTCTTCGCTGACCTTTTTGAAGTCCGCATCCTCTTGCAAAATTGCTTGTTGAATATTGGAAATTTGTTCCGTTAATTGCGTATGCTCGTCGCGGAGATGACGGGCGTGTGCAAGCTTTTCCCGTGAGGTGGTCAGCATCTGACGTTGGTTGTCCAGCTCTCTATGCAGCATTGACAGCTGATCTTTGTGTTGTTTGATCTCCATCTCGTAATCCTGGGAGATTGTTTTAACCAGCGACTGGATGTTGTTTATGAGCATAGAAGGATTAGGGCCTGACACTGATATCGACCCATCGACCCCGGTATTATTTGTCTGTGCGCCCTCCAGTTTTGTAGCGCCAGCGCCAAAATCTACCGGCCTCAAGCCGGAATTGTTTGAAATCCGAGGATCTGCACCATAGTCCAATAGAGCCTCGACTATGGATACGTTTCCCAGTCTTGAGGCAATATTAAGACATGTGTCACCGTTAGTATCACGAGCATTGAGAACATGATTTATAAACCATTTGAGATCTAGTGCTGACATTATCGGGTCATCGTCACTAGATATTTCTCGTGTTTGTTTCTTGACAATCCATCCCATGAGGATATCCAGATAATACTTGGCAGCAGCAGCGCAGCCCGGCATTCCTGATGTTATAACGATATGGTGAAGTACGCTTCTGGACATGTCGTCCACCAAAGTGAGACACGGGTATAAAAAGTCTAACAGCTCTTCGAACGTGCCGGAGTCGTAGTTATTGACCGATTTGACCGCTTTTACCAAAGCAGACTCGCCTGTCTTGTCACCAAGAAATCTGTCAGCTCCATGATTTATCAGGTCTTTAGTGAGCCTGACATTTGCAACGGAGCACAGCCAGTGTAAAGGAGTGTTACCATGCTCGTCGATGGAAATATCCAGATTCAACTGATTGTTAGGGTACGAAATTCCTAGATTCGCCAATGCGGTTTCGAAACGCACCGCTTGGCTATCCGGGAATAGAATGTGTTGCAGCAATTGTTCTAGCTTGACGCGGTCTTCGGGTGCGAAGTTCGTAACCGGTTTTTTCGCTGGCTGAATCGTTAATGGCGTATTAAATTGGAGATCGTGTTTCATCGAATGCGCTGGTAAGAAGCTTTCTGCAGGTTTGAGTTTTTTAAGGGGCGACCCCAGCTGCTGGTCTGGCCTCACTCGCTTTGGGAAGACATCAATGCCGTCGTCCTCAGTTTGAGCAATTTTAGAATCAGGAACACCACTATTTTCATTCACTTCGTCACCGTTACTGTCACCATTGCGGTATTCCCTCACCTCTTTCTCGCCCGTGTTCGCGTCTTCATCGTGGTCTGTGTCATTCGTTTGCGATCCTTGGTCAGTGTCAAAAACGCCCTGAAATGCGTCCTGCACCTTCAGCGACTGCAGAAGTTCCCAAGTCTTATTGCGCGAAATCCACTCTCTGCCCTGTGGATCTTTGTTCACCGAAATGTCTAGTTTGTGCAGCAACCGGCTGCGCCAATCTCTCTGCGACTGGTCCTCGTCATGCTCCAAAGCGAGCAACGGTAGTAGGCTGCCGACCAAAAACAAACCTTTCTCTAAGTCCTGCACGAGCTTTACCACATGCTGCTGGTCGTTGTAAATGCATTCCACTTCAAGCTCCCGAACTGCCATGCTCCTCCAATTCCGTCTCTAGCCTCAATTAGTGAAGGGGGATTGGAAATTGAACAAAAGGGAGAGCTCTGCAGCGATCAAAACGTTCTGTAGGGTTACCCAATAGTCGATTACAAGAGCTCTGGGTCCCAATTCAAATCTTTCGATGATTTCAGAGGTGTCAGGCTCAGAAACTTTCAGACCATCATTATAGGATAATTTAGGCGATGTTGAAATCTTTTTTTTTTGGATTACGCGCATCGCGCGTACCGCTCCGTTTGAAGTGCTATCACCACATCCGCCAACCAAAGACACTCCAGACTGGTGGTGTACTCATCAACGCAACAGGTCTGAGATCTGGGCGACAGCGTAAGCTGTGTGCGTAAGTGGTGAGGTAACCGTAGAAGTAGCGCAAAGCATGTATGGGCTTGCATAGGGCGACTGGACCGGACGCTGAAAGTGTCAAATAGCACGGTTTGCTTGTATATCGGAGCACTTGTTTCTGGTAAAGCTCATATGACCTATTGACATAATCTATGTACATTTTTGTGACTATGGTCATCACAATGGCATTGCCACTTCAAATACTTATATATATGTCTCTACATATGTTGTTATCTGCTATTCACCTTGTGTTCTTCGCTTTGTGGTCAAGAAAACAAGTAACCCAAGAGGAAAATGTGTCAAAATTGATGCCCTTTTATAGTTTTTTTTGAGCGCGGCTACAGGGGGCAAATTGTCGCCGTTTAATTGATACCCCGCTGATCTCGGAATTCAAGGGTGCAACTAAAAGGAGACGATATCCTGGCATATACTTGATAGAAACGTTAACCTATGGCAGAAAAATTACTGCCAGCAACGCGTAACGGTCAGTTTAAGACCAAACACGCCTATCGTTCGGACAGCCGCTCGTAGCCGCCGATCTGTTGATGTAAACAATGCGTTATGAAGACGGGCAAAAAGCAGACATAACTACTTCGTATGCGGCATTGTGTCAAACAAATACAGTTAGTTGCTCACTAATGCGCTTTCACCTACTTCTTGGCGTGCGTGTATGAAACTTTATAGAGAGAGAAGAAACGAAACGACAGATTAGTACAAAGTGATCCGTTACTGGAAGAGCCGGGAGGAAAAGCGAAAGAAACGTAGCATCTGACATCTCGATGTGACAGGAAATGCGACGTTGACTCGTGTAATTGCTCGGATTACTGCTTGCGAACGCTCTCACTGGATTGGGAGGAATGCAAGTATGGTTTCGTATATAGTGATTTGATGCTTTCACGATGTCAAATTACCTGATTATGTAAGTTAAAATATCATTTACATAGAAAAGGGCTCTGGTAGCACTCCAAAAGATCATCGAAAACTAACAAGCCGTTTTTGAAGGCCAACGTATGCTACAATGAGTATCCCAGCTGCTGTCAAACGTTGTCTGAGATTATGCGGTGATTTTGAGTATGCTATGCCGGTCATAGCTTACTATCTCAAGCTGTACGTGGTAGAAGAGTTTTTGGGCTTACAGGAGAGAAACGAGGAAGTCATCGCTAATGCAACAAGGCTCCTGGACGATATCGAACAGTTCAAACAAAGCGTGCAAGATGAGGCCGAGCAGCACCTTTTGAAAGATCAGCAGAAAGCCAAAGTTTATTGCATGAATTTCACGTTGTCGTTGTACAACGAGCAACTGAGCAAAGTTCAGAACAAGTTGATTGCTGGTGACTTGGCTAGAGCGTTATGGTGCTGTATAGACCTTTTCAGTGCGATTCTCGCGCTTTGGGGCAAAACGGAAGCTACCGCAGACGAAGTCACTCAGTGCCAAAAGAGAATTAAGGTTTGCAAACTGTTCCTGAGTAAACTGGCACGCGGAGAGCTTGGCTCTGAGACCGTTGAGAAATCGCAAGAACCCGAATACAAACCCGAACAAGTGGTGTGTCCACAAGATTCAGACATGGGGCTGTCAAGTACGGAGCAAAACGATGTGGAAGTGACCGATGACGAGGATGACGATGATGGGGACGAAGCCATCGAACAAACCTCCCAGCCTGAGTCCCAGCCTGAGGTTGACCCTGTGGAAGTCGAAAGCTTCTTAAAGAGCTTGGAACAAGACCCAGCACTTGCTCAAGAAATCGAAGACAAGAACCCTTCGAGCGACAACGACAACGGCGAAGACGACAACGGCACGCAACACTTGAAAGATACTGAGGAACTTATTCGTAAAATGCGTGAACTAGGTAGTGAGCCAGCACCACCTTCCACCGACTCCGAACCAGAACTACAGCTGCCGCAGGCTCCCACGGAGATCGGTAGGCTTCCTGATTTCGAAGAAGCAGCGCAGCCCACAATCGACATACAAAAACCGGTACACTTTAAACCTGACGACCTCAAAGCCATGTGGAACAGAGAGGACCAAATTGCAGTTATTCAAAAAGCCGCTAGGTTCGCTATAAGCGCGCTGAATTACGAGGATCTGAAAACCGCGAAACGGGAACTGACAAAAGCGCTGCAACAACTTGAGGAATTAGAAGGATGAAACAAATCATACTGTTTATCAGTTCTGTCCGTTGAGGGACTCATTAAATGGGGGTGGGGGATGTAATCTATATAGGTGTCAATGCGTCTATAGACAGAAACAGGAATGCAAACATTCAGATCGGTAAGACGGTCTGAAAATAAACGTATTCTACAGGAATGAGGTTGCCTGAGGTGACCGAACAATGTGTTGACGTTAATCACCGTTTGCCAACGGTTCTGGGACATTCCAGATATGAGTTGAGCATATGAGGATCTCAGTGAGAGAAGTGAAGTGCTTTTAAAAGAATGTTGTTTTCTATCTTACAATTTCAACTCCTTTGGTTGTTCCCATGGGTACTCTTGGTTAGTGAAGTGACCGTAAGAGGCGGTTGGGAAGTAGATTGGTCTAGCCAAATCCAATTCCTTGACTAAGACACCAGGTCTCAAGTCAAAGTTGTTCTTGATGATCTCGATGATTTCCTCGTCAGATTTGCTGGAGGTGCCGTAAGTGTCGACGTGTAGCGACAATGGCTCGGCAATACCGATGGCGTAAGAGAACTGCACTTGCACTCTCTTACATAGACCAGCCTTGACCAAAGACTTGGCAACCCATCTGGCGGCGTAGGCAGCGGAACGGTCGACCTTGGAGTAGTCCTTACCAGAGAAGGCACCACCACCGACGGCAGAAGCACCACCGTAGGCGTCGACAATGATCTTTCTACCGGTCAAACCGGCGTCACCTTGAGGACCACCGATCACGAATCTACCGGAAGGCTGGATGTAGTATTTGGTGTTTTCGTCCAACATGTCGGCAGGGCACACCTTTTCGACGATCTTCTTTTGGATTTCAGATCTGAGGTCCTCAGTGGAGATCTCGTCGGCGTGCTGCAACGACACAACGACGGTGTCGATTCTTAAAGGCACCCAACGGCCCTCTTCCTGCTTGTACTCGACGGTGACCTGAGTCTTGGTGTCTGGTCTAACCCATGGCAAAGAACCGTCTCTACGGGCGTCAGCCATGGCAAGGTTGAGCTTGTGAGCCAACAAGATGGTCAATGGAAGCAACTCTGGGGTCTCGTCGGTGGCGTAGCCGAACATGATACCCTGGTCACCGGCACCCAACTCCTCTAGAGCCTGCTCGTAGTGCAGACCCTGGGCAATGTCAGGAGATTGCTGCTCGATGGCAACTAGCACGTTACAGGTCTTGTAGTCGAAACCCTTGTCGGAAGAGTCGTAACCGATGTGCTTGATGGTGTCTCTGACGATTTTTTGGTAGTCCAATTGGGCCTTGGTGGTAATTTCACCAAATACCATGATCATACCGGTCTTGGCAGCAGTTTCGCATGCAACCTTGGACAGAGGGTCCTCACGTAGACACGCATCCAAAATAGCGTCGGAGACCTGGTCACAGATCTTGTCTGGATGGCCCTCGCCGACGGATTCACTGGTAAACAAAAAAGTCTTGGCCATTTTTAAGTTTTTCGCTGTAGTTGAGCAGAGTGTTGTTACAGTCAAACCTGGAAAAAGTGTAGAAAGTAACAATGAAAACCCTGTTTCACCACCAGCCCATCCGTGTCCTGGCTTTTATATCTGAAATCTTTTTCCTCGAACGGCCCGTTTTGTCTGGTTTCTTTCTTCAGGCTTTTCACATGCGGTATACGCTGAGCGATGTGGGCTATCTCTTACTTCAAAAGCGGGCCAGCACTTCGGTAGTTAAGCCACACCTGTCGCCGCCTGCTAAGTTTCGCTTATTGTAGTCTAGTTTTATCACCGTCTGCCGTTTAGCAGAGGGGTTCTCTTGATAAAGCCACAGAGCTAATAATCACATGAAGATGAGGCACTGTGTGTGTGCCGACTGAGAGAAGGTGTGAAAATGCACGCCGTGCACGCTCCTCACGAATGGAAAATGGACCAGAGCGGAGAAAGAGGGCCAAACCTGGTCGTGGTGCAACTGTAGCGCAGCGGTAGCTTTGCAGACTCGTAAACGTGCTTCTTGGCATTTAAGGCACTGCAAAATCTCTTGGTCGCACGGCTCACGAGCTGGATGTACTGTGTGGGTGCTGGCGGAACGAATAGAAAGCGAAGGCAGTTGTGAGAGCAAACTGCGGCGCTGGAGGGACAGGGACCTTGCCAGCAACGGGATTTGCACAGGCGCGATGGCACCTTTGCAAGGAAAAGTCGGGCATCGCAGAATGAGCCTGTATCACGTGACTCGTTGGTTGTGTTTTTTTGGTTTGCGGCAGCTATTCAATGCATGGGTCTAGCTTGCCGCCGCGTGGATGTGGGTGGTGTCAATCGTAGGCAACTTCTGTGTGTTCTGAGCACATCTTTCAAAGCGAGTTTTCGAGACGTGGAGGTGGATGAGCTGTCAATGATATGTTGGTCGTACGATATGACTTGGGTTTCTTGGCAACAGCAGAAAATCTGGCAGCGCCGCGTGAAGTAAGTAGTCTTTCAGGACTCGCCCTCGCTTTCTCTCTCTCTCTCTGTCTGCTTCTTAGAGGCGATTCGCGGCTGATTTCTGGGGCGCTTGGTCATTCCATTGATGGGGTTCTGATTGTCTAAAACCAAACTTGATTGGGGTACTCAGGGTTTGCCGACCAGCCGTGAAAGGAGCTTGTCTAGATTCTCATGTGTGCGTTTAAGACCTTCAACAGTGCCGCAGTGTCCCATGCAAAATAAAGGACCTTCACGCGGTCGATACTCTTTTACCATTGGAAATATCGTATTGCCACTTTTTCCAGCGGAGGGCTAGGGCAAGACCGAGATGTAGTGCCAGTCTCGTGTGCGTTACCAATTGAGCTTAGCTCAATTCCGTTTGAACATCTAGTGTACCCTCGACAGAGCAGTCTGTAGCTGGAATCCTAACTAAATAACGCGTCGAAGAATACCCGCTGAACTGGTAAATGTGATTTGATTAATCTTGTATTCTTGTAGCTACATAAATGAAAGTACTCGTACTCGTACTCGGGTATTTCTATGAGAGTAGAACTCTAAAAAACCGTAGATAGTTCAAGCACCCGTGTTGTCTCTCGCATTGTTGAACTCGACACAATCGAGTCTCTACTTGTCACAGACAATGCCCGTTTCCTCTGCTCCTTCAAGACCAACCTTTGTCTCGCGATGTGCTCCCAATACGAGCATATTCGTCATACTCATAGTATATGGGTATCCTTTCGTCTAATAGTGTAAGAAGTTCATCGATCTATGCAAGTTCCTTAATCCAATAATTTGAGAGAGTCAAACCTGTTTGCTCCCAGAGACAAATCTCTGAGGCTATGCGGTTTTTCACAACCTGCGCTACTTTTTTACGATAACCTGAGTGTGCGTGCAATTCATACCTTTTTATTCAGTTTCCGTCGACAAAAACGCAGGCACTAAGACCTGTGGCAGTCTCTGAACGCTTCCTAAAACTCGATAAGCGGTTCAGTTCTTGTGGGCCGGCAGTGGTCCGTTTTCACATCGTCACTATGTACTAATTTGTCACCTTTACTCGGCCCTTTTTTCAATAAACGTAACACAACAGCCCAACATTTGACAATCAATGGCTTCAGTGACTTTTGATTGTTCCAATAGCAAGCGCCCTGCAGCTACACATCCTCGACGAACCATCGATTGCCGTCGCTCCCATATACATTGTCTTGATCACTCTTCTCTTTTCGTGACGCCATTATATATCAAATATTATCACGTGATATAGTGTCAGGTTCACGGACTTATCAATCCAGTAGAAAAAGAGAGGACATGTTGGCTCACCATCTCATCCACTCCTTCCCGTGCTAACTCAACCATGTCATGTCAGATAACGCAGGACTGGAATTGTTGTCGCAAGACGTTGTCGATAGTTTTTAAAGACTCGAACGAGCACATATACTTGTGCAAGAAATTTTTAGGGTTCCCAGTAGATAAGCATCACACACCTGAGTTTTACGAAGATTCGTTCAACCAAATAAATATCCCGTTTCTGGAGAACGGTGGCTTCCTGCTACAGGCTAAAAATTACGATTGCGTAGCCGTGGTGGCTCCGCCAGATCAAAAATCATATGGCTTCCAGGAAACCGAGGACCCGGTTTTCAACAAGCAGTTCATTCATGCAAACGATGAATTGAAAACCCAACTGGGACTCGGAACCAAGATTCCATGCTATTACTTATTTCTGATAGGTAAAAACTTGGAGCATCCAGAGATTAGAGGAGGCGCCAGGGCTGTTATGGAATGGTTGAAAAACGAGGCCGATAGACGAAGTGCAGCAGTCGTATTGGAGGCTCTTAATTCCAAAGTCCAAAAGGTTTACGAACATTTTGGTTTCAAAACTTACTGTTCCTTCAGCTACGGCGTTGGCGAGGTCAATTCTGACGGAGACGCATGCAGTGACGGGACGGGCTTTACTTCATATTTTATGGTTTACATTAAAAACGAGGCCTTACTCGGATAGTCCTAGTCTACTTGTGAAGTGTCATATCTGGTGTTTTTGTTAGAACGAACCGGGCCTTGTCATGCTTGCTTTACGTTATATCCCAATCATGTAATAACAGTACAAAGTGATCTAAAAGGTGCGTTTGAAGCACCCGTCTAATAACGCCCGTGGCGAAGAACTGTAAAGTTATTTAGCTTCTGAGGCCTGTTCTAGTGTATTTGTAGCGCACGCCATGGTCGCAAGGAAAGTGTGAAACCCCCGTGTCGGCTGTCACAACAACACCATCTTTTTAATTGACGTTGCAGCTGCTCCAAATCTGAATCCTCTTGCTGTCCTTATATTGGTAAGATCTGTGTGGTCTCCTCCCGCATGAGATTTCGCCAAACCAGCGCACACACGCTGAGACCAAGTGCACACCCAGACATAACGTCGTACCAATGATGCCGATGATCTGCCACTCTCGATACCATCACCACCAGGCACATTACTGGGCACCAAATGTGCCGTAACTGCGACACCCGTGTGTGTCGCACTTGCCACAGGTACAAGAAACCCAGGCCTGCAGCCGCGAAACTGGAGTGACCGCTGGGAGTGCTCTTGAGGCCCTCAAACAAAACCCACTGATTGGTTTCCGTGCATTGGTCATACGAGATATACGGTGCGTGTGAGTCTTTTGGCTTGCATCTCGCGACGAAGTCAGGTCTGGCGTTCGAAACGACAAGCTTGAGACCATTGGTCAAAACCCCATTTATGCCCAAAATCAAAACTAGTGCCACACAGCTAGCATGGTACAGATGTAACTTGGCATGAACCCAGTCTGGTTTGGCCACGCCTGCGTGGGAACGTGCCAGATACCGATTCTGAATGATTGAGTCGCTTCCTACTAGACACCACCACGTCAGCACCACCAAAGGCAGTGGGAACGCAATCAAAAGACATTGCAAGCTTGTAACGGTCTCATTTGGAATGAAGCTTTTGTTTATGGCCGGATCGTCCATGCGAAATTGTTTCGACAGCCGCGGGTGCAAAAACAATTCGGACCACGCAAATAATGCCATAGTCGCCATGCATGAGGCGTACAGGACAGCGAAACCAGATGCATAAGAAACCAATCGCTTTAAAGATAGATTTTCAGGTATTAGCATATTACGAGCGCATCAGCAATACTTCCCGGGAGGCCGTAAAAATCGAGTTCTTAGGATATTCTTGGACAATGAGATGGAGAGTTCGCTAGGTTAATTTAATTTCATGGGCATTGATTGATGATGTAAAGGTGAGAAATACTATCATCTGAGACGAGTATCTCATCACGTGTAAAAATACTGCTCTGTTGATTATGTCATCTTTCCAAATAAAAAACAACCAATTTTGATTACGTAATGTGACTTAATGTCACGTGTAAATATGTCACGTTTTTTATTGTATTACGTAAACACCATGTTGCTGTCACTCGCTACGTCAGATCCCTTATTAGCAAATCTGGCCTTCCCTTCAAACTCATCGAAACGAGTATAAAAGGACGGGAACTTTCTCGTGGACCTCCCAGTTGGAAATCCCACACGATCCACTTCTCCTTTTTCGCATCAAGAATAATTTTTTCTAGACCATTCTTATTCGACTCTTGATTGATCAATTATGAACTACGCCATTAACATTTCCCAAGTGGCCACCGATGCCCTAAACACACATAATATTATCCCAGACGTGGTGAAAGCTCATGATTTTAAGCCCTGGGGTCTTTTGGCGGCAGAATACTCGGCCAGCGCTCCTGTGGCAATGGGCAACTCATTGACCGTGGACGAGACTCAGAGCAAGCCCAAAGTGCATTTCACTTTGGACCCCAAGTCCGAGTTCAAGATCAAGGACTCGGATCTTTTCACCCTCGTGATCACTGACCCAGATGCTCCTTCCAGAACTGACAAAAAGTGGAGCGAGTTCTGCCACTACGTCGAGACCGACATCAGACTCCCCTTCGAATATTCTCACAATACAAGTTCTACGGTGCCCGATTTCGTCGCCTCGGAATTGAGCAACGGCAAGCCCCTCCTCGACTACATCGGTCCTGCTCCCCCAAGCGGCACTGGTAAGCACCGCTACGTTTTCTTGCTCTACAAACAGCCTGGCGACTCCTCTTCCTTCACCAAAATCGCAGACAGACCCAACTGGGGGTTCGGAACTCCTGCCACTGGTGTCGACAAGTGGGCCACTGAAAACCACCTTCAATTGATTGCAGTCAACTTTTTCTTTACCGAGAACAAGTAACGGCATCAGAGTTTAATTAAATAACGGAATCCTCGCTAGAGACCTTTGTAACGAATACATGAATGAAAAAGATCAAATCAAATCACATTATCTAACATCTTGAACTCTCACTCAGCTAAATATCGCTGTCACTGTCTTATTACTCTGTATCATGGCTATTCGCTCCATATCTGAATGGTATATTCTATTTCTAAGTTTATACTATCTAAATAACCGATTAAAAAACCCCATTGTTTTGAACTGTCATAAAAACTAATAAAAAAAACCCGGTTTGAAATTCGCACTTTATTTGTGGGCGAATAAATCATTAACAAGTTCCTTGTACACCCCTATCTGGAAATTATCGAGGGAAATCGAGTTGAGTGCCGGTGCGACAACAAACCCTGACCCCGACCCATTGTCCAGTGTCTCCTCTCCAGAAAAGTGTTGCATCATGGCTTGATACATTTTAATCTCTTTCAGCTGTTTATCGTAATACTTGGACTCAATATCCAAATTGTTGGGTATCGCGCATAACCAAATCCTGGTTTTGTAAAATTTGAAGAGCTCTTTTATCAGCTCTCTAAAGTCGTTTCTCTCTTGACACACATAGTAAAAAGTCAACTTTTTACGATCAAATTGAAACTCCGCATTCAAAATCTTGATATTAAGGTTTGAACGGGGTTGTTGGTGCTGATGGTGAGCCAAGCCGCTATTCAAGGACTTCAGTTTCAATTGCGCAATATGAAGCGCCTTCAGCTCGTCTTGGAATTTGTTGTGCAAATTGGTTGTTACTTCCCAAGAAGTCGCAAAGCGGAGCACCTGTTTGGATGGTATGATTAGTTGTGTGAGTTCAATAACGTCGTAAAGTTTCGAATTCAATTCGTCCGTATGTCCTTGGATGGTGTCAACTAGTGCTCTCACAAAGTCCTGGTTTGGAAAGTGCTGTTCCCTGTTGGTTATCAAAGAGTCAAAATGTATCTTTTTCTTCAAAAAGTTTATGAACAGCGCGAGGTCTAGTTCGACATGAGGTTCGATAACTATAGCCAGGTCCTTGCCTCGGTCTCCATCTATCACAACCAAGTCTTCACGTTCCATGGATAAGTTTGTCGTGTGTGAAATCGAGAGCAGTTCAAGTTTACCGTTTTTCAACGCCACCAACACCAGAGGTTTGTAGTGTAAATGTGCACTAGTGCTGCTGTTTCTTCTACTTTCATTACCTGAAACGAAAGCGTCCGACTGGGGATTATAATTCAAGTTGGAGCTTTTCAAAAATGACAGGAATTTGGTAACGTTTTGAGTCAATTCGCTTGTAGTTGAGCCCGACAAAAGCTCTTTCATGTGGTCGAGAAACCCACACGCTTCATTGCTGGAGAAATAATTTTTACCGCAGTCGTGGTACAGAGCTTTGAGCTCTGCAGTAGCCGTCACTTGGCCGTTGATAAGTTCTAGCCCGTTGTCTAATGAGTGGTGCGATCCAGTTTGGCCCACAGTTGCAGCTGCCGAATGTGTAATGTCTCCTGATCTATAGTCTATCTTAGGCACTGACTGCCGCTTTGTGGGAACCTGGAGGTAGCGATTATTGGTCATGTTGGCCGAGGTGTATAGGCGGTCCAAATGCGACGGTAGCATGGCATTGGGCTCTGAAGTCATGGCACCATGAATAAGAGTGTCCGAAATGTAAGAGGACCTGCGGTCCGCAGTGTACTGTTGATGGGGCTGAAGATACTGTTGAGCGTTCTGCTGGAGCAGAGACGACGGAACTCGCGGTTGCTGATCCAGTGACGGGTACGTCACGGTTCCTGCGCTGTTGACCGGCGACAGCGCGCTTGCGGGGCTCATGGACTGTTGCGTGAGCGCAGCGTAATAGCTGGAGGGAGACATGAGCATAGTGGAGCCCGAAGAGCCCGAGGAGCCCACGCTGTTGTTGCGTGAGTTATGTGCTCCGACCGTCGCAGTGACGGGCGGTTTCGGGGCCATAGATGGTGGTGGTACTTGGGGCGTCATTTGGGCAGCTACAAACGGACGTGGGTTTCCGAATTGGAAAGACATGGAGTACGCGCCGGCATTGGTGCGGTCCTCGCCCACTTGGAACCCGGGTGGGACTCCCCAAGGCTCCGAGTTGGACGGAGTCATATGTACGGCACGCAGTGCCGATTGAGGGCTTTGTCGCTGCTGTTGCTGTTGTTGCTGTTGTTGCTGTTGTTGCTGTTGTTGCTGTTGTTGCTGCTGGGATTGGGCGGGGCCCCTGAGACCGAATGCCAGACCGCTTATAAAGTCCACATTGCGGGTTTCGGGCTCTGCAGGTGCTCTGGGCAGAGCCTGGCGCGGTAGATCCGTGAGAGACTTGCCACTGCTATTTTTGAAAAGCAGTTTGTCGTAGTAGTTGCGGAGAGCCAAGTTATCCGAGATGCTGGTCGTGCTGTTGATGGATGGCAACTCAGCGTTCAGCTCCATTCGTTTGTCCTCCATTCTGTTCATGAGTGGGGTCGTGAGGGCGGCGCGGTTCGTAATTTATACTTTTCTATCAGTTTTCCACTCTGGCGTTTCAGAGTCTCACCGTGCGAGTTTTGCGAGTTTTCAAGTGCTGAGAACGGGGTTTTGCAGCTCTAAATCGTCTGCGTCGCTTGCGTCGTCTATGTTCTCTTGTTTATATTGTAATCAACTCTTAAGTCGCTCTAAAGCACACTGTTTCTTCTAGTTTATAGCCTTCTTTCCTTTGCTTTCCTGTGAGCAAATGTGGTTGGCGGATATCTGTCCCTATTGCGAAGTATTTCGTCGCCTTTTATAGTTCCCCGAAAAACTATGGGTTGCCCCTTGTTAAAACGCGGAGACGTCACATACGACGAATGTGTCAGAGAGACGAGGTGAAATTATGACATTATTTCGAGAAGCGTTGGGAAAACTGGCGACAGAGAAGCAATGAGAGGGGAGGTGGAGGTGGATGGATTGTGTTGTGTTTGCATTGAGTGGAAGAGCGATCGCTGGCGATTTTCCTGCAGCTTTTTGGCGTTTTTTAGCCTTTTTTGGGCTGCGAAAAATGCCAAGAAAGTTTAGGAATTATCATGCGATTGTAGCTATAATTGTGTGTGAGTTGTGCTAGGGTTTAGGCATAATTTGGGGGACCTGTAGAATATATTCGTGGACTTGTTGTAGGTTGTCTCTGGTGTCAGTATAATGACATCCAAAAACAAATTTAGAAACCACCTTTCCGAGGTGAACAAGTTCGATGGAGAGCCATATAATTATACAATCACTGCCGCAACGTCCTTCGCGTACCACGCACAAGGCTTTAGGCTCGCGCCCGCGCCCACCTGCCTCGACTTATCAGTCTGTACTATTCTGTCGTTGGGGTCACGTGCCCAAAACGTCATATACTTTAAAAATACTTGTTATCCCTTCTCTCCGTCTCCATTCCATCCCGACTGATCATTTTATTATCTCTTTTATATTGCCTCTCGCACCCTTGGCATCCTTGAATTTAATCTCCTAATCCATATGGCCATTTCTTTGTTTATTGTAGTAATCTCTCCCAATAATTCTACTTTAGCACACTGGCTCACTCAATGTCGTGCTGCACCCGCTAAACTTAAAAAAAAAACCTTAATACACCGTAACGTAGCCAACAAGCTGCGATCCAGTTAGCACTCATCTTTCAAATCGTAACATTCTCTCATCCGTAAGCCATCCATGCATATATACCTATCAGTGATGTAATCAAACTCTATCTATAAATCGGCTTCGTCTTCGCATTACGGGCGAAGAAACAATACCAAACTCCAGCGTTGAACACACACATGATGAAGAGGTAAACCAACAAAACCTTCAGCTTCGAATCCTTGGCTGGCGGCTGCCCTGCCACTTCAGTGGAAGAAACCTCAGTCGACGCCTTGGCATCTTCTACTTTATCGATACCCTGTGTTCGCGTGAAAGCATTCGCGACAGCGTTGACATGTGCATCGCCCTCTGCCAGAATCACGCCCAAACCTTTGGCCATGTGCCATTCCACATGACAGTGTAAGAGCCAAAATCCGGGATTGCTGGCGTTAAACCTGATTACAGCGTACGAGCTCCCGGGAATATTGATGGTGTCACGGGCCATAGGGACATTTCCCTCCCATGCCGAGACATCCTCTAGGTACCGACGCATGGCAGCGCTTCCAGGATCGTCAAAATACAACGGACCGTCGTTTCTATGACCCACAGATATAACTTGGAAGGTATGCCCGTGCATATGCCAAGGGTGCGTCATATGGTCAATGGAATTTATGGCTATCTCTACCACTTGCCCACTGTGTAACTGAATTGGGTCGCGGACACCTCGGGCGCCCTCAAGCAGGACCCCCAGCCCATCAGGTAAAAACTCCGGCATCGTGTCTCCATTGACAGCATACATCCCAGTATTGTACTCCTTCATTAGCTCGCTCTGGTATGCGTAATCTAAAGATATCTGTTGACTGGGAGCCGGCAACAGCTCGCCATCTCGAGGAACGAAATCCCGGTACTTCTCGCTTTTGTCCAAGCCTGGCAAATCCCCAAAGCTCCCGTCAAACGGTTCCCCCGCATCTGTTCCCGGCCGGGTCAACCAGTGCGTTTTTGATACGTAGCCCATCATTTTCCCGCAGCCATGTACCATGCGAGCCCTAGCAGTGTCCCTGTCAACCTTTATCAACAGTGTAAATCTTTGGCCCACGGCAATGGACAAAGTATCGATCATGTACGGTTTGGTCAAGACTCCATCAGTCTCCACGACGCACAAACGATGACCTTCGACGTGCAAGACATTGGTGCCGCTCATGCCGACGTTGATGACTCTAAGTGCAACGTATTCTGTGTCTTCGCCAATGCCAAAATTCACGGAGCCCTGGTCACCGTTAACAGTGGAGCCTTCCACTCGTGGGTCAGGTCCTCCCGTAGGGCTCATAACATCTTTTAAAATGTCCACACTAGACCTACTGTACCAGTCAGAAACAGCCATGATTTCCTCGTGAATCAATTTCGAGCTCGGTTCTGCAGGCAAGTCGTGAAGTAAGCCTCCACTGGTACCGTCTGCATCCAGCTTGGCTACCACACGTCCCAGATATTCATCCCTTGTAGGAGAATCGACTAAAAAAATACCCCGAAGGCCATCCCCGTATTGAACAGAGGAGTGCGAATGAAACCAATACGTGCCGCCCTCCAAAGACGCCGGGACAGTGAAGTTGTACCAATACGACATTTGTGGCGGGATGCTGCGCTGCGTTACGCCCGGAACACCGTCGCTCAGGGCTCCCAGAATGCCGCCAGCAACATTCTCGAGCACCAAGCCGTGAAAATGGATTGATGTATTACAGTAGTCATCTCCATATAGCTGCAAATCTTTCTTCTCGCAAATATCATTGTTTACCAAAAGATTAAGCGTGTCTCCCGCCTGGACTCGGATGGTGGGCCCCAGTGAGCTGACTTCTCCATTCAGTGAGATTAGTTGTTTTCCACTCGCCGAAGCTGTCCGAGAGATGTTTAGTTCTTGAACGATGGTTTTCGATTGACATATATCCAGAAAGAGCGCCACCCAAGTGGCCAAAAGCTGCCACGTCCTCATCAGTTTGCTTCTGCACAACTCCGATGTCTTTCCAAGACATCGTTATAATGTCGCATTTCAAGATCAACAGTTTATGCTGTCTAATATATGTCTTATATGGCATTTAATATCACTTTGTACTTTAGCGTCATCAGGCTACATAAATCGCATACAGTTTGAGGATTGAACATAGAGCTCGGTAAACTCCACGTTACTGGGTCAGACAACGACTGAGTATCAATGAAATATCATTTACACGGTTTGCCAGGAAAAGCCAGCGCGGACAAGATAGAGATTTTTTGGTTGCCTGAAAATTGACGGAAAGCAGTTGCAGCGGAGAGTTTAAACGTCCTGAACGAATAGAGTAGAGGGGAGTACGTAGTGTCTGGAGTCTAGTTCCTTGGAAAGGGTAGTAGATACTTTTTAAGTGGTGCTTTCTAATGGTGGATCATCACGTGATCGCAGAAGCTGTGCTGGCGCCCTGTCTTCATGTCGTATCCGGCTGCGTCACTATCCAAAAGATACTTATAACGTCAACTTGTATTCTTGTATTATATATTATCGCCAAATATAGTCCTTACAATGTTAGATATTTTGCGTGTGCAAAAGCGTGATGAATTGTCACTTCACGATGTTTAAGAGGTTGCAAGTGCCTTTTTGGACTCCAAGATCTTTTCGATTTCACGCACAAGCTTTCTGAAGGTCTTGCTCGAGCCCGACAATTTCTCAAAAGCAATGTCAGACCCGGGTGAATTCTTGTTATTCAAAATAAAGATTTCAAAGAGAGTCGAGCGAAGCGAGAAAATGTTGTCGCTGCTCAATTTGCCCTTTATTTTCTTCTCTGAGGGCAACGCCCGTACGTCTTTCAAACCATACTCCTTCCACGCAACTAGCAACTTACTCAACGCATTGAACATTTGAGTTTCTTCTATGACACTATGCAGAACAGCATCGAAGTTTCGGCTCTTTTTGTCGTCGTGGGATTTCGACGAAAACTTGCGGAAAAAGGACTTATTTGCCTTCTTTTCAGCTATAGGTGTGATATCTTCCAGGGGTCGTCTAGCGGATTCTTTCTCTCTCTTTGTGGTATCGTTTTTCTTTGCCAGGTCTGGTTCACCCGGGGAAATTCTGGCCGCAGACTTTTCCCCCTGTTGATTTGAAGGTGGCACCATAGACTTGGTCTTCCTTGGCGGACTAGAGCTGGTCTCCCTTCCCATTTGCCCGCTTGTTTCCGCCTCGCCAGAGGGCGGTTGATATAAGCCTAAGCCACTCATGCCATTAGTCTTCTGCTTCCCCAAGGGTGGTAAGGTGGGCAGCTTTACGGTAGAAGCTTCTTCAAGTTCTGATTTCTCTAGAGTCGCGGCATTGTTGAAGCGGTCTGCGAAGTTCAGTTTTACCGGATTGCGAGTTTCTGCTTTCGACATTTTTGATTCCGCGACTTCGTACAGCCGACTATCAGCCGATGTTTCTGCTGTGTCCTTGCCCTCTCTGTCTACACTTTCAAACATGAATTCAGCTTCCTGGTCGACATTTGAGGTGGATGGTGGACTACCCTTCACCGATTGGAGATCTTCTTTACCTTTCAGATGTTCGGCTAAGTTCGTAAAGGAAGTTTTCGTTGAATACATCGAGAGAACCGATAATCTTTTGTTTGATGCCGTGAAGTGACGCGACCGCCTGGTAAATTGCGGAATTTGAACCTCAGAGATTTTGCGAGGATCTTCACTGGGCTTATCATTTAGTGGTAGAACTCCTGCAACATTCTTTGGAAGAGTTTGAGATTTATATCCCGTGTTCGCATCGGATGTTACCGTAGCATTGGATACAACACGTTCTTGAACATCTGCAGCATTTTTTCTTTCTTCTCTGAGTCTCTTCTCTCTTGCAAGTTCTTTAGTGATGTCGAAAGAGGAGCCCAAAAATTTGGATCTTCTAATAGTCTCCAGGATGGTCTTCTCTGTATCCAGGTCTCTCTCGCGAGCTTTTGTTTCGGCTTGGGACAGCTCCGTATCCGCAAATATACCAGGATCCAAGCGAGAAACAGGCCTTGTCTGAAGAGAAAAAGTTCTTCTCTCCAGGAGATCTTGAATATCACTTTCTAGGCCTATCACTGAACCGCGCTTGTCAATCTTTAGGACATCTGCAGTAGGGGCAGAAACAGATCTAGTTTGCGTTTCAGTTGGCTCACCTTTACGTTCTGCGCTCGATCTCAGAAGGTTCACCTCGCGATCAATTTGTTCGAGAGCCTGTTTTTGCCTGATAGCATTCTCTTCTTCCCGTTGCCTTTGTTGCGCCTCTTCCTCTTCTTGCCTCTTCCGCTCCTCCTCTGCTCTTAGACGTCTTGCTCTTTCTTCCTGTTCTTTCGCCTCTCTTACGCGTCTTTCCAGCTCTTCCTTCTCTTTCCTGATTTGCTCGTGCTTCTCATGCTCGAAGATCTGGTCACAAAGGGTAGCGAAGTCTGCACTTGTTCTCTTTGTCTCTTGCTCAATGTACTCCCAGTCATTATCCTCGGAAATCTTGGCGAATGTAGCAATCAACTTGGTTGTCATCGAGCCGCGCTTACCATTTCCAGGCAAAAAAGAGAGTCTCTTACTCGAGCGCGAGGACCTTTTAGAGAATTTTGGATTCGACTTGTTATAGTCCCTTAGCATATCAACAGGAATTGGAGGCGCGGTTGAATTCATGTCTCTGTAGGACGTCCTCTTGTTGGCGGGCGTTGGAGAGCTGTTGGTGTTAATTAGCACCGAGGCTCTCTTGTTGGAGGAGAGATTGACTGTTCCTCCTCTGTTTGGGGTGGGTGATTTGTCTTCAGTAGTGGCAGCATTCGAAGCAGGAAGCCTATTGAAAGAAACAGGTCTCTTGTGCGACGACGACGCGCTTATCAAAGGTCCCTTGGATTTTCTTTTAGGTGTGGACGCGTTGACAATTGATCTGCGAGAAGTCGACTTGGTCATGTTGCCCTTTTTTGGGGATGACGTTTGATTTATTTGAGATTTGCGCTTTTGGTTCTGCTGATCCCGCGTGCTCTCTGTCTTGAATCTATAGAGAAGCGCGTAAAAAGTCTTTTCGAGACTAGCGCCCGGTTCCCTTAGTTTTAGGATAATCTCGTCTTTATTGCGGCCATGCCACAAAACAACTAAGTTTTGAATGATAGCGTCATCAATGTTTCCATCAACATTGTCTAGCGGATTCAAGTAGGTATCTTCACGAGGAAGGTTCCTGATACTCTTTGAATCCTTGATACTGGGGTATTTTTGTAGAAGTGGATGCTTCAGGATGCCTCTTGCCTTAATTCTGGCTGCGGGGTCCACTGTTAGTATCTTGGAAAGCAGGTCTTGAGCCTCCGGGGAAATCTCACTTGAATCTGGCATTTCAAAGCGGCCGCTTTGAACTTTCAAAAGCAGATTTCTGATGTTGCCGTCTTCTTCGTCGAAGGGAAGTCTGCCAGTGAGTAGGGCAAAGAGAATGACACCGCAGGACCACACGTCACTTTCAAACCCATGGTACGGGAGGCCCGACACGATCTCAGGCGCAGCGTAGTGGGGAGAGCCGCACGAGGTCTCCAGCAGCTTGTCTTTGCTTTCTAGGGCAGCCATACCGAAATCCGCGATTTTGATATTGAACTTGTGGTCTAGAAGCAGATTTTCTGGTTTGAGATCTCTATGCACAATACCCAGGGCATGGCAGTAGGAGATCCCGATGATGATCTGGCGGAAAAAACGGATGGCCTCGTTTTCGGGCAGTGGACCTCGTTCGACTAGCAGATTGAACAGCTCGCCCTTTTCCACGTACTCCAGCACCATGTACAGGCTCGAGTTGGTCTCCCACACGTCGTACAGCCGAAGAACGTTGAGATGGTTCAGCAGCTTCATGATGATGATCTCGCGCTCGATACCGTAGGGCAGAACGTCCGGATCTGACGACCCGACCACGGTCGACGAATTGCCGTTTATTTGCGTGCCGAAAACCGATTTCGACACTACTTTCACCGCTGCTTGCTGGCCTGTGCTTTCGTGTTGAGCAATGTGCACTTTGCCCGTGCTGCCTGCTCCCAGAGTGCGTCCAAGCTTCCATGGTCCGATTTTGTCGCCTTTGACCGTTGTCTGGCTCGTTTGCACCACCGAACTCTGCCTCGAATGTGCTGACATGCTTTACAGAGTGTAATTTTGGTCTTTGAACGCCTAAAATCGACCAAATTCAGCGCACGAAGTTATTTGTTTAACGTTCAAGAGAGGTCAAAAATTGGGAAGCTTTTTTTGAGCCAACCAATGCTGCTATTGTTATTGCTGCTTTAAGCCTTCTTCGTGTTATTTTTCAGCCTGTTGCGACGCGTAATGGTGGTGCATTCCCGCCAACTTTAAGTCCATGGCTTCTCAGATATATAGTTGATATTTCTTATGAGTTCCTCAATAGAGTAAGAGGGAGAGACATTTTTTCGTGTCGCCCTCGCGCGTGTCAAGTAGCGAAAAAAACGAACGCGTAAAGCACGTTAGAGACGCAGGATGAAGAGAACAGAAGTTGGGATAGTTTTGGAGTGTTTGTGGGTAGAGGAGAGCGAGCAGAAGGAGTGAGAAATATGTGGGAACAGGGGGAGTGAAAACTAGAGCTTAAGTAGGGGTTTTTGAGATCACGTGACCAGAGATGAGAAATTACATAAATATCTCGAATCCGAGTACAATGATGAATACTCCAGCGAGTACTTCCGCGAGTACTTGTTTTCTCAGCTTTGGCTATTGCCGGTGGACAAGAATTATTGTTCAAAGAGCGTAAACACGACATAACGGTCAACGACAGTACAGATTTTTTGACTACGGCTATCTCAACATTACATCACCAAAATTGAATTATAGATCTCTATCCTAGGCTTGGCGTTACGGGTGGAAAATCAGCATATACAATTATTCAGAGTTTGTATTCTCTAAAAAGCCCAAAGCGGCGGTGAGGTCAGGTATCGTTGACATCGGCGATAATTTTGGAATTTTTGCTGTATACACGTAAAGAGATTGTCCCAAGTTGTGCGACGCTGAGATATTCAATTTACTGACGTCGAGCTCCGTACAAGAATCCACGTGATCTCGCACTAGCAGCTTTTAATCGCTTTACACACAGGTGACTTGAGTCAACTCGTTGCCGGATCTGAACACCACGTATCAAGCCTTGGGATGCGCCTTTAGACTCGCTCTCAACACCACTGCCGTTTTTACCAGCTGTTACCCATGGCCACCTCTCACGTGACCTCGATGAAAGCGAAACCGAACCACTAACTCTTCCTCCTTTTCCTTGCTCTCCCCGCCTCCTCACTGCCTATCATCATTAATATTTTTGTGCTGCCTGGCACGCACCCGAAACGACGCGCGACCAGGACTACTGGGTTATGTAGTAGGAACAGCTAGCATACTATACCTATACCACGTGCCACCGTAGACAACATGTCTCGTTTCCCCCTCCTTGGCACAACTCATTGACAAGCACCTCCACCAATTTGTTCTCTGTGCGCTTCAATAATGTCGTTGTCTTCCATATCCAATTCCTCAGGCGTCTGGTCCGCTTGGATTCTCACACCGTCGTACAAGAACCGCAGCGAGTCCATTTCTTTACCCTGTCTCTTGGCGAACGCCTCCATCAGACGTCTCAAAGGGGTGGTTCTCTTGATCTTGAAAAAAATCTCTGAGGACCCATCAGAAACCTTCAAATTGATGTGAGTTTCGGCCTTGATGTCTGGTTTGGTTTCTTGTTGTGGTTCGGACATGTTCAATTGAAGTGGTCTGGAGTCCTTAAGACGATATTATGCTGTGTTTTGCCGTATTATAGCTGGTGGTTAGAGCGAGTAGGTTAGTAAGGGTTTTTTTCTAACCATTGGATAGAGAGTATAAAGTAACATTTTTCAGCTGATTACCCGGCGAGGGACAGGTATGAGGAAGAATGACAGAAGAGGAAGAGAAAGAGAAGGACGAAGACGAAGAGCGCACGGGCCAGAAACGCGTGGCCAATAGCGGCCGGGTGGACTCTCCTCCGTTCCTAATTTTCCAGCTACAGCTGTTGAAAAGCCATTTCTTAGACTTTTGAGAATAATATCACTGTGTACGAAATAGCACACTCACTACCCACTTCTCGATTGGGTCACCCACGCATCTTCGCAGACGACGACCAGCGCAAACTTGCATCAACAACCTCTTCACTGCCACCCTTCTGCTGCACGTAATGACGTGCGCGTGAAGTCTGCCCGTCTCTGCCTGTCTCTCCCTCACCCCACACGAACGCGGCGCCTAATTTTTTTTTCAATTTCTTTCAGTAGCGCCATCTACTCGTTTCTCCACCCGCTACCACTCCCTTTCCTCTGCTCACAGCGTCCATACGTAATTGCCAGCTACAAGAACTGACGTCGGAACAGGTAACTCTACAACTTTCCTTCCGCAAGTAGCAGCGATAAATTCAAGAACGTAAGCAGAATAATTCACACTCCCGCTCACTGCTCTTCTGGCTTCACAACATTGTTGTCAAGGATGAGCCCTTAGTGCCGTAATGACATCTGGTCAGTCGCCGTGTTATAAAAAAATTTCGACGCCAAGGCGCTACTTTCTATCTTCTAAATGGCTATTTCTCGGAACTATTTCCACCTGTGCGAATTGTAATACAAGTCGCAACGACCATTGCTGCGGAGCTTTCAGGTGAGAGAGTTTTCAGTTTTTCAGTTGTACATAGTATACTAAAACATTCTATACCTTATGGAACAATATCTATAACGAGTCATAGAGAGCTGTAGACGGTAGTGAGCGGCACAGCGATGAGTTCCGTCCGTACCAGCGTAGCGATGCCTTCAGAGAAAGCGATGCCTTCAGAGAAAGCGATGCCTTCAGAGAAACTAGAGTATTATAGGGTGATATCAAAGATAGCCTAGCAACGCTGCTGCACTCTTGCAGAGAAAAACAGACGAGCCAGTCAAGTTAGTAGAGAAACGCAGCATATAGAATTATGTAGGTGGAAGCGGTAAACTGGTGTAGATAATTGCGCGACTATTGGCGCTTTCACATACGTTGAAGTGATGGTGAAACTTTTGGTGGTGAAAACTCCAGCTGGTGGTGATGGAGGTGGTGAGAGTATAAAACAAAGTAGCAGAGGCAGTTGGTGTGGGGAATCCACTCAGACAGCAAACCTGGTCAGAGCAAGGCAAAAAACGGCCAACGAGGAAAGGCGCAAATCCAAGTCTGAGGAGTTTTTAAAATTATAGGATTTACCAGCTACAAGGTTGAACGGCCTCATCGTCTGCGTAATAAAGGCTACACCGGCTCAGCTCGTCCACATACAAAGACACACACACACTCACAATATGAGCTACGAACTCAAAAACACAAAACAGTCGCAGAACGCCACGTTGGAGTCCTGCAACAGCGTCGAAGTCATCAAAGATAGCTCAGAAGAGCTTCCTGCCAGAAATGGACTGATCCACCGTTTCGTGGACTCATTCAAAAGACCCGTCGAGACCGGATACGCTGACAACAGCGACAACGACGGCGACGGCGAGTACCAATGCACCGACGACGTCAACAGTGGCCACAAGCACAAGTCTCTCAAACAGAACATCCGGCCCCGACATACACTCATGATGTCGCTGGCCACGGGTATCGGTACCGGTATGCTTGTCGGTAACGGTAAGTCGCTAAACAACGGTGGGCCTGCTCCGCTGGTCATCGGGTATGTCGTGGTGTCGACCATGTTGTACTGTGTGATTCAGAGTGCCTCGGAGCTGGCCATCTGTTACTCCTCGCTTTCGGGCGGTTTCAATGCGTACCCATCTCTGCTGGTGGACAAAGCGTTTGGGTTCTCCGTTGCGTGGGTCTACTGTTTGCAATGGCTCTGCGTGCTTCCCCTAGAGCTGGTCACAGCATCGATGACCATTAAATACTGGAACGACACAATCAACCCAGATGCATTTGTCGTGATCTTCTACGTGGTTCTTATTAGCATTAACTTTATTGGATCCGCGGGCTACGCGGAGGCAGAGTTCTTCTTCAACACTTGCAAGGTCTTGATGATCGCTGGTTTCTTTATTCTGGGAATTATAATCAACTGCGGCGGTGCTGGTAACGCCGGTTACATTGGCGCCAAGTACTGGCACGACCCCGGTTCTTTCAGAGGCCATAACGATATCAACAGGTTCAAAGGTGTGGTTTCCGTCATGGTGAACGCTGCGTTTGCATACGGAGGTGCAGAGTTCTCAGTGATGACTGCTGCCGAACACTCGAACCCTCAGAAATCGATTAGAAGTGCGTCCAAAAAGTTGTTGTACCGTATCATTTGCATTTACTGTATGACGGCTGCGCTTCTTGGATTTTTGGTGCCATGGAACTCCGATGAGCTGCTGGGGTCCGGTGGCAGTGCCACCCACGCCTCGCCATTTGTCATTGCAGTGGCCTCGCACGGTGTTAAGGTGGTTCCTCATTTTATCAATGCCGTTATCTTGCTGTCTGTGCTCTCCGTTGCCAATTCTGCTCTGCACTCGTCTTCGAGAATCCTGCTGTCGTTATCGGAGCAGAACTTCGCGCCCAAATTCTTGAATTACATCGACAGAAGAGGCAGACCAGTGATTGGTCTGTTGGTAAGCTGTGTTTTCGGAGGGTTGTCGTTCGTGGCAGCCACCCCCAAAGAGGAAACGGTGTTCACCTGGCTGCTGGCCATTTCGGGTCTCAGTGAATTGTTTACATGGTTTGCCATTTCTTTGTCACACGTTCGTTTTAGAGCGGCTCTGAAGGCTCAGGGAAGATCTAAAAGTGAGTTGGGATACATACCGTGGACTGGACTGTGGGGTGCCTACTATGCGATGTTCATGGTTGTGGCAATTCTAATCGGCCAATTCTGGGTCGCTATTTCGCCAATCGGCACCAACAAGCTAGATGTCAACAATTTCTTCGAGAACTACTTGGCAATGCCAATATTAATTGCGCTCTACCTAGGCTACAAGTTGTGGTCGCGGGAATGGCGCTTGGTGATCCCAGCCAGTGAGGTGGACCTCGTAACAGACAGAAAAGTGTTCGATGCGGAGGTATTGAAGCACGAGCAGGCCGAAGAGAAGGAGCGTATTCGCAATTCTTCATGGACTGTGAGGGCATCGAATTTCTGGTGTTGAGCGTAACGATTGTATATGTAGTTTTAGGCTACAAGTTGTAAGTAAAAAAAGCATTTTTGAAGTTAGAGCAAGACCAGGTGAGGAGGGGGACCAGAGAGTATGGTGGTGCGGAGAGAATGGAACTGGAGAGCGGGTTGAACATTAACCATTGCCAGAATTGTCCGATCACGTGGCACATGGCTCGCTGGCGCCGCTTGGTCGCAGTCGTTCTTTTCAGTGACACCACCACCTGTGATAATCGGAAATCCCAATTCAGCAAGTGCAACACTTTCAATCTAGATGTTACCCCAGAACAGGAACTCCAGGATTCCTTCACCAATTATATCGCATTGTCCGTGGATTTCATGCAGATTATATTATCGACAGAAACGTATACAAACACGCACGCGCACACACACACACACACACACACACACACACACACACACACACACACACACACACACACACACACACAAACACACACGCACACACAATCACTCGCGTAGCCTAGCGAGAGATATAGAACTCCGCGTCAAAACAACATCGCTATCGTTCTCAATCGAACACGCGGTGGGATACCGACAGATGTGAATGAGAATGAGCTGGCAAACCGACAACAAATCCCACGTGATACCATCACATTTATTATCGCGTTCCACGACACAATCAAAAAGAAACAGAAAAAAATAGAAAAAAGAAACGCGTGGCACAAAAACCAAAATGCTTACGTAAACGTGCCTCGAGGCTTTTCACGTTTCTTTTCCCTTTCTTTTTCGTCTGTTATTGCCCATTGTTTCCCATTCGTGGAACGAAAAGAAGCCGTTTTTAGCTTCGAGGACACGGCGCTAAGCCTAATTCAATGCGGCTCGCTCAGCCGTAAAGTAATGCCCAGCTTTTTTTTGTCGTTCGGATTTAGTGCCCTATTCTCACTCAAGCGCCGCATCCACCGCATCCATATGCAGAACGTCGGTAACCCTCTGGTTAACCTCTGATCAAAGTTTTGTCAAGGTCGTAATTCCGAGCTTTCTCAGGGCTCTCTCTCTCTCTCCAGGGCCGATCAATATGCTGCAGGCGCTGCTGCTGCGAAACTGTCTGCAATAGCGATGCGAAATCTGGCACTTGATGACAAGAGCCCCAAGGCTCTAAGAGAAACCTGAAATTGGAAGTGGGTCGCACAGCGATAAGCTCGCGGCGCCATGGGCGCAGTTTTCCTCTTCCAGATAGTTTCGCCCAACCAGGGACGGTCTCGGAATGCTAGTTTCTCGGAATCATGTGGAGAGAAACAAAATGGGGAAACTTTGGCATCGATTTCGCATTTATATGAAGCGGGACAGGTTCGAGTTTTTTGGGTACGATTTTCCGCTTCGGATAGTGATTCAAATTAAAATCCAAACTCAAGCCATCTGCTAAGCCAGTTCTTCTATATCACCAAACATCTTTGAATTCCCTCTAGATGTCTGGCGTTAACAAGTCTGAGATCAACAGCAGCGCGATAGCGCTGCAAAAGCTGGGCAGCGACGGGGCCGTAGAAAGTGAGGAAAAAACATCGCTGCCGGAAAGCGAGTACAAATTTCACACGGACGAGTCCAGATCGGCTTTCCAAAGGTTTAAGCGCTCGTTCAGAAGAGCAGACGAGTCCTTGATTCACCACGATGGCGAGTTTGGCGTCGAAGTGGGCCAAAAGTCCGATGGTCAACTGAAACAAACCATTAAATCCAGACATGTTCTGATGATATCGCTCGGTACGGGGATCGGCACCGGTATGCTGGTCGGTAACGGTAAGGCGCTCCACAACGGTGGGCCCGCCGGTTTGGCTATCGGTTACGCCATTATGGGTTCGTGTCTATACTGCATCATCCAGGCCGCTGGTGAGCTCGCTGTGGTGTATAGCTCGCTGTCCGGTAATTTCAACGCCTATCCATCCATTTTGGTCGAGCCTGCCTTTGGTTTCTCCGTGGCCTGGGTCTACTGTCTGCAATGGTTGTGTGTTTTCCCGCTCGAGCTGGTCACCGCCTCGATCACAATCAAATACTGGACCACATCGGTCAATCCCGACATTTTTGTTGCCATCTTTTACGTGCTCACCATCCTGGTCAACCTGTTCGGGGCCCGTGGGTACGCTGAGGCCGAATTCTTCTTCAACTCCTGCAAAGTCCTCATGATTACCGGGTTTTTCATTTTGGGTATCATCGTCAACTGCGGTGGTGCTGGTAACGACGGCTACATTGGCGCCAAGTACTGGCACGACCCCGGCAGTTTTTACGGAACCAAGCCAATCCATCATTTCAAAGGTATCATTGCGACCATGGTCACTGCAGCCTTTGCCTTTGGAGCCACCGAATTCATCGCTTTGACCGCTGCCGAGCAAGCCAACCCAAGACGTGCCATTCCCTCTGCTGCCAAAAAAGTTGTGTACAGAATCGTGCTCATCTTTTTGGTGCCAATTGTTTTGGTGGGCTTTTTGGTTCCTTTCAACTCAGACCAGCTAATGGGCTCTGGTGGCTCTGCTACTCACGCCTCTCCTTATGTTATTGCCATTGCTTCCCATGGTGTCAGAGTTGTCCCTCACTTTATCAACGCTGTCATTCTCTTGTCGGTGTTGTCGGTTGGCAACTCTGCTTTCTATTCCAGTTCACGTCTACTGCTGTCCCTTGCGGACCAAGGCTATGCTCCCAAGGTCTTCAAATACGTGGACCGCGAAGGAAGACCCATTAAGGCTATGGTGGTGTCTATGATTTTTGGTCTGATCTCGTTCGTCGCTGCCTCTCCAAAGGAGGAAACCGTGTTTACGTGGCTACTAGCTATCTCCGGTTTGTCGCAGCTGTTTACCTGGATTTCCATTTGCGTATCTCACATTCGCTTTAGAAAGGCTCTACAAGTTCAAGGCAGAAGTGTCGGAGAGCTGGGCTTCATGTCTCAGACTGGCGTGGCTGGTTCCTACTACGCTACAGTTATCATGGTCTGTGTTCTTATTGGCCAATTCTGGGTAGCCATCGCGCCTGTGGGTACTGACAAATTGGATGCCAACAACTTCTTTGAGAACTACTTGGCGCTACCTATTTTGGTGGTACTGTACTTTGGTTACAAGCTATGGACCAAAGACTGGAGACTATACATTCCTAGTGAGCAAGTTGATCTGAACACGGGCCGTAAGGTATTTGACGAAGACCTCGTGAAGCAGGAAGACGCCGAGTACGAGGAACACATTCGCAACTCTGGATGGCTAAGAAGAGTTGGACACTACTGGTGTTAAAAGAAGAAAAAAGTGTCTTCTTCTTTCCAAAACAAAACCGTCAAAAATAGACGTGACAAATGCATAATGAGACCACAACATTTTCTACGCCGGGGGACGCCCGCAACGGTGCAGCAGCGCCCTCCGCTACTTTTTCTAATTATTTAAAGTATCTCTCTTGCCACTAGACGGCAGTTTCTGTGGTCGAACTCCGTCATTCGCGCAGTTGTATATTTAAAAACTCAATGCAGTGAACTAGGCTTAAAACCAGCCCTATGACAACGACTCATGACAGAACTTCGCTAAGACACTTTATCCCAGCACTAAAAAACCAGATCATCTTGCACTATTCTGTCCACGAATCTTAATCTAAACAACCGATGCCTATGGAAGCACAGTTAAGTTTAGCAAGTACAGTTTATTAGTAATGACCATTCAAAACTCGTCTCATAGTCGGTCCGAGAGTAGCACTTTCAATGTCTTCCGCTACAAAGAAGCCTAAATTTCGCACTTCTACTCTATTTCTTAAAGGTCCTCTACATAACAGAATTCAAACCCATATAATCCACGAAGTCCATAACGAGGACTACTCGACTTCAACACGCCAAAGCATCTCAAATGAGCGGCTCTGCCACAGCCCTCGAGACTGCCAGACTTCGAATTGAAAGTTATCGCGAGAATTTCACGTGGCGCGGTTTTAGGCGTAAGGCTTCATCTGAAATATACGTTACTAAAAGCTTACTCATGGCTACGTATAGACCAAACGATTAGTAAATACCGATAACAATGGCGCGCTAAATAGTAAGCGGAGCTCTTGCTTTGTATCTTGTCATTGTCGTTGGCGAATTGTATAAATATCAAATATCAAAGATCAATTTAGGGCTCCGAGATGAGCTCTCAACGTATTCATTTAGTTGTAGTAATAATACTTATAGCTTAAGTTCATAACTATAAGCTACCACACTCTATAAAGTATATATAATAAGCCTAATGCCATCGAAAGCCGCACAATTCTTGGAAACGTTGGCTGCCCGTCGCACAATCTACGCTCTCAAGCCTGAGTTGCCTGCAAATGTGGAATTGCAAAACGTCAGAGATGCAGTGCAAGAAATCATCAAGCATACACCCACCTGCTTCAACTCCCAGGGAAACCGAGCAGTCATTTTGACTGGCGAAAGCCATAAATGTGTGTGGGACCATGTGTACAAAACTATCCCAATTGAGGCCTACAAAACCAGACCGCTTTCAGCCAGAGATGAGGCGCTAGGAACCGTGGTTTTCCTTGTGAACGACGCCAAGACCAAAGAAATGCAAGAAGCGTTCCCCGCTTGGTCAGATCTTTTCCCCGAATTCGTGGCTCATTCATCGGGCTCGGCCCAAATCTCTGCCTGGACAGCACTTGAACTATTGGGTTTCGGTGCTCACTTGCAGCATTTTAACGAGTTGGTTAAGGACGCTCTTCCTAAAGACACCGTTAAAGAAGAATGGAAAGTTCAAGGCCAGCTGGTTTTCGGCCTTCCTGTCACCGGACCCATTGAGAAAAGCTTCATGGAAAATGAAGTGCCACTACTGGAGTAAAATAGGATCTGGCGTCCTTTCAAATGTATACATACTATAGAGAAGGTATCACCTCTTTCAAACAAACACCGGGCACAATGCCGCGGTATTCATTCAGATAAAATTCTCCGTCAATATTAACGTGCTGTGGATCTTCATTTTCGTGAAGAGGGCTGCCACTCGGCTTGCATTTTTCAACCAAGCACCATCCGTCCGTATGTCTAGCGAGTAAACGCACATGTTCGTGGGGTCGCACTGTTATTTCATCAGTCAGTTTCTGCGTATAGCTGCGAACTACAACATGTATCCTATGCAACCCCACGTCGGAAGCACTAGTTGCGGAAACCACCTTATTTGATTCACATCCGTCAACTTCGAGGACTAAATTTTCCGATGCCTGTCTAGATTTCGGGGTCAAGGGCAAAGGTTTGACAGACTCCAATTGTTGAAGATGTTGTTTCAGCTCGTGATTATGTTGTTTAACTTTTCGTCCGTTTGAAATGGGTCGACTTACTGATTCGCTGTTTTTTGTTGAAATTCTTTGAATATCCAGTGGTTTTAACAATGCCCGTGTATCGATTCCAGAACGGTCAATTACCTGGGGTTTTATGACATTATTTGAAAATTTCGAACGCGCATACGGATTGATTTTGGAAATATCTCCAGATTTCAAGTATCTAGTTCCTCTATCGTCAGAAGACGCATTTTCCTGTTTCTTGGAATATTTCAGAGAAGAGGATCTGAACACCAAAGGATCCAGCTGGCTTGTAACATAGGATTCTTGAAAAACAGGAGATCGAGCTGTACTCAAAATCGGGGATGTCTCATCTGGCAGAAAGCTTTGAATCCGGTTTTTCGAAACCCTTGACAGAATGTTTAACTGCTTCAGCTTGACGGTAGATGTCTTCAAGGGCTGTTTGACTTGGTCTTGCAGATAAGTAGATTTTGTAAGAAACCACCGAGACAGAGGCGACTCGTAGGTCCAGGTTCCGTTCGTGGGCAAGTTTGGCCTTTCGCCCAAAGCATCGGAGGACAAATTTGGCAAAGCAGAACCGATGGATTGGATGCGCGGGGGTTTCGAATACAAGAATGTGTTGATCTGGTTTGAACTGTAGCTTTCATTAACGGGAAATACAGCTTTTTGAGGTGTTTGCACATGCTGTGACGTTGGATTGGAAGAGGTGATCTTGTACTTGATGGTCGCACTAGTATCACGAAGAGAGACAAAGGACTCGGCACTATATTTCTCGTCATAGTGACGGTGATAGTTTTGGGTGTGCTGGCCCGGCTCCTGATTGAACAATCGCGTCCATATTTTGGATTCTCGACGTGGTGCGGGTGCACTGGACTTGGAAAACGAAGGCGTAACAGGATACCGGTTGTACTTTCGTTTGCGTAGCCACAGAAAAAAGACGACGAAACCGAATCCCAGACAAAAAATGCCTAAGGGCAAACCTATGGCCAATGCGACTATGGTGGACGAAGCATTTTGTCCCTCCGAGACCTTGTCCATCAAAATAGCGCTTGTGGTCGTTTGCTGGGTCTGGCTGGAAATTACATTGGTTTTGGCATTGGTTATGATATTGGCACTGGAAGTTAACCAACTAGTCGAAGTCAAAAGCTGTAAAAGGGTAGCAGTGGATTGTGAAGTTGTCAGAGACGAGGACTGTGCTCGAACTATCAACGAGCCCGTGCTGACGACCACGGTCGAGGTTGAAAACGGCTTGTTGCGACTGGGAGAAAAGAGGAGATCCACATATACGCTTTCTAACACTGTGGCCATTGTTAAAGTGCTCATTAAGGTAGACTGGTTGGAGATGCTATTGTTGGCCAAGCGAGTGGCTCGAAAGATACTGTGAGTTCATGATGACTGAATGAAGGGCCTGTTATAAGAAGCGTGTCGCATAGTTGAGAGAGTTGTATTCCGGGATTGAAAGACATCGAACTTGTTTCAGGTATCTGTTTCAAGTGTCAGTTTCGAACGTCAGTTTCAAAAGTTGAAACAATGAAATCCCCAACAGTCAAAGTGATATAGATCACAGGTTTAACCTAATTGCGGTTAAGATGTCCTCCAGGATGAATACGGATATATTAACGGGCGGGCCTGGTCAATTGTAAAATTCACTATCTCTAAATAGGATATATATACATATATATTAATTTCAAGCTCATCGGTACTGTTCAGAAGAGTGAAAAACCTATAGGTTAAGACTTATCTCGACGAGAACTACGTAGCGCTTTGTTTGATTGTTTCTGACGATTTATGGGGAGTTTTTTACTTCGAGTGCGATGTGCTAGGGTTCATATAGGGTTATCTTAGCGTAGTTGACTCTTGGAATAAGAAGCTGGATGAAATACTTGGTATCTTTAAACAATGCTAGACGTAGTTTAGATTGCTCAAAAACCTTTCATTTACTCATATTTTACGCGAATACGCTGGCAAGAACTGGACACTATGTGGTCAGACTTTTTGACACCAGTCGCTTGAAGTGATGTAAAGTATCTCAATTCTGGACGACGATTGAAGCTTGAAACAAGTTTCATAGGCGGAGTGGGAAAACGTCTGAATTGCGAACGCAGTAGCGCTTTCGATTAACCAAAGTTTGTCGGGAGTTGGGTGACACGATGAAGCTTATAGGTTTGAAAGACCGGGACGAAATGCCAACAAAAATAGAGTGACGGGAATTGTTCACAAATCAATTACAAGGATGCAATGTCGAGCGAGTCAAATTGTCATTCAAAGAGGGCGATTTCGACTTAGAAGCCCAAAAAAAAACCGTATGAGACGTTGAACGCTGAAAATTTGAGTTATAATGTTAAGAGGCAGAGGGATACGGAAGAGACCATGATCATGACGTTTGCCAAAGGTAAAGGCCTTTGAGCTGCGACGGGATAGCGTACGAGTGTGCTGGGATAGTCACGCGACCTGTCGCTTGGCGTCAGTAAAAAGAGCAAACTATTCAATCCACCTGTGAGTGTTGTGTCTACATTTACGAGACGTATTATGAGTATTCGAGCTTGCTGGTTCGTTTTACTTTTTTCCAAAGCGCTCTATTTTTTTTCAAGTATCATTATGACACACATTTCATAGATCCTTTATTCATAATTCTTCTGTCTTCCGCCCGGAATCGATTTTGTTCACAAGGTACAGCTTTTGATTCCGTTGTGGATACTGAGGCATGCCATCTTACTATTTCAATGAGCATTTCAGGAATTGCTTCGTCGAAACCCCCATTTTGGTGAGATGATGGCCTCTGCTCTTGATGGCCCCTGCACGACGAATTCGGACCGGGAATCAGAAACGCAAGACATCTTCCTTTCTGATGCAGAATTCGATCTATCGTGGGAGGCCCCGAGTCCGAACTCCACCTGCACATCAAGTTACTGGAAGTGATCAAATGCGATGAATTACGAGGGTGAATTTGCTTTGTAGCGTTTCCTTGACGAGCGTCGGACACATGGCACTCGTTCTCGAGCCCAGTTTTGCAACGCGATTTGCACTGTCAAGTGCCATTTAATAGCCTCATCGTCCTGATCGAAAATTGATTTCTTGAATTTCAAACGCTTCGAAAATGCATGCGAAAGTTGTTCCTAGCTTGTGCTTCACCTTTGAAAGATTGCTCTGCTGTGTACGTCTACAAGACGCCAACGATCTACAACTGACACTTGCAGCCAAATAATAACATCACGATTCGCGTCGTTTAACTTAAGAGAAGCTTACGTAAGCATAGCGTTTACAAGCTGCCAAGAACTGTCTTCAAGCAAACTGGAACAATTCAGAGCGTCAGCGATGGATAGCGAGTAGTGCAGGTTGAAAGACCACCGTAGTGTGAGTTAACCGTTCCGATGCGACCAACCAAAAAGCTTTTGATAATTGTTGCATGATGTAACGTTTACGATTATCACATACTGGGAGAATGACGAAAATACAACCACAGGCAACAACAATTGTTGTAGAAATCGGCCCAACAATTTGACAATGTCCATTTCTTGCAAAGAAACAGGATGGTCGTAAGCAAATTAGTGGAAAACTGGCATTCCATATGCAACTTGATGAGCCTAATGGTTATGCTAGAGTCCACATGCTAGAGTCCACATGCTAGAGTCCACATGCTAGAGTCTACATGCCCGGGACCGAGACGTAAAAACGAAGCACTAACAAGAGTAATGGCGAGGAGTGTTTAGAGCATAACGAGCAGTGAGCAGTGCGTTGTGGGTGGTCCCGCGACGTACTACTAAGGGTATTTTCGCTAGTTCTTTACTACAGCTACAGCGCGAGCAAGATGAACCCAACTTCATCATCCCCATAGTTATTATTTGAACAGCAGATTGCTATTAGTGACACACCGCGTTGAGAGGGTATAATACCGACTTTCAACTCATCGGAATGTGAGATCATGCATCGAGAGCTCGTAATTACGAAGAGCATGTGGAAGATGGATATTTGCGTCCAAAAGCTGGCCATAAGCACAGTTGAACAAGTGGAGGGCTAATAAAGCAGCTGGAGATTGTAGTGCAGCTTGTAGTGCAGCTTGGTCATTAGACACTACTATGTGTGCATAAAGCATGAGCTCCATGCAATGTTCAATTGAGAGTGATAGCGAAAACTACAAGTTCTAGTGCTCATTGCCCTCTACTTGTTGTAGCTCTCTTTATTCACAATTGTTCAATTGTAGTTTGAGTTCGATTGCCGAGAAGCGCTTGTGGCCGTTCTACCTAATACCGCGAGTGTGCTTGTAGCATCGAGTCCCTGACGCTCCAAATCGAGTCCCTGACGCTCTAAATTGTACAATTGTGCTCCGAGTACTCTTGTGTATTCCCAATTGTGCTGCAAGTACTCTTGTTATCGCTCTCGATTGTTCAACCATGCTTGTAGCCAGCCTTGCGGGGTATGCAGCAAATCCTGACTTTCACCATGCTTACATAACCCACACCAAAACAACAACACATCATGCAGACTCATGCAGCCTCATGCACATACACACATGATGCATACACCGCGCATATCTGCATCATGCATCCTGCACAACGCACATGGATCTACGATCTGCCACATTGGCCCAGAAATCCCCGCACAAGCCCGACAATGCTCACATCCCGAGAAACTTGCTTATGGCATGCCAGGATTTGCAGTGCAGCGTAAACAATAGCCATTTTGGTATACGCGCGTGGGGGGATTGCGCAGCGGCCAAGCACAATAAACACATACACACCCGCAAACGAGAGACGCAGGTATATAAAGGGACGCGATTTCGTAGATGTTACACCAACAGTCCAATTCCTAAGACATACTTAGCATTCCAGATATCAAACGCTTACAGCTGTGAATAGTGAAGAACACACTAGTACGCTTAATTGTGGTAACCGACTTCAAACGCGGTTCAAATATTCAAATAAAATAGAGTGAAAGATATTATCGCCCTAAAGAGATTTCGGTGGACGCGGTCTTTTCGTACAAAGTGAGACAATAGACTCTCGTGTGAAACGATATATTACATCAGCACCCATACATCCGCAAGTATGAAGCTCAATCACGTGACTCTGGCAGCCGCGCTTTACGCGAACCTCGCTGCTGTTCACGCAACGACCACCACCACGCTCGACTTCACCGCAACGGCCTCGGAGATCACATTCACAAAGACACCCGAGGGCTCGACGTCCGGGTCGACGTTTTTGTCGGCCTCGTCTCCGGCGGAATCGTCCAGCGCTAGCGTCGAGACCAGCGCATCCGGCTCGGTTGTCAGCTCGGTAACCAGCTCTGCCACCAGCAGAGTGACCACCATTGGATCCAGCTCTGCCGTCAGCGCACCCAGCACCGTCACGATGTATTCTTCATCGGCACTATATCCAAACACCACTGTGGTCAGAACCAGTAGCGCTGGAAGCTCCGTCGGTTCGTCGATCGAGTCGTCGACCGAGTCGTCAACTGAGTCGTCAACTGAGTCGTCAACTGAGTCGTCTACCGCACCAACCTCTGTTGAGTCGTCCTCTGTTGCGTCAACCTCGTCTGTCGAGTCGTCTTCTGTCGCATCAACTTCGTCCGTCGTGTCGACCTCCGCTACCCCCTCCTCCTCCTCCTCTTCCTCTTCTTCTGTCGCACCATCCACCATATCCAGCAAGGCCGCTGTCTCCACGGTCATCTCACTACCTGTTTCATCAACCAAGACCTCGTCTTCCGCTTCGGCCGCCGCCACAACTCTAGACGCCGCTACCGCTGCCTACATCCTCAGCGAGCACAACGCCAAGAGAAGCTTGCACGAAAACACCCCAGACCTAGTTTGGGATGACAGCTTGTCGGCTTTCGCCTATGCGTACGCCAACTCCCTAGAGGGCACCACATATGACCCTTGCTCCGGAAACTTGATTCACTCCAGCAACAGAGGCGATCAAGGTGAGAACATCGCTTTTGGCACAACCACAGACCCTAATCTTCTAGTCGATTACTGGTACGACGAGATCCAGTACTACGACTACAATAATGTTACCGGTATTGAGCACGACGGCCAGGAAGTCGGCCACTTCACCCAACTAGTCTGGGCCTCCAGTACCAAGGTTGGTTGCGCTGTGTTGCAATGTGACACTCAAGCCAAGTACGGTCAAAACTCCATTTACTTGATCTGCGAATACTCACCAGCCGGTAACGTCTATAACGGCACTCCAGGACAAGATGAATTCTATTTCTTCAAAAACAACGTCTTGCCTCTAAAATCCACCTAAAATGATTCAAGATGCGTTTTTTTAACTTTATGGCCAGTTTCTATTTAGCTAGCTAGCTAGCTTTACGTCGTGTAGATTCACGTTCGTTGTATTTTATGATATTTCGGAGCAGTTTGTTTGTCTTTATGTTCAGTAGATTAACGTCCCTTTAATACATACTTGGGAATGACTAGCTAGCTGTCTTTGACACATTTTACTTTGAAGATCTTTTCTTTGCTTCGATCAGAACAATTTCGAAAGCGAGACCTGAGCGGAAGCCTCGAAGTTCAACGAAAAGTCTGGAATTCTATTGAGTATATCTCTCGATTTATCTTTCACATTGTCTTCCTAATTATACAGTCTTTACCAGGCATCATGTTCTCTATAACTTCTCCATTACTGGAAGCTTTCAGGTAATAGGCCAAGCTTCTGCATTCTAATCTTGACGGCATTGCGGTGAGCATCAAGACCTTCGACTTTGGCCACTGTCATCACAGCACGCCCAATGTTCTCAAGACCTTGAGGCGTTACGCTTTGAGCAGTGATAAATTTCTGAAAAGTGCTGGTGTTGACACCGCTGTACTGTCTGGCATATCCGTAAGTGGGCAAAGTGTGGTTGGTACCACTCGAGTAATCACCACATGATTCTGGGGTGTAAGCACCCACAAACACACTACCGGCGTTGAAAACTAAGGGAACGTACTTGGCCGCATCCTTAATCTGCAAAATCAAATGTTCCGGAGCGTAATCGTTAGACATGTCAAACGCTTCTTCGGATGAGTTGCAAAGAATGATGGAGCTGTGTGCGATACACTTGCGCACGATGTCCACACGAGGTAGCTGCAAAGCCTGATCGTGAACGGCCTGTTGGATTTCGGCAATCTTTTGCTCGCTCAGTGCGATACCAACTAGGATAACTTGCGAGTCGATACCGTGTTCTGCCTGAGAAAGCAGATCGGAGGCAACAAAATCGGCATCTGCATTCTCATCCGCAATCACGAGAACTTCACTTGGACCGGCTGGCATGTCGATAGAGCACAACGCTTGGGTATCATTCTGGACATACATCTTAGCGGCGGTAACGAACTGATTGCCAGGACCCAAAATCTTGTCGACTTTTGGAATTGTCTCCGTACCGTACGCCATGGCAGCCACAGCTTGCGCACCACCGGCTAGAACAATCTTGGATGCACCAACCTTTTGCGCCACGTAAACCACTTCAGGAGACACTCTACCATCCGACTTGCGTGGAGGAGAAGCAAACACGATTTCCTTACATTGAGCAACGCGAGCTGGCACACCCAACATAAGCGCAGTGCTAGGTAGAACAGCAGTACCACCTGGAATGTATAGACCGACTCTCTCAATGGGGCGTGGGAAACGTGAACACAGAACGCCTGGCTGTGTTTCAACCTCTAAGGTTTCTTTCTGCAATTGAGCCTCGTGGAATTTACGAACATTCTCCATGGACAAGTCCAATGCGTCTCTCATTTCCTGCGTGAGACCGTCGAGATATTCTTCAGGGAATGGAGCTTCCAGTACAGGTTGCTCGAGCTGCACACCATCGAATTTGCTGGTGAGCTCGATCAAGGCCTTATTGCCCTCTGCTCTCACTTTCTCTACAATTGGATTCACTAAGTGCATTATTTCTGAGGTTCTTTGAATTGGTCTACTGAGAGCCGCAGCAACACCCTCCTTGTCCTTACCGGACACTACTTCAAGCTCAATGTCACCTGTGAGCGTAGCCCCGGCTTCTTGAGCTGGCTCTGGTTTAGCCTCCTGCTTCACAAACTTGGGCTTGGCGTCGCCTTTTCTTCTAGTGATCTTGAGGTGTTTGACGTGCAAATTTCTTTCAACATCCTCCAAAGAAACACCGCTCGCTACAAGTTTTACCATGGCAAAGTAAAACAGGTCAGCAGCCTCCCACGAGACTTCGCTCTTGGTGTTCGCCTCGGTCAATTCCTCCGCTTCTTCCTTAATTTTGGCAGTCAAAAGCGCAGGATCGTTGAACAGTCTGCGAGTGTATGATTTTTCTGGGGCGTTCTCCATTCTTTGACGAAGTAGCTGCTCCAATCCGACCAGACCGTGCTGGAATTCGCCATAACAGGATGCAGTATTTAGGTGGCAGAAGTCAGATTTCTTGCCCTCCTGAACCACAACGAATTTGAGGGCATCGCCATCGCAGTCAAGTTGTATGTTGACCAGTTTCTGCGTGTTACCGGATGTCAGACCCTTCACCCATATCTCATTTCTGGAGCGGGAGAAGTAAACGCCCACTTGCTTCTCGATAGCCATCTTGACAGACTCTTCGGACGAGTACACGAGACCCAAACAGCGTTGGTAAGTGTCGACCACCAAGGTGGTATATAGCTTGTCTTCACGATCAGTTTTGATACTAGACAGCAGCGCTTGCGCCATCTGAGACTCAGTGAGACTGCTGGCATCGATGATTCGATCTTTGGCAAAGTCTTGAACAATCTCGAACTGACTGACGTAAGCCGAACCATTATCCAGGGCCAATCTTTCCTGTGGCACCCCCAATTGCTGCAAACGATTAGCCTCCTCTTCGCTTGCGATGAATAGAACTGCAATACCACAGTTCACGAAACGCACAATGTCATCGTCACTGACCTGGTGGCCAGGCTGCAGAAGACCGCACACAAATTTGTAGGACTTATTTTCCTCGATAAAAGCCGCAGCTTCCTCGACACTGGTCTTCGACAAGTCAAGTAAAGCTTGACCGGTCAGTGAGATGAAAGGTTTGGCTTCAGTGACCGACTTCAGATCCTTGCCAGCAGCAAAGAACGGTAAAATTGGAAACACCATTCTCTTTTCTGGCTTCGCAAACAAAACTCAATCTAATGAAAATTACCCGCTATCACTATAGCCAAAATTCGCTATTTTCTCGAAAGGAAAATGAGGTTAGTAGGACAAAGTAAGTGTTTTGACGCAAACTAAGGACGTTGTTCTTATATCTTGGGCCCGCGATCAAAAGCTGAGTCAGACTTGAATTCTGGTCACAGTATCATGAGATGAGCATTTAGAAAAATTTGACTTGGCGGCGAGTACATGGCTACTCGTGAGTACTCTCAGCTCCAGCTCCTATTAGCTCAGTCTAGAAGAGTTGATCGTTCTCGTAGGGACAGTCCACACTGTTGTGGCCGTCTCTCTCGCATAGAGCACACCATTTTTGACGTCCAGCGGCGCGGTCTGCTTTTTTGGGTATGAACAGGGGCAGGGATTCAGACTGTAGATTGACATTTGGCTCGGGCTCGGGTTCTTGCTCTGCGGGATCGGAAGCAGTTGTCAATGCAGGGGTGCTAGGTCTAGAAGAGGATTCCAAGGCCTTCACTTTGGCATTTGCAGTTGCCAGCTGTAATTTTAGCTTTTCGACTTGAGGGTTAGGATCTGGCGAATTTGCGTTGGTGACAAGAGCAGGTGCATGTGCTTGAGCCTGTGCTTTCACCAACAGGGCAGCCGTTTGGTCCTGTTTTCGCAGCGATTCCTGTAGCTCTCTCGAAATGTACTGATACTCTGAGCTCAGGGACTCGTTTTGAAGTTTGAACTGATCCCGTTCTTTTTCCCACTTGGCGGCAGCAGTGCTCTGTTCCGAACGCCACCTCTTCAGCGTCTCGACTTCTTCACGTAACGCATCATTTTCTGCCTGTAGCTCGGCTATGGTTGAGTCCGTCGGCAGTGGGGGCTGCGCTTGCTGTGCTTGCTGCACTTCCAGCATCCGCCTTTCATTTTCGCGAATCTCTGTATGTAACTCCTCCACAACGGACAGCAATTGCTCGTGCTCCGTTTCGAAATATTGTTTCTGCTTCGAAAGCGTCTCTCGTTCTTTAGCCAATTGTGCCTCCAAAGTCGCATTTTGGCTCTCTATCTGTTGCAGCTTCGACTCGTAATTGTCGATCGCCGGGTGAATTTCCTCCAGCACAGTTTGTTGCTCGCTCAACAACTTTCTGCAGTGCAACAGCTCCTGCGTTTGCTGTTGGAATCTGAGCTCGAGGTTACTGCCACGATTTAATTGGGAGCTGATGCTTCTTTGACGACGCTCCTCTCCATCCACATCCATGGCGTCTGAATATGCCGTTGAACTGTGTCGGGAACCCGGTTTTAGCGGTGTGGGGGACTTCGCAATGCTCATTTCGGACATTCTACTGTCACCTGCGTGTGTTTCTCCAAAAGTCGTTCGTCTGGACGAATTGCCCAGCGTAGCCGCATCTATCAGTCCTGCCACCTTCTGCAACTGTATAAAGAGTCCACTCTGAGTGTATTCAGTCTCGAAATACCGTTTGCCTTGGAAAGTTCCATCATTCTTGCCGATATTGGCAAGCAAGTCAACTCCTACAAAAGTCCCTGGTTTTCCATCAACAGACCCCACATACTTCAATTGACCACGACCCACGTTTGGGATCTGGATAAAGCATCCAATCTTGCGCTCGTAGCTGTCCATCAAGCGTTCACAACCTTAAACTGGGTGGTAGGTCCAAGTGGATTGATCTGTAGGATCTCGAAGAGCGATGAGTTAAATGGCATCAGTTTGATCATGTGACTATTTCTAAAGAAAATTGATTTATGATCATCACTGTAAACGGGAATCGTTTAACATGCTTACTTCAACAATTTATTTGGCCCTCACTACACACGGGAATGTTAGATTGGACGTAGCTCTAAAGTCTTCAGCGAGAGGCTTGCGAACTTGAACCTTTAACACCACTCTTCTCGTAGTAAAAGAACGATACAAGGCCACATTTCTACGGTATCCGAGTAGTTCACGAGTAACTAGAGAAATTGCCCTTATTGAGAGTTTTTTTTGCGAAGAAAAATGGACGTTAACGAGCTAATTCAAGACGCGCAAAGGTTTATGGACCAAGGCAGACATGAGGAGGCGGTGGACTCTTTGACTCGTGCTGCCCAGCAAAATCCCAACGAGAAACAGGCTTCTGTGATTGAGGAGCTTATTGAAAGACTTGGACAACATGTCGTGAACAACAGTGACGGAAACGCCTCTCGTGACGTTGGCAGCAGCTTGTTCAACACGTTTATGGGGGGCATGGGCAGTGGCCACGGCAATTCGGGCGGATCACAATCACAGCTGGGGAAATTGGCGCTTTTGAGCAAGATTTTGGGGTCTTCCAACAAAAACTCTGGCGGTTTCAACTTGTCGTCCGTGGCATCCATGCTTGGAGGCAGTGGTAAGACAAGCTCTTCTGGCTCTCATTCTGCCGCTGGAGGCTTGACTGGGGCTGCTTTGGGTGCTTTGGCAGGTCAGTTTTTTGGCAAACAAAGCTCCCAGTCGCACAACAATCAGAACCAGTACGGCAATCAAAATCAGTACGGCAATCAGAACATGGGCCAAAACCAGGGACACTCCCAATCTCAGTCGAGTCTAGGTGGCTTGGCAGCAATGGCAAGTTCGTTTCTCGGAGGCGGCAAGCAATCAGGTCAGTATCAAGGCAACTCACAACACGGCGGGAACGGCAACTACGGACAATCGCAACACCATAATCAGGTGAACCAGGGTGGATACAACCAGGGAAACCAAGGCGGATACAATCAAGGAATTCATGGTGGGTACAACCAGGGCAATCAAGGTAATTTCAACCAAGGAAATCAGGGTGGATATAATCAAGGAAACCAAGGTGGATACAACCAAGGAAACCAGGGTGGCCACAATCAAGGAATTCAGGGCTGGCACAACCAGGGCAATCAAGGTAATTTCAACCAAGGAAACCAGGGTGGATATAATCAAGGAAACCAAGGTGGTTACAATCAAGGAAGCCAGGGTGGTTACAACCAGAACAACCAGGGAGGGAGACCAGGTGGTTACGGAGAAAACAACAACTATGACTCATCCTCACAGTACGATCGTCCAAGCCAAGGCCAACAAAGACCAAACCAGGGCTTCAACTTTGCTGGCAACTTTGTGCCTTGAAGAGTACAATCTCGTGTATGTACTTGCAGCCCTTCAGAAAAGCTATCACAGCATGTTCCCCGCTTGTGAGTGTGTCACACGTTCATAGCGAATCCGATCTATAATTACTTGAGACAGCTTTTCTGTCATGATGAAATGGAGGTTGATTGGCACAATAGCACTTTAACGGAGGTGGAGGTGCACCTACCGAAGTGTATCGCATTGATGGATTTAAAACGATCTTTGCTTATGCTTCAACCGCCATCGCCTCTGTGAAGATGGAAGCATTCTCTAGAGTTGTAATCGAGGTGACTTATAAGTAAATAAACACCTGTCAAGCATACACACAGAACCCATAATACTTGCTGGGGTGGTTTCACGGGTTTGGTTCGACTGGACCCTGCACCTACCAGATCACTTTGTACTATTGTCATAAGATACCAAAATTTGTATATATTCATTTTACGTGTAAAAGATAGAATATTGTCCCAGTCTTCGAGCCACCGCTTGACTCTAAGTTCGCAATCTTAATTGGCGCCATACTTCACACTTACCATTATATTTATTTCACAATACAGACATCATCAGGTTTTCGAGCGTCAAGAGATTCCATCGAAATTTCAGCTACAAGAAAAAGGTCAAACACTAGATGAAACTCACGAAATATGTATTGAAGCCTGAATAGTCCAGATGCCAAACCAAGCGTCTCATTCATACGTTTTATCGTTCTAGTTCACCTTAATATCATCAAGCACGTGACGCTATTCTCTAACTACAATTTTACCAATAATATGCCGGTATAACTCAACCTAGAAAGCCTGTGTGTAAAGTCTCAACTCATTGACGTTAATTGAAGATGTTTAAACCATCCTTTAGTCTTTTAAAAGATGTTGTTAAGATTACTGCGCGTGGAAGAAAGGGTTCCAACCCCGGAAAGCCTCTTTTGCCACCGCTTCAGCTGTTCAGACGGATCCTCAGAGAGCACCGGAATCTACCTGCTGCACAGAGAGAATTGGGGGATCAGTATGTGAAAAATGAGTTCAAGCTTCACAAGGACACCAGTAATCCACTACACATTGTCGGGTTTCTTGCCTCGTGGCAAGACTACTTGCATATCATAACGCAAGGGCAGTGGCAGGAGGCCACGCTTTCCGCCGAAGTGCTCGACAAAATGTCGCCCGATCAAGTGACTCAATTGTACGAGCTGATGAAAGAGGCTGAGTCTCTGCGTCAGTCAGAAAAGGTAATCTAAAGACTACCGGGGAGGCACTTTAAGATGCTTTTCTCAAAATTTGGACGACACCCACCACCACCATGATCTTGGTGCCCAACTCTCAGCAGCATATTATGACAGTAATAATTTTGAGCAGTAACAATCTGAGGAGATAGAAATAGATACAGCGAAGTTTGCTGGCGAGAAAAGAACATTTCTGAAAACGCAGGGACGAAGAGAGAGAAAGAGAGAAAGAGAGTAACACTTTTATGATGTGGCGTAGAAAACATCAGAAGAGTCAGACCAAGGGATAAAATCATTCAAAATGGTCGTTCTGGCCTTGTAGAAATCGGCCATTCGCGAATTTTGACATCTTTTACTCGTGGTTCGTGATATCTAATTTCAGATTTTCCGATGGCCTACAATTTCCAACTTAAGAGTCAACGACGATGATGAAAGGAGAGGACTTTCATAACGTTCTAAAACATCAGTGCAATACATTGGGATCTCCTAGCCACACGGTTCAAGTGTGTTGTCTGTATCAATATGGCTTTACAGATTGATTCCATGAAAAATGGCTTCTTGGTGGTACCTTTCGCATTGAACGAGTCCAAAAAATTGCAAGAGAAAATGAAGAGCACAACGCCCACAGATGAAGCGGATACTACTTTGGCGCACTACATGTTTATGAAAAAGCACCAGTCCAAAAACGAACAAGAGCAAAATTGTATTTTTGTTGTGAATTTGCCTCTGCTCACCAACCAAGAAAACTTGAAAAAAGGCATGGGACAGATTTTGGCACAATACGGCGCCGTGGCCCATATCTCACAATTGCTTCACAATGACGAGTTTGGTCTCCACGATATTGATCTCTCAAGTCTCACGTCGACTTTGATGTCCACCGGAGGCGTCGAAGAGAAACGGTTTACGCCCAGAAATTCCGCCCTATTACAGTTCATCGACTCGTCCAGTCTCGATAATGCTTGGAGCGCACTGCGGAAGTACTCACAAGAGCGTGATTCTTCGAAGCTCGCAAAGTGGACGTTTGAGTCGCCCTCTTTGGAGACTTTCACCAATTTCTATAAACCCATTGACACAGAGTACCTCAAAGAAGACGTGTACTCACACATGGCGCTTTTCGAGCAACGAGAACAAGAGGCTCAGGAAGAAGCACAGTCTTCGATTGTGGACGAAGATGGATTTACTTTGGTGGTTGGCAAAAACACTAAATCCTTGAACTCCATCAGGAAAAAGATTCTAAACAGGAATCCATTGTTGAAACATGAAAAGGTTGTAAAGCCTCCAACGATGGTGGACAAGAAGGCCAAGCAAGATTTCTACAGATTCCAAATCAGAGAACGCAAGAAACAAGAGATTAGCGAACTGTTGAAAAAGTTCAAGCAAGATCAGGAGAAGATCAAAGAAATGAAAAGCAGGCGGAGATTCAATCCATACACCTGAAACGAGGAACAAGTTGGTAGAACTACCGAGTGTATATTAGAATCAGAATATCAGATAGTTGCAAAAGAATTGTTTTAGATAATTATCTATAGTCTCCCACCCGGAGTCAGCCCGTTACTTACTTCTTCAAAGTCCCCGCGTTGCCGCAGCATGATCGCCGGATGTAGACCCTGTTGTTTTAGGTTTTTAAAAATCTGCACGGGCTTCTCGTCTAGCTCCAGTATACGTTCCTGGTCGCCATAGCAGATGACTAACACGTATTGTCGCCAGTCCTGCTCGCTCAGGCCATGTCGCTTCATGGCGCTTTTCAGTATTCTTTCACAGGAGTCTTCTTTAGAGGCTCGCATGTGCTTCAGTGGCTCATTTCCAACGCCTGCTGCAGGCTGAGAGGTCGGAACAGAGTATGGCGTGCTAACGGTGGAGGCAGACGGGTTAGGGTGAAAGACAGAGCCAGAAGTGGACCTGTTGAGAGGCTGGCGAACGGCTGGGGTGTTCGGCGACGACGGCATAACGACTCGATGTCCCTCGAAGTAGTCATGCTGGGGCGCATGGCCATGAGATGATGACGCAGAACCTGTGGATACGTTTTGACTCTGAGGTAAAGAAACCGGGTCTCTCTTGACCACTTCGAGAACGTCGAGCCGAAGCCGGGAATACTGGCTTTGAAAATCCTGGAGCTTGTCGCTGACAGTGGAGTACAGCTGACTGAGTACAGCGAGTATTTCGTCCTCTTGGGAGCGTTTTTGGTTCTTCAGCCGGTTGACTTCCAATTTTAGCTGAACTGCGAGTTTCGCATCGCTATTGAGCAATTGCTTGCAGTCGTCTAGATCCAGCTCCAGTATTGCAGAACCGTCAATTGAATTTTCGCGAAAATTCTCACGAACCTTGTCGCGCGATGAAGGATGTACAGAAGCGCCCTCGGTGTCTATTTCACTGTCCTCTGGCCCAGAAATGCATAGTGTCTGCTCCAACCAAATGAGCACTTCCTCGACGCCCCAGAGCGAGATATCTTCGACTTTAGGCTCCTCCGGTATTTCGCTGGTTACAATGCTCATGCTAGTCGCGGAAAGCGAGGGTTTAAAGAACGTTTGGTGGGCAATGATACGTTACATGAACTTGGATGATCTACTTAGATTCGTGTGTGTTATGTTTGAATGGCTATATATTAAGAATGAAAGGTCGCGTCAGTGACGTTATAAATGATAGTTTGAACAAAGTCAGCCTTCAGTCGTTTAAGTAGTTGTGATGGCTAATCAGGGTGTAGTATTGTGGGTGAGTTTATCAGTGGGTTGCCGGTCGGTGATATCGAGTTTCTTGCGAAAAAAATCGGGTTTCAGGATGTGTATTACTGCTTTTATAATTATTAGAGTAGCAGAGATCTGGAAGAGAAATTGATGGCAATAACGGCTAGTGTGTTGTAAAAGGGACTCTGAGAGCTCATTTCAATTTGGCCTCATTAATGTTCTTTCCTGATTTAATATGACCTCTTCAAAAGCTCCAGAAGTAAGCTGGGCAGGACAATTTAATGCTTTGACCTTTGGAACGTGAATTCGTTAAACCTTGAATTTTGTCTCGGCAGCTGTGAATTGACTGTGCAAAAGGAGACAACCGTGGTGTTTCTCGTGCCTCTTGTGCCATTGTACTATCGACTGTTGAAGAATGCCTTGGCCGGCAATGTCCTAAACCATCGTGTTGCATTGCAAGTTATCACGTTTTACTAAAGTGTCATCTGTTGATTGTCGTCGCGACCTGTGTGACAGCATGGATCTTCGGCCTTACGAGAATAAATATTTGACACATCTAAGTGAGCTCTACTTATGTATTATTTCAAGGATAATGTATTGTCGTCATCCAGAAACGCTTGCTGGCTTCCATAATTGGCCGAATTGACATAGCGACACACATCTCTGGAATTGGTATGTTATTTGGCAAGCCAAGACTTTCAGTTGTTTTCGGGCGATTGTATTCCTAATTTACCGCGGTGTCCTGAGAACGAAAACGCACGCATGAGGTACCACCATATTGCATGCGACCAAAGCGTTTTGGTCTGAAATCCTTATGTGGAAGTAGGGCGTCGTACCCACGATGTAAAGTTTGCCAGCAGTTGATAAACAAGAGCTCGCCAAACCATGGACAATATTTGTATGCATTTATCTCTAAATTCTGGTGAAATGAAATGTACTCTAAAAGGTGCCACCGAGGAACATATTAGCACATATTTGTTCGCCGGTACAAAAGTAAAGGCAAGGATCTAGAATTCACAAGCTATATACACTCTATCTTCACCTGGCGCTCGAATAAAAAAACAGTCGTGCTTGAAACCATATCATTTATTCACAATCGATCGCCGTCGCGCTCAATTGCTCAGCTGTACTCACGTACTCGAATACATTAGTACTCGCCATCTCCTAATTAATAGGAAAAAAATTAAAGGTCTCACTCCACACGAACACATCCTGTTATCCAGTTCAATTCATCATCCCTAACTGCGTTGAAATCGTCGCTTCTTCACACCTCAACTGCTACTTCTCTCTTGCCAAATATCCTCTGAACTGCCACAGCGTTTCGCATTACGCTCTGCACGTTTTTGGTGCCATTTCTGGATCTCGACCGGGTCTGTTCCGTGTAGAATACAAAATTTAAACTTTTCTAGCTGCTCAGTGCAAGCATTAAAGTCGCCGTACCGGTAGTAGTTTCTAAACTGTCCACCAACCGAGTAGCAAGCGCTGAGCTGGTCAAAAGCCTCTGTACAACTCATCGTGGTAGGATATTTCGTCGTCATGGCGCAGTTCCGTGCCTCAAGCGTTTTCCGAGTCTTAGTAATTCTGGCAAGAGTCTAAGCAAGTGTAGAAGGATCGTGATTATAGCTATAAGTTCTCAGATTACAAGTAAATTTTGCAGACGGGCAAGGGCAAGCGCAAGATTGCGAACAGAAAGAAGCCAAGCCAGGAAATAGTTTGGTGTAAGACGTTCCTGGATGCTCAGAATAAGTGTAACGAAATACCTTCAAACTAGACCAATCTCAGCTACTTTACCAATATTCAAGATGAGCACACCAGGCTGGAATCCTAATTTGACAGCAGAACAGCTGTTGGTGCTACGTGACAAACACACCGAGAGACCACACACGGGAGCGTATTTGGACAACAAAGAAACGGGGATCTACCATTGTGCCAATTGCGACTCACCACTGTACAAGAGCGACACCAAGTTCAACTCACAGTGTGGATGGCCGTCGTTTTACGAGGAAGTTAGCAAGGGGGCCATTACGTACCATCGCGATAGCACCATGGGGATGGCGCGGACAGAAATCTGCTGTTCGAACTGTGGTGGCCATCTGGGCCACGTTTTCGAGGGTGAGGGCTGGCGTGAAAGGCTGGGCCTTCCTCAGGACGTCAGACACTGCGTTAACAGTTTGTCGTTGAGTTTCAAGAAAAAGGATAACCAGTGAATACGAAGCTGTTCCTGCAGAGATGCTCTTTACAAGACTAAAGTAGGTTTATGTCGTTTATGTTGTTTTATGTGAACTATAAATGCGTCGATGCGTGTCTATTTTTTATTGGCTTGAGGGTGCATTTGGGTCCCAAGGCCTTGGCGATCGTTCAGATGCGGTTCTGGTCGCCAAACGGATTATTGGAATCTGCACGTTCCACGTCTCTGGAGTAGGTAGACGACAATACAGACGTTTCGTCGATCACGTCGCCGCCGTCGTCGTCGTCGTCGTCGTCGTCCGAATACAGTAAGTCATCGTCCGAAGCAACACCACCAAGCTCGTCGAATTGCGCCAGGGCTGTCACGAGCTCTTCATTGGCATAAATTAAGCTGCCCAAATATTCGCCCTCTGTGACCAGTTGCAGATAACGCAGCACCTTACGCCGCACTGCACGCGCCTGGATGAATTTCGCGGTGGCCTCTTCACTGTCGGTGCTCTTGATTCCACTGGGAAGCGTCTTGAGCGTATTTTTCAAGGAAATGGCCGAGGCCAGCGAGTCACTGATCAGCAGCCGAATGCGTGGGCCCTCCACGGCCATATCGATCTGTGGAATTCCGTAGCGTTCGTCTGCGGACATCATCATCGAAGTGTCTGCCTCGTCCTGCATGAACGTCTTGCGTCTTCTGGACGGCGTGGAGCGCGGCCTGGTCGTGTATTTGGTGCGCACTTTGCGCCCCAATTCGTACAGCGCCTCGTAGCTGCGACTAGGGCCCTGTTCTTCGATCATCGCGTACCACCCAAGGATGTACCCGATGCACTTTTTCACCACACGGACGTGGTATCGCACCCCGCTGGCGTCCGTATCGGTTTGCAACGCAATCACCTGCAGTCTGTCCAGCAGCTTGGCGTCGTTGTACATTTCCGGGAATTTGATGCGTTGCGAAACAAACAGGTTTAGCAGATCAAGACTCCGTGCTTGCTGCGTTCTGTTGCCGTATTTCAGTTTTTTGCGCAGACAACGTGCTGCCTCGCCTTGGTTGCCATTGTAAGCAAGGTCGTTCTTGTCTGCACGAATTTGCTGGATCAACGATGCCAATTCCACCTCTAGCGTGAAATGTTCTGATGACACGATCCGGTCTATCGTGTCTGTGATAGCAGTGTGCTGATGGTCTGTTAAAAACCCCATTGTAGTCGAGTTTGGACTCTTTTTGAAGCGCTGAAAAGCCACAAGAACCTGTTAAGATAGACAAGATTTGAAAACAATCTCACAACTGTTTAACGCGTCTCAATTGCTGCGATTTGAGGGTCTCTTTGGTATTTAAAGATGTCGATCCTTTGCAGCTTTTCTGTTAAAGGGAGCAAAACGTTATGATGATACGCAATTTCAAAGATTATTAAGGTGGTACCCGGCCAAAGCTCCGAGATTATATAAAGAGCGAGGAAAATCCTTCATTTTGGCCTCAGGACCGACTTCTTATAGATATTTAGTTTTTAGAAATATGGACTACTCTAAACCGTTAGTTTTAGTCGTTTTAGTAGCCACAGTGTTTGTTATCCGCAGGTTTTTCGGTTCAATTTTCGGTACAATGGCTGCATCTCCAGAAACTGTTCAAAAAGTGCAAGCTATGATCAAGGACAACAAGATCTTTGTTGCTTCCAAGTCTTACTGTCCATACTGCCAGGCGACCGTCAAGCTGCTGTTTGAGGACAAGAAATTGTCGAAAGAGCAGGTGCTGTTGTTGCAGCTCGACACCATGAAGGAGGGCTCTGCGATCCAAGACGCTCTGCAAGAAATCACCGGCCAGAGAACTGTGCCTAACATTTTCATTGCCGGCAAGCACATTGGAGGAAACAGCGACATTCAGGCTTTGGAGTCGAGTGGCAAGCTCGACGCGCTATTGCAAAAGGCATTGGCCTAAGCGCTTCCATTAGGTATGGGCCAAACGTATCTACGTAATCGGTGCTGACATGTATATGTATATGTATTACGAATGGATATCACAATCATTAATAACAGGCGAGTGAGTATGTGATCGGGGTGTTGGTGAAGTCGAGGAAAGACGATGATGTGGCTGCGATCTAAATGTTTACGGGAGCGTCGTGCGAGACCGAAGGTACGAACATTTTTGGTAAATCTTCCTGCCAGGCGCTCGGGTACAGTTCTACTTTTTTTTCGACATGTTTAATATTGTGACACAATGAATTTCCTTCGATTCTCAGCGCTAGAGACCAGCGCCAAAAACCATCTAAATGTTTGAAAAAGGTCTACGAATGGGAAACGCCTTTCCAGACTGCTCTTCTTTGGACCTGTTTCTTCTAGCCGTATATCGCAAGGTATGTCGTTTTGTACTATTATGTCACTTAACTTCGTGACGCCCATATGATCTGCAGTATCCTGTTTTGACTAGCGCATTCGCAAGCAACCCTAGCTAACCATTCATCTCATCAGTAGGTCATAATTACTCAATTACACCAATCGGCTAACTAATTACATCAATTATTACAAAATAGAGGCAAAGATGGCAGCAATGGCGATCAAAATACCATTTGTGCTCGAAATGGCGGCTCCACCGGTCGAGAATTGACTGATGGTAACAGACGACAAGCCAGTGGTACTAGAAGGTTTGGCCGAACCAGCGGCAGCGGCGGTGGAGGTGGACACAGGTGAGCCACTAGTGGTTGGAACAGCGCTGCTAACAGTGCTGCTCTCGGTGGTGACGATCACTGAAGTGGCCTGCGAGACAGTCGAGATCTCGCTAGCCTGGCATTTGCCTCCACCACAGGAAACAACGGTGCTCACAATGGTTGTTGGGTGCACAACGGTAGTCACAGCCGAAGTTACTGGTACACCGGAAGCAGGGGAAGTTGCGACAAAGCTTGTGAAGGTTGTGGCAATTCCTCCGTTTGGAGAAGTAGTGATGACAGTAGGAGTTGCAGAAAGTGGGCAAGTGGTAGTGTAGATGGTTTCAACGCCGCTGACGGTGGCAGTAACGACAGAAGTGGTGGAGCCGACGGGAATAGCAGAACCAGTTGCAGTTGGTGCCTCGGTAGTCGCACCACTTAGAGGACAAGTTGTGGTGTAAATGGTTTCGACACCGCTCACAGTGGTAGTGACAACAGAAGTGGTGGAGCCAGCGGAACCAGTGGTGGCTGGGGCACCGGTGGCCGTAGCACTTAGTGGACAGGTGGTGGTGTAGATAGTCTCAACACCGCTGATTGTAGCAGTAACAACAGAGGTGGTGGAGCCGACGGGACCAGTAGAACCAGTGGCAACTGGGGCACCGGTGGCAGTGCCACTTAAAGGACAAGTGGTGGTGTAGATGGTCTCCACACCACTGATTGTAGTGGTTACAACCGAGGTTGTAAGAGCGGAAGAAGCAGCAATAGTCGACACCGGGAAAGTGGTGGTGTAGATGCTGGTAATACCGTTTTCAGTAGCAGTGACAACGGAAGTTTGCAGTTTCGTAGAGGATGTTGGAATCGTGGAAACAGGGCAGTAAGTGGTGTAGGAAGTTACGGTTCCACTTTCAGTGATAGTGACCACCGAGTAAGTGTACTGGCCAGAGGCAGCGGATGAAGAGGACGAGGAGGAGGTGACGGTTGAAGGCGTCACGGAGCCAGACGCAGAACTCATCAACGAGGATTGGATGGCAGTTCCAGTGTTGACAATGATAGTCGACAGAGGAGAGGTGCCGGTGTAGGTGCCGGAGGCAGTGCCAAAGGTCGAAGAGGAGCCGCCAGCGCTGACGGTGGTACCGGAGAAGGACGACGACGCACCCACGGAGCTTGAGCTGCCTGCGGTCAAGGTGGTGCTGAGAGTGTTGGTGGTGGAGGAGAGGGACGCAGAGCCGCCCGAGCACGCTTGCTGCACGGCGGTGCTGGTCCATGTGAGCTCCTGGCCCTCGGAGTCGTCCAAATGGAACACTTCGTACTGGTTCCACGTGACCAGCGTGTTGGAAGTGCTGTCGTCTGGTTTAACGACGATCATGCCGGAGCGCAGGATGTCGCACACATTCGAGTCCGAGTTCACTGTGACGGCGAGACCCTGGTTATTGGGCGAGACTTCCACGAGATCGTTATTCTCACGGAAATAGTACCAAACGCCCAGCGTTTGTTGGTAGTCGAGGGCCACTTGGAAAGTCTGGGCGGCTTTGGCGATCGCGCCTGACGCCAAAAGTCCCAAAGCTAGTTTACACGAGACCATTGCTGTGAGTTCTGGTGCTGGTGCTGTGTAGGACTGAAAAAAATGTTAAAAGAATGATTACTGCAAGAGTTTGATTTTCTTGTTTGTACAGACAGTCTCTCAAAAACATTTAGCTAAAACGTGTCCGTAGGATGCCAAAATGTCCCGTTTATATACTAAATTCTCCGGTCCCAGAGAGCTTGCGTTTAAGGCGAGTTTAAGGGGCGCAACAAGCCCAGCAACGACAACAAACACAGCAAGCACAAATAAACACGCGAAAATCTCATGCAAGTCTGGAAAATCCGTGCGCTAGGCGCGTTTGTGAGGGAATGTTTGTTTACAAAGTTGATGTGATCTGCTCGGCATGCAGCTGTGCATGAAATTCCTAGACGATACGCGTATGCAGGTTGAAGATCGCCGAGGAAGCTGGCACTTTTTTTGCAAATGCATGATGATGCACAATGATGCACTGACAATCCGATAATTGTTATGTGCATGAAAGGACTTGCAGCATGAGTGGTGCATGGTGCAGCATGCATGATGCATGAGAGAGTACTTGAGATGAGTACTCGTGAGTACTTACGAATACCACCGAGTACATACGAGGACTTACGGGTACTTACGAGTACTACCGAGTACCTATGAGTACATACGAGTACTTACGAGTACTTGCGAGTACGCTTCGCTCTTTTCAAACCTCGAACCGAACAGCTCTACTTTCTATATACAATGTCTATGACCGTAGTGGGAATATGAACGCACCAATAGAGACTTACCAATATAGGCTCAGCTACCTCTGTTGCCTAACCCAAAAATTAAGCTCCTTCTCGAGCACTCGATCGATTTCCTCCTCGTCTATATCAGTCTTTTTTTCCACTAAGAAACGCAATGGGATCCTCGACCCAAACACAACCGCCAAACTCGGTTTGGTGCACGGTTTTCTTCTTGATGGTAGGGTCTGTAAACTCAACGGCGGCGTTCACGTACGACAACGGCAGAATCTTGGCCTCTGCCGCGTCTCGCTGCGTCCACGTCTCGATCTTGGCCGCGATCGCGTAGAAATCGTCCATCTCCAGCTGCTTCCGATAGTGTATGTCGCACATGTGCAGCAGCAGCTTTAAAGTGTAGTAAGCGTCATTTCCAGCGTTATGCAAAAATGCGTGTGGCACCTCGAATAACCGCAGAATCTTGCCCAAACTGGACCCTTTGGAGCCATATGACGTTTTGAAAAGCCGCTCAGTGTCGAGCACCAGTATGCGGGCCGGACTTTGTGGCTTGCTCAAATCGTAGTCTATATTCTGTGGAATCTTGACGCCGATGCTAGCGAGCCACTTAAGATCGCCCTTGACGTTGTGGCCAACAAACGCGCGCTCCCAACTGCGTTCAGCTGCGGTTTCGGGTACCATATAGTAGTTTATCAGTGTTTGCATGAACTTGACACAGTTACTCAACGACATCACGTAGCTTTCACCCTTGAGAAAGCAGTCCTTCAAGTCGCACACGAACCTCCCGTTGCGCAGCTTCAAAGATTCCGCAACAATCAAATGGTACGTTCTCAAACTGGGTATCGTGGAAAACTGGCTTTCACGCGGGTCGTAGACCGAAATCCCAATCTCTGTCACCACGTTCGTGTTACGCTCGAATGCTTCGACATCGACACACAGACATATTGTCTGCTGCGAGCCCAACAGCCTGATTGCGTTTGAAAGGTATTTGAATTCGGCTCTTCCGGGTCCCATATTGATCTTGGGGACGTGACTATTCGTAATACTGCGCACTGCCTTTTGCAACTTGCTTTGAGCCTCAGCCTCTGCTTCTGGACTTTCAAAGTCTGCATTGGCACTAGTACTAGCAGTCAGTGCCTTGACTTTCTGGTCCAGCTCTGTCCTAGAACGCAACTCTTGTTCTTTATAAGATTTGGCAATGGCATCCAAATAACTGTTAATGTGGGCATTTCTGGCCGGAAACGGCTCGTAGGAAATCGCTGCCAGGTCTTGGAAATGGCTATTTTCGAGCATACGGGCCCTGGACAGTCCAACGTCGTTAGAAACACCGGCCGCGGCTCTGAAGTACGCACTGATGCTGTTGGGTCCTCTGGGTACGTTTGTGCCCCTCACGAAAATCGCATTCGGGTCGCGACGTGCGTTTTTCTTATTGTGGGAATGGTAAGAATGCATGCGGCTGTTTGTTGATATGCTTAGATCCAATTTGGCTTTTTTAGCAGGATTACGACAATGACTCCAGTTTCTTAGCATCAACAAGGTTGACACGGGTTCTTGGGGTAAGAACTTTTGCTCGTCGAATAGAGAACTCGTGAAGCGGGGAAACTGGGTGTATGTGAAGGGTCTTTCCCGTTGAGTGTTTTCTGAAGTGGTAGTATGAATGGGTTCGATGCGTACCAATTCTGGAAAACTCGGTGTACTCTAAACTGATGGGTATAGACACTCCTCCAAACTTGGTGAAAAGCGTTTCTCGAAGTGATGGTGCGGATGTATTTCCAAACTTGAGAAACTCGTGGTTTCAGTGTGGTTGTTTCTGGGCTGATGGTATGAATGTGCCTCCACAGTAGAAAACTTCGGTGTCTCCTAAGTGGTGTTCCCTGAGCTGATGGAAGGGAATTACTTTCAAACTTAAAAAACTCGGTGTTTTTTAAATGTTAGATTCTGAGCTGCTTGAGCTTTTGGTATGGATGAACCTTAAAAATCGAGAAAGTTGGTGTTTTTCAAGCTGTAAATTCCTACCTGATGGGTATGAATTTGACTTCAAACTCTAAAAGCCCGGTGGTCTAAACTGATGGGTGTGAATCTGACTTCTGATGGGTATGAATCTGACCTCTGAACTTCAAATTCAATAAACCTTGCTTCACTTTGCTGTCTCCCGCTCCGTTTCTTGCACTGGCTCTATCTCTGCCAATATAGACCCTTTCAAGCCCGTTAAAAACGTATTTACACTTTTCCAAGGCTTCACAACCTCTTGCAACGGCTAAACTCTCACTAACCTCTTGCTTTTACCGCTTGTCAATGTTCATTTCCACCTGTTAAACCGCCCTCTGCTCAATAACTATTTCTCATTTTTCAATATTATCATCATTATTGTTCCATTTCTGCTATAAATCTCATCGCCTCGCCGTCAGACCAAACAATTTGGAAAAATCGATGAGCCCGCGCGATGAGCTCTCTGAAAAATTTTGGGCTCTGAAAATTCCAAAAATTTTTTGGAAAAGCTACTCGATGAGCTTCACCAGTATAAAACCAAAGAAGATCAGACTCGAAGAGACCGTTAAAGACTTTAATTGTAGATTCGTTACACAGTTCAATTGAGTTTGTTGTGTGGTGTGTCGAAATCGAAGAAAGACGCACTATTTGATTGATTGATTGTCACTCACTCACGGTCATCGGTTATACAGGAAAATTGGGAAACTTCGAAAAAAACATCATCATTATGTCTGCTGTCCCTGTTGAGAACCCAGTAGCGACTGAACCAGTGGCTACTGCTGCTGCTCCTGCTGCTCCTGCTGCTGCAACGCCCATGGAAGTCCAAGAAACCGAAAAGGTTCAAAAACCTGTCCTGTCGCCTGCTCCAGTGCCCACCACATCGCCCTGGAAAGCTGTGCCAGCAGCTTCCACGGGAGCTGACTCGCTTGCAAATGGGTCCTCCAAATGGCCCTCCACGCAGGAGGCCGTCGAAACCCTCGAAAAACGGTCCAGACTCGCAGCTCCAGCCCCAGCTATCAAGCCCTCGTTTGGCAAGGAAAAATGGCTCCCCATGCAGGCCTCGATCGTGGTGTCGGGGTCCAAGAGAAATGGCAACGGCAACAATTCCGGTCCCAACAACCATATCGGCGGCAACAACGCCGGCCAGGCCAACAGACAACGCAGCCAAACTGGCAGAAAACCTCGTAGAGCCAACACCACAGGCGCTTCCAGCAACAACAACAACAACAACAACAGCAGCAGCAATGCTAGCAGCAGGCCGAGAAAACCATTTTCGGCCGCTGGCGCTAAGCAAAATGGCAAGAAAGACTCTCAGGTGCACTCTGACAGCAACTCTGCGATCGCCGAGACTGCCCAAGAATCCGCTGTTGCATCTGCAAACTCCGGCTCAGCGGAGCCATCGCATGTTCAGGTCAAAAACGACGTCGAATCGACGTCTGAGGGCTCCGAGGTCCCACAGGCCCAAGAAGACCAGCCCAGATCCGGATTCCAGGGAAGATCCCACCACGCCTACGGCCAAAACAACGGGTACCCAAGAAGAAAGTTTCACCAAAGCCACCAGAACGAATCCTACGGATCTTTCAAGTCGCACCACCCGCATTCGCAATACCCTCCCAAGCATTCTTACAACAACTTTCGCCAGCCTCGCCCCTACAACCCATCGTACCGTTCCAAGCCCTCTCATAGAAACGGCCACGACGGGTTTTTCAACTCGCAGCAGCCTCCTCATCCATTTGTGGCTGTCAATAACATTGCAAGACAACTTGAATATTACTTCAGTGCTGAGAATTTGACCAAAGACGAATATCTACGGTCTCAATTCACCAAAGACGGTTTTGCCCCACTTTCTTTGATTTCCAAGTTCTACAGAATTGTGAACATGTCTTTTGGCGGCGACGAATCGCTAATTATGGGCGCTTTGAGAGAAATTGTTGCCAACGAAACCGCAACTGTCGATGTTGCTGCTGTACAGACCGAATCAGCCGAAAGCCCTCTGGACAACTATTTAATAAGATCCAAGGACTGGCAACAGTGGGTCTCCGAATCTGCTTCTGAGTCTAAGGAAGAGGAGGAGGAAAAAGAACAAGAAGAACAAGCACAACCTGAATTGGCTAAGAGAAAGATTTTGGTGAATGACAACTTGGACTCGTTCCGCATTCAACCTCCAGTATTTGCATCGGCCCCAGAGGAACCCTCACAGCATGACGAAAATCTGGAACCGGATCAACAGTCCGAAGCCAGTGAAAACCAATCTTGAGCTCTTTACCCTCTAAAATCAAAAAATCCCAAAAAAAAATAAAGACGAAAAGTCCTTCAAGAACTCTGTTCTTGTACCATAGTTGCATGGTTATGTTTATCTGCGAATCAGTGCACGCGTTTGGATACGTTCTAAAGCGTACGAAGCTGTGACGCTGGTTCTGAAGTGGATATTTCACGATCATATCCAATTTTTTTTTCCAATCAACCAAAATACGTCACAGCTAGTTCACCGGCTACCAGGATATGAAGCTTTATCGAGCATTTACTCTCCGAGGTTTTCTACAGCTAAATTTCAATCTCTGGAGCATTATCACCCTCCGCGCATACCTCAGTCCCGGAAGCAATGAAACTCTCCCCAATTGTCATTCCAGACATTAATCTCACCGCATATTTTGAACTCTGCTTATTTTTTGTTTTTTTTCTTCTTCACCCGCCCGCAATTACTTGCGCTGTTCATGTCTAGTTTCTATGACCCGTTCTTCATCCACGCATGCTCTACACGCTCGGTATTTATGTACATAGATGTGGAAGATATTCTTCCACTATCATGCCTGATGTATATGTGAAGCCAACTCATTTAAAGCTTGACGATCTCCATCCTTGCACAGCTGAGAAGTTGGCTAAAAGCTAATGAATTATTTCACTGTGTTGTACGTGCGTGTGTGTATTTACTTATTGGTGTCTTAATGTCTTTTATAGCTACCTCTATGTCATCTACCCAACCATCTACCCAATCATCTACTCATTTCATCTTCCTAAATGATAAAATATCATTTAAACAAAAGTACCCAGCTCCAAACCACCGGAATCGTTGCAAATCAATTGGAACCATATCTTTGCTATCTAACATCTTTACATGAAGATCTTATGCCCATCATTTGACAAAATATGGTGCTCCGTAAACCACAATAAAAGCATTGTCTATTAATTGCATGAACAAAACAGTAACGAAAAGAACCTCCCCAATAAACTATTTGATACCCAGAAACCTAAGAAATTTAGTAGAAGCCTTCATACTAAGGTCAAAATCGAGCGGTATTGTCCAGGGTCACTCAACCTTTTATACTCAAAACTCACAACTGACGAATAGCCAGATTTCACACTATAATAAATATCCCTGTATATTGCATTTTATAAGGTATACCAAGACCCATCTCATCGCTCAAAGTTTGAATAACACGCATTCAATGAATTACCAAGCAGTAACATCCGATGAAGAACTGGTTCACCAACCGAATCGAGATAGAAAAACTGTCAACAACATTTTGGGTTGGTATTTATATTGTTTTTCAAGCGAACCCTTTATAGTTTCTGCTGTTTCCACTTATGTTCCACTGCTGCTTGAGCAATTTGCACGTATGAACGGTGTGTCCGTGGACGACCATTCGCTGAACTGTGTGAATCCTAACCAAAAATGTGTGCTGGGCGTTTTGAACAACTCATTTTACATTGACACCGCGAGTTTTGCACTGTACACGTTCTCCATTAGCGTTCTTTTCCAAGCAGTGCTGGTAATCTCTGTTTCCGGGCTAGTCGACATGTGGAGCTCTGTTAAACTCAGGGCAAATGTCATGCTGGCGTTCGGAGTCGTTGGGGGCGTCTCAACTATGGCCATATCGCAGCTGGACACCTCCCAGTATTACTCTTTAGCAGTGCTAGCGGTGATCTCTAACTGTTGCTACGGTGTGGTGAATGTGGTCGGCAATTCTTTACTACCGGTATTCACACGCGACCTAATTCAGTACAACTCGGCTCACAAAAAGGACGACCACGAAGTAACCACCTCTGTCACCAGTGGAAGAGGCTCCGGACTAGGTTACATTGCTGCTCTTGTAGTCCAAATTGGGTCAATCCTACTGATCAAAATGAGTAAAACTCACGATAACATTCAAGTCGCGGTGCTCTTAGTGGGCGTCTGGTGGCTTGTATGGCAGCTCCCTCTTGTGTGGCTTTTGCAGGACATCTTGCCACCTCTAGTCGAGACTCGCGATATGCAAATATCTTCTTCCATCCAATATTTGGCATTCGGTTGGCGGTCGTTGTTTGAGGCGCTCAAGCATGCCTCTCTTTTGAAGGACGTTGTCATATTTTTAATCGGCTGGTTTATTGTCTCTGATTCTGTTACGACAATCAACTCAACCGCTATACTTTTCGCGAAGACTGACCTAGGAATGGGGACTATGGGGCTCATAACTGTTAGCATTCTATCGCTTCTTAGCGGAATCATAGGAGCGTTTTTAATACCTCAGATTCTAGCCTCGCATTTTAAACTGTCCCAGCAAGGCATGATGATCACTATTATTTGCTGGGCTGGTTTCATTCCGCTTTACGGAACTCTGGGATTCTTTTTTGACTCATTCGGTTTAAAACATACTGGTGAAATGTATGTTTTGGCGGTCTGGTACGGTCTTGCTATGGGTGGACTGTCAGCAGTTTCTCGTTCGGTTTTCAGTTTGATTATACCTAGCGGCAAAGAATCCACCTTTTTCAGCCTCTTCAGCGTCACTGACAAAGGTTCTTCCATCATTGGTCCATTCCTTGCTGGTTTCATCACTGACAGAACCCATAACATCAGGTACTCCTTCTATTTGCTACTCTTCCTGCTTCTTGTTTCGTTACCTGTCTTCAAAATGCTTGATGTCAAGAGAGGTAAGAAAGAAGCAGAAGAACTGGGGAATATACAGATCCTAAATGACTAAGTTGCAACGCAATTAACTTTACTAAACTTAAGTAAAACATTTATGAACACAACTTTTTTACGACCTCTATGCTTCGGCTATAACTGACCTCTAACAACTTTCCATATTTTAACAAGGCCATCATCTCCTCCAGATGCAAAAATGTTTTTGTTTGTAGGGTTCCATACAACGATGTTGCAGTTTCTCCCGAATGTCTTATTTGAAATCCGTGTGGTGGGTCTTTCGGCGTCGTGACCGTTTATAACACTTACAATATTTCCATGAAATCTGTCCCAAATGTAAATTTTCCCATCTTCAGAGCCACTGGCCACCAGTTTATTGTCATATCCAAAACAAGACCTTATAATGAACTGCAGCTGCCTCTGGCCGTAGTATTTTTGCACAAGAATCTGTTCCTTGAAATCCCACAGCTGTAGTTCATGCGGTTGGACGTTAATCAGAATCAGAGAGTTTTCATCCCTTGCGTGATCCTTTATTTGAGGAATAGTCAGACAAGTCATACGTTTACCCACGCTCAGACGTGATACTTTCGAGACATGGAATCCTATAGTTTCGATATTGGATTCGGTAATTCTATCTCCATTTTGCACTGGTGGAAGCTGTGAAATATCATAGGTATCAACATAAAATTCATGCGCCATAAGTATCAAGTACTTGTCATTGCAAGTAATCTTCAGGTCATGCACTCTAGAAAATGGCTCTTGAGATAAGCTGGCATTCAAGCTCAAAACTTGGGACAGTTTGCAGAGGACGGATTTGGCACCAATATCATAAATTATAACATCTCTATCAGGAGAACCTAGGGCAAAACGACCTCTGTTGCGCTCGGTATGAAACCAGCTACAGCACCAAATTCTAGGGGAGCTCACAGATGATGTGCCTTCATTCTCGTATATCTTAAAAGAGTCTTCTGGTTGTATAATTTCTGCCACGAAAGCACCTTCATACTCTTGGTTCAGATCCGTGGGCTCACCCTCTTTGTGTATGTCATAGATTTTCGCATCTTCATTGAAGGGACATGAAACCAAGTACTTACTGTCAGGGGAAAAAGATAGGTACAGAACACATTGGTCGTTTCCGGCCAGTACTTTGTAAACTTGAAAATCTCTTTCCACATCGTAGATCAAAACTTTGCGGTCGGTTGAAGAATCTGCGGAGGCACTTGCCAAGTATCTCCCGTCTGGAGAGAACTCGAGGTACCATATTTCATCAGCGTTTTGCGCCAGCAGTTTTTCAGGTGCAAAAGAGATCCGCTGAGAACTGCAACTATTGTCTTGCAGAAGGTTGTAGTGCCGGGATCCTTCCTGCACAAAAGTATCGTCCTCATCCTCGAAGTTGAGCACGTCTTGCGAGTTTTGGTATTTGATGGCTTGACTCAACAACGTGAGGAGCCTGCCTCGCGGAACCAAATTATTCGGATCAATATAGTTTGAGATGGACCTGATGAGCAGTTGTCTTGAGCTTTCCAGGCTTCCCGACCACACATCAGACAGTTCTGCTGAGTTAAGAGGGCACGTCAAGATGCTCGTCATCTGCTTGAGCAGTGTGTCAGGAGTCAATGCATATGAGCTTTCTTGATACATGAGGAGAGACTCCCACAATTGAATATATTTCCGCAGAACTGTTCGCAGAAAAAACACCGCCAGCGATGAATCCTGTTGGTCAAACATTAGTTCCAAGAAAACCTGTTTGTTGATCAAAACAAGCATTTCCACGGTGTCCAGCATGCTCGTGAGTGTTTTGACGTCGCAATCGGCCATGTTCTGCGCCAGGGGGTCCAGAACCGCCAAATCTTTTTCCATGGTTTCGAAAAACCGGTGCCAGTCTGTCCGCTTGGCAATCAAGTTTTCAATTTTCATGGCACTGTCCTCGTTGCACACAGTGGTTTCGGACTCCATGTTGCTATCTTGCGACGATGCACGAGTTTGCGAAAAATCTTGTGCATGCTGCTGCAAAAACGACTTGAGACCGCCATGTTTCATTGGCAACCTGACCAGCATATTGAGATCGATCAGTTCGAATTGGCCGTACTGGATCGCAGAAAAAAGCTTCTGCACATTACTGGACTTCACCTCGACGCCCCCGCTCTCTTTTTGCAGCGTTACCGCCGACTCTGTGTACCCTATCTCGTGCAGTGTATCTATGAGCAGCTTGGTAAGCTGGACCTTGTCGAAGGGACTTTTGGAAACGTCCACATCACGACTCGTGAAAGGTACGTTATAGGCCTGGGGCCGCGAGTTGCGGCTCCCTAAATAGGACGGAACGGGCAGCCCTTCTTGCTGACGACAGCCGCTATTGCTGGTATCAAACTCAACTGGCATGTAGCGATACTTGTTGGTCACAGAGGAGTTCCTTATGGGCGCTTAAGGAGGATACAGATGTGTCCGTTTTCAGGAACTCAGATGTTGAATGGTATTTATATAGATATTCTAGGATTTTTTAGGGATACACAGCTCTCTTGGAAAAAAATGGACCCTTTGTCAGTTCATACGAAATTAACGTGATACTCAGCTGATCTGATTTTTCTAAGCTTACGTAAACTTCTGATAGTTTAACGATCTCAGCTCTGCAGATATTCATACAAACGTTAACGCTAGCTCGTTGGCTAACGAGCAGACTTACTCGAGCGTCTTTATTTCTTCAAAATTGTCTTTGTAAAATGTTTTGTCATGTTTAAGTGTCTCGGAGGGTTCATTACTCTGGGCCTCAGCGTTTAGATTCAGGCCACTAATGCACACAAGGCCGCGCCCACCCCAGATCCGTCTTTGGCAATGCATAGATGGGTCTTACGCTCGCCCTCTGGACCGATTGGGCTCAATGCCAATGCGTGCCGTATCATGGAACGGAATCCAGGGTAGTACTCCACCACGGATCCGTCGCATCCAATCTCTACCTCGCCGTGGTAGCGTATGTTTAGAGTTCCTGTTTTGATCAAAATTGCAGCGATGGGAACCGCAGCCAAGTAGGCAGAACGACGCGAAATAGCTCGCACCAGCTTTTGGATTTCAACGCGCTCGTCATAGGTTGTAGCCAATCTCAGGCTCTGCAAAATTGACAGCTCGGTTTCGCGCAGTTGTGTGGAGTCATCAATTTCGATGTGCGAGAGCACTTCTGAGGAAAGTTCGAACGGGGTTCTCAGTCTGTGCGGCAAATGGTTTTCGGAAGCAAATTGACCGAAAATCAGGCCCCTTCGGTACAAGTCTATCAACACGTTTCGGAGAATCTCGCCCAAAAACATGCCAGACACACGTTTTTCGAAAAGATGGAACCCTGGGTTGCTGGAGAACTTCTGGTCGATGTCGATGTCGTACCGGGTCGTGGGGAGATGCTTGAGGTCGTTGTCGAAGGACCCCCATTCGGTGTTGATGCACATGTGCGTTTTCCCGGATTGCAGCAGCTGCGCGCGGAGCTTCTCGGGCAGTTTTTTCACGTTTTCAATCCTCTCCATGTACGCACCGTTGGTGCCCGTGCCGAAAATGCAGCCCATGACGGGCTCGACGATTTCGCCTGACGTCAGTGATCCGTTGTTTTCGGAGCAGTAGCAGTGCGACAAGAACGTGCCCACGGTGTCATTGGCCAGTGCCACGACCCGGATCATCGACATGCCCTGATCGTCCAGATGTTTTTGGTACAGCTGCACCACGTCTTTGCCCACCGTGTCCTTAATTTTGAAGCCCTTGGTCCACCGAATAAGTGTCCCAGCCGACAATGAAGTCTGGTTTACTGGGTACGAGAACGTGAAGCCCAATTTTAGCTTTTCGCTGTTCTGCAAATACTCTGGGTGGTACTTGTTTACAAACGCGAGCGTTCTGCGCGCCAAATACCCGAACAGAGCATCGCTGGTGACCGTTTCGTCCTCCAAAAGCTCTTCTGGGATTTTACTCTTCATTTGGAGCAGTGAGAACCGGTGGTTGCCCTTCAATTCCACTGAGCACACCCTGAAGTTCGTGCCGCCGAGATCTGCAGCCAAGAGCATCCCGCTTTCAGTCCCGTTGGGAAGCCCTGTCACGTAAGTGGGGATCATAGGCAATCCACGGTAGTCTGCGTCTTCCTCGGCTTGGCCCAACCCCCGTTCCATGCTTTCGATGAAATAGTTGGTCAGCTCGTGCATTTTATCTGAAGACAGCACAAATTCCTCACATACCTCGTCCACGGCTGTTACCAGACGATCATGTTGTTCCTGGTGCACTCTTTCGAATGACATTTGGGTATATAACTAAATACAAAACACTAGCTACTTAATCTTCAGCTAAATACAGTTGTTTCCACCAACTAATACAACTCTATGATGGTAATCAAATACTGATTTAGCTATGTAGCGAGAATCAGTGAGTCAGTGAGCTTTTGACGTTGAATTAAAGTTGTTCATTCTTCTTGAATTAATATACTAATTTATTAATATATATATATATATATATATATATATATATATATATATCCGCTCTATCTGGCTTCCTTACGAGAATCTACACTGTGGGGGGAAAGACCGGAGAATGGGGCGTTAAAGCACAAGGGGCAGCCCTGTACTCGAGGCTAAGAAAAACGAGAGATTTACGAGGACGAGTACATCTTGTTTTAAAGACTCATTGTGTACGGGTTGGAGGGGGTCATTTATATTTGTACTCGAGTACTCCAAACAAGTATCACGTAACACGGATTCATTCCCATCCTGTAAACCCTCTCTCTGTAAAGAACATCCTGAACTCATCTCACAGGTTGACCATCTCTGGAGGACAAACACACACAAGGATCTGGCTGCTTATTGCCCATTGCCCATTGCCCAATTGCCCAATTGCATCAACATCTTCGCATCCCGTGTTGTCCCCTCTACTCCCTGTCTAGCCCCGCCCCCGTCGTACTTAGATGTTCAGAATTGCCAAAAACCTGGTCAAGACGTTCGAACAGAGCGTTTCCGACACTATCGGTGCCGGCGGCCGTCTGGACCCGTACTTCGCAAGCGTGCCCAGTAACTTGCTGGTCCCCGGAAATGACTCGAACGAAACGCTCAACGGTCTCAGAGTTCTGAGCTGCGAAGTGGCACAGCTGCAACTGCAGTCTTTCTTTGACTACATCGTGGGCATCGACGACCAACCGCTCCCACTCATCCAAAACCAACACGGCTACCTGTATCCGGATTTTGGAGCAATCACACGGACGCTTAACGCGGCCTGCGGGTCTAGTGTGGGTCTCAACGTGTGGTGTGGTCGTGGTGGAGTGTTCAGGACTGAATACGTGCGTGTAGAACGCAAGCAGAGAGTCGAGGACGTGCCACTAGACTCCTCCGGGGACCAAGAATACCAGGCTTTCGATCGCCTGGGCTTCTCGGCTCAGTGGACTCCACTTATTGCCGCCACATACACCTACCATGTCTTGCAAATACACGACCAGGCCAGCCCTGGCAGTCGTGCTGGACTGATACCGCGCGAGGACTACGTTATAGGGTGTCAAGAAGGGCTGCTGGCGACCGGAGGCGAAACCTTGCTGCAGGACATCTTGAGATCGAGAGCCAACCACGACCTGGAGCTGTATGTCTACAATCTCGTAAGCGACAGCGTGCGGCCCGTGACAGTGCACATTGGTGGCGACGGCAGATTGGGTTGCAACATGGGGTACGGCTATCTCCACCGGATTCCAGCACCTGCCGGCCAGAATAACGGTTACACTCCTCAGCAGCCTGTTGACATCAATGCACAGCCAACCTTAGAAGCAAATTATGAGCCCGCTCCCTCTGGAGAATCATTCATACCAGCAGGGTCTGTGGGAATAATTCCTGCTGTCTCCAACGCTGTGCCTGCCACTACCTCGGAATTTATCGTTCCACCACCCGTGCACAAACGCAAGAGCAAGCAAACCAACGCTGCCGCAGCCGCGGCCTCCATCAAAGATTATTTTCAAGAGGGAAAAGATCCAAGTCCAGCTCCAAGTGCCAAACACTCCCCAGGCTCTTCTCTCCCACCACCGCCGCCAGTTTCTGTGCAAAAAGACGCTACCGCTGGGGATAAAGCTAACTAGTAGGCGCACAATCATCGATGCATCATTATCGATACGATTCCATGCCTAACTTTTTGGATATTGCAGACGTCAACGGAGATATGGAAGCCTTATGAAGTTCACAATTCACTCATTCAGTTCTTGGCAGGACCCACGACGAGACAGCTTTCAATATCGAGCAGTATCGACTGTCAAAAGGCGACGTGAATCCTGTTGAGAAGCAGTTCAGTGCCTAACCATAAAATGATTCCCCAGATGAATCCTCAACTTTCCTCTCCACGGCTACCTCACAGGGTGTACTCGAAAAATCAAAGCAAACAAGCGATGAATACGAGGAAGTATTCCACTGGATAGGCAGGACACACAACACACCAGGCCGTAATCGCATCGCATCGCTCAAATAGCCAGCATACTGTCACTGTCACACACATGCTTTGAAAGCTCGAGTACGAGTACGCGCACGCGTACTCTCGCCTCAGATCCCCGTATACGAGGAAAAGTCAACTACGTGGCGACTTGGTATATTTTCTATATAAGGTTCGCCATATCATAGTTATCGTCTTTGCCACCCTCAAGTTAGCCCTTTCCTCTACAAGCTCATCCTAGAGACGTCAAGAACATCATGAAATTGTCCAAGAACATTGTTTTAGGACTTGCCGCTTTCAAAGCTGCAATTGGTAATGCTCAGCAAGAAGCGACTGCGCCAGAGGGATCAGCGGTCGTGAAGTTGACTTCCGAAACTTTTGGTGATTTTGTCAAAGAACACCCATTGGTGTTGGCCGAATTCTACGCACCATGGTGTGGCCATTGTAAGACTTTAGCGCCTCACTACGTGGAAGCTGCCGCTGCCCTCGAAAGCAAAGATATCCTACTTGCGCAGGTTGACTGTACAGAGGAAACCGAACTGTGCATGGAACAAGGAATCAGAGGCTACCCAACTTTGAAAGTGTTCAAGAACCACCAGATAGAGTCTCCAAGTGAATACCAGGGCGGTAGAACCGCTCAGTCTATTATCGCTTACATGACAGCTCAATCCATGCCTGCCGTTTCAGTCATCTCCGGTGAGGACGCCGCTGATGACTTCAAAGACGTGCTGGCCGAGTCTCCATCAGCCGTTATAGTTGACGGTGGTGTCTCTGGTCTAAACGACACATTCCACGAATTGGCCGAGCTATTCAGAGATGACTTCGTTTTCGTTCAGTACAATCAAACTGGAGCTGAACCACAATTATCCATTTACTTGCCCAAGGAAGCCGAGCCTATTAACTTCTCGGGCAAGAACAGCTCGCTAACACACTTGGTCGAATGGCTTCAGATCGAGACCAAGCCATTTTTCGGTGAGATCAACGGCGAGACTTTCCAATCGTACATGGGCGCCAACGTGCCTCTAGCATACTTCTTCTACACTAGCCCAGAAGAGCGTCAAGCCTACGAGGAATTCTTTGGCAAGTTGGGCAGAGAACATAGAGGTTCCATGAACTTTGTTGGTTTGGATGCCTCGATGTTCGGCAGACATGCTGACAACTTGAACATGAAGCAACAATTCCCTCTTTTTGTCATTCACGATGTCGAGAAGAACCTAAAGTACGGAATGCCACAGCTAAGCGAGGAGAAGTTTGCTGCCTTGACTAAGCCTTTGGAATTGAAGACTGCTGACATCACCAAATTCATTAAAAGCTTCCTAAACGGTAAGCTTGAGCCAATTGTGAAATCTGAGGAAATCCCAGAGGTTCAAGAGACCAGCGTTTTCAAGATTGTTGGTAAAACCCACGAAAGTGTTGTCAACGACGAAAAGAAGGACGTTCTGGTGAAGTACTACGCCCCATGGTGTGGCCACTGCAAGAGATTGGCTCCTATCTACGAGGAACTGGCCGCTATCTACGTTTCCGATGAAGACGCTAACAGCAAGGTGATAGTTGCCAACGTCGACGCCACTTTGAACGATGTCAACGTCGACTTAGAGGGGTACCCAACATTGATTCTATATCCAGCCGGTAAAAAATCCACACCAGTCGTTTACTCCGGTGCCAGAGATATTGACTCACTCATGAACTTCATTAAAGAAAGCGGTCAACACGGTGTTGACGGAGCCGCTTTGTTGGAGCAAAAGCTAGCTGAGGACGAGGCCGAAGCCATTGAAGAAGAAAGCGTCGAGCACGACGAGTTGTAGTGTTTTCAGCGTTAAATGGTCCATGTAAAGTTTATTTGAGTTCAAGTTTCCTTTTCACGTTTTTGATTCGGTTTTCGTGCTGTTCCTGCGTAGTTTTGTCTAAGTGAAAAATAGAAGACATAAAGTTAGCTTTACTATAAAATTGACTTAGTAAAACCTGCTATTCCTAAAAGACCTTAGAAAAGTCGTTAACTGAGGACAGCGTTCAGACAATGGGTTTATATTCTCCGCCTGATGGCTCGAAGAATCCAAACCTGCCTCAGCTAACTCACAAAGAGGATCCTGGGAAGCCCAATGATGAGAAGGCCATACAATTTTATCCCAGACCTAGTTTGGGACTGCGACTCTGGGGGCCCTTAGTTCCAGCTTCCGACAACAGGACGGGGCTTTGGACGTTAGTGGGGGTACAAACGGGTATCGGACTACTTTGCTTTCAACGCTTTAGGACCTTAGGAAGTAGAATAATGAAGAGAGACATATCCGAATTCCCAAGTTTAAATCGATTTTCAACGACGCGTGGCGATATTTATATGGGCGCCCATGTTGGTACTTCCTTTGGGGGCACTCATTCTTTTAGAAGAGTCGGGCATGCTGGCTCGAATGGGTTTTTTCAGTCAGCCAGATTCAACACATTCAAAAGAACGATGTACTTACTCAGTGGATCGCTATTGCTAAGTCAGTCTTTGCTGGAGGCGTGCAGGCTTACAATTCTGAAATACGACCCATGGTATGAAGAGGCGCACTCGGCCAGGGAAAAGCAGTTCTTTAACGACATCGTGCGATACTACCACGAAGGGATCGATCCTACAAGATTCAAGGTGAAAGACGCTGTTAACGGGAACGTTCTGCCATTGAATACACCAGAGGTAAAACAAAGCGTTGCCTTTGCGCGTGCAACGGTCGATGCCGACAGCTGGCTAATATCCTGGTTTGGGCCTTTGGAATACAAGCCTATGAGTTTTACGGAATATTTGGATAGGCTAGAATACCACTTAGAAATGACTGATTTCATTCGAAACCGACACTCAAAAGATGCGACCACACAGTTACTAGGAAGAGCTGTGACGCACAAAAAACAAGAATATGACGAGCTGATGAAGAAAAACGCTCAAACGAGGCAAAATGTGCATTCCTTCATGGAGTCCGCCCCAAAACACAGCATACCCGTCACCAACAGTCCACGGCAAAGTAGTTTAAAGGGGACGATATTGGACTCTAGCCTGCAAGATCCACAGGATATCGATTTGGCTGAGACCTGGACAACCTTCAATCCGTGGTTAGATTTAGCATTGGAGACTTCGCTAAGCATCAAGTTTCTGCCAACCGTTCTAATGTCGGACGAATCCCAGGCTGAACAAAATACTCAACTGGCGGATGAGACCCAGACAGAAAATAATGCCCATCTTACAGAAAGAGGTGAAATGAGCGGTTCTGGAGCTAGTGGAGCTAACGGTAGTGATCGTTAAGCTTGACGAGAGTCAGAAAGCTCTTTGACGTAGTCTCACTCCTCGTACATGGCGATATTTCTGGAAGTAAATAGACGAAGTATAGTCATTCATCACATAGAAGTTACCTGTCAAGTTTACTTCTGAGCTCCAGGCGCGAGAAGAAATCTGAACGCTTCCAATTTCATCAAATGACTAGAGTTCTCAGTACTCTGCTTGGATTGGCCGTGCTTGCCTCGACCAATTTGTGGGGAGTTCTTGCGATTTTTGACGATGAAATAAACAGCGTTGACTGGCAATTAAGCAACATCGGCAAGTATGAATGCATCGTTCCAGTTTCCATTGAGAACAGCAACGACCAACTCCTTGTACTCTCGACTTTGGGTGATAAGTCTTTGCTATCATGGATTGACAGCACCAATGGACAGCTTCTTGACAGACTACCGCTAGACTTCCTCGCAACAGACGCGACGACCAGCAATCGCAACGAGCTGGTTTTACAGAAAGAAGGAGAGGTCAATGTTGTAATTGATCCATTGAATGGGTTAGGAAATCAAGACAGCGATGCCGCATTCGACTATCAAACATATTCCTCTTGCCGTCCTGATTTGTCACTCGTTCAGTCTGCTAATGGAAAATTGAAAGTTCTTGACAATGATAAACAGCACGTTGTGTATCTTCAGGATTTGCCGGAAAATTACAGTGGAGTAACGTACTTCAAGAGATGTGAAGACGGCTCCTTTGATATCATTACATCCACGAGTGCCGGCGAGTACCAGTTTAGTAAAGTCGACAATTTTGAGGTAACCCAGAGCTGGGCTCGAGACGAGTCTTTGACGAACATCAAGGCATTTGCATTTTTATCAGCTAAAGATCCCTTGAGCTCGAAAATCTTTGCCAAGATTTCACAGGAAGAATTTATGAGTATTCCAGAAGCTTACACTTACCGCTTGAGCCAAAATGTGCAGCGCCTTAAGAATTTCATAGTAGAACGAAATTTCTCTGTGGGAAACATTGTGAAAGACATATTACTTGGTGAGGATGACGAGGCCACGTTGCTACAAAAAGACATCAATTTCGGCTTCCTAAAATATCTCATTGTCGCAACGGAGGAAGGAAGAATTGTTAATCTCGATGCACGCACAGGAAGAAAACTTTGGTCTTTTGAGACCCAGCTGAAAGACATTTCAAGAATTGAGGCAACTAATTCAGAAACAGAAATTCTGATTGTCGCCGAATCTGGTGACTTGTGGCATCTAGACATCAGTGCTATTGAAAAAGCGCCCTTTGTATTGAAAAAATCACATCTTCCCGCGAACCGCCATGCAGAGCCCTTTGAAAACGGAGAATATATCTATTTAGGATTGGAGGATGGCTCAAAGACAGTGTTCAAAATTCACAAACCCAGACCAAATGAAGAGTTTTATTTGTTGGATCATAACGAGACTCACTTGAGTGCGTCTCTTTACAAGGACTATGCTGTTGAGAATACATGGAAAATTGAATTAGACGAAGGCGAGAAGATAATTGCGTTCGCAAAAAGAGACCAGAGTCCAGTTGTGAGCGTAGGCAACATTTTAGGAAACAGGACTGTACTGTACAAATACTTGTATCCTCACTTGGCCGCCTACGTGACAGGTGAAACTTCCACAGAAACTATGACTATCAGAATAATTGATACCGTGACTGGAGAACTTGTGCACTCGGTTGTCCACAAAGACCTCGTTGATTTGTCTTCTCCCATCAATTTAGTATTGGGTGAACACTGGTGTATCTACACCTACTTCAGCAGGGCTCCAGTTCCGGAGCAGAAGATCGCGGTTATCGAATTATATGAGTCCCTAACACCAAATGAACGATTGAGCAACACCTCATCAGAAATCGACGCTTTGTCAAACGTTCTCAAGCCACAGGTCATTCAAAAGGCGTACATTTATCCAGAAATCATCAAAAACTTAGCATTGACAAAGACCAAGTTCGGAATTACAATAAGATCTGTTGCTCTTGAGCTAGAAAGTGGTCAGATCACTTACCTCCCCAAGTTTATATTGAACGCTCGCAGAGCTGAGGAAGCACTTATGACCGCAGATGACAAGAGAGAGTTCTTGAACTCTCCTTATGTAAGCGCAATCCCCATCAGCGATTTCACGATTCTGACACATCACAAGCATGTCTTATCTGGACCAAGCTCGGAGCTTGTTTCGGTGGCCACAAATCTAGAGTCTACAAGCATTGTTTGCAGCCTGGGCCATGATATATTTTGCACCAGGGTGTCGCCATCATCCCAATTTGACAAGCTCAAGCCTAGTTTTCAAAAAGGCCAATTGATATCAACAGTAATTGGTCTGCTACTAGTCTGCTTCTTCATCAGACCGATGGTTGATACTAAAAAGTTGAAGACCAAATGGTTTGTTAAGGGCTAGTAGCCTTTCTGAATGCTATTCGCACTATATGCGAAGTGCAAACTAATTGATACTTGATGTGAGAGCTTGCATTTTTCAAGATTCCGTTTGACACGTATGACCCGGCATCACTTGTGATGAGTTGAGCAAAGAGATTTCTCAAGGCTAGAGGGGATTGTCTGTTTCACGAACAAAACCCTAATAGTATGGTCTCTGTCATTGAAGACTGGTCAGTGCACGTATACGGAAACACCACCTTATGTCTTGTATATCGAGGCCTGCATCAATAAACGAATATGACGACTCTACAGTACCGATACTGCCGACACTAAGATAGAAAACATGGGCGTGTATCATTTTTCAAAGATGGACGATGAGCTCGCAGATTTTTTCAGAGAGGATCTTTTAATTTCATGGCTGAAAACACCTTGGAAACTTGAAAAGAGAATCTTGCAAGCTTCAAAGGTCTCAAATTTGTTTTCACATATGTTCTTTCTAACCAGCTCACCTGCATAATAGCCAGGTTAAATCAAAGACTCAAGTTCAAATCTATGAAGACAAAGCGGCTCAAAATCAGAGAGGTCTTGGTAGTATTGAATGTATTCAAGACACCGGCTTCAAAAGGTGAAAAAAAGGGAAATTTGACCACCAGCAAATTCAAGCAGCTTTGCAATAACTTAATGATATAAAATTCAGTTTAAAGTGAGTGGTTGAACCGTCTCCAAGCTCTCTATCGCTACTGCTGCCGCTGTCAGTCTGATAATCACTGGTCATTGATGTCACGTGCTCAAGTTGTAGGGTAGAAGATTACTGTTGATCGACCTCGTTAAATTCCAACCTAGCGCCTTTACGTATAGATATAATCCCATCTTGTCATTCCTTAAACTACTCAACAGTCTTCACGGCCCAACTATGCATTTCATCAAAAGCCTAGGTATTTTAGCACTTTCGTGTGGCGCGCTAGCTGGCAATCTGACTGATCTGGACATCAAAGTTACTCACGAAATTCCAGCAAGCGAATGCAAGATTAAAGCTACAGACGGAGACGTCGTCTCTGTGCACTACTCTGGCTCTCTCGTCGGCTCGGACGAAGTATTCGATTCCTCTTACTCGAGAGGTGTTCCTATTTCTTTCGAATTGGGATCTGGCCGCGTCATTCAAGGTTGGGATCAAGGTATTCTTGGGATGTGCATTGGCGAAAAACGTGAACTGCGCATTCCAAGCAACTTAGGCTACGGGGCGCGTGGTGCTGGTGCAGTGATTCCACCGAACGCAGACTTGTTCTTCGAGACGACTTTGGTGGACATCAGAAGACGTGATGAGCTTTGAACGGATTCAGAGTTATCCATAATTTACATAGTCAACTGGAGATCAATTAGCGCAGGGAAATTAGATATTTTTAGATACTCAGTCGCAAGATTACGATATGCTAGTAAATCGGTATGCAAAACCAACGAACTCAGAATGCACTCTTTTTCAGAGCGTATTTTGACATCTGATGTGATCCGGATTGAACTTCTGTGCTGGCTTTTCAAGAACCTTAAAAGAATTTCTTTGAGCTTTTCAAAACTTGTTTGCTACTCGCAATATCTTGCGTATGCTGTGCTCAATTCATCGCTGAGATGCAAACTCCGAAGTATTAGCTAGTGCTTTCCTTGTCAAATTGTCAATCATTACAACTTTCGAGGCTGACTTTCAGAAGAAACCATATATGTGGGGGAAACCCAAAGCTTTTCAGTAGAAATCGACTCATAATAGTCCAGCACAGAAACTAGGAGCCAATTAATCGTGCCTCATATTTTTAATGGCAGTCGGGGCTCATTAATCGTATCAGGCTTGTAAACACTTGTCACCTTCACCTGTTAGTAGAGCCTCGACTAATAAATACCGATTGACCTATTCATCTCCTTGACAGAGTCGGCTGGTTTCGGAAGGAGCAATATCGTTTGTCACAGTAAAAAGCGGTGGAATGTTCACCTTCTCGAGCATAATCCTTTATTTATCAATACTGGTCAGATCATTGGATGTTATTCCCCCCATCTCCCATTGAGCTGCACAAAAGTGATTGCACCATCTTCGGGTCATGAATTCGTCGTACATCTAAATACATCCTCAGGACCATTATCCGCTGGCTGGCATTATTTAACTGTGGCATCAAACTAGCTCAAATTCGAGCGATCGTAAACTAGGTAATAGTCGGGCGTTTGCAATTACTCATTCACCATTTTACCTGATAAATGAAATAAAAGGAACATTGAGCCCGTCATCTACATGTTGTCTTCTACATGTGTCACTAAATGTAGTTCATTTGCACTTCGAGCTGCCTGTTCAAGTCAAAAAAAATAGACGATGCTAACCGGACTTTTATACAATCATTGGCATCAATGCTGGGATATTAATTGATATCAACCACAATAGACGAACGATCGAGTGTTTACTCTTTCTGGCGTTTATTTTACGGTCACCGGCTCTTATTGTACAGATTTCTGAACGACTATATATAATAAGGTTTACATCTCGAAAATTGAAGTACGCCGTCGCTACTTTGAAGAGCGATTAATATCTTCGAGAGGACGCAGGGAAAAACAGATTTCTGACGATCAACTTGAACTGATATTCGTTCAATAGTCAGGGTTATAAAATTAACCTTTACTTTACGAACATATAGATAAACGGAAGGGAAGAGCTTCACGATAAACTCAAACTACTCGCTACGATGATTAAGAGCAAGTCTTCGGAGATTCTAAATAAGTTTCTTACAACGCGAGCAACTTTTGAACTATTTCATGGAAGTCGGCAATTCGCAAACGATCACAGAGTGCTAGTTCTTGACTCATCCTTCAATCCACCTCACAATGGCCACTACATGCTGGTGAAAAAGGCCGTGGAGCATTTCAAAAACACCAATTTGCATGTCATCTTATTGCTGTCTATTAAGAACGCCGATAAAGAAGTTAAACCTGCCTCTTTTGACAAAAGAATGGATATGATGTGCATATTGTGCGATCTGCTCGAAAAAAACTCTATTAAGACTTCAGTTGGTGTGACCAGATACGGGAAGTTTGTTCAAAAATCTGAAGCCATGCATAGAAATATGGGCAACAACTTCAAATTATGCTACTTAGTTGGTTTCGACACTATTACTCGAATATTTGACTCCAAATTTTATGAACCTTTACTGACGGCGGACGCTCTCAAATCCTTTATGGTAACCACAGAGTTTTTTTGCCTCACCAGAAGTGGAGACGCCGACTCCGTCAAACAGTTAAACTACCCAAATGACATTGCTGAGGGCAAGTTCGAACCTGAAATTCCGCGCTCGTGGCATCGAAAAATTGTGGTCGAGGAAAATGATCCCAGTACTCAAAACATATCTTCTACAATGCTGAGAAAAGCCATTTTTAACCGAGAAAATGACACAACGGCTTTGATTCCTAAGGAAATCTATCAATACGTCACCAACAACCACCCCGGCGTCAACATCTTTGAACCCTAAACAGAGACGAAATCTTTTCAATGTCTCGCGGTTTGCAACTCAATGAGACTCAGGTCTTGCAGATGAAAATATGTTTTGCGTCGTAGGTTTCAAATTCTCGAAAAAGTCTTGAAAAAAGTCCTCAAACGAATTGAATTGGTCTACGTCAGGCATATTGAAGCTACCACCCGCAGTGCTTTCTGTACCGCTTGCATGAGAAGCTGCTGAAACGACACTCTGAGGTGATTCGTGACTGTTCAAAACGCTTTGCAAAGGGTATGGGCTATCGTGCACTCTCTGTGATGAATCTCGAAATGAGGCGAGTACGTCATTTCCACCATTGACCTTTTTTTTACCTGTCTCGATTAAAGACTTGATGATCTTCCCAACATTTTCTGTAGCTTCATTCAACTTTTCTCCTATGGTGTGCAAATGCCAGTATATTCTAGTGCAGAGGCTCAGTATTTGTTCTCTTTCGGCGGCATCGAAAAAATGCAAAAAGTCGCAAAGCGTGAGGCACGCGTACACCAGTTGATATACCGTGATCACCGGTGCTCCCTTTATCAGCGAGGAGGGCAATTTCAAAAATCCGTCCAAGAGTGTAAAACAATATCTTTTCATGGTTTTCAAAATAGATCTAAAGAAGTAAGGATCATTTTGATATTCCTCATAGAAATCTGTTAAAAATGACCGGCAAATCATGATATAGTAGTAGTTGAAAGCAAACAAAAGAACCCCTCCCCCGTCTTTCGAAAGCAGCTCGTCCCAGTTCTTAAGCCAGTACTCTAACTCGGGGAATGTCAAAGGCTTCACCGGGGTCTTAGTGCTGCGCTTTTCGGCCCCACTCCTCTTGTGTTTGGCCGAGAAGTCGTCCGAGAAACTTCTGAAATAGGACTTAAAATTGAGAAATATAGTGTTGACAATCTCACTCAGGTTGATTTCACTTATTTTAATGTCGTCACCAAAATTTGCTTGCGGGAATCTTGCTGTTAGATTATTGAAATCTTTTAGTACTTCGTCAGGGACCAGAAAACTACCAAATCCAATGGAGTATTGCAGCCTACAGGCTGTAAGGGAATTTAGGATTCTCAAATGATAGATATCCAATGCATCGTACTCCTCATCAATCATGACTCTCTCTTTGATTTTGTGGAAATCGATGATATTCAGTAGGCTGCTTATTGCAAAGTTCGTCAGAACTAGGGAGTTGAATTTCATCTGTCGGTGCCTTTTTGACTTCCTTGACACATTGAACATGCTACAGTAAAGAATAGCCTCGATGTCGTGGTCTGTCAGTCTCTCAAACATTGTGAGAGTATTTGTGAGAAGCCGCTCGACCAACGGGTACATTATTTCCTGCTCTTCTTCGTACTTTTTATTCTCATCGAAGCCCATGGCAATAATGGCAAAAACACTAGAAATAAACAGGTGCTTCTCGACATACGGCCGATTTATCTCCTTTACACCTCCTGGTATAATCCAAAAGTGAGATTTGATGAGAAAGTCTCGAGACAAGAAGAGGCACATCTGTTCGTGTTGATTGAAGAATTTAAGGAAGTTTGTTCTTGCCACGACAAACGGCCTTTGCGTCTTGGCGATTCTGTCCTTTTGTGATTGTGCTTTGGTAGGGAAAAGACGCTCGTCGATATCACTGATGAGCTTCAGCGGTGGTTCTTGCAATTTAAGACCATTCAGGTCTACTTTGTGGAAATCTGTGTAGAATGAGTGGGGGAGCTGTTTGGTAGCAGGCGTCGAGTCTCTCTCTTCGCTCTGATCTTCTGAATCATCTGACTTGGAGTTATCGTGAGTCCTTGTACAAGATTCATTACTCTGGGTGGATGGTTTTTCAGCCTGAAGACTGTTGTTGAGATCGCTTTCGTTCGATTTAACTGCAGTATTTGTTCCCTGCGCCAGCATTAACAGCAAATCCAGCTTGCTACTGAGACTATTCAAATTTGCTTCAAGTTTGTTCAGTCTGTTATTGAGAGTTGAAGCCACGGGATGTGAAACCGACGTCGATTTGGGAGCTTTTTCGTTCGAAGTAGGTTCCAGGTTGGACGTTGAAAGAGCTGTACCGGATGAACTTTCTATAGCCGCAAGAATCTCATCCTGGCGCTCATGAGTGAGAGAACACTCCAAGTTCAGCACATTGCAACGATGACACCGCCCTATCAGCGGTTCAAAATCGCACCGCGTCTTAAATTTGCGGCAAACGTCGCAGCTGTATGTTTTCCTCTTTTTACGAGGTTTCCGAGCACTGTCCAAACTAGAAACTCGTTTCCTAGCAATCTCTACAGTTTTACCATCCGTATTCAATCCAATAGTCGGTTCTTCTTCCCGCTCGTGGCGTAGGGTCCCATTCGATACCATTTATCCAGGAAGCGGATATACAGTGTCAGACCCAATTTTTGGAAGTGGACAAAAATTCCCAAACCTACTAACAGTTTTTTAAACGGTTAAAAAAAGACACCCGCGCTTGACTGGCCCTATCTATTGACGAAACTGCCTTCAAACGCTGATAAGATGAGTTGACAGTGAGTCTGATCGATAGGTGAGAACATCTCGCTCATCTCAACAAAATTCGTCATTCGTGACATGTCTTTAATATTTAACTCAATATATTATATATGTCACGTGTGTATATGTGCTCCACATTTCAGATCTATCTGACACGAGTTGATTCTCAGTGGCAGATTTCAACCTCGAATAACCCGTTGTATTTTGTTCTTTGTTTGATCTTCTATATTTGTAGCCAACTGCCCGAACAGCGTCTCTTTTCTTCTAATATCCGTGCTTTCCAGAACTGTATGTATATATACTCTCAAATTAAAAACTTCCATCGTTTAAACTTCCGTTGTTCAAACTCCCGTTCGTGCAATAATATTTCGGGACTCTGAATAGTCTGTAAACGGGGCATTGGAACCGCGAAAGACGAGAAACTTTACTTGAATGACGTGAAAGCGACGTTTGGTCACGTGATGTGCGACGAGCAGTATGAAACCAACCTGTCATTGTTCGCACAACTACGAATCCGCAGCTTCGCAAACCAATCAAGGGCATTGCCTCGGTATCGTGAATTTACCACATTCTCCCGTCTCTCCAAAGTTTGTTGTCTTTATCATTTTTTTATAGATAATAAGCACTTCAATAATTATAATATATTTAAAGAGACCAACAATATAAGAAGATTGTTCGCCAATAAAAGTTGCGAAAAGTCGACTGCTGACCCTACAACAATAGGCTGGAAGAGTGCATTCCTGCAGCTACTTTCTGGACAGTCTTGGCTATTAGTCTTATACAAAAAAAAAGTGAAAGAGGATAATGCGACGTTTTAATAAAATCGTCTTGGAAGAGACATCAATCAAATCGAAGTTGATGAGAATAACAAAAAATGGCGAACCTTGCCTGTAGTGCTTGAATTATGTCAAGCCACAAAATTACTGAATACTCGTGGCACACATCATCAACACGGCCCATCCGAGGGCAAGAGAATACCCAAAACTGGAAATTTTTGACTTATCCACAACTGACGATCCCACGTTCGTCTTGTCAGTAGCGTCTGGTTTGATGTCGAATTGAGTCTCCTGATGATCCAACAGTTTTCCGTCTTCACTTACGCGCGCAATGTTTCTGGATTGACCCGAAGTACACACAATTCTGCCACCACGAATGATAGAGTTTCCGGTCGCGGGAGTGATCCATTTTCCACAGTCTAAAGCGCTAGAGGTGGTTCTAACTAAAGCACTTCCTCTTACCAATCTCAGTTTTGGGAATTCGGTGTCGTGGAATGACCCAATAAATTGGATCGCTCCTCCGATTTCGCGTAATTCGGGTAAGAAGTCGATCTTTTCGATGTTGGAATTGTTGGCTATCATCAAGCCACCCTGGATGGTTGTAACGTTAGAGAAATTTACCTGAGCCAACCGAGAGTTTTGGATCACTCCTAGCGTGCCCCCAATAGTTTTCAATAGCGGAGCTTCGAATGACTCAAAGTTATTCTCGATAATTTCCAGCGATTTGTTGACATGTTGTAAGCGAGGAAAGTTAATGGAGGCAACATCCCTGACGGTCAAGTTATTAGCCCACAGCAACGAAGGCATTTCAACCTGAAGCTCTCTGGCGTTGGAGGAAATGCTTAGCTGCTCGTGAACTTGCTTGACGTTGCTCTTAACATACTCCATGTATCTGTTATTGTTGATGTTCAAAATCTCGAGGTCTTCAATGTTTTCTAGGACATCGATGCCAACCAACGATGTGTCCGATATAGTCACTTTTTTTGCGTGGCTGATATTAGGAGCTAAGCTTAGAGATGTTAAAGTTGGAACAACCTTCCACTCCATCACATCAAAGTGGTGCAATGCTGGAAGATAAACACTTGTCAAAGATGTCAAGCTGTCGATCTTGAATGTTCCTCCGACACTAGCGAGATTATGCCCTTGAATTCGCACAACCTCGGGAAGGTTTTCAATAATAAGATCACCGTTGATGCTTTGAATTCCACCTAGGTCTATAACCGGATCCATAAAATCGACAATTTGCAAAGTTCCAGAAATAGATCTACAACTTTGCTGAAGTTGGTACAACTGGCCTGCAGTTTCGATGTTGTGAACATCCTTTTTGCAAATCTCTGCAACCGCAGTCGACTTTTCAAATCGCATGGCTTGCACCCCAACAACTCCAGCTGACCATTCGTCTTGTAAAGACTCAAAGGCAGGCGCAGTGTCTCTTTTGTTGAGGTCATGGGTGTTTACTCTAACCGCATGTGGTCTTAGAATTCTCGTGCTTTCATATGGTTTCTGGACGAAGAATGCTGCCGCTTGTCGACCCTCCAATAATACCAAGAAGGCTGCTATAATCCCGGAGTATTTCATCTTCCTTTGTCTTTTACAAATGGAAATGTTTTAACCTGGGTTGCAGATGAGACACAGAGCTAAGAAGTGAATAACACTCTCTAAGCGCCTTTTATAGTTCGTTCTTCGGTGTACCACAAGAAGCTTTTTGAGTCGAAATTGAGCAATTTGACGCAAAACGTCAGGTCTATTGTATTTAGATGTGTGTCAGACGCATCCCGTCATGGCTTTGTTGGTTATGATAAATATGCATTAAGCTTTTCTTTATAAAGAGGTCTCGACTAAATAGTTCTTGATCTCCTCCATTCGAATATAAACTTCTTCGACAAATGCTTCGCTCAGTCCGGGCTGGGATTTTTCTGCTTCTTCGAAGAGGTCTCTCAGTCTACTCACGACATGCTTTGTATTTTCTGAGCGAGCTCTCTCAAAAATCCGGTCGAAACTGTAAAGGATTATATGCCTGAAATAGTTGAGACCCTTGCCAGCAATTTGCTGGGTCTTTTTCTTGGCCGCCTTACCATCGTGCAATCCCATGGAAACATCAAAGTCTTTTTCATGATGAGGTACCCGCATGCCTGGAGACGTAGCGTTTGTCATGGGCGTATTAACTTCGGCACTTCCCATGACTGAGATTGGGCTTTTTTCACTTCGAGGAGATGATTGCTCCAAATCCGCAGAGTTCATCTTTGGTGGCTTCTGTCGTTGAAATTGGTGACTATTTGGCAATTGAGAAATAATTCCATCAGTATTATCAAAGTTCCAAGTTTGCAAATGACGCCTAAGACCCGTTGCATAGACCTTCTCGGTGACGGAATGGCGAGGCACCTTGGAATAATTGATTCTTTCTTTCAGAGCTTTTACGAGATCAACTTCTTTCTTCAAATTGCCAGCACCCCGCCATGTCAGTTTGCTGAGGAATTTGTGGTTCAGAAGCTCGGAAGCTGTCGGACGTGATTCTGGATCTTTGGCCAAGCACAAGGCTATGAAGTCTCTAGCTGGGCTTGTGAATCGACCGTGCAACTTGGGCGGCTTTCTGACCGGAATATTCATCAGCACCTTCATCGGGTCATGTTTAGCATATGGAGGTTGACCAGTCAGGAGCTCCATAACCGTAATTCCCAGTGACCAAATGTCGGCTTTCTCGTCGTAACCATTGTCCCCTCTTGCAATGATTTCTGGTGCCATCCAGTAAGGCGTTCCAACGAATGTAGTGCGCTTCAAGGTTGCCATTATTTGTCCACTGACTCCAAAGTCGCCCAATTTAATCTCACCGTTGTCGGTAACCAAAATGTTCGCTGCCTTGATGTCCCGGTGAATTTTTTTTTGACTGTGCAAGTATTCCAAACCATAGAGCACCTCCCGGACAATGTACGCCACTTTCTGCTCCGGAAATCGATGCTCGGGAAGATGTTTGAGAAGATCGGCACAAGATCCTCCACCACAATATTCCATCACAATCCACATAGAAACATCCTCGACGAAGGTTTTGAAATAGGTGGTCACAAAGGGGGCTTTGAGCTCTGACAAAAAATAGATCTCTTGCGCTAAGATTTCAATATCGTCTTGGGTTTCCTCTAAGTTGATAATTTTTATAGCTACTACTTCACCGCTTTCTTTATCAGTAGCGCGATAGACATCTCCGAAACTACCCTTCCCAACACACTCCTTTATTTCATACAGTTTGGAGGGCTCGTCAGGTTTTACGTCTTTAGACATTTCACATCGACCAGTGAAGCTATCTTGCGGAAGCAAAGTTGTACTAGCAATCATGATTGGCAGTACTATTTAGCAAATTACTGCAATAACCCACCGATGGAAGGGTTCAAAAGCTTAGGCAATGTCAGTAGCAATTTAAGCTAATTTTTGATGTAGATTCAGAAGTCGATCTGGTTCTCAACGTTGCTTGAAGTGACTTTCCTGTAGTTTAACACAAAGTGTCTGTGGTCAAAAATCTGCGACAGTGACGGTAATAGTGACAGTAGGCTGCCTCAGAAGAAGACATAAGTCACGTGATGATACCAATGTCCTGAATGTAGTGATGGTGCTGTCAAACCTGGCCGCTCTCTTTCTATCGTCATCGGCCTGAAACTAGCTTTACAATGTCTATCGTTGCGTTGTATTCTTCTCTCTCTCGTTCTCAATTGTTTTTTACTTCACGGGCCACTGGAAGACATTCATTTCGAGTTGCGCTATATCAGCCGTCAGCGAAATCATGCATCACCACGGCCCCGTATCCTGGAAGAAATCATAAGATACAGCGAGATAGTATTGTATAAGCGGCGCTTGGAGCACAATAAATTTGGCGACTAGTTTTTATTCCCAGACTTTTTAGAGAATTTGATTCCTAGGTTTTTCGAGTGTATTATGGACGCTGTAGCCGGTGATGATAGTGGTAATGAGCCGCTTATACTCCATCGTTTATTAACATTTTCCGAAGCATCGGAAGCTGAAGAGACTTTTCGTGTTGGAAGTGGACCTGTCATAGAGGTATCGATCTTCTTAATTTCAGCTTTAGTGGATTCTCTTGAAGAAGCTCGTCTATTGATTGGTCTGATATTGTACACGCCGTTTGTTTCAGCTTTCGACCTCCAATAGTCATATTCACTCTTGGAGAGAGCAGAAGCATCGCGAGGCAGCCTTCCAACTAGCAATCCGTTAAGAAGCAAAAACTCTGTAATGAAGAAAGTAGGGTTGTCTTTAGTGCCTTGGTAATGTTTCAGGGAGTATTGGAATACCGTCTCTCCGTGGTCCAGGTGTACCTTGTTTAGATGAACACCTTGGGCAATGCATTGTTGAAGGAGATAAATGCTATTGAGATGGATGGATTTGATTAAGTTGTGAGTGAGTCTCTTATCAATGGCTTCAGGTTCCTTTTCCTCTAGAGCTGAAACGAATTTTCGGTTCACATACTTATCAGTAATGAAGTCCGTACGTTGTTGGGACGAAGAATCCAAGTCTAGAATTTTTTCGTGCAATTCCGCTTCGTAAATGGAGTTTACATTATTGTTCGAAACGTAATTAAGCAGTTCGAGAATTTCCTTAGAGGTAAAAGTGTCCAATTTCAAAGATCGCATCTTGGAGTGATGGGCACCTAGCGATCTGTGTACAGACGAACACTTTATGCAGACGACGCACAATAAATTAATGCTGACCCACTCCACTTGGTTTGTGCCACCGCAATCGCAACAAATTGTATTCGACTTGTCCGCGTTAGAAACGAGCTCGGTGTACGCTTTGATAGCACTCTGTTCAACATTTTCTGGTGGCATTTGAACACCAGCACCAACGGCTTCCTGTAAGATTTTGAGCCATTGTTCCAGCTCACTTTTACTCTCTGCTCTGAACGAACGAGTTACACCATCAGTGGTTATAATCTCAAAGCCATTAAAATTGCCCGAATCCTGTTTTTTAATACACGCAAACGTCAATTTTAAAGGCGAGTGGGAAAGCTTGTTACCTTGAGTTTTCCAATCGGAATACTCCGACAATGTGAACTCGTCTAAAACAACCCACTGCTTGTGCCAGCCTGATGACTTGCCGTGACCTTTGTGAGTCCAAAGTATTCCTTCTTTATGGATTTTGTGAGGATCTACTGGGTTCTGAGAAGAGAAATCAGAGAAACTCTTCGAGTGCGAGATTTGATCCCTCATTGATTTGATTCGACTTTTAGAAAACTTGAGGCCTGCTTGATAGTTTTTGGTATGTTCCACAAGCGAAGCGAGATTGGCAGGGCCCAACTTGCTCGAAAATTTGGAAATTTCATGCAAGAACCGTCTTGCGGAGGACCCATCGATCAATTCCGTAAGGTATACGTAATAGTCAAATCGTTGTAATTCAAACTGTATCTTTTTGGTAAGATTCGTAGAGTCTGCGCTGGACAAATTCTTGCCCATATAGGAATAGAAAACTTTCGCTTGATCATGATACTGCTTGCGGCGTGCAGAGACTGCCTTTAAATCAATAGATGAAATATAGTTATCGACAGGAGAATTGAAATTTTGGAGAACCACGGTCTCTAGTCGACGTTGCGATTCGAGCGTGAGTTTTAAAGTGGAGATCAAAGCGGACGTAACGCTGTTGAACTCTCGAGGAAACGAAGGCGACAAGCTAGCGAGGTCCTGGGCACAAGAAATGAGGCCAGCTATTTCCCGTGTAGTGGCATTTAGAGAGTCTATTACCTTGGCACACCTCTCTTGCATGTATTTGAGCGACTGTCGCAGCGTGGGTATCAGATTTTCGCGATGAGATATTAACGTCCGAAACTGAGGCCCATCGGGCTGGAAAGGGTACTGCAGAAACGACGAGGGTTTGTGAGACGGTACCAAAGCTGGTGGGGGGGTGCTTTCGGGCTTTCTATCATGTTTGGCTGGGACGGGGTCGACCCAAAGGGCGATTGATACGATCAAATGACTTCGTACCTTGATGCGTACTGTGTGGTGACCGGAGATGGTCAAAAGCGGGTAGATAGACATAGTAAATGAAAACGAGCCATTTTCGCGAGGTTCGAGATCGGTGAAGGGCAGGTTTAGTGTGTTAGAGCCCTGAGAAGCGCTACATACGACGTCTGCAGGGAATGTGGAACCCAAGGCAGAATGAAAAGTTTCGTCGTTTGGCATGAAGTACTTCACGGTGTATTCGAAGGACTTGTGAGAAGCGAGAAGTGCAAGTTGTTGGCGGTGGCCAGTCGAGCATAGGATGAACTTGGGTAAACTCGACGGCGACGCGGGGAACAAATCGATGAGTTCGTCACCGACTTCGCCGCATAGTTTTAGCAGCGCAGCGTTGGAGCTCATCTGGCTAGAGTGTGAAAGCGAGATGCGTGTAAAGAAGGCGGCACTGGCGTTACTTGGGTTTATAAAGATGATTTTAAAGAAGGAATGGAGCTGACCCAAAAAAAATAATCAGAGTGAAAGAAATCAACTTCTAATTAAATCAATTAAGTAACTGGTCTTGCTTGGCCTTGTAGGTGAGGATAGTAGCAGGGTGAAGTGAAATTTAGGAATGCTGGGAAACAGCAGCGAACAAGTGTAAACAAAAGAGTTCAAAAATGACCACACAGGCCTATATATATATATATATATATAGTTTTGTCGATGTTTATTCGCTACTTGAGTAGTTGGCAAAGAAAGTTAAAATACATACTTTGAGAGCAGCTAAAAAGGGTTTATTTGAAGGAAAACACGCGAGTGGTGGTTGGGAGGAAGGAGACCGAAACCGAGAAAAAACTTGTTGCAGTTTGCGCTAGGCAAACCGACCGTGGTGCTCACTCACTCACACCCGCGAGTTTGGCTGATTGGGGGCCCGCAGAAAGATGCTCTGAACATTATTAAAAAAGGTTGTTGATGTGTGTCTCTCAGGGCTTTAAAAAATGGAGGAATGGGGGGGGGGAAAGGAAAAAAAAATTAAAACAAAAATATCAATCGGGATGGAAATATTTTGTTGTACGCTTCTATAGTAGATTTGAGAAGGGGTGCAAGAGATGAGAAGAGGGTTTGGGATGTGGCGGGAAGCAAAAAGATGACCCAAAAAACGACGAACGTGAAAAAAAAATATGACCATTTCATTCAGAACTCTAATTGATACATTCTTGTCTTTGGTTTTTGATTTTGCTTGAGTTCCGCTTACCCAACGGCTGCTGTGTGGTGCAGCGGCAGCCGGCCCTCCTGCCCACGACTCTATCATCTGGTGAGAAAACATGTTGGTGTGATTATAGGGAAGGAAGAAAAAAAATAACTCCGAAGATAATAATATTGTTGTTGAAACGTATGTGCATGAAGCTATTGCTATTGTTCAGCTAGACACGCTTAGAACAACAAAGCGACACCGGCAGCGACGGCAGCACCGAAGACACCAGCGCCCATGGCGTTGGAGGCAGCGGCACCGGTGGACACCTTGGTGGAAGAACCGTTGGTGGAGTTGGACATGTTGGAAGCGTTAGACGAGTTGGCGGCCTGGACGGCGGCAACGGAGGCGAAAGCGGCGACGATGTTCTTGAATTGCATAGCGATAGTTGGAAACTGAAAGTGTTTTTGAGTTGGGTCTTTTAAAAAAGAACTATGTAAAAGATTAACCGCAAGAAAAAGTTCCACAACACAGAGTCTCTCCTCCAGAAACCTTGTCTCTTTTTATAGCTCGGGACTCTACGCTTGTACAAAACGGAAAAAGGCCCGGAAAAAATTTTGCACGCGCGTTATCCGAAAACTCCCGTAATTGTGCGAGCCCAAAAGAAGAAAAATGGCTGTATTCAGGACGAGGGGAAAGTAAAAGAGTGTGAAAAAGAAAGAGGCTGGAGAAGAAGAAGAAAAAAAAAAAAAAAAAAAAAAAAGAAAACAAAAAAAGGAGAAGACTGGGTCGATAAACACAAAAACGCACACGTCAGGATGGCCCAAAACGGCAATCGCAAACGGGGCGGTGGCGGTGCGGTGCTGGCTATGTCCGAGTCTAGCCCTTTGGCTTGTCGAGGGGTCTGGACATGGGGCCAAGGACAGCCAAGATGGGCAGAAAATAGCAGAATGACGAGAGCGTGCAAAACGCGAAAGGGACGCGAAAGGGACGCGAAAGAGACGCGAAAGAGACGCAAAAGAGACACCGTTAAGACGAAGACGGACGGTGACTGAGGTGTTGTGGAGTTGAGCTGGGTTGAGCTGGGTTGAGACGTTGTGTCTGCCAAAATGACTATCCCACGCCCGTAATCGTCCTGTTGGGGCTAAGAGTCCAACACTCGCCAGGAAACAAGTCCGAGAAGCGGGGCGAACAACAGAAGCAATGAATGGGACGGGACAGGGACAGACATTGCGAAAACGGCTACGGCTGCACAGTGAAAACACACGCTGTCTTGTGGAAAGAATCGTATCTGTCTGTCTGGAGGGATGGCGCCAGGCGATCGATTTTGGTAAATCCACGTGTATCCGTTGACACAGCGTCGTCTTGGATTCTTGTCATGCTGCATTCATCTTATAGTTTTTATTGTCCGTCAAGATATAATCAGCAGATGTTGCCAAATGGCCGCCATTGCAATCAATACCCGGAAAGCTATGCCATCTCACACCGATTTCCATGCGTGTGTCTCCTCGTTTCAGATCAACCTTCTCAACACAGATGTGATTTTATAGTTGTCGTGCGTCATGTCGTTTCACAGAACTTCCTAATGCAATCGTGTCACAAGAGACTGATCTCGTAGCGATTGCAATTACGATATTTTTGCAAGAATAGCCTCTGTCTGATCCTTCGACAAAACCTCTGTTTAAAACTGTTTCATGAACAATCGGTTTCATAGTCTATTATTCGCGAGGCTGGAGCCAATATATGGTCTTCAACCACCGCACTGCTAGCGATACCCTCTGTATCGTTCCATAAACCTTCGTCTTGGAACCGTGTCTGTCTATCGTTCCGTTCGCTCTCCTCTCCCCATTGACTTCCATATTTTCAACATAGCCAAATACAACATTTGAGATGACAAAGAAGTCAACCTATAACAAAAACTAGTTTTCCTTCCTACCACGAGCCAGCGATCTTCAGAACCGGGTGGCCTTCCTGAACAGACCTGTGCATATCATACTGTGCATATCATACTGTGCATATCATACTGTGCATATCATATTGTGCATTTATAGCGTTTACGCCGTCAGGACACCAGTTTGTATCCTGAACATTGCATTGGACTGTTGAAGTGTGAGAGATCTACGTGGGGTATTTGAAAAGCTCCCCAAGACCAGAGTTTCAGTTCTCTTACGATTCACAAACGCAGGACAATGAATTCTATCTGGTGGTGCTTCCATTCGAGAGAAGCTGCCATGCTCTTGCAATCCGTGATCACGGCTAACTAACGAGGGCTTAAGGCTCGAGTGACAGCTTTGGATCTCAAAAGCTTCATTTTCCGGTAGCGTCGCGTTGTGAGCTTCCATTGTTGAGAAAGTTGAGCCTGCAAGGGAAATGGACCATGAGTTTTTCTCCTGCCCACAAGATTTCCAGTCGGAACAATACAGTCACTGGTTTCAGTCTTGGCCACTACTTACGTCTCTGTGCTTCGTCCCAAAATACGGACACATCTGTTCAGGCAGGCAGGTCGTGCCTCTTAGCCCGCCTCCCCCCAGCTACTATCAAACGACAGATCGCACTTCCGGTCAGGCTCTTCGACTTAATACTACGAGATCTCTACCTTTTACAATTGAGAGCGATAGGGAACCGACCAGGACTTTTGGTCGTAATCACTATCTCAGGACAGATCAACCTTTATGACTTTTTGGCCCACCTCATCGAAACAAAGCGCTGGTGACTTGACGCTGGAATCAGACGCTAGGCTTTCTTTATCTCAAGACTTCGAGACCTTGGTCGAGAGAGCGTGCTTCAATCGTCAAACAACGGTCCGATATACGACGATTGATAAATTCAACCTCGAAGCGAAATTTTCGGTTTTGTTGTTAATCACCGGATAAGAAATATATCTTCAAACTCCGAAGATGAGAAAGCGTCTTGTCTATGAGTTCCTTGCGTACGAAAGGCAAAGGAGAGATAAGTGTAACCCGTATGACTACGACTTCTAGCGTGACTTCATGCGATCGAGGACGATATCGAGCGCCGCCAGGTTGCCAAACCGGCATTTCAACTTCAAGTTATCACCCTATTAGTACTCGTCCTTTTCCTGATATCACAATGTAGTGTTCGAGCAGACACTTTGTATGAGGTGGCCCCTCACCGAGCCTCACGGCAAAAACGTATTGAAGCAAGGATACTGCTCAAGCGACCCAAAAGTATCATATTGGCAACATACTCTCTACTTTCCTGTAAAGCAAGGGTTCATCGCCATTTCTGGTGCTTCGGAATTTGAGCGTAAAGCGTCATATCTATGAACGGCAAAGACTCTCCTTCCAACGCTTGCATGCGTGAGTATGGTGGTCCTCGATCGTCCTGCAGACAATGCGTGATTCTTTAGAGGAAATGCATGTGCCGTTCCGGTGCTCGGCGGCCGCGGCTGCGGAGTTTTGAGATTGGGAACCCTCCAGTGGACTTGAACCGCTTATCAGTTTTGAATTTTATGATAATCGACAATATGGCTGACAATCTTAACGAGCTCCACAGCTACGCGAATTCTTGAGAGTTGATCCTTGTCTATTCAGCTGTGTCTCTGGTGCAGCCGTGTGGTGATGCGAGCCCGATCTGATGACCACTCAGAGATTCGACAAGCGTCATCGGCCATGCTTCATTCATATTTAAACGGTGTAGTTCTCTTCAATTTCCAGTCCAACCTGTTGAAGAGAAATCATTTGAATTTCTAGCACACAACCCGACTTCAGATCGTTAATCTCCTAATCCATTGATAGCAAACACATCTTCTAGATCTTGGGCGCACACAATGATCGAAAACAAAGCAGGTGCCGTTACTGCTAGTGTCGATCAAATCGATCGGTCCAGTTCTACAAGCTCGCTGGCCGAGAAGGGCAATCAAGTTCTTGCCACTGTTGAAACTCAGTCATCGCTTCGGGATTTCTCCGCAGAGGAGATTACTTACCTCTTGAAGAAGTTAGGTTATGAAAGTCCAGAGGATGTCTCCTCAGTTCCGCCAGAGATTGACTATGTGGGTGGATTTATTGCTAAACTCTCACTGGAAGAGTCTATCCAGATAATCAAGAATGCAGTAGTTGAATTCTCTGATGACCCTAATATCCCTAGTGAAGAGTATGCGGAGTTCGAAAGATTGTCGGACGTGGAGCCCAAGAGTCTAGTCAGTTCTAGTGAAATTTTCGAGGCCAAAGCTCTGGCAGCTCTTGTTGAGTACCACTCGCCATACAAGGAAGTAAGGGCAACAGTTGATCCTTTTGATGACCCCGACGTCCCCATTGAAACTGTCAGATCTTATGTCTTGGCCCTGATCTGGGCTATCGTTGGTTCCGGTTTTAACGAGTTCTTCGCCCACAGACTGATTCCCATTTCCCTCTCCACATCAGCGATTCAAATGTTGCTTTTCCCTTGTGGAAGGTTTTGGAGTAGATTTGTGCCCAAAGTTGGAATTCCAATTTGGAAAGGTAAGAAGCTTTATTTGAATATCGACTCTCCTTGGACTGCAAAAGAACAAATGTTTGCTACCCTTCTCTTTGCAATCTGTATGGGAACCTTTTATACCCACTACAACATTTTAACTCTCAAAATGTATTACAACGATGATGTCGACTTTGGCTACCAGTTTTGGCTTTCGATGGGCGTTCAATATATGGGTTTAGGGTTTGCTGGCATCTTGAGAAAATACGTCGTTTATCCAACTCGAGCAATTTGGCCATCTTCTCTCCAGACAATGGCTTTGAATAAGGCCCTCTTTAGCAAGTCTAAAGAGGCCGAAGGCAAAGGCATAACGGGTCAGACTTTCTTTTTTTGGTCTGTTCTCTTTATGTTCTTTTACACATGGATTCCAACGTACCTCATGAATTTTCTGAGCGTGTTTAACTGGATGACATGGATTGCTCCCGAAAACTTTAACTTAGGAATGATCACAGGAAGCGTCGGTGGGCTGGGTATTAACCCTATTTCATCATTCGATTGGAATACCATCAACATGTACTCTCCTCTTCTCACTCCTTTTTTCTCGTACTTTTTGCAATTGGCAGGTGCATTTTTGGCAGCTTTGATTGTCATTGCCCTTTACTGGTCGAATTATTACGACTGCCAGTATCTTCCAATATTCTCAAATGGCCTGTTCACAAACACAGGGAAACGATTCAAAATTACCAAAATTTTGAACTCAGACTACAAACTCGACAACGAAAAATACCAAGCTTACTCGCCGCCATATTTTTCTGCGGGAAATATTTTGGGCTACGGTTCTTTCATTGCAGTTTATCCGCTACTGATAATATACCAGTTTATGACAGAGAGTCACATTCTCTTAGATGCCTTCAAAACGTGGATTTCTGGCACCCTGTCATTATTCAAGAAGGAGACGTGGAAGAATTGGAGTTCTGAAAGTCATGAGCTCGACCAATTTAACGACGCACATAGTAGGATGATGAAGAAATACAAGGAAGTACCTGAATGGTGGTACTTTTGTGTTTTTCTTGCTTCTTTGATTATCGGAATATGTGTGATTGAAAAATACCACACAAGCACGCCCGTTTGGAGTTTGTTCATGTCCATAGGATTCAACTTTGTATTTTTGATCCCTTTGACTATTCTACAAGCAGTTACGGGAACTTCGTTGGGATTGAATGTGCTAATAGAGATGATCATGGGGTACGCGCTTCCTGGAAACCCTCAAGCGTTGATGATCATAAAAGCTTTCGGTTATAACATAGATGGTCAAGCAGACAACTATGTTTCTAACCTAAAACTAGGACACTACGCTAAGATTGCGCCAATAGCTTTGTTTCGGGGCCAACTGATAATGGTGTTCGTGCAAGTCTTCGTCAATCTTGGGGTCCTCAACTGGTCAATATCTAACCTTAAAGATTACTGTCAACCAAACCAAGCCGCCCATTTTACGTGCCCTGATGCTATAACCTATTACAACTCATCAGTGATGTGGGGTGCAATGGGTCCAAAGAAAATCTTCAACGATGTTTACCCAATTATGAAATGGTGCTGGCTAATTGGTGCTTGTCTAGGCTTATTTTTTGGCGTCTGGAAGAAATACTTGAAGAGATACTACCCCAAATGGTTTAATCCTGTCTTGGTCACGATTGGTATGATCGGTATGTCTCCGCCCTACAATTTGTCGTATTTCATTCCTGGTGCATTTGTGAACTTCTTTTCGCAATATTACTGCAAAAAATACCACGTTCGGTTGTGGTCAAAATTCAACTATGTGCTCAGTGCTGGATTTGCCACAGGCTTAGTCTTTTCTTCCATTGTCATTTTCTTTGCTGTCCAGTACAACAACTATGATCTCAACTGGTGGGGAAATACCGTGCCATATGCCGGAATTGATAGCGCGGCTCCAGCATTGAAAAATGTCACCTTGACTCCTAATGGCTATTTCGGGCCCGGTCCAGGCCACTACCCATAGTCGTTATGTCGATCGTTTTAGTTGAAAGATAATTAATGGAGAGGCACACACTGCCTTTTTTTCGCTCGCGGATATTATTCCCACTGGTAGCACAAAGCGTAGAAGTTTTAATCAAGTTCAACTCTTGAGACTAAACAACATACCAAAAGAACATGGAAGACAAGTCTTATTCAGTTTAACAATGTGTGTCGCGCTGCACATCTTATTCTATAACATCATATTATCTGTGTATGCTATCATGAATGCAAATAAACTTACCATTAACATCAAAACGGGCGTGTGGCGTAGTTGGTAGCGCGCTCCCTTAGCATGGGAGAGGTCATCGGTTCGACTCCGGTCTCGTCCAATTTTTTTTGTTATTTATTTATTTCAAGATCGAATTCATCTGAACATTTCATGCTTTCTTTATCTTTCGGACCTCACCGAAATGATGAATCAGTGCTTCACGAACGAGTGTCATCATATAAGACCTTAGAAGGCGGTTCGGGGTCATAAAATGCGTCGTAGGTCCTAGCTATTCACCGCATTCACCTCATTCACTAAAATAAAGCAAGCTCACTGTTTTTGATTTTAGTCGTCAGATCTACTGAACAAATGCATCTCTTACTCGTCAATCCTAATAGTACGAAGTCTATGACTGAGGCTGCGGCCAAGCAAGTCGAGCACCACTTAAACCAGGTGTACCCGGGCTCTCACCGCAATATTAAAATATCACTTTTCACTGGTCCCCCTGATGCGCCTCCCGAGATAGACGGTGAGGAAACCAGCTTAGAATCAACTCGCAAGTGTCTTCCTCTCCTGTGCGAACGTCGCCCTGCCGCTGCCACTGCCGATAACCTACAATATTTCGACACTTTCGACGGCGTTCTTGTAGCGTGCTTTTCAGACCATCCACTGGTGTGCGAACTGCTGGCCAAGACCGAGCGTTCGACGCCCGTAACTGGCATTTTCCACGCATCAGTGACCGTTTGCTTATCGAGGCCTGGGTCGCAATTCTCGATCATCACCTCGAATGACGAGTGGGTTGACCTGCTCGATGCCGGTGCAGAGCGCCTTTTGGGAGCCTCCAGACCCTATGCGACGTCGAGCTGTCCCTTCAAAGGCACCGTAGCTTCCTCAGTGCCCGTACTGGACCTACACAATCCACAGAATTTGCATGCGATTGCCAAGCGTATTTACCAAGAAAACGTGCAGCGTTTACGCACATCTACAATCATACTGGGATGTGCCGGGTTTTCCGGCATGGAAACACCCTTGAAGGATGAAATTCGCAAGATCGCGCTACAAGAGGACCCTAGCAATCAGCTTCATGTGACTCTTGTCGATAGCGTTATTTGCGGTATCGAAACTCTAGCCCTGATGTGCAGATTGCAATTAAGTGTGGGTGAATGATGACGATTGCTAAAAAAATATGGGTAACAATGATTTGGAAAGACAATTAGCTGAAAATATGGTGAAGTATAAAAAAATGCCAATATATACATATATATATAATTTAGATGTATAAATACATATATATGTAGAAGTGGGAATCCTTCAAGGAATATAGCACTTTCTTTGAAGTCGAAGAAATTTCCTGGTAAAGAAGAGGTAAAGACATCCACTTCATAATGCACGCTCGTGATTGGTTTCTAGTATTCATTGCTGTATTTCTGCCACCTGTTTCCGTGGGGTTGAAGAGGGGTTTCTTCACCAAGGACACTTTGCTAAACCTGTTGTTGTTTCTACTGGGATACTTCCCTGGTTTGATTCATGCTCTATATGTAATCAGCAAGCATCCATACCCAAGCCACGGCGATGGATTGACTCGTCCAAACGACGGTTACGGGTCGCTAAGCTAGACAGACAGCTGTAATATTTTTGCTATGTACCTAAAACATATATGAATTAATTTGGAGACTGAAAAGAGTCGATGGACGACATGTGGACGAGGTGTAGTTGGAGATAACGATCGCAAACAACTAAGCTCGTCTATGGATGAATGAAGCCTGGGTCTCACATACACGCTAGCCAGACATTTCTGATGGCCTTGACATCCCCTTATATCCGTCGCTTTGTACGTATTGCCATTGACAGAGGAGCGCACTCAGCATGAACTAAAGATTGATGGTTTTGAATGCGCGTCGCATTACGCTGTGTTGGGAGAAGGAGCAAGCGGGGCACTTCTTGTGCTTGCTCGACGTATACTTTTTGGGATTTCTTTTTGATAAAATGTTTGACGTGTAAATGCCGAAGACGCCTCACCCGAACCGTGCTTCTGAGAACTTTTAAAGCTTTTGATATTGTAGTCAGGATGAGAAAATTCATGCTGTATCAGCTAGCATCTGCACGGTTATTTATCTAGCTTTCAATATTTTCTTTGTGTTTCCGGGCTATTTTAGAAGCTTCGAAATCGGCCCTAGAATGTGGTCATCGAGATTGACTCCTAGAGTTGTGCTGAGTGTGTCAATGGGAACATTGCCTCAATCGGTCTTAGTTTGGGCAAGTTGCATTAGCTTTTGATTTTTTTCCTTTGCCTCAGTGTTAAGGGACATGGTGAACTTACGGCGACGGCTGATGATTGTTTGTTCACTTTCTCAAAGTTGCTATATTTGATCAATTGAAATCTATCGACTTTTGAGAGAAATCGTTACTACCAATAAACAAAACCACTTACCTTTCTCTTGACTCTATTGATAAACACTGCCTAATTCCATACAAGTAGTGCCGATGGCATAAATTCTCGGCTTGATGGCCACGATTCATTTTTTGGAATATGTATATAACATGTTAACTCGTATTCCCTGATGTACGATTAATACGCAACTTGTTCATTTTCAAATCATCTCACGAATGGGAGGGAAAGACGAATCTATGTACATGTTTCTCTATTTGCAATGTTCATTTTCATCTTACATGCTTCAATGTTCTCAGGATTCGAACGTCGTCAACGAGTCGAACATTTATCCGATCCTTCACTTGATCCACTAGTCGATTTCAAAAATTAAGTGAGTCTTGAAATTGGCATCGCATCGCCGCCGTCTAGGTGATCGCTTCAAGTTAGAACTCCAGACAACTTGAGTTGAACAGGAAGTCAAAGATGGATATGCTTGGTGACATTGTGGAGAAAGATATAGTTTCACCAGCGGCCGTTAACTCGGCACCGACCTCAGGGTTCCCAGCTCTGTACGAGCCCGAAAAGATATCATCATGGAAAACAAGGCTCCAGTCGAAAAGACAGAACGCAAGACCTCGTAATAGGACCGAAGCCGCCAAAGTCGTGTCTTCTAAAGCTACTCCCACACGTGAAAATGGTGAGACAGAAGCTGAACGGATTCATAATGAAAATATGGCTCGCATCAGCCAGATGTCTGCTTTGCAGCTAGAACAGGAGAGACGGGACATTTTGGAGTCCTTGGATCCAAAAGTAGTTCAGGGACTAATGAAAAGACTGTCGAAACGAGAAACCAAAGATTCTGGGCTGGACTCGTTAACAGCTTCAACGGCACCCCTTTTTGCCGAAGTTGAAGGTGCACCAGGGACTTGGATCGGCGGCACACATGAAATTCGCGATCTGCCGCGTTTGGACGACGATGCAGTCAACAAAGCATTGGGTGTTAAGCCTCAAGAGTCCAAACATGTCGAGTTCGAGAAAGAAGATGATGATGATGAAGTAGCGGAAGAGAGTGCAGACGACTACCCAAATCCTATGCCTGATGATGACGACATAGCTCCCCAGGAGTATCAATTTGTACAACAAATGGACCATATGAAAAACGAAGATCTATTGAGTGACGTCCATTTCATGAGGCCCTCTAAGGATAAAGTGCCAGAGTTTGAATCCCTTGATATCAATGATCCGGATTTCGATTCCAAGCTTCACGAGAAGTATTTTCCAGATTTACCTAAGGAGGCCGACAAGCTGGCGTGGATGAGACCTGTTTCTAAAAGTGCCAACTCAGAAGTTATACACGATGTAGCGCAGTGCAGATTTGATTTCAAAGGTAATTTAGTGCCTCCTCTTAGAGAAATTGAAAGTACTAGAGAAGGTCTACATCACCATGCAGAGAACCCAGACCTCGCAGGTTATACCATAGGAGAATTGCAGCATTTGTCGAGGTCTACCTTTCCAGCACAACGATGCATAGCGATTCAAATTCTGGGTAGAATTCTCTACAAGCTCGGTAAACAGAGTTACGCCCAGCTGGTACCCGAGGTAGACGCTGAGACGTATGCAGAGATGGGAGGCACAACCAAGATTGTGAACCACATTTACGGTATGTTTTGGGATTTGTGCAAATCCCACTTGGTCATCGAATCGCTGATGGAAGCGGCGGATGGGAGCAAGACTCAGAACCTCTCTGTACGCAACTACGCTATAGATGCCTTGTGGCTGTGGAAAGAAGGTGGTGGAGATTGCACGCAAGACAAAGGCGCTACGGACTAAATAGACAAGAGATTATTATCATGTAAACCCCAGAAACCGAAGAACGGTCTTTTAATAAGCAGTACAGATGTGGGGAGACGAAAGACAAGCCATGATAAAAGAAAAACTCTTTCGACACAACAGCGTCCAGGTCCCCCCAATGGGACAGACAGCCGCCAAAAAAAAACTTAGTTGGCGATAAAGAGCAGCACGGCTGAGTAAAACATACTGGGAGCATTTTGGGCCGTCCAGTGGTAAGAATGCAAAGATGCGGGTCTGCGCGAAGCAAAAGTTCTCAGAAAGACCCCGGACCGCGGCTGTCTGAGTGAAATGCCCACTAGAATTGGGGTCGACGCCTAGCTCCCAAACAGAACATTTAGCTTTGGTGCTGAAAAACTCGGCACCAAATCTGTCGTTTCGTGAGGGAAAGCGCCTATTCCCGATGGGGCGTTCTAAAGGGCCAACAGACAATTGAATCCTGCGGTTTCCGGTTCGGTTTTTGGCTTCGAGTATATATTGAAGGGGGTTCTCGATATTTATTCTCTGCACAGAGACACATTCATTGGACATTGATGGTCCCGTTACGGTCCATCCAACAAACTTAAGTTGTGCAGGTTCTTGAGAGCTTCACGTTCGTCGCAGACCAAAAAATTCCTTTCCAGGACTTTCCAAACTCCCGCATTCGTATGGCTTCACAGTGTGTTTCTAATTCGTCTTGTTATTCCCAAACCATACGCTTAGCTTAGCTTAGCTTACCTCTTCCATCAAGATGTTTAAGTAAGTTCGCTATGATAACTTGAGCTGCTTATATACTCGAAAATTTAAATCATATCCGTGTATAATGATGATATTTTTTAATAGATATTAATTTTAAGAAATCTAAACAAACAGGGCTTCTGTCAACCACTTCTATCAGCGGCTATTCAAATGGAGGATGGCCGAGTGACAAAGGGACTGGCTAGCCGCCTAGGTACTGTGGAAGAAGAGACGACAAATCTGAGCGAGCAGGTTTTGCAAGATCAAGAAACGCACTATTGTGAGACCGTGGAGCAGCTAAAACGTAGTACACAACAATTGGTGGAAGACAATGAGTTTTTGTTTGAAGCAGTGCCGCAGGGTGCCGAAATAGACCCCAAAAACATTTCTAGCCATATTGCGGACCTTTCACAGTTTATGGATCGACTGAAAAACACCCATTTGGAGCAGGAAATGCTGGACAATTTTCTGCGGTACACAATTCCGTCTGGGGACATCTCGCAGCAAATAAGCTCGTCGCAAGACGAAATCTACGTGTCGCTGGAAAAAGACGTGCAACATCTGCGAGATGAGGTCATCACAGAACTGGATTCCGAGGTTGAACAACTCAGAGCAGAAATTGGCGAAACGAGCCAAAAAATAGCAGACCAGCGTGAAGTGGTCAACGAGCTGTGTCTGAATACTGGAGAGCTTGTAGATGAGTGCCGCGTGCTTTTGGAAGAGCTCGAAAAAAGTGGTGATCTGAATGTTGCAGAGTCTGAAAAAGCTGGCAATCATAATGACGTAAGCGATGCAGCGTCCCCGGGAGCCACTATCCAACAGCTGCAGTCTATCAAGGAAAAAATTCAAGAAAAGCGTCATTTGGAACAACAAATGGGACATCTAGAGAGCACGAAAACGTCGTTAGGCGCGATTCTGAGTTCTTCGAGTGAACAGGATGAGAAGCGTTCTGTGAAGAGCTACAAGGCATATCAAGCGCTAATTGAGTACTGGCAAAGCGAATTCATCAACCAGGATATTCGAAATTTGGAAATATTTCCTAAATCCAACAGATGTCAGTTCACATATCATAATGTGGAGGTTGTTGTGTCGCTGGGGGATATGGGCATATCAAAGATTGATCTTTATGGAAGTAGTATACCGCCTGAAAATCTAGAAACTGCTCGAAGACATGCCAACAAAAAGTACTTCCATGAAACCCCGTTGCACATTCAGTTCAATAACGTTTTAAATATTATAAAGGAAAATGCGACAAGTGTATAAAACAGAATTGCTAAAAATTGGGACATCTTTCATTATTTTGTTGGCCGTTTGCTGGAAATAAGCCAGCCCAGAATTACTTGCGTTCTTCATCATTGTGCTTATTGTTCGTGCTTTGGAAAGTTAGAAAAGCACCCATAGCGCCCAGATACCCTTCATGCCTCAAGAAAAACGCTTGTTTCTCGCCACCGGACCAGAAGTTTATAGCGTAGCTCAATGTATTCATGGTCATAAGATGCCCTCTTATGTAGGAGCCACCGAAGTAGATGTTGGGAACATTATGAATCTTGGCCTGGAGATATGCGATTTGACCAATGTTGTTGGAAATGGCGTACAGTAAGCTCTTGGAAATGTCGGAGTTATTAAATTTGCGATTCCGCAGTTGTATATTATCAGTACTGGTCTCCGAATCATTTGAATGAGGAACAGAGTCTATTTGAGTTGTGGTGGTCGCAGCCCGTTGAAAGACTTTTCCAAATGAGCTTGCGATATGCGTGGATTTAAGGCCTATTTTCCCATAGTTTGAGCCATATATATCGCCCACAAGCATGTCGACATGAGTGTTGTCGCCGCCGTGTGCCCAACTCAGCATCTCGTCGTAAGTCTTGGCACCTGTTATCAGCGATAAAAGCCCCCATAGCGTGCCACCGCCGAGCGAAGACCCTCCGACCCGCGTGAATTGCGCGGGTGAGTCCACTTTGAGAATTGAGACACCTGAGCCGATGTTTACAAGCATATAAGGATACACTTTTGCGTGCTCCGGAACCACTTTGTGCTCGCCCTCAAGATCGTTGTACGTGAACACTTCCTCGGGCACCTCGTGGATGAAGTAGTCAAGGCCCTTGATCAAACACTCCATTTCGTCGAGCCGTGTGATCTCGAGCACGTCTGGAAATTCTCGACACAGTAGATCATGGAATTTGTACGCTCCACCGCCGGTTGCAACGATCCGCACGTTGCTCTGCTGCCCATTATTATAATCGTTGATGATCTCATGGATCATCAACATGAATTGTGCAATTTTCTCAGTTTCAACGGTCTCGAACACTAATTGCTTAGAGTCCATTGCGAAGAATACCAGCTTTGCCAGCGATCCTCCGATGTCCACGGCGATGGTCGATGTTGCCGCAGCCGTGGGATGCGTGGTGCTACTACTCGGTGGCGTCCATACTATGCCTTGACTCATCCTCTATTTAAACGCACCTTGGACTGTCACTATGGCCCGCAACAATGCTTTCTCAATGGCTTTCGATACTTGTTCTGTCGGCGAGCATCAAGTTCTATATCTGCTGAAAAATTACAGCTCAATTATGATAAACGAGAAATATACATGACAGAAAGACAATTTCAGAGGGGAATGAAGAAAGAGGGCCAAAGAAGCTCAGAATAAAGAATTTCAGTTGTTGGAGGTCAGTCTTTTTTTCGGGTTTTTAAGATGTGGTTACTGGATAGCAGTTTCGTAGCTTTTCTGCGCGTAAATATATCTCGATGTATACGTTTATATAATCCGGGGAAGGTGATAACAATGCAATGTGAAGCGTTACGAACCTGAAATGTAAAATTTCAGGGTCTTTTGAGAGTGTGGGCTATTGTACACCTTATGAGTACAATCCTGCTATTCTGTAGTTGCTTGAAATCCTTCAGGGCGACGCTGCCTGCACCTGGCAGAAGAAAATTTGATGAAGGAATTGGCAAAGTAAAAGAATGGAAATGCGAACCGTCGAGTCGTTTGGGCAAAAAAATTGATATGTTGACGTCAACCCTTCGTTCAAGCTCGTATGATATCGGCAGGTGTCAAAATGAATAATGTACTTCGGTTTATGGATGAACGACGAGGCTCGAAGGGAAAAATCCAATAGCCACGACATTATGTTACAAAGTGATCGCATTTGGAAACTCGGCAGAGACGATGAGCTAGAAACGTCAGGCCTCTCGTTTCAAAGCCTGAAAAGCACTGCAGAGACTCATAGAATCATAGCTATATTTTAAGGACTGAAAAGCTCCGCTGTGCTCGAAAACCCTGGAGGGTGACTTTTTTTTGGGATTTTTCATTTTATCTCTTGATTTGTTCAATCCACCACTATTTTTACGAAAAGTGACGCATATCACGCCATTTGAGGGGCGGTATTGGGACAGATAAAACACATTTCAACACTTGCTCTGTGCAGGCAAGACTCACCCAACATATCACTTTTTACTTTTCTGTCATGTCACTAAGTGCCAATTGTTTATCTCAGCTTTTGCAGCTATTTCGAATGACTTCAAAGAATCTAGTGACTATTTTAGATCCCTCAATCTCTTACTATTTTAAAATCAGGTCGAATGCATGGGTCTATGATTTTATGATCGTGTAACCGGTTCTTATGACAAATATATGCCAAAAGATGCGACGGACGAGTCAAGACTGGGGCAGTTTACTAGTGCATTCAGATGTGTACGTACCCACCAAACAGCGCTGTCGCCTTCAAAAACCCTACCAATGCCAGTGATGAAACCGTCTTGAATCTCGGGCATGTGATCGTTATGTTACGTAATCGTTCCGGATCTCAGGTGATCATAATTACTCGAAAAATCATAAATATAAGAAATTGACAGCGTTCTTAAATTTTAACGAAGGAAACTTGATCTTCGCATTTCACTCAGCGAAATTCTACATCATCAAAGCCATTGAGTTGTAAGAATACAATCATTCAGAACTTTGACGTATCTTTTCCCCATGGGCATCGAGTTGAAAGCTAAGATCGCTTCCAAGTACGCGAAAGGCGTGGAATCTGGAGATGTGCATTTTACCCAGTCCGACAGCAAAAAAGTGAAGGACTCGGAGTCTGGTTTCCAGTACGTGGTGACCCATGCCCCCAGTCTACTAAAGAAACCGGAACGTGCGGACGCTGAGGCCTCTAAACGCAATCCTTTTGCAGAACCAGAGCCCGAATTGACCGTGTGCGAAGATCTGTACGACTTGGGTCAGTACAAACTGCTATTAAACAAGTTTCCTGTGGTCCCAGAGCATCTCCTTCTAGTAACACGCGAAGTCAAACCACAGACAGCGCCGCTCGAACCTCAAGACCTCCTGACCTCGTACCGTCTCTTGCAAGATCTGGACGACGAGGACGAGCAGGTCAGAAACCTGATTTTCTACAATTGCGGAAAGACGTCCGGTTCATCGCAAGACCACAAACATCTCCAGATGCTGAGATGGCCTAAAAACTTTGTGGCATTCCAGGACCGTCTATGCAGTGGCAAAGAGCACTTCATCCCAGATATGCGTTCCGAGCCACTCCAAGACAAAAAACTTTCATTCGCCCACTTTGTCGTGCCCTTGCCAGAAGATCCTGAAGCCGTCACCGAGGACCTGCTGGCTATGACTTTCGTGTCGCTACTTCAAAGAACCCTCACATTTTTCCAGGACTGGACCAACGAACGTCCAAACCTGGAGACCGGGTATAATGTGCTCATGACGCGTCAGTGGCTATGTCTCGTGCCGCGCTCTCAATCCAAGAGCAACGAGCTCGACATTGGTTTCAATGCCACAGGCTATGCCGGTCTGGTGCTCGTTAAGCACGAAGAGGTCTGGAATAAGATCTTGGAAGAGCCACAAGTTGTAAATCGTTTGATGCTCGAATGCGGCTTTCCAAACACTGCTGGCGTCTCTGCAACTGAATATCACTATTAATGTTGGCGAACCTTGGCCCAATTGTGGGCCCATGAATAACCTTTTTTTATAGACCTTATGGCTTCGACCAATCAGATTCGAGTATGAGCATGATCTTAGTACCTATATACGAAAATGCTTCAATAATGGTATTTGAATTTTTACCGATATACAGTATACTGTTCCTCGCGAAGAATCTCAGCTGTATAAAGCATCTTTAGAGCCCTGAGTCTGATCGTTTACCAGTTCTTTTGTCGGATCCAATACTTCAAGAAAACAAGCGACTTTTAACATGCCTCAAACCTTTACTTCAATCGCCAAGATGGGCGACTTCATCTTGAAGACTCCAGCCTTGTCGAAAATCGTTGTTCCAGTTGCTCACCAGTTCGTCAAGTTTTCTGGTTATAGAAAAATGGGTCTCAGATTTGACGATCTAATTTCTGAGGAAAACGACATTGCCCAGAAGGCTTTGAGCAGACTTCCTGAGGAAGAGTCTTACGCCAGAAACTTTAGAATGATCAGAGCTCACCAGTCGTCTTTGACCCACCATCTACTACCAAAGACCCAATGGATCAAGCCAGAAGAAGACACTCCATACATTCTACCATTTTTGTTGGAAGCCGAGGCTGAAGCTAAGGAGAAAGCCGAGTTGGACAACTTGGAGTTGGTCAAGTCCTAGGTATCCTCTACAAAGTTGGAAATTTGAAAAACATCATTGTCGTGCCCAAAGTTTTCCTTTTTGGCCATGCAACTACTCTCCCTTTCGACTCGCCAAACATATTTATGGTTTAACCGCCGCCAACTCGCATTTTTTGATGGCCTTTTATGAAGAAAGCGGTTGGCTATATGTAAAGAACATAGTATTTTATTTAAAGAAAGCCGTTTGAACATTCTGAACTACATTCGCTGAACAGTAGAAAAAACGTCACTACTTTTATACAAACGTCGTCGAACTTATATTACATTAGCGGCTCAAGGCATTAATTATTAAATGTTTTCGTGGTAAAAGCACATACGTCACTTTGAGCCCTTGAATCGTGAGAAAATCGTGAAAAGAATGTTGAACTTGCCCCTCCGTCTACGAGAGTGAGAATTGGTCACTTCGTGCGCGACAGCGCTGTCGCTCACGGTGCGATGTTCGCTGGCAGCCAAGGTTGCTTTGGACGGCGAGTCTGCAACAGCTCTCGTAGCAGGTTTTGCAAGCCGCGATAAATCCACACTGTCTCCGGGCTGGCCATGCAAGATTTCCCTAGAAATACGAAATACCTCCGAACTTTCATAAGCTGATGCGCTCTTGGACTTTCTGTGCATGTTCTCACCGGTTAAATTTGTTACGGTGCACGTTAAGGTATCACCATCGCCGATCTTAGCTTCTTGTCGTGGCTCTTCGTCGCTATTGATAAACGCACCGCCGTTAGGCGGTAAATCGTAAACTTGACTCTCGAATTTGAACGTTTTTCGCGGACTTGGCGTTCTGTTTCCAAACTTCGACATTGAAATGATAGGAGTATTAGGTGAATATGTGACGCCTGCTGTACTAGTTCCTGAACTGAAATCGGACGACAAGGATGAAAAGGATGGCTCTTGGGGGTACATTTGGTGCATAGCTTGCGGACTAGCTGCAGGGAGATGCTTCGTGTAGTTAAGATACCTTTCTTTCTGTTTGTTTATCTTGAGGGAATTATTGTTGTATTGATTTCTCATTGGCAGCTTTGGCGACTCTGTCACAGAGCAGTCTTTGAGAAAAGGTGACTGGGACTTTGCTCGTAGTGGCGACATCAGAGCATCCTGCGAGCCCAGTTCGTTGTCGCTTTCCGAGTCTTCCTCTTCGTCTATTCGCAATGGTGCTTGCGTCTGTGCATTTGGAGGTTCAATCCTGAAAGGTAAGATCAGTTGCGCAGGAGCAGATTCAGCCCTGCGATGAGATGCAAAAGATCGTGGTTTGGTTGTGAGTGCCTCGTCTAGGTCTATGATAGCGTTTGGCACGTCGTGAGAATAAGTCGATTCCTCGCTCATGAAAAACCGCGGGCTCATATCTTGATTTTGTAGAGGCGACGCTACGCTTCCACGGCGAACGGAATCTCCTTCCTGAGGCGTTCCCGGTATAGCCAATTTGACCAAATCGAGATCCTGAGATATCGCAAAGGATCTCTTGTGGCGATGCCCTCGTTTCGAAGGCGTACGATCACCGTTCAAAGGTGCCGAAAGAGCAGTATCACCGGTCACAGGCAATTTCAAGCGTTCTGTATCCATATCGCAAGCAAAATTGAGACGGTCGTGAAACAGATGTGCTCCTGACAAAAACAAACGAAAGACTGGTAGTTAGATGAGAGCAAAAGGGCGAGGGGAGGGGGCCCACCAAAGAGTTGGCTCAAAACGAAGAAAATACTTTTCTCTGCAAATGGCCGCTTTGAACAGTAATTTTCCAACCAACTTTCAAGTTTTCAGATCCTGATCAAAATCTCTATAAAGCGAGTTTGGAAAACTCGCGAAATTATGCGAAAAAGGCGCCAGCCAACCAGCAGCCCGGTCTCTTCCAAAAATTCCAAGAGCAATGCACGGCACAACAACTACCGTCCAGATAAAATGTTCCCTTCAAGCTCTTTCTCGAGGGTCCAAATTGAACGCGTACGATTAAAAGATTGTTTCCGATGCCAAGGAATTCAAGACCACCTTTCGAACTTTCCGTAATTCAGCCTCACAAGTTGTTGCCGTTGAATCTGAACCTGAACTTGTGGGCTTCAGCGAGCTACCAGTCGCTCTTACCAGGACGTTTTGAATCGATATTTGGCGATTTTCCGACGTTACTTCTGCGTGGCCTGTAAGCTTTTTTCATTAAATTTATTAAAGCGTCAGTATGACGATGAAGAAGAATAAGCCGATATCACATGATTCACTCGTTTGAGTCTGGATGGATGAGGACGGGCTAATTCGTTGGCTAGGAGGAGGGTTCGATATGGGATGGGGATGAATTTGTATGAAGTTGGACTTCTAAAACCAGATTTCACGCGATTGGAAATTTGAGTCTTTACAGGAGTGCTTCTGGAAGCCTAGAGAAAACTTGATATGCGGCACGGTTGTGTTGTATATAATATGCTCTTACAGTCATAATTTGGACTACCGGCACGCTTCTATCAAACTGTGTGCCACTCGTTGTGTGAAATGTCAGACATTGCGTCGCTGAGCACACGGTAATGACACATTAGTACAAAGTGATATGTAGAGATCTGGACAACGATTTCGAAAGTGACGATGAGCTGAGGTATATGTTTATCTGTCGTAGGTATTTCGTTGGCTGATTTTACTCGAGCGATTGACGCGGTCGAGAGCCGTGAATGCTCTCGGGTTCTTGATTTTTTATTTTTTGGGACTCGGCAAATGGCACACACACACGCTCGAATACCGGCTATTTTTTCGAGACCTCATTATTACTTGAATGAAGATTTTTAAACTCATAGTTTAGCACTCCGATAGTTACACATCGCCATCGAGTTGCTCAAAAACCTGAAGTTGAGTCAATCATGATTATCGAGCGGGTCACGTGCCCTCAGTTCAAGCTACCCTAAATGAATATAAACGTTAACGTTAACAGATAAACCACTCGATCTACTCATCAATCGCACCAGTTCAACCGCAACCGAGTCTGGTGGTGTACATAATGGTCATGAAGCGGACTAGAATTACTGTTTTGTTTGACAGTTTGCAGGATTTAGAGAAAATTACGCCTGATTCGCAGCATGGCCAGGAAGGAAATAACTCAGAAAGCATCGAAATTATAGGTACTGGACAGCAGATCCAACACAGAACCACCTTAGATCATTCCAGTAAGTTTCAGCATGTGCGGATTACTTGGAAGAGCTCTAAAAGTTTCGATAGCATCCTGAAGGCACCGTTGATGGAAGGGCTCAACATATACGTCGTCACTGGCGAACCTTATATGCATATCAATGGAGCTATAAAATCCGCCAAATACCAGCTTTTGCACTCTGATTTCCTTGACAAAGAGCTTCTGCGCAGGTTCTTACCCCCTGAGGTGCTCGACGTTAGCTCGGTAGACTGGACATCAAAAGACTACGATATATCACTTGATCGCGAGAAACAAAAGGCGCAGGTGGACAAGTACTACAAACTAGAGACCGATCAAACTCAAAACATAACTTTTACCGATACTTTTGGCAAGCTCGAAGTCGGCCTTTTCTTCCCAGAATTTCATGACACTGTCGACGTCCATTTGAATGGTGCACGGTGCACTTGGAATCGTGACGGCGCGATTGAACATTGCCAAAAGACATATTTGTTTTACCAACGAGCTCACGCTGCTGCATTAGAAGGTCGCGGTGTACCTGTGGACCTACTGGAGCCGGTAGGCCTGCACCCAACCCTCTCCGTAGATTTACGCGATCAGCTACCGTCAGACAATTGCGCATATTACATGTACCTAATGACACCAGCAGACATTTTTATCGATAAGTTCCAATCTTCGCCCATTTTTCTCGCAGGCGCTTCAGACCTAGAGGCCCCTGAATACTCAGTTCGGGGAAATAGCTGGGGTATGGAAACTTTACTAGCGCTAACACCAGGAGATCTAAATGAGGTAAAGTTACACTCTCGTTATATTCAACCTCAAGCATCTGGAGGATATAAGTCTATCAAAGCTGTACCTAAGGTCTTTCAAGCTTGTGACTCGGATCACGACAACATCCATGAAAATCCCTTCTACACGAAGTCATTGGGGTTTGATTCGCTGTTCACTAATAACACCTCCTTCAACCATCTCAACAGTTCGACTGTAAGCATCCGAATTCCGGCTGTGGACATCAATGCATACAACCTTGTTCAAGTCACCACTTGGACATGCTTAATCCTCTCCGCTTTTTATATTTTGATAAAAGTATTCAGAAAATAATAATATGAGCCAATGTGACATTGAACTAGTTACCTGAGACCTGAGATAGTTATTTACTTCTTTTTGTGATGTTTCTTGGCAATACGCTTTAGTGCTCTTTGCTCGTTTTTCATCACACCATCAACCATCTTATATTTGCCCTTCACGCCCTTTGGTCTTCCAGATAACCCTCTGTTCTTACCCGTAGCGACGACTAATGTTACCTTAGGTTTCCGTACCTGCTTCTTACTCACCTTTCTCATCAGTTTGGCAATCTCATCAGCCTTATCACGTTCAGACTTGTCACTGTCGTCATTGATAATACCAGCCTTCTTTTTGATCTTTTCTAGACGGGCAACAGCACGCATCTTCTTTCTAGCCTTTGCTTCGGCAACTTTTTTAATGGGTCTGGCGTTCAGTGCTTTCAGTTTCTCTTTGATAGCGAGTGCAGCTTCCTTAGTTATAGGTCTGTTAATCTTAGAGTGAGTCTTCTCGTCTTCTAAAAACCAATCAGGGAGGTTTTCATTGTCACGGAATGCGTACCTGTTGAACCCTTCGTCAACCAAATCATGTTTCGTCCTCTGCCCTAGCGCCAATTGATGAGCCAAGGTCATGGCTTCAACGGTCGCGATGTCGATTTCCTCTGAGTGCTTTCCTTTCTCCGCATCCCTCTTCTCGTTATCAGAATCATAATCAGAGTCCATTTCTTGATCTTCATCCTCTTCTCTGGAAACAATCTCAAAATCACCGGAACCATCGCTTTCGCTCTCGCTTTCACTCTCGCTTTCACTCTCGCTTTCTGGAGAAAGAGTTTCTTTGTCGGCAGTACCTGAGACTTCTGGCTGCGTTGGTAAGTCAGCCTCGACACCATCGAAGATAGATTGATCGAAAAGAGATTTAGCCTTAGAACTGAGTGCCTGTTGTGGTGCTTTTATTTTAGCGATCAACCTATTGATGGCTTCGTCATCATCGGAATCAGATAGAGCCGAGTTTTCGTCCTCACTGGTATGATCTTTTTGACCGTCAGAATCGCTTTCATAATCCTTTTCAGCGAATCCAGTCCATTCACCTTCGCCGTCACCACCGCGGGCTTGTTTGGCCCGATAGTTTGCGTCCCGCTCGGCTCTCTTTTCTTTGTAATTTTGATACATGAAGTTCAACTGGGATTCTAGCTCATCGGCGTCAGCGACGTCGTCACGGTCGTCGAGAGGAGCATCATCTGCAATGTGAATATCGTCATTGTTCGACTGTTCATCTTGATTGAAAATCATTCTTCTCTTACCTTTAGCCAACTGATCAAGTATACCAGTTTTTTCGGCAGTTTTGAGATTGAAGATGGCGTCTCTTCCTATATCAGCGGATTCGATACCAATATCAGCAGGCGTCAGCATGTTCATTTGCATTCTTGTGAGTTCCTTCTGCTTCATCTCATTCTTCTTTCTCTTTTCACGTTTCTGATTCAACCTCTGTTTTTCCTGTAGACTCTGCAATTCCTTTTGGATTTGTTCTTCTTCGGTCAATGGTGTCTCTTCCACTTTCTCCTCTTCCTTATCTATACCCAAAATGTCCCTGGCGGCTTTTCTCCACTTTAGTATCATTTTAAAGTCTTTTCTTCCCAAGACCTTCAGATCCTCTATGCAAGCCAAGAACTCCGTTGTAGTCTGCTTCAATTTCTTTAGAATCTTCCACTCGTGGTCCTCGGTATCAACAGTGAACTTGTTCTGGCTTCCCAGCATTTCTATGGGCTCTTCGCACTTGACAAAGTCCATGATAGGTTTAGTATGGTAAAGTAAGTAATCACCTTCTTCGTAACCTTCTCTCTTTCTGACCTTTTTTTCTGGATTGAAGATCTTGGCTTCGTTGTTCTGTGGACCATCCGGTAGTTCTTCAAAAACCTCTCTGGGGTCCAATATTCTGGGATCCAGTTTTTTAGGAGCCTTGAAACCTTTGCACACGACGAAAATTTCTGCGGAGACATTTCTGGAAGCTGGGGGCTTCGTTGCCTCAACTTTGTCGAAAAGCTGGCCAAAGGCCCAAATCAGCTTGTTGTAGTCCTTGGATCTGAAAATTTTGGTAACGAAAGTTCCTCCTACTACTAAATTTTCAACTGCCAACTTTAATGCTTGTAACGTTAAATGCGACTGTGTGTACGCATCTTGAATCCACCCAAGACCAACGTTTGGGGCACCATCGTGCATAACGGTGTCTGCTTTCCACGTTTTCATGTAACCTCTCAGTTTAGAGCGGCAGTCTTCAGTTGTAATATCACTCTGAAAAGTAATGACATTGGGCATCGACTTCATCGGCACGATATCGACACCAATAATCAGTGAGTTCACTGGACACAGATTTGAAGCCACTTGACACCACGAGCCCGGGGCGGCACACAAATCGATTACAACCTTCGACTTCTCGAGAAAATGTCCGAATTTCTCATTTATTTGGATGATTTTAAATGACGAACGAGCACGATATCCTTTCTCTTTGGCTAGATAATAGTACTTATCCAAACGACCTTTACTATTTTTCTTCTGAGTCTTACCCATCTTAGTTAAGGAGCTTCGAGCTACGTGTTGCTATTATGGATCGAGTTGGATGGATGTGCTGGTTAAAGTTCATGAAGAGGGCATCTCATCTCATCTCATCGCATCGGCTAAAATTTTTCCAAATTTACAATTAGCACAGTAACAGGAAAAAGTAAAGGCGACCAGCGACAGCATGTGATAAGACGACAGAGGTGTTTCTGGCGAGTCGTTCGGATCACACTACTGGTAAAGAAGCTATTCCACGGTTTTTCGGCATCTATAAGTCCAAGAATTTGAGAATAAAGCAACTTAAGGAAAATTCAACAAATCAAGCCATCAACTTCTCCGGTTTTTATGCCAGTTTCTAGTTTCGCATTCAATCAAAAAAGTCAATTTTTCACGACTATACCCGACAGTCATAGCTACTCAAAGTAACCAGTTTGACTGACTGTAGCACCTTTGAATCGAGATATTTCATGTTTTTTATTGTAGCGTCTTCGATACCACTTATCATGTGATGAAATGACAGATGACAGCTTGGTACAAAACGATAATATGAACGCACTGTGATCGTTCCAAGACCACGAAGCGATAAATCAAAGCTTACCAATAGTCCGCTTTAACATTTATTAATGAAACTCAATCGAGCTTATTTCGAATCAACGTACAGATTTTTCGTTGGGTGCTATCGATTTAAAATACAATTATATGGGGAGAATACCCGTGTTTGGTCAACAGGATGGAAGCATCTTACTTCGTGATTGACCGATATATACCTATAAACTTCCACCTTACTCTTGAGTCTTCGCTTAACTCATACACTTGCAGTTCTCAACAGAAGGAATCAAGAAGGTTTACGTGGATGACGGGTGTCCACTCAATTGCGGAAATTTGTGCTCCTTGCTTAAACCTGGGTCTCGGTAACACACGAGAGGATTTTTAACTAGAGCTGTCCAATGTTTTTTGCAGCATTAGGACAGCAGGACTACTGGCTTTCCTTTTGGTTCTCATCCAAAGTGTCAATAAATCAACAAGCCATGACAGTATATGAAAAAGTGATCATTCTCGAGCTATAAAAACCGCGAATATTTTTTCAGATCAGCCTTTCTAAACCCTTTCTACACGCGCTCCTATCCTGTTCTTCAACTGAGACCTACCCGATAGCCTTGGACGACCAATTGGTACAGTTATCAACCAATTCGATATGAGCAGCTTTCCTTTCGAAGGCGTGCAATTTATCGACACACCTCCAGTTCCTAAACCTGAACCGTCGAACACCAAATACGGTGTGAGAACTTCTGATTCACCTGCTATCAAGAATGCACCATTGCCAGCAGAGGGTCCTAGTTCGAAGCATTTTTCAAATGCCCTCGTTCTCCTTTTGATCACTAGTATTCCATTCTATGTTACTAGCAAGTTGGGTGGAGGAATTAAGACCTTTGTTTTCTTCTTCCTACTGTTCGTTTTGCCAATTCTTATGGCGTATTGGACATTGGCGTCCACCTTCTCACCCCGTTTCAATGATAAATGCCAATTGCCTGGAAAACCCATCGAGCATTATTTGACTTTTCACGATGAGAAGCTGGCTCAGAAGTACCACGGCAGAAAGATCCCCATGGAGACTTTCCACGAGCTGTACTTTGCCAACAAGGTGTCTTTCAATGGAGACGCTCTAGAAATCCTGGAGTACAGACACGATTGGTCGCAGTTCTCTTTCACCTTGTCACTATTCAAATTCTTCCTACTAGGTATGATCCCAGAGGTTATCATGCACACCAGATCGCAAGACGAAGAACAAGTCAGAGATCACTATGACCGTGGTGACGACTTCTACTCCTGGTTCTTAGGCTCAAGAATGATTTACACCAGTGGAGTGATCTCAGACATCAACGCCGAAGAAAGTCTCGAACAACTACAAGACAATAAGTTGAAGATTGTGTGTGATAAAATCAACCTGCAGCCAGGTGAATACCTGTTGGATTTGGGCTGTGGATGGGGTACACTCGCCACCTACGCCTCTAAAGTTTACAACGCTAAGGTCACTGGTATCACCTTAGGCAGAAACCAAACCAAGTGGGGTAATGGCAAACTCGAACTGCAACAAATTCCGCAATCTCAGTCCCGTATCATCTGTTCTGACTACAGAGACACTCCTTTGGCAACTCCTGAGGGTAAGAAGTATGACAAGATTACTTGTTTGGAAATGGCGGAACACGTCGGTATCAGAAAATTCGGTTCTTTCCTCACTCAGGTTTACGATATGCTAGAAGATGATGGTCTGTTTTTCTTGCAGATTGCTGGTTTGAGAAAGTCTTGGCAATACGAGGATCTCATTTGGGGTCTTTTCATGAATAAGTATATTTTCCCAGGTGCAGATGCCTCGACACCTTTAGATTTTGTCGTCTCCAAATTGGAAGCTACAGGATATGAGGTTGTCTCTGTCGACAATATTGGTGTCCACTACTCCGCAACATTGTGGAGATGGTACAGAAACTGGATGGGGAACAAGGATGCGGTGGTCAATAAATACGGAATCAAATGGTTCAGAATCTGGGAGTACTTTCTTGCTACGTCGACCATCATTTCGAGACAAGGTTCTGCCACCTGCTTCCAAATTGTGCTGAGAAAGAACATCAACGCCTACCACCGTATTGAATACGTGCCTCGCCAAAAAGGTTTGTTGACGCCTGTGAAGGAAGGTGTCACAAAATGGTTCAAATGAGAAGTATCATGGCCCGCTCTAGCAGAACCTTATACATTTTGAGACAATACATTGATAAATAGATGCAATAGAACACGCCACTTTGTAGCTATTTCGATTCTGGAAAAAATTGCGAGGGAGTTCATGTAGCCTTCTTCTGAGTAGGGCTCTTGGGCCTGAGAACTTCAATCTCACTTCTCGTAGGCAGGTGAGTTCCTAGTTTACTGATTTCTTCTTGGTATTTCGCAGAATCGAAGTTATTCAAAATCACGTCAGGACTCATTATCACCCATCCAGGTCTGACTCTAACAGGTGTCTCTGTTCCTGTTCTTGCAGGTATGATGTGCAGCCTCCTTGTAGCTGTTGAAAAATTCTCGGCTATTTTGTAGAGGTGAGCAGGGATAGCACTGTTCTGTAAATTTTCTGATTCAATATTTAAATCAGTGTCCACGTTACAGTGTATGAGGTGGCCATCAGTAGCTCTCCGAACCGTTCCTGTTATACACATCCAACAGTGCCATTGCATTTTTTCAAAAAGTGCTTCATCATTGTTGTCGAGACCGGGATAGAAAGGAGAACTTTTGTCAACAGGAATGAAAACTAATTCCTCACTCTTTCTAAACTTCTTTGCCCACCCGTCGTTTTGCAAAAGCTTGGTTAGTTCGTTTATTTTTTGAGCACTTCCCCAGATAAATAAAAATCCGGGTTTAGATATTAGTTTGTCAATCGGAAGAGACGTTAACAACGGGTATATGAACTGATTATCCGTCAGACAGCCTATCATCACGACATCGAATACTAGTTTATGTTTGTAAATCCAGCCATTTAAAGTAGAACACATTTCATCGATATTAACTCTACAACCATATGGCTTGGTTGCATGTCGGGCAACGTGCTTCTCTTTCAAACGAAACAATTTCTGAAGATTGGGATAGCCTTCGACTTGATTTTCCGAGTTCTTGACAAATTTTTGAGGCGGAAGGCAGGTATGAACGTAGTGTTCGGTGTAATCATTACTGTGCGGTTGAGCAGCAGGTTTTAGGGAATTGTTTCTCCTCTTTTTCGAGCCTTCGGCAGCGTTTTTGAGTGGTGTGTGGTCAGAATACATTGTCAGCCTAGTCATTCTCAGTTCAAGTATTTCTGTCGCAATACGAATCGCTTAGTTTTTATGCGTCTTGAGAATCGAAAATGTCACACTTTGAAACATAAAATCAGTTTCATTCCAAATCTGACAAAAATACTTGACCACCTCTAAAAGTCTAAAAAGAGTATCTTTTATACCGTTTCGAGCCTTTTTGCGAGGCACAGGCGAATAAACTGTCAAGAAGCTCCGAGGGTCACAAATTATTTTCTTATCTTTTCGATTGTTTCAATTGACCTTTCCAAATATAATTGCAGCCCGAGCCATTTGTTCGTAACGACACAATTAGAACGTCTGGTGTGCAACGAGAATTGTAATCGGCTCAAAAACTGACGTTGCATTTTTTTTCTGTCAGTGACATATTGGTGTCAGTGCTGTCACTCCCGTCGTTTTCGGTCTGAGAGCGCCATGGCATGTCTTACAAGGCTTATTACATGACATCACTGATCTAGATGTCTGATTGGGAAAATATAGAAATTGCGGATCCGGTGCTTTCGTTCTCTTTAAGAATTTAGAGAGAAGGTGTGTTCCCAGATTTTATGAGCCCACTCAAGAAACTGCACATAATTGTCGGTGAGCAACTAGCCCAAAGACGCAAAGAGACGTGGGAGAAAAAGGGCGAACGACTTATTCTTTTACGTGCGTCCGGTATCTTTTCTTCATCAAGAGGGGGATCTGTCAATTTTACATTGCCCTGACCAGGGGCAAAGAGCTTATTTAGAGCGCTCATTTAGATCATACCATAGACGAGAGCAGCTTGGAACCTCATATTAGCTCGTGAAACTTGCCAAGTATCGTGTTACTGTAAATGTGGAGATGTAAACTGTGTCAAATTTATAAATTTAATGTTTCAGGGTGAAATGTTTACTTTCCCACATAGAAAATCTGGAAGAAATTAATGATGTGGCGGTCAAAGTGACACATTGTTAGACATCAACATAAACACTGCAGTCAAGATGCTCGGTTGGAGTCCGAGAGCGGTCTTTATGCTCGGATTATAATCATGCAATTCAAGTTAAAAGAATGAAAATGCCAACACGACCGCTCAACGTCACAAGGCTCGGGTGCCTCTAGCTACAAGTCAACCCTTCATAGCTTATTTCGAAATTGACCGATTACGACTCTTCTAAATAATCTTCTTGTCCCTGCAGTAGTCAATAAAACTCTTTTTGTGAAGCAATCCCACAAATTCCCCTTCATCAAAAACAGAAACTGACCGGTTCCCTAACTTGGTGAACACTAGTTCTACAAGTGACAAAGGGGATTTGACGTCGAGCATCAATGGCGACCTCTCTACAATCTTACGAAAATCGCAAAGAACGTCGAGCATCGTTTGAAGGGCGATTTTATCCTTACTACTGGAACTCTCAAAAGCATTACCCACCATTTCATTCGTATCTCTAGAAGTTGAGGTTGAAATCTCAGTGTTGCCAAAATTTTGAATCTCGTCAAAGAGCCTTACATGAAAGTTACCGTCCATCATGTATTCATCCGAAAAGCGCTGCAGTTTGTCCAATGCCAATTCTAGGTCTGGTGCTGGCAAAATTCCTGCCAATTTGTTGTCCTTTAAGATTGGCAAGCACCCATCAACCAGACCATTTCCCTGAAGATCATTTAGCATTTCTCTCAAAGATAGACAAGAACAGTAGCATGAGTTTTTCAAGTTCACAAAAGCATTATCGCTATCAGGGCCTACCTTCGTTACTATGTGTTTCAAGTCGAACTCGTGGCCACCAAAGTTTCTGATCTTGTGGTTATCCAGAAATGGGAAGTCATTTCTCCTTATTAGCATCTCGTAAAGAGACTGCGGCTCTATCAAATGAGCTACTATGTTGGACATTGCAATTGCAATGGATATAGGAACGACGTAATTGTAGGACGAAGTCAGTTCAAAAATAATAACCGCCAGTGTCAAGTTCATCCTTGTAACTCCGGCCATGAACGCTCCTGCAGATATCATTGCATATATTCCTAGGTCCAAACATACTCCTGGTGTAGCGGTCTTGTTGCAGATCTGGGAAAACAAGGAAAAGTTGGAGTAGAGATTGGCAAAGTGGTCAAAAGTCATGGCAAAAATTCTTCCAAACAATGCTCCTATTACCATTGAAGGCACGTAGATACCAGCTGGTACCTTTATACCGAACGTTACGCTTGTGAGAAGAATTTTGATGACCAGCGCTATTGACAGCGGGACAAGCTCCGTGGGAAATTTTAATTTATCATTAGGGCACAACCCGTTAGCACCGGTGAAGTCTTCAGGTGAGTAGCATGGAGATGCTAGGTTAGCGAGGAGTTCCGCGACGGAGATATTTGTATACGTGTTTGAAAATGTCAAAAATGCTGTGACGACCGCGATAAATCCGACCTCCCGAAGTGGTTTGTCGCGAACAAAGTTCTTCGTTCTAAACCAGCTGCTCCAAAAGGAAACAAATTTGCAAAATAGAGCCCCGAAGACGCCGCCAGCAGCGCCAATAACAATTGCAAGGACTAGTTCCGTGGTCTGCCAATCAGAGGCATACTTGACTTCGAATAGCACCGCCTTTCCTGTTCCATAAGGGTCTAGTAGACGAAGGAACAAATTAGCCATGATAGCAGCGAAGAAAGTTTTGAATAGCTGATTACCAGGTAGGTAGTAACTCACCTCTTCGAAGGAGAACATGACTCCCCCAAGAGGGGAACCGAAAGCTAAAGTAACACCAACGGCAGCCGAAGCAGACAGCATGACACGGCGCTCTATACCGTTCACTTTGTACTTTTCAAAAAATCTGCTCATAATATTGCCCACACAGGTTGCAAGGTGAACGTATGGCCCTTCTTTCCCAACCGAAAGACCAGAGGCTATGGCGAGGATCAATGCTATGCTCTTGGAGAAGAGTGTATAGGTACCCAAAAACTTTCTAATGATAAAACCAGAGAGAATTGTCTTCACTTCTGGCACACCACTACCATACGCGTGGTACATTGTTTTGAAGGTTTTCTTATCCATTTTTTTGGCAAGCGGGTTCACGTATTTTGTAGTTAGTGTCACTTTTCCAGCAATCAAAGCCAAAAGCAAGCTTAAAACTGCATAGACAAAAAAATCAGCACGTACAGAACCTCCATGAAATGACTGGAACACTTGGGGCCATAAGGTCCATTTAGCGCAAGTGTAACCACTACAGCATTGCTGCTCATTCAGCAAAAAATTGGGTTTGCAGTAGCCTCTTTTCAAATCCACTAGAAGCTCCTCGGCTTTGTCAATCACAAATGCGAGTAGAGAGCAAGCTAAAGCTATCACTATGATCAGCACCCAGTCTTGTAAAGCGCTGTAGCACCTTCTGACCTTTCCCGAAAGTCCTTTTAGTCTATAAAGGTTTTCTCGCTGCTGAACGTCGAACAGATAGTCCTTGACCCAGTCTACGCTTGTGAAATCGTCATAATAATTCCGTTCTGGCAATAATGCTGGCTGGCCCTCAGCGGTCAAGACGTCCCGCCCGGGCGTGTTCCAAACATGGTTCATACCAGGAGCTTTACGTCCCTCAGTACTCGAGATACCTTGCATAGTGCTGCCATAGTTCAAAGAAGAATCTGTTACAGCGGGAAAGCCAAAATAGTCATGCGATGTTGTCCGTCTGATGGGAGAGCGAATGTTGACTTCCTCTCCAATCTCACGCAAAGTCTTATTGTCCTTTGACATCAGTTTGTATGAGTTAGAAGATAGTTGGCTCCGATTTACGTCTAACAAACCCTCGAGACGCTCGCTAAATGGATTTGTATCAGCACGAAATTTAGCTGCTCTTGCATTGTTAGTTGATTTATCTGTTTTAGTCAACAGCGCGGCAGACTTGTCATCCTGAGTCTTTGCTAGCAATTTCGGCATGCGTGGCAGTGTTTTGGACACAACCTGAAATCTGTTGATATGATATATCTCAGGATTTGAATTTTTGTGAAGGATGAGAGATGTTCCATTTATTTATTATTGATCAGAACCATAACCATTAATATGTGTAAACAAAAAAAGGCTAAAAGTGCTCTACGCTGTAAGAGTCATCTCAATTTTCAAACGCTTAGACGTTTTGCCGTACAAGTAAAGCGAACATAGACTCTATCGAGACCAGGACGCTTGAAATTCCAGCAAATAAATAAGCTGCGAATTATCGACCCCGTAAAATTATATAGATCGCACCTGCATAATTAGAACAGTGTCATGCTCTTGGAATATCATTGAATAAATATCACTACCCCCAGATCTTTCGAGAACCAATATTCAAAATTCTGCCTGTCTAATATGAGTCTCGTTACTTGAATGCGAACGCAGGACGCAGGGTCGTGATTTGGCCATGTAGAGTTCGAAATCGAAAAAGAGTAAACGGCCATTTAGAGAACTGCAGATCCCAATGACATATTTATCTCGCGACATTATAAACATCAGTTTACTTAGAGTTTCATAGCGTTGAGCTCAATGACTCGTAAGATTACACTTCTATTATACATGCCTAAAACAATTTAACACCGTAATTCCGTTTAATATCAATATCGTAAGGTGGCTGCATCCTAACCGGATGCAACACACACGCTCAACCAGTAAGCGCAATCAAAGCACTTTCTGGGTACTTTGTGGTAGACAGTCAAATTTACCAGCGAATAGACAAGACCTTGCTCATCAGTTCGTGAAGCAACGGCCTCTCTCCAATTCCTCGATAACAGACTCGATGACTTCGTCTTCGTCATCTTCTTCCATCATCTCAACAGCACCGTATTTTATCATGTCCCATCTTCTCCAAAACCTAGCACACTCTTCATAGGCAGTGGAACCGTGTAAACCTTCTAGATCGTTTTTGGCTCTACAAAGCCTATCCTTCAACGACTGCAACCGCAAAGAATCTGGGAGTTTCGAGATTTTCCGGGAAGCGCAGTCTGTTTCGTATTCAGTAGGGTTTGTGACCTCAGATTTATATCCGCCCGTTTCGTCACTGTCTTCGTCGGAGTAGGCCATGCCGTTCTTATTGTTAACAGACGTGAAAGAAAGAGTGCGTTTGTAGCGCGGAGAACCTGGGTTTGAATAGCGAGCGGCACTGGAATCGTCTCTAAAAGGGGTCGGAGACTCTGAGGCGCAGACCTGAGACTTGCACATACTCTCGTAAACCTTAGCTTCCGCTGTTGAAGTTTCGTTGCAAAAACGGGCCCAGACTTCGTCTATGGACTGCAGTAGATAGTCAAAACATCTTTCTTGGGCTACTGAGTCCGAGTATGGGATAATCTGTTTACGACCAATGGATGAGAACGACGCATGTCGTGAAAGAGACTTGCGCTTTTCAAGGGCATAGCCTGTATCGATAACGTGCGGGGTGTTTCCAGAAGGTGCGTCAGAACTTCCTGTGATCTGGTGGGAGTTTTCACGGGCATTTTCAGATTCGACGTGCAGGCTCTCGAGCTTCTGGTTGTTATCGAAGTCGTTGTCGGTGTCAGAATACCGAGCTACCGCTTCCAGAAGAATGGGGTCTACACGAGGCGAAGATTGGAAATGTACGGCTGGTTTTTTGGAAAAACTCATATGGCAAGAGGACGAAGGCGGGATATCCGAGTCGTCGCTCGAGGTTGCCGAGAACTTCCGGTTGGTTCCGCTTTTAGCTAGAAGCATGGACGTCCGAGGCACGTGAGACAAGCCGCGAGACGCCAGAGGCGGCGACGAGGGCAGCACATTGAGAGCTCTGCGTTTGAGAGGCAGCGGCTCGGAAGCAGGCGCTACCGCGGGACGCGAGCGTTTGCTGTGAAACTCCATGTCCATGTGTAAAAAGGGTGGATAATTTTCCGCTGCTGGTTTGAACTGCGCAGTTAAGGCGTCAAACACAGAGGGAAAGAGTGGGAGGGAGACGGTACTTGATGCTGTTTAGTGCAGACACAAAGCTTGCTTGGGATCCTCCTCTTCGACAAGAACGAAATGTTGTGGTGTTTAGCCGCCGAGCTTCTCACACACAAGAAATAGAGTGAACTGAAAAAAAAGGGGGAAAAAAAAGGAACTTTACCGTGGTGGCAGGGTAAGGAACAGACAACACACTCTCGTAGAAAGAGATGTCGGCGTTAGCTGTCGCGGGAATGGGAAGTGCCTTTCGTCAAGGGTGATAAAACGAGAGGTATTTTTTCGCCCAAACAACAAGCAAGAAAAAAGTGATATGGAGAGAAGTGATGAGCAGGTTGTTGAAAGACAAAATCTACAAATATGTTTTTTTTCGCAACAAGAATGACCGCAAAATCCGGCCATATGATTGGACAGGGGTCACGTTTACGAACGGGTAACAGAGGGTCCCGCCACGGGCCTCGGTGGCAAATTACTGTTGAGGACACAGCACGGCCTGAAACAAGTGGCGAACAAAGACAGAAAACATCGTCAAGGGCGCCTTCTACGAGAGCTATATACTAGATATGGGTACGACAGGAAAGGGCGCGAGCAGACGAACAGAATGAGCCCGGTAAAGTCTCTGTTGGACGGGGGTTTGGTGCGGCAAAATCCGGTTAAACGCTTTTCCGTGGCCCGGAACAACCTCGGAAACAACAAAACCCGGCAGATATGATCACATGACCAAGATAAATCACGTGGATTCTGACGGGAGACCGGGGCCGAGGTCGGGACAGGTCACGTTGGGTTTTTTTCCTTTAGGCTATATGTGAGATGTGTGTGGGTATTCTCAGTTCAGCGCGGGCGCGGAGCGACACGGAGAGCAGAAGGTGAAGTCCATAAGCTGGTTGGTGGGCAGGAAAACAGTTCACACCTTCAAACACACACATGTGAGGGGCATTTCAATCTTGCCCTTGGGAGACCTTCAAGATAGACCCCCAAAGCGTTCCCGTCACAAGTAGCCGTGAAATACCAACACATGTAGGGCATCCGTAGCGCAGAGAATGCCGATGCAAAGCTGTCCATTTCACACATGCTCATACACACGAACACAAATCTGCTCTGCTCACAGACCGTAGTGTGTTTGCCAACTCTCAGCGCTCAACGGCAACGCCACTGGTCCATGAATCCTCACTCGATGTTACAAACCAATTCGCCTCATCGCCCGTCTAATTCATCCACAGGACGCAACAAAAGCACGGCTACCTCGTCGACACACCAGAAAAAGCCCTTTTGCATCGCTTTGGGCCTCTCAAACTCGGTTTCACCCTCAGTCTGTCTCACTTACTTCGTTAAAGAGGTAGATGCACAAGTAAGGATTTTTCGTCTCACCTGTTTTCTTTGTAAAAGCGTGAAAGTAGCAGGTCCACTATGGAAGAGTAGTCACTGTGGACGAGAGAGAGACACACATTAGAGTGAGAGAGATCTTGATATATAATTGTAGATTGTCGTCGTGCTATACTGGCCTATGACTATCCAAGTGAAGTTGTAAATATAAAGACGCTTATCGAGTGAAGGAATTGTAAATGCTTTTGAAAAGCCAGCCTGTGCGGACCTGTGCTCGTGTTTTTTTAGAATGAAATCAAAATGAGTCGAACCACTGACGAAAAACTCGTAGAACTGAGACAACTGTTCCCGGACTACGACTCAGCTGGTCTTTTGGACGTGCTGGTTAGCTGCGATGGGTCGCTCAAACGAACAAAATTGTTACTCGGTGCCACGAGTGAAGGAGAACCCGAACCTCGCACAAAGCGTTTCAAGTCGCAACAGACCCTCTCCAGGTTCGTGAAAGACACTCGCGTCGCTGCAACAACGGTTATGTCTCGTTCTTCCAAGCCCATCGCACTCCACACGAAAGTCGAAATAGAGACTGCTTTGAAGTACTGTACCTACCACACCAACGTGCTGCCCGAGGATCTCGCGGAAAGACTGCTGCAAGTGACGCTTAACGACCCGCACTACAAGGCAACCGAGTTTTGGCTCTTCGGGAAAAAATGCACCTCCAATCACCTGTCGCGGATCTTTTTGCCCACAACCCGTCCTGATGCCTTATACTACAACGGGAAACAGGTGACAGACTACGGCGTGTACTGCGATGAAATGATGGTGACCCAGGTTCTCATCGAAGACATCGTCAACGAGGCGCTTTCGCAAAGGGTTCGGCTCCCGTTCCAAACAAAATCCGACCGGTGGCAGGCACAGGCGGCACTTTCCAACAAGTACGAACGAGACAGCAACCTCGATTGGCATTCGGACCGTTTGACCAATATCGGTCCACATCCAATCATCGCGTCTTTGTCACTAGGATTTTCCCGTGAGTTCAGAGTCCGTAAGACTTACCCTTCAGACTCTCAGATCTACTCCATAAAACCACAGCACAACTCGCTGCTGATCATGCACGCCGGCTTCCAGGAAGAATACAAACATTGCGTTCCGCTATTGCCCACAAGGTCAAGAATCTCAACCGAAGATTTACACCCGACTGCTGGCGCTAGAAGAATAAATATTACCTACCGGAATTATCTCATCAAAGATGCAATTTTTTGCAAGCTTTGTGGTGCTCCGATGGACTTGCGTCGAATGTTCAAAGACCCTGAGAAGAGAGGTAAGTATTTTTATCAGTGTTCCAAAAGCTACACAGAGCAAAATGGCTTCAATGAGGGAAATGAGTGCAAAGGGTTCTCCTATGCCAACTTCGATAATGACCCTCCTCTTACTGATAACGAGGACCACTGTTCGTCTTGGCTTGACGAAGACGACATAGAGCCACGAGCACATTCTGGTACGGTACGTCAGGCGGAGGCATAGTTCAAAACATCACGTGACTATAAAGCTGATTAGAAGATCGAGTTATATCAAGAGCTGTTTGAAAACCCTGTTATAAGCTCCAACGTCGAAACGGTGATCGCCAATGAAGACAGAGGAGGTAGATCCCAATGTCTTGTCTCATATTTTCAAAACGAGCAAGATTTTTGACACAGTCGACGCCTTCGGACCTACCAAAACCGACCACAATGCGGAGAGCATAGCCATTTCCGGGTTGGAGTCCTTCACAGGACTATTCGATGACATACATCTATTAAAGAGCTTCGGGATCATAGGGGAGCAGAATGTGATATATAAAAAGATTAACAAGGGAGGGTTGTGCTCCAAGGTTTGGCTGGTATCCTTGGTTTTATCATCCCGAAAAAACCTTAGTGAGATCTTTCAACTGGCAGTGTCTAGGTCTAAGCTCAGAAAAGAGGAGATCCATTTTGCGAAATGCGCTCCTAACTCGGTAAGAAAAGTTCTGGGCGAAAAAATCTCACTAAAAATCCAAGAAATAGACAGGAGACTACGACTGGCGGTGCTGGAGTTGCTGCAGAATTTCGCCTACCTAATTTTGGCGGCTGTGGATGTTTTCAAAATTCGCATTGGCGAGAAGTGGAAACGGTTACTGGAAAGAATTTCGGGTCTTTTTACGATTTTGAAGTTCTTATTTTCGAGTGTGTTCCCATCCTAAGCGAAAGATTTGAGCTTCTTTCTAGCGAACGGTCTTCACATAAGTACTCTGAAGATGAAGGCTCAGACACGACAATCTCGAGAAGACTCGAATGTCGTGAGCGCCGTCGTGGGCGCGATCTTTGACCTTGCGTAACAAAAGCAAGCCCTACATCAAAACACGCAAGGTTTACGTGCGCAATCTGAAATCCTATCGGCAAAAAAGGGCATAATCGGCAAAATTCATCCTCTTTGCACCTTACCTTATACTCGTTTGGCTCAAGAAGTACAAGCCATCAAACTGTCACATACCTGATTACCTAGGAATTTTCGTTAGGATCTCGTGCTTCCCGTGCCACGAGATCAATGACGGATTGAGGTCAATGTTGTCTGTATATAAAATCTTGAGAGCTTCGCAAAGAAAGTTTATGAGATATAGACAACTGACCCTCAGATTATATCGAAAAGTAGCTGAACATACCCTTACAACGTCCTAGCCAAGGCCGATGTAAGCTTGCCGACTTTACCTTTATGGCCAATCAATGTCACTATAACTTTTAGTTACCCGGTAATTGAATATAATAAGTATATGGGAAAATTTTGGCCCTGACATAACTAACTGGATTAAGACGAATCGGAAGTGTCAGCCTGGCGAAAGCATCTACGATAGACACATCATCTTATAATGTCCGAGCAACTTAAGGTATCGCCAGCGAGCAGATCGCTTCTCAACGACAAGTGGGATGTTGTCCTATCCAACTTGGTGGTTAAATCCGGCCTAGGTTTGGGTGCCGGTGTTGTGGCATCTGTACTCTTTTTCAAACGTCGTGCATTTCCAGTGTGGATAGGCATTGGTTTCGGGCTTGGCAGGGGCTACGCCGAGGGTGATGCCATTTTCCGTTCTTCTGCTGGTTTGAGAACTGTGAAAGCTTAGACATTTCCTAGTCACGAAGTGCTATAAGTTACACTATGAGCTCCCAACAAATAATCCATATACATTCTTTAACGTATCTACAAAAATGTAACATACTATATCAGCCATGTCTAAACATTCATCACGACTGCACTGTGTGCTCATGTCCAACCTTTGTACTGCTGTACACCCATCTCGGAGGACAGTTTGACGCGACAAGTTATGATGACACCCCATAGCCTCGCCCTGAGCATTTATCGACGGGCTGGTCAATGGGCAGCGATCTCAGTACCTGAGTCGAAATGTTTCCTTGCTAAACTGAAAAACATATAACCGCATTTCGCACGTCACTGCGTACTTTTAAAACCCATCTCACAGCGAAAAGCCGGCGATCTGTTCCAGCTGTCGCAGCATATGGCTATCGGTGTTTTTCTTCTGTGTTTGTATAATTTCCTGTGTTTCCCTGTCCTTCTTTTGATCCTTCAGTAGACTCTTGACCTTTAGAGCCTCCGGGCTCGATTTGAGTTTCTTCTTCGACTCTCTCTCATTAAGATCCGATATTAAAAACGATTCGTTGTTGGCTTGCTCGATTTTCAGCTTGGTTCTGATTCTTTGCTGCTTTTTTATCCCACCACTCGAACTGCCTTTGGGGTTCTGCTTACCGCTCTTTTTACCTGACGACTTGCCTGCCATACCTTTTTATAGCTCCTCAAAGTGCGATACGGGTACTTGACGTTCAACAGACTCTGCTGGCTTCAGATCATACATGCGATGACTTGTGTGGTCTACACAAATAATCAAATCAAATTTCGATTAAAGTTCTTGACGCTCGACCAAAACGAAGAGTTTGAGAATTACGCTTTTTCGAACTTAATAAAGTATAAAATGAAATAAAATCATAAAATAAAATAAAATAAAAATAATTGATTGGGTCATGTGATCAATAACCGCGAGGAAAATTTTCTAGCTTTAGCTACATCTCATCTCATCTCATCTCATCTCATCTTATCTCATCTCATCACATTGGCTTCAAAGGTTTGTTGTCGGTAAAGATCGGTCGTTGCATCACTATAGTGCTATCATCGATTAGCGAGCCACTCTTCTAGCGACTCATCCAGCAGGCATCAAAGCCCAGAAACTCTCATACTTCAGACTACAAAATGCCATCGACTCACAACAAAGATAAACCATGGGACACACCCGATATTGACAAGTGGAAGATCGAGGAGTTTCTTCCCGAGGATAACGCTTCCGGATTGCCGTTCTCAGAAGAATCGAGTTTCATGACTCTATTTCCAAAATACAGAGAAGTGTACCTAAGGTCAGTATGGAACGACGTTACTAGGGCACTGGACAAATTCCACGTATCATGTGTTTTGGACCTTGTCGAAGGGTCCATGACAGTGAAGACCACAAGAAAGACTTACGACCCAGCCATCATACTTAAAGCCAGAGATCTGATAAAACTTCTCGCGCGTTCCGTGCCGTTCCCTCAAGCTGTTAAGATTTTGCAAGATGACATGGCTTGTGATGTGATCAAAATCGGCAATTTCGTCAGCAACAAAGAGCGTTTTGTTAAGAGAAGACAGCGTCTTGTCGGGCCCAACGGTAACACATTGAAAGCCCTCGAGCTTCTAACAAAGTGCTACGTTCTTGTACAGGGCAATACGGTCAGCGCCATGGGACCTTTCAAGGGACTGAAGGAAGTTCGCCGTGTTGTGGAGGACTGTATGAGGAACGTTCATCCAATTTATCACATCAAAGAACTCATGATCAAGAGGGAGCTCGCAAAAAGACCCGACTTGGCTGAAGAAGACTGGTCGCGCTTTCTGCCCATGTTCAAGAAGAGAAACGTTGCTCGTAAGAAGCCCAAGAACATCAAAGTCAAGGAAACTAAAGTTTACACTCCATTCCCACCTGCACAACTACCTAGAAAGGTTGATCTGCAGATTGAGAGCGGTGAATATTTCTTGAGTAAGAAAGAGAAGGAAGCGAAAAAGCTTGATGAGCGCAAGAAGGAACAGGCCCAGCAGCAAGTGGAGAAGGAAAAAGAGAGGGCCAAGGACTATGTTGCCCCAGCAGAAAAAGAATACCAAGGCTCGCTCAAAAAAAGAAGTAGGAATGGTGCAGACTCGTTAGGAAAGTCGCATAAGAAATCGAAGGCTTAATCGGGTATAGGATAGACACTATAAATCATTACTACATAGCAATTACCACAGCATCCTTTCATGCCTTTTTGAAAGTCACAAATGAACTCAGCTGTTGCTTCGTATGTCGTCATATCTTCGAAAATATGTCGACACCAAATTCGATTTTTAAAAAGACAAATAGCTTTACGCGTACTCTTCACACGCAAGCAGCTCTAAACGTCTGAACTCAACGAACACGACGACATGGACTTGATCGATCAGTTGAGTGTGAAAAAGCCACTCACCACAGGCTTGGCGAAGAGGTTAGAAAGTTTTGAACAAGAGGATAGCTTCACAGTCGCAGGAAGAGGGTTTCTCTTCGACAACAACTCCGTGTTCAAGCAAGTCAGGGAGAGACTTTACAGAACCGAGGAAAGCGATGATGAAGTCAACGGTGATATTTCCCACGATGTTCAAAAAGATCATATCTCACTCACACAAAAAGTTTTGCCTGCTTACGATGGTGAGGACTTAGAACAAGACTTTTCTCAACAACACAAACCGAGAGGGTCCGTTTTGAACAGCGGCTCTCGAAGTGCTCTAGATCATCGATCTTTTAAACAAAATGCGGTAGAACTCGATCACCGCGGGAGCGACTTTACTCAGATTGTAGAAGATCAACCAGATCCTACTACCGCAGAAAGCAGCAATCAAGAACTTGAAACACAGATTTTGCCAGCAGACCTGGGAGCAGACTTTGGCAGCAACGATTTGGAATCTACAGAACGGGATTTAGAGCAGAACATTCCCGGCACAATTATCGATGAAGTTAGTCTTCGAGCCACCGTTAAAGACATCGACACATCGTCGACTAAATGTGACCCAGTAATGCAGATCGAGACAGAGCAGCAGGATCGTACGTTCGATTATGTTGACAGGAGCCTTTCTCATAAATCTGCGAATGAAGAACAAATACCACCTTCCGCCAAGCGCTTTAGCGCTCGAGCATTTGTGGATGCCTTCGATGACGTTTCTGACAGTGACGAGGAAAATACTAACTTCGATAGTGATTCAAAAACAAAGACATCTCGAAGTGTAGATGTATCAATTGAGAAAGCCAATACATCAAATACGTCAAAAGAAACAACTGAAACTTACTCAAGCAAAGCTCCAGAGCTGAGCTCTTTAAAGCTCTACCAGGGCTCTTTGCGACATAAGCTTCAGGACGAAAACGTTATTGCACTGTCTTCAAGCTCTGACGACGATGATCAGACCGAGTCCAACTTGATGATCTCGAAAGCCGCTATTCTTGATTTAAAGGCCCGTCTATCCAAGAAAAGAGGGAAGTTTAAGACTGCAGGAAACAAAGGCACTTCAGCCTCCACTTCACTAAGAAATCTGTTCAACACGTTACGGAAGGCAAACAAAGAGCAGATTATGGAATACAAAAAGGGCAAAATTGGCTTAAACGGCGTTGATCTTGCCACGGTAGCTAGCGAGAAAGAATCCGTCGAGGCCCTGCTGGAAAGGGAACTGGCGAGAAATAAAAGAATTAAACTGCGCGAAATGCAGCGGCAGAAAGAGGATGGTACTGTAAATGACAGCGACGGCGATTTTTCTAGCGACCTGAACTTCAGCAATGATGAGTTTGATAGCGACATATCTGATCAGGATGAAAATGATCTTCACTCTCAAGAAATCAGTGTTGATAATGATGCAACCGGCGCTGAGGATCTGGCCGCTGATCAGAGCGCCCTGAGAAGTGAGATAAACTCTGATAATGGATTCAACTCAAGCCTAAGAGAGCATTTGCCTGCATTCAACGGTACAGGGAAGCCAGCGTTCCCAGAGACCAACAACGAAGAGCTTTCTGAGAGAGAAGTTGACACACAAGCTGACGAAGAGGGCATAGAAGGACAACAGGATCAAGAAAGAGAAGACGAAGAAGGAGAAGATTTACAACTAAGAAAAGTTAGGAGGCGTCAATTAAGACTTGCCGAGTCAGACGATGAAACTCCCCAAAATCAGCAGAAAGAGAAAATCATTGATCTAGGCGCTTACGGCAACAACATTCCGAACACCATCACAGACATGAGGTCTGAAGCTAAAGAAAATCTTACACACGAAAAGCATACTATCTTACCAAATGCTATAGACACCAGTAACCATTCGGGCACGGACATAAGCAGAGCAAAGGATGTCGAGGACGCTGAAGCTTTGAGAGCAATGATTCAAAGAATAATGGAAAAGCGCCAGAAAAGAGAAGCGAGGCGTGAGATGCATATACGGGAGCTTAGACGCAGCAAGGCGAATCAAATGATGGATATAGAAGCCGAAGAGTCCGAGGATGAATGGTTTGGAGTCGGCGGCGCGGACGGGGAAGGGTCAGACGAGGTCGACTCGGAACTCGAAGCCATGATTGATGATTTTTCCAACTCCAACTCGAACTATGACGAGATTCGCAAGAGACTTATCGAAGACGACATAAGCAAAGATAAGGACATGGTGAACAGAATTTTACACGATATCAAGACAGGTGGACTTCGAAAACGCGGTCGAGGAGCGCTTGACTTGGAGTTGAGTGACGGAGAGGATGAGGAGCTACTAAAATATCACGCTAGAAGGAAAGAAATCATGCGGCAAAAGTTGACTTCCGCGACGCCGAACGGAGAAATCACTATTACCTCCAAGTCTAAGGCTTTCTTCGAAAGTGCCGCTGAGGAATTCGGTGGTAATATCAATTTTCTGGATGAGGAGATACCAGAAGAAACGAGAGCACCACGAATGGAAATACCCTCTTATCGGAGCGTTTCAAGGGTCTCGACAGAGAAAAAAGTCCTCTCTGAGGAGTTTGTTCAACAGACTCTTTCTTTCTTGACATCTCGAGACGAGGAAGATACTTCCTCAGAAAAAGCGGTGGCTTCAAGCTCTCGTTCAAAAAATGACGACTTTTCTCAAGAGCTGGAAAACTTACACACTTTGAAGCAAAGAAGCAGCATAAAACTATTCTCCAATACTCCTCGGCGTTCGAATTTTGCGGGCGATGACGACTTGGAAGATGCTCTAACCGGAAATAAGTCCAATTCAATATTTAACAAATTCAAACATCACAAAGAAGCGAGTGACATGTTCAAGGAAGGTCAAAAAACTGTCAAGTCCAAAACGTTGTACAAAGTTGCAGGCTCCTCAAAGGCATCAATAACCTACCTTGGAAAATCCAGAAAGCTCAAGACCAAAAAGAAGACTGCAAAATTGAATACTGGGATGAGCAGGAGAAGAGATCCAGCAGATTCAATGCTTCGCGCTAGCAGTACAAATAACTTCGAAACCTGACTCATGTATTTAACGCAGAGTACTAAAAATTTAAATATCCAAATTAGTGTTTAAAGCCTCCCGTAGAGCATCATGAGATACCCTGAAATGTAATTCTGCGTGACGCGGTGGAGTGATAAATCTCGAACCGCTTGGTCCGTGAACTAGTATACTCCCGGCTGACTGTGATGGCCGGGTGCTCTTCACAGGCTTGCGCGGTTGGCCAATGAGCTTTGTAGCTGAAGATTCAATACGATTTTCTAGTCCCGTCTCCGAAGTGACCAGCACTTGATGATTGAAAACTTTGAGTGAATGAAGAAATCCGCTAGTATTGTTGTCGTCAAACCAACTTTTAGCCTTCTTCGCTTTCGTGCCAGGCAGGGCGTATCTTGCTAACAGCTCCCGCGAGCCTTTTGTATCCGAATGGGTCACTTGAGCACGAATTTCTGGCATATAACCAATTGGACTGGCACCACATTGTGCCATGGTCGGTCTAGGTGGGTGAAAGTGAGAGAAACTCGGACCTGAAATCTCGAAAGTTTTCGTCTTGGTATGAGGATTTACCAGACACGTTTTCTTGAGCATCATATTTCGCAGGGCATTGGAATCAGAAGTTGCAAAGAGGCTGTCAAGGTATAAAGGAGAGGCAGCTGGACTAGGCGATATGACAGTCTCCTCATCTGATGAGTATTCTTCATCCTCGAAGAACGATATCGAAAGCCGCTGTCTATCTCTGAAGAAGCTTAGTCTGTTTTCATGAGGGTTAGTTTGCTTGTTCAGTCCTGTATCGCAGGATTTAGCACCACGCAGAGCCCGCGTTTCTGGTTGGTCGGGCGTCGGCCGACTGGGGCTGGTATAACACGATCTTGGCAATAAAGCATTCTGGTGAGATCGAGAGGGGGAATTCAAAATGCTGCTATGACTCGAAAGGCGTTTTTCTTTACAGGGCGATGCACACCTCGCCGAGAGTCTCGTGGGCGATTGGTCGTATTGCTCGGAGTTTCGCTGGATAATCTTTAGTGGTCGAGGTTCAAAAGAGATAGTTGATCCCGGCGACAGTTCGAGGTCTGCAGTAGGACTAACGTGCTCATCCAAGCTCGACGATATTCGCTCGAAGTCCGATATAACGCTGTGCACAGCAGAAGTGCTGACCACCTCATCTGGACAGTTGATCAGGTCCGAAGTTCTACAATAAAGAGCGTTGAGCTGACCTAAGTACGTGTAGTACTTTTGAATGCTGTTTTGAGACTCACCTGTGCGTTTCTTGTCCATTTTTTTACATTCATAAAGTCTTCGCTGGGTGTTTATGCAATCATCCAAACGCTTCAGCGTTTCCTGGGTTCGTACCAGCAAAAGCTGGCTGATTTGACTCAGCTCTTCCATGTTGCTTAACGGACTCCAAGAAACCAATTCTATTGGTCCTTCTTTGTTTGTTGCTCAACTCACAATGTATCAAAAAAACGTTGACTTCGCGGAAAATGATGTGTTTGTTTTTTTTTTAAAGTCCAGGTATATGATTTTCAATATCCACTTTTGATCTTTTAGAACAGAGCTCAAGAAAATTATTTCCGATGGTAAACACACAAACTTCAAATAAACAAAGCTGCCGCTGAGGCCAAAGAAAAACATAGGAGAGAATTGAAAGATACTGATTACATAATCGAGTTACGGTCACATGACCCTAACTAGGGTGGAACTACATCTCCTCTACCGTTTCAATGAAGAGCGGAGATATTTCTCCGCAAGAAACCAGAAAAGAGAGGACTCATTTACCACACGTGCGGCGATGCATATCCGCCGAAGTGTATACCAAATACGTAAGATGGGTCAGCGGACAAACTTATCCGCTCTTGTGGATTGAAAGGGACATATTAGCGAAATTTTGAGTAGTATTTAAAAGACATATAGCGCTGACATTCACCTTGAAGTCACTGCTAGCCTTTTGCGACCAAAATGAAAATGGCTCCAGCATTTGTGAAAACGCCACTTCTAGAACACACCTTCAATTGCGCGGTAAACAGCTTTTGTCATTCGACACCACGATTTTTTTTAAAATATGAGTTTCTACAGCCGAGCGGAAGTTTCAAAAGCCGGGGAATAGGAAACCTCATTTTTAAGCAAGCCAAGCTCATCAAAGCACAGGGTCAAAAAATTCCTTACGTTTTTGCCAGTTCTGGCGGCAATGCGGGATTGGCAGCGGCGACAGCATGTAAAATGCTTTCCATTCCTTGCAGTGTTGTGGTGCCAAACACCACAAATCCACGCATGGTTGAGAAAATAAGAAGATTTGGTGCCAAAATCGAAATGTACGGCAAGCACTGGAAAGAAGCCGATGCCCACCTTAGGGAAAATGTGATGACAAAGATGGATACTTCAGTATATGAGAGTATTTACGCCCATCCTTTTGACCACCCACTTATTTGGGAAGGTCATGCTACCATGGTAGATGAGATCTTTGCCACTTTGAAAGAAAAGCAGGTGTCACCCGAGAAGGTTAAGGCCATTGTTTGCAGCATTGGAGGCGGTGGTTTATACAACGGAATTATTGAGGGACTAAAAAAATTAAATCTCGAGAAAAGAATACCCATAGTGGGTGTTGAGACCAACGGCTGTCAGGTGCTGAGCCATTCTCTTAAATCGGGTGTGCAGTTGGAGTTCGAAAACATTACCTCAATCGCCACTTCTATTGGAACGAATTCGATATCTAAAAAGACCTACGACAACGCCACTCAATACTTTATCAGGTCCGTTGTTTTAAGTGATGCAGAAGTCATCGAAAGCTGCCTCAGATTTGCTGACGACACCAATATTATCACTGAACCTGCATGCGGAGCAGCACTGCATCTCGCTTACAGACATGATATTTTGAGCAAAGCACTGCAGGCCCCATTTTCATCCGATGACGTGGTTATTATAATTGGGTGCGGAGGCTCCGCAACTTCATACGATGATATCAAGAGCCATTGGGCACGTATGTCAACAGACTTGAATGTTTTATAAAATTGTTATGTAATAGACGATCGTCGGTAAAAAATGACACCTGATAAGATTAATTAATTTGTTAATCAATTGATGTGTCATTCAAGAAAATTTGACGAGATCATAAGATTTAGGACCAAAACTTTTATGTTTTTTTCGCCAGCAGTGACATTTAGGAACTGAGAAAACTGAATCAAAGGAACACAGAGAGGTTGTTAATCTCACCCAGGTAGGACGTCGCTATCTTGCTTGAGACAGCAGTTCTGAACGAGTTGTGTCATAAAGGAGATGAAGCTACGTCCGACCTAAGTGAATTAAGATAGAAAGATGAGTCTCTGCTAAAATACAAACTTGGGATCTGGAAAATTGGCAATGGCATGGAAAAAAAACATGACGGCGTCAGCGTTTTTCCAGCGTCACAAAATAAAAATAAATAAAAATAATTGAAAATATAAGGAAATGAGACAGAATTGTCACAGTTCAAACGTCTTGGCGGAGCGGAGGGCGAAGGTTTGTATAGGTTTCTTCTTCCTGACCCTACCTGTAGCCTCCTTGAGAGAGAATCTGCCACAGAAGGCCTTGTACGTTTTCTTGCTCTCCATCGCTGTAGTGTCTGCCCCATTGGTCAGCGTTTCGTAACTGTAGGTTGATGGTATAACGAGAAAGACACCCTCAACTGCCGAAATCTAAACTTGAAGGAGATGGAAAACACCTTGAGATATCCGTAGTATCATAGAGCATTATCTGGGGATTTGCAAAGGATATGCTCCACGGACTCCAGCGTCGACCGAGTTAACAGATCTCAAAATATGCAACGGTGGTTGAGAAGAAGTAAAGCAGACAAGAAAAAAAGGATCTTTTGCGAGGAAAATGATATGCATAGGAATTAGTTATGTAAAATCACATTATGAAAAGCAAAGCTAACATCAATCGAGAAGAGGCAAGAGGGCAGGTTCAATGCTAATTCTCCTACATTTCCTTCTGCGATTTGCCATCCAGTTCTGAACCTGTTTCAAGGTGAGGCCAGTTTTTTCGCAGATCCTATGAGCCTCGGAACTGCTGAGGTAAGGAGATGCTGAATTGGAAACAAACCACTCTTCCAAGTATATCTTGGAGCAATGCGAGAAATGGCCCTCCCTTATCCTAAACTCGGGAAATGAACGGGGTTCAAGTAGTCTAAGATTGAGGGATAATGACTCTGCTAAGGAACCAATCTCATTCACAATCCTCACTTCATTAGCACTCAGTGTCTTCCCACTTATTTTAAGAAGAGACTGATATTGTTAGTATAAATCATACTTTAACAGATTACTAAAATGACATACAAGCAAAGAACATTGCAGAAGAAGATGAAGCTCCTGCAAATCAGAGTGTTTTGTTAATTCAGACAAAGCTTTCAAAAGAACGGTTCTCTCAGCTTTTAAACTTCGAGAGGTTAATAGATGTCAGTAAATTAAGTAAAATATAATTCATACATCTCAAGAGAAGGTATAAACTCTGAAGAATTCAAAAGGAAGCTAATAGGAACTGCAGTCATCGTCGGCAAGGAACTCAGCAATGCCCAAACAAGAAAAGTTATAGTTTAGATATGATGAAGAAGGGGTTTTTATAATCACTAAATTTTGCAACATCGTGAAGTGACGAGACTGCATTGCTGCAGAGTGAAGACATCTCTTGAGACTTTGATATCTATGTGAAACCAGTAAGTAAAAGAAATATACTGTGCCATATTCTACCGAAAAGCGTCTAGCCGAGGTTTCTATTTTGAGGTCACTAGACATTTGGATGAGATGCCAGGAATACGCTAATATAAATGACATCGGTTTATTATCAAGGTTATTAGCTGTTGCTAACCATCATAATGCAAACAATGAAATCTGCCAAACCTAGCTTCAAAGTAGCCCTCACTAATGACAAGAAGAAAGTATGCAAACCTAATAGACGGTTTCCAGCGAAAAACAGACCAAGTAAAAAAAAGGTATGCTTTGAACAAAACTTTGGAGTGAATCTTTACATGACATACACAAGGCCTGAAGTTATTCCAAGAACTCCTCAAATAATTCTGAATTTGGGTTCGTTAACACACAGCTCGAACATACAAATCAACAAAGCTAAATCTAAGATTCAATCCTCTGGACTTGATACTCCCATAGAAAAAGAACTTGCCAATGACACAATATTTAAATATGACAAAGAGAAGTCTCCGAAGAAAAGGCTAAACCCATTCATAGGCTTCCGCAGTTATTATGCCAGTTATGTCAAGGGTAAGATTAAGCAGCAAGACCTGTCAGTTCTTTTATCAAATTACTGGACATCGAATGGTCAGATCCATAAAACATGGGAGTTCTTTACTCAACACTATAACAAGAATAAGACTGACATGTGTTTTGTCGACTGGCTTGAAAAAAATTACAATTGCGAACACACGGAAAAGCCTGCTCACAAGCAGAGAGATGAGGAGCCATATATCGAAGACATCTTTTCTAACACTGAAGAATTGCTGAAAAGATATACGTCAAAAGAATTAATCGATATGACCAGACTACAAACTGAACACCAAGATTTCTTCAATAACTTCTTCCCTTTCGAAGACCAGCATAATTCAAATGGTTACATCAGTAGCTTAATAGAGAGTGATGACCTTGTGTACATATGAATCAATTTGATCAAAGCCATATAATTCTCAATTGTGTAACCCAGTATTGAAAATGGATACGAAAGACATACTTCTCACTTTGGAATCAATAAAAAAGGCCTGTGGGGCTTTATGCCGCCAAGAGCAAAGACGGACTCTCTTATCCAAGGACACTAGACTTTTTTTGGAATCAGTTTTTGAGAAAAAGAGATCTCCTAATTCAAGAGAACGTAAGGCAATTGCAGACAAATGCGGGCTGACCAGTGTTCAGGTGAGGGTTTGGTTTGGCAACAGGCGGGGGAGGGGGTGAGCAATGCCTAGTACCTCATCTCTCCCAATTTTTTCCTAGACTGTTCCAAAGCATTCTCCAATTGGACTATATGTGCCTGCAAGTCCAGTTCTGAGTTTGGCAGAGTTATCTCTGGAGGTTCCTGTCTCATAGCCTTTACGGCTGCATTCACAATTCGGCTATACTGCTCTAAGCGTGGTTGGGATGGTGGATTCTTTACTCTACATGCAGCCACCAGCTGTGCCGTGGATGCTAAAACCTGATTCGATGCAGCCGTAAAAATTTCATAAGAGTTGGCGGAAACCATTTGACGTGTTGCTTTGGCCACCTCCTCAGCGGCAGAAACCAGACCGCGACTCCATCTGTTTTGTTGGAGGTAGGGATCGGGGTTTTGAGTGGTGGCGATTTCAGCCTGGCATGCCGTTGAAGCTCTAATCAGATTGGTAATGGCCTTGACTGCATCATTCTGTGGTAGGTTAACTAAGGTTTGAATAGGTGACAGCTTGGTTTGCAATGCAATGTTGAGATCTATCACTTTGTCCGTTATCTCCTCAGGCGTTCCCCTCATATGCTTTAACGTATAAACATACTCTTGACCCTCCTCTCTACCTGACACTTCCTTACAGAAACTCATGATACTTGAGGTAATGGGCTGCAGGTCAGCTTGGCCGCCGTCAATGACGCCTGCGGCTTTTCTGAGCGGATATCCTTTATTCTCCTCTCCATTGTCTACATACTGCTACTGCTGCTAGTAGAAATAAGTTTATCGCGTATTTTGTTGATGTATTTCCTTAATAGCGTCAGTAGACAGAGAAGTGAAAAAACCCCGTACCGAGTGCTTTAGAAGACCTCCGCACCTAGCTTCGACAAGACTAATGTTTGTCGCTACACTAGGCTCGAGATTATCTACAGTAGATCATTAAGACTGACTAACTATTGATTGCATTTTTTATAGACGGAATGATTATCACACAAGCAGAGATTTACTATCTATTGGTGTCTTGGTATTTGGCTTGTTCACCAGTGTTCGGCGAGCTATGAATTAAGACTAGGTAATACGTACAAACACTCAATACTTGCTCCCCATATATGACCATTTGTGATGATAAATGAAATGCAGCTGGTAAAATAAGGCGGTTTTTCTAGAAAGCGGCTATATTCTGCTTTAAAAGCTAAGGCTTCAAGCTCTGCGTCATTATCAATGCCAAGCAAAATATAAAAGTTTCAGCACCAACAAAACCTGTTACTTGCCCACTACGCTTCTCGTCCGTTTGCATTTGCAGTTTTTCCTACTTTCATAGTTCAATTAGCGTCGCAGCATACACAGGAACTTTTGTTACGAGGCATCGAAGTCTCTGCCGTCATGATCTTCGAAGAGCGAAACTCGGAACTGAGGCTTTGTGAAGCTAAAGTAAGCGTGACGGGGCACAGCCTTGAGCTTACTCGAAGACTCGTTGAGCGACAAGTATTATTTTATTGAGCACCCAGCTAAGGCACGCGGAGCTATCCTGTATTTTGTGCTTAGATCTTATTCGTTCCAACAGAAATACTAGCTAGGGACAGCGTTAAGCAAGGATTCTTTCATCAAGCATTTACCACAGCTATTAAAATCTCACCAACCTAAAACTCGGTAGCTCACGTACTGATTCCATGAGCTTGAAACTCACGTCCCATCAAAGACAATCGGGGCCCAATTAGAAAGTCATTTCTTCAGTCTTTCAGTAGAATGGAGGAGAAATACAGCAAAGTCTAATTTCAAAACTTCAAAAACTCTTTGCTCGCATATACGTTAATCTTCCAAACCACTTTTCCCATGAGCTAATAAGAAATTTTACTGCAGAGATCATTCATAAATCTGGAGATGAGTCTCATTTTGGCGCAGGGAAACCTTTGCCATCTTCGTCGAGATGATCTAAGGCAGTCACCATAGGAAACTCATTCAGGTTAGCGTGGATTACTTCTTAAGTCGCTGATACTCTACAAGCAGCGTAACTATGCACTTCTGTAAATATATAACTTGGACTGTCGAAACTTGAAGTCAAGCATCCTTTTTGCTCATCTCTAAGGAATGTAATGGCCACTCCAATAGAAGCTGATGCATCTATGACTAAATCTCTCAATGGTTGACTGTAAAATGAGTCCCGGGATTCATCAGCAAGTCTGACGTCTAGTCTCCTCGTTTATTTGCTTGAAGATCGAAAGTGCAGGTCACTAAATGCACACTTATGAAGTGCATTTGAACCGAATGGGAGATTTGGAACTGGAGTTTTTGATATCAAGTCACGCGCCTTTTATTGCAACTCATCGGTATGCAGCACTGCTCCAATTGCATGAAGTTCTCATGATAGTGATATCCTGTTCTTTACCTTACGCGAAACTAACCACGAGTAAGAAATTTTGAAGAGCCTTCAGTGAAGATGAATCACGCCCAAAAAAAATGAGTTGATTAAGTGCAAGATGCCGCTTCTTAAACTGGTCCCTTAAGAGATGATTTTTGATTATAATCGGTCGACAGTGACATTTAGAGAGAGTGCCATATGATATATGCCCAACCTATGCGCAAAGAATCACCTATTTTCGTCAACCAAGGCAAGTGCAGGTTTGAAATTTCATGCCGCGTGGTATAGAGTCGCAGCGAAATTGATAGTTCAAGCAGTCTTTGACCGCCTACTCCGAGCTTCTTTTCACATAGAAAGCAACGCTCAAAGAGGACAGCAAGATTGTGGAAAAGCTAAGAGTCTTTCACCATCATGATAATGCTCGGATAGCTAGAAGGCAAACAGCTACTTCATTACCTTCGCATCTCGCGGCCCTAACTTGTTGTCACGATTCGAGCTTCACATGTTTGGCATCAACGATTATGATTATGATTCTGACTCGAAACGTTAATCTGCTTCCAAAAGTTCTCGAAAGCATTCAGAGCTTTTCACCATTTCGACATTATGACTGATCGGTATTCTTTATGTGTAAATGAATCACAGTTCTATCAAGGGCGGCATTAGGACTATTTCTTGACTACATGCACTTTTTTTTTTTTTTTTTGATAATTAACGAGAATTTTGCATGACTGACTCTCGGCAGATAAGTGAGATAGAGTTGGCAATTTATTCAAAACAATCTTCAAGTTCCATCTCAACCTTCACACTTCCGGTTTTAACTAGTTGTTTCCAACTCTTTGCATTGATTATTTTAAGTCGCGGTGGATTGCAGCTGCATTGGATGTCAATCAGCAAATCACTCCTTCAGTGAGCAATCTAAGTTTTCGTCGTTATTATGTCAGAAGAACTTACGATACCTCAGGTCGTTGACGACCTAACAGACAAACAAGATTTACGTCGAACGCTAAAAGATATTGCTGCTGGGATATCCGGAGGTGTTGCGCAAGTTTTGGTCGGACAGCCTTTCGATATTACTAAAGTTCGGTTGCAGACCTCCACAACACAGACCTCTGCCATCAAGGTAGTTCAGTCCTTGATTAAAAACGAGGGATTCAGAGGATTTTACAAGGGCACAGTTACACCACTGATAGGTGTTGGAGCTTGTGTTTCATGCCAGTTTGGGGTAAACGAGGCAATGAAGAGGTATTTCCACAGAAAGAATAATTACTCCACCACTACGCTAGCGCTTAAAGAGTATTATGCTTGTGGTTTCGTCAGCGGATGTGCCAATGGTTTTTTGACAGCTCCAATAGAGCATGTGCGAATACGCTTGCAGCTCCAGACCCATTCATTGACAACCGCCGAGTATTCAGGGGCAGTGGACTGCATCAAAAAGCTACTTGCATCGGGTAAAATTATGCGTGGCCTTACTCCAACTCTGCTGAGAACTTCTCACGGATTTGGCGTTTACTTTTCGACGTACGAGGCTCTCTTAGCAAGAGACGCCAAAAAGGGCGTTAAAAGGGTGGATATACCTTCCTGGAAGCTGTGTTCTTACGGTGCTCTTTCAGGGGCATTACTATGGATCATGGTATATCCTTTTGATGTTATCAAATCTGTCATGCAGTCGGATAGTTTGTATGCGCCCACTCGCGGGAAGAACGTTATTCAGGTTGCCAGGCATATTTACGCCGAAAGAGGACTGAAAGCGTTTTTCAAAGGTTTCGGTCCAACAATGCTAAGATCTTTGCCTGTAAATGGTGCTACATTCACAACTTTCGAGCTTGCTATGAGGTTGATGGGCTGAAATATATGAATTAGGCTTCAAATAAGAGATCGCGCAAATTATTTGTTTAACTGGCAGTTACTTTCCTAATCGCTCTGGTTGAGCCTTTGCATATATAGACATGATAGAGGAGGATTCAATTGAGTATGAGCCATTGTCCAATATACCGAGACTTTAATAGAATTGATCATTCTGTGAAAATGCCCACTTGAGAAGTCGAATCGACGTTAATCAAGGCTGCGGCCACGAATGCGAATGAAAGCATAAAATTCTCAGCTAAAATCTGTCCTACAATGCCGCCATTAAAACGACTTAAAAGTGCGTGATTTTACAGGGGATCTGATGAAGGAAAGGGTACCACTTAGTGCGAACAAGACGATGCCAAAGCCTTAACGCACAATCGTGGTATCTGTTCATAAAGCACGTCTCATTGAATGAGTGAGAAAAGAGCGCTTTATCATGAGCTGTGATCAATTATAAACGACCACTAAGCGTCTCATCGCAGTCACGAGTAAGATACCTCTCGGCATTCCGGGCACGGTCAAACTCCCCTTCTGTTAAAAACTGCTTTAAACAGTTTACAAATAAAGCCTTTATTGCTGCTTAATGAGTTGCACTCCGAATGTCAAGGTTTTTACAATAAGACCAAAGGAGCAGATAAATTAACCCAGCTTCAACAAAAATAAATTTACTTTCCTCATAAATTTCCTTACTACAAAAGGCACCTTTTTCTCGGCAAAGTTTTAACAGGCCCATTCAATAAGTTGTCTCATGTGCATATTGACTTGAAATGCCCAGTACACACATTCGTAGCGATAGCTTCTGTGAAGTTTCATAATATATAATACTTGAGTTCAGTTGATTATGTTAATCGCGATAAGCAACAAATGGTATGTCGCCTGCGAACTCATGTATGGCTACCACAATCAGTCGCGAAATCCACTTTTCTGTAAAGTGTCGATGAGTTTTGTCAAAGTCCAAGAGGTACAGACAGATGTGGTGCATCTCTTTCTCAGTAGTTGACTTTGAGACGCCATCAGCGGACTGAAAGATTGTATACGCTAGTTTAGGGGTAGAGCTCAGTTTACCGACCATCATTAGGCAATACAACGATGATTCACAGTCACTCTTTCCTTTATTCCTGTGACACTTTATGTGACGTTCGGCGAACACGCTCAGTTTATGAGATGAAAGCCTCGTCAATTCCGTAGCCGCTAAAAATCATAAAAATCACTGTTTGCACTGATTGTATTACAGAGAATAGAGCTGTGAACATCCAATAAAGGATTGTCGTCGGATGGGGCAAAGCCGGAAGATGTAAAAGCACAAGTATCATCCATATTTTCACGCGCCAAATATGTGTGCTCGTGTCGTACCTAAGTTTCGACGATTAAATATAAGATGATATTACTTCTCAGAAGTTAGGGCCCCTTGCCACTGCCATTCGTTAGCGCTGAAGTTCAGAGCGGCAAGAAGCCACAATACGGTAGAGAGTTTGGTTTGAGAGATCGTTGTTCTGAAAAGAGGTGAATGGTGGGTAGAAAAGAAACATTGTCAAAAATACTTTTGCCAAAAGAAAGTGCATCACAGCTCTTGTTCGGTGCATGAATAATGCCACACTGTACCACTGCAAACAAATCAAATGTGTACATGAGATAAGTTTGCAATATCTAAGTCTGATTACGGTCGCGCACAGCACTCTACTTTTCCCCCTTCTCGAGAAACAGAGTCAACTGTTTGTTATACTAGCTTCAAGTTTCAAGTCAAAGCTGACGTTCAAACATCAAAGACGTGGCGATGATGGTAAATATTAGCATACCGACAATTCACGGCAGAATCCATCAAAACTTGAAGCGCTCATCAAAAATTTTTCAGATTTTCACAGTACCATCTTGAGTACCCTCACTCCCGAGGTCGCAAAAGTCAGAGTCGCGGCTTCTCCTCCGAAATATCCTGTCCGAATACGATTGTTTAATGTTACGCGAAAGTACCTAACTTTTTGTCAAATTCGAAATTTTGTTTCTGAACTGGACCCGTAAGAATAGACATAAGGGTCACCGTTATGTCTTCGAGGTAAAAGACCCCAGATTTCAATTGATACTTATAACTTGTTCTTCAGGAATAAATATCCATGACTTGCGTAGGACAAGGAACGAATGTGTGTGTGTAAATAGAGATTCATGTTCCACGAACTACAACAGCTTTAGCCTTCTTCAGCTTTCTTGGTTCTTTACATGACAGGTGTATAAAACTTTGCGCTGGAGCTTATTACAATGATTTAAGTTCTAAACAAGGGCAAAGACTTTCATAACTTATGTTCAAGCCTCGCACAGCTATTATAATTGTGACTTTTACAAGGTAGTAGGCAGCCATTGGCATTGCAGCTGACACGCTGTTATTGTTGTCACAAGAAATACTGGTGCCTGTCCTCTGAACTATTGCCCCTTTACTGCACACAGCAGCTGTATTATTAACTCTATGATATTCCTTGTTTGCCACTTTGATGTACCTAACGACCAAGAATGATTTCTTGGGGTGGAAAAGTGTCAGCTCTTCCATAACTCGCACCCTCCATTAACTGAAAGCTTTAAACGGCCTTTGATGAGAAAAACGTGGCTAACTTCTTGAAAAAGAACGGTTATAACAGGAAAATATATACTGAGAGTTAAAAGTGTCGCCTGTGAGATCGGAGTGTTGCGATGCCAACTCTAGAGAATGACACGCACTATAATGAAGTTGGTGTGGCAAACATTGAATAGCTATCACATCATTTGTCGCGCCACTAGTTCGGGTGTACACGCTGGATTAATGATCGAAGCTTCAGTGAGTCAACATTTGCAGGCGACAGGGGTAGGATAATCACAAAAGCTGTATGGCGACAACAGTGAGGGCCATATCCTAAACTATCGATTGCACTTTAGCAATAATGATTTAAAAGTGCCGCTTATCAAGAAACTTATGCCATGTTGACACGGTTGGGGGTTGAAGGTGAAGGGCAAGTAAATAATAACTCATATCAACTAATAGGAATCACCGATCGTCTCTTCTATTGTTCTGCTGCACCTTTGATGAGCTCCACATGTAAAGTTTGGGATAAGACAGGAGCTAAAGGAGCTAAAAAGCACGAGGAAGAATGAGCTTACTGTGAACATATGCCAGCTTGACCCAATGGTCTTCACATCTCAATTGACATTGCTCATGTAAAATAATTTCGGGTAGCTTAAGCCAATCAAAGTATCGCTGATTAGTAAAGTCTTCATTGTTGATGGCAAGAAGCATTTTTTGACGAGTGCCTTTAACTTAAGTGTCCAAGATTCTGCGATGGGACTAATTACGAACCGCAAAGGTTGCCCTCAGAGCTCCTTGAGCAAAACACATAATGTCACAAGTACTCCGTTGGTGAAGGTCTATTGACTCGACATGATTCGAAATAAGATTACTAACCTTATATTCGTTTTCTGTGCGTATAGATAAAATCTCGTCGAGAAGAATTTCTTAACAGCAATTATCAGTTGTTTAATTGTCTATCGTGTATCGATGAGTCTTCATCCGCCTAATACTGACGAATACAGCCTTCATTTGGACTCGAGCAAGATCACAAGCTTCATTGATCTGTGAAAAATGCAAAAGCTTATAGTTAGTAAAGGTGTATTTCTGCAGCCGCGTCTTGACTTGATGAAAAATATGCCTTATAGCATCACCAAAGAATCACGGATAGTAACTTTGAAACCAAATTTTTACAGTTCTTCCGAAGCAGTTTAACCATATATAGGACGGCACGCTCTGATAGAAAGACTTTGGGAAAAAGACGTTGATTAAAGTCTGCGTTTTTAAGATTCGATCGCCGGCCAGACGAAGCCCCCATAGATTTTGCTATCGGGTATTGAGGGCCATTGTAACAGTCAATGATACTTCAATTTGAAAATTCTCAACTGAGCTTTTTTTTCCCGTGTTGAATAAAGTGAAGTGGTAGTCTCTTTTCGATGGCTATGACGTTTGTTAATGATCTTTTAAAAACGACACATTTCTTTTGAGTAGATCCATCACGTTTCCGAATGATTTTACAGCTTTTCGTCGTCATTTTGTAGAGCTCCGAATCACTAGAGATGAATGACATTATTGAGGCCAAGAGCTATATACTCTCCACTAGTTCGGTAGAATGTTAGTTATGCTGTCCGTTAAACGCGAGCCCTGCCAAATTTCTATTTAGTACCGTCTGGAGTTTTGCATGCGATTACGAGCTGCTGACAGTATATAAGTGGATGCTTATTTTTTTAAAGGTGTGTCCCGATGAACTGGTGTTAATTCTTTCAGTGCATTGACCTATAGGAATTCGACTACTTATGATCGACTAAAATCAAAACACTGAGAAAGCTACCGGCATTTGTCATATCATCACATGCTCAATAATAAGGTGGTCATGGAATCAAGGTTTTATTTTGTAAACGGATAATTCTGATACCACTCTGATTTTTGATCTGATCAAGTCGTCTATCAAACGAGATATCTTGGTTTTAGGTATTGTGTAAGTATGTCTTTTCGTCGCATAGGCTTCTTGAGATTCATGGGCTTTGTGCTTCTGTCATTCTGTAAAATTTAGCGGAAATGAGTCCATATTCAAAACTGCACGCAATTCTCTTCATATTTGATCTTTGTCAAAATGAATTGTTGGTAGAAATTGTGTCTCTCTGTACCTGCGCGCTTTCCATCTATTGAGTTTAACAAATGATATTTGTGTGAAGGGGGACTAGTTTCACTTCCCCAGCTTAATCTGTTGCGTGAGAAAGATAATTGGAGGGATGTTGACTTTTTTTAAAGCCGAGGCTGGTCTCTGGTCAAGTTATCACACAATCAATTAAAAAAGGTTGGAAATCAAACTCAAGATTTTTCCAGATGGGACCGGTACATAGCTTGTTGAAATGCTCACATAGTGAACTTTGATACCGATTCTGCTGATTTTGTACACGCTTAACTTTTCTATCAAGCTCTTCCTTCGATGGACTCCGTTATAGTCATTCGTAAAAACTACCTAATACTCCGGTACAACACATTCTTTCTTGAACCAAAATGGCATGGGATTTCTGTTCTTATAGTTCGTCCTTAGATATCGCGTCTTGCTCAAGTATACAGCTAAATTATTCCGTCAGTAGCAACTTTATTTTGATCAGCTTGCTCACCGTGTAGCTATTTGCTCTCCAGCAAAAAATTTGATTTGAAATTCGCCCATCAAAAAAACTGTACCCAATGCGTATAATAAGAGCGCTCACTTGTATGTTCAATACGGCAAAATGCTAATTTGGCTCTTTCTTTATAATGCTGCATATATGCATAAAGAATTTATGTCTGGAATCTGGTAGGCTAGAACTTGTCTAAGCAAAAATATTAGCATATTATATATGCCCCGTATTTTTCAATAACATATAAGCGCCAGGGTTGTGTGAATCAAATTTCTATTTCAGTTTGCCTCCCACGTATCTGACCCTTACTTTATATCTCCTTTTTTAGTCAAGATGTGCGAAAATTAAAGAAATTGATCTATATATGGATAAAATTTGTATCATTGAGTCTCAAGCATTTGGAATAAATGGGCCTCGAGTCCTACAATATTATTTTCGTACCCCCACCCATTTTTCTTTTTGATTTTGATTTTTCGTAAATGATTTCAAGGTATTGCAACACCACAGTAATATATTCGACGCGCGAGGAACCGTTACGCAGGCATTTTATAAATAGTTCTCAGCTCTTTAGTCGATTTGAAGTCATCTTGATCTATCGGCGACATAATGTTCAGTTATTTCTATGGATTTTGGTAAATCTCGAAAAATGTGAATCCTTTTGCGACATCATGCTCTTGGTCTGATTTCTTCACAAAGTTGACAATCGAATCAGAGGACATAAATCTTGCTTTCATGTCAGTGACTTCAATTACTTTGTTCCCTCATCTCCTATGTACAGAGACAAGCGATGTAGCTTCGACATTATTCGCGCGTCTGTATCGTAGGGTGCGAGAATGTACCCCACAGCTTTAAAATTATGAGCCTCGAAATTGTTCCAAATCTTTCGTATGCAAACTTTAGTAATGTGAATAAGGGCAAAAAGGGTTAGTATTCGGCGAAAATGGAATTAAATTGATTCTTTCAGCTAAAGTGTTAATATCAAGCATCAATCACATTACGCCTTGTTGCCCATATTCAGTCAACTCACTCGCCGAAGGACGCTTTAAGACAGCAGATAAAGATCCCACTTTTTATATATTCCTTCAAAACAATACTTTTAACAACTATTTGTTTTCTCCAGTCTTTTCCAGCAACTTCAAATTCAAAACTTCATTCCTATTTTTTGATATTATTTTGGTATAAATAATGGTTCTTCTAGAAAGCCTGGTGACTTTATCCAGGCGCTGATCTAAGATTTTGCGAGCATGTAATGTTCTGTGAAAAGATTTATCAACCGGTTTGCAAACAGGTTTGTCCTTTGCATTGTTCGACGATAACACTGCAGAATTTCAGTGGTTTTTAAGTCGTTTACGCTGAAAACTGATTTAGCTTTTTGACGCTAAAAAGCAAGACTTTAGTTGATTCGATCTGCACTTGGTAGCTCAAAATAGCTTTTATCCTTTTGCGATTTGGCAGATGAAAGAAACCCTAAAGTAGGTGAGCATATAGTAATGTTGCTTGTTATATACTTCTTAGTTGTGGATATATTATTTCTGAAGGATTTTGCCGTCTTGGTGTCCATTGAAGCAATTTTCAATCGATTCGCGACGAAATAGATTGATCACAGCTCACCTTTGAAGTAACTAGATTCCTAAATATGTAGTACAACTTGTGTCCAAGAATTGGTTCTACATATTCACTTCTCATTGGTTTTCTCAATCAGGCGAGAATTATTTTTATTGCTCTCGAGGTAATTCGAACAAGACTCTATGTCATATGAAAGGTACTTTCGTAACGACTGGGCAATGTAATGGTAGATATTTTGATAAAGAAGTTTGTAAGGTTTCATTCCATTTGATCGATACACGATTTAAACTACTGGAACTGTAGGAATTACAGCAGTGCATCATTTTAGTAAAGTGAATTTGCATACCTGGGAGACGAGGCAGACAATTTTGGATGATAATAAAGTTTATGACCATTTTCACTTAACCATTAGCTGTTGAAAATTCTCAACTGTCAACGACTGCCAGCTACAAATTGCAAGAGTATCTCGATGAAGGTACGAGGGCTCCCCTACTCTTCAAAGAACTCAAAGATACCTTCCGACAAAATTATTGTTGTTTTATTGGTGGGCGCGTCGTTTCCTCTTCCGGAATTCATTTATCCTGCTGCAAATCTCAAACCAGACACGAAACCGATTGCTTTAAAACAATTGGTGACATAATGCCGGCTGCCAGCAGGAATATTTGTACTTGAGACAAAATCGTCTGATAAGTTCTCATGAGACCATCCATTAGCGCCCAAGATATCGAAGCGGTCACGGTCCTCATTGGTACTATCTTGTATAGATTGACGTCGTATATGCTCAATTAAGCGGCGGGGGAGGGGACTTTTAGAATAATTGGTATACAGAAGTCGGAAGAGTTACCACTAGCCGAAATAAAGCACACTTTTATCCTTTGCTTAATACCGAAGGTGCAATTTTTTCTGGTGAAGATGCAAGCTATTTGTGTAAATATATGACTAGTTGTGACATTATATTCTAAGTTCTTGTTTTTATTCTCGCTCTCACACCACTCCTTCTTCTTCTTATCCTTACCTGGTGAAAGTATAAAAAGTACAGACATTCGATTCGCGGTATTGCAGATTCGGTCTCGAATACCTCAGGAACAAAATAACACTTTACTTGCTAAAGTCCTTAATCGACTTGTCACTTAATAACATTTTGTCATCGGTCATCCTATCAGCTGATCCGAAGTACCGGCACAATGAAAAGTTCAAGTTTTACATGCCTATCATATTTTTCGTCGTGGTCGTTGAAAGAAATGATATGTGGAGTTTGAGTGAGAACAATCGTATTCGTCAATGTCACAAATCAGAACAAGAAAATTTTATCACTGACTAAAAGTAATTTCATGTGCAAACTACTTCCTTTTAGATTCAGCTCCAAAATAATAACGTGAACAAAGACTGTTCTTTTATTTTCGTAACACGAAACGGTCAAGCTTCCTCAAAATATAGCGCCGAAGTCTCATAGTTTCTTATCTCTACAAAATGTTTGAATTGATGGAAGCTTAGTGATCAGATGATCTTGAAGATTACTCAGGAATGGGGTCTAACGGACACCGTTGATTATAGAAAAAATGCTAGATTAATTTCCTCATCCTTCATAGCATTCAGCACCTATTTTTTAAGAATAATAAATCACACCGTTCCATCCAGTAAATGACGAGTTCAGCAAAGACTAGACACAGAGACTAAAATTTAAATTTACTCCGATCTTCACCATACTCACGGAACTGCTCTTCCAACACGGATAACTTAAAGAGATGGGTTGCAGACGCATTCCGGCTTCCTTGAGTAATATACTGTTCGTTGACTTAGAATACCTTAAAAAATGTGCAACCAGTGGTTCCTTTCTTTCTTTTATTTTCAGACTATGTTCAAATTAATTGGAGAAATGAAAGATTGTTCGGTTTTGTCCGATAACTGGGAGCTGCTGGGAAATTGAAATATCCGCGATAAAAAATTAATATATACAAATGGTTCAAAGGTATAATAAGGGCCATCTTCGTAATGATAGTTTTCTTCGGAAAGTAGAGGGCATCAATACAGTTTTTTTCTGCGCATAATTTGAGATATTAATTCTCAAGTTTTTAATGTTTTCAAATAACTTCGCAAATTTGAGAGAAGTTTGAAAAAGAAGATGATATTAAAAAACACTGTGTCAAAATGCGTTAAGCCGCATTTGTCTGCAATTGCCTTACGTTCTCTTGAATTAGGAGATCTCTTTTTCTCAAAAACTGATTCCAAAAAAAGTCTAGTGTCCTTGGATAAGAGAGTCCGTCTTTGCTCTTGGCGGCATAAAGCCCCACAGGCCTTTTTTATTGATTCCAAAGTGAGAAGTATGTCTTTCGTATCCATTTTCAATACTGGGTATATGTAACACCTCAACCACCGTTTTTTATTCCAAGCACAGTCACTATCCAGAAGTTGATCGCCGTTTTTATTTCCAGGCTTTAGTAGTAGATAATATAATGTCAACTGAAACAAATCTCAAATTTAGGTGACGGCAGTTGAGGATAACTCACAGGTTAAAAAAAGGGAAATGCAAAACAACACACACAGAATAAATTCAATGCAGGAGATGCTTCAACAATTTTGAGGCAAAGATCAAAATATAACGGAGGATCTGCAAGAAGGAGATGTTAAAAGCCTTGAAAATCAATTGAAGGATATGAAGTATTTTAGAGAAGATGAAGATGTGACTATAGTTCACTAGTCATAAAAAGGATATGCTGAAAATTTAGTTAAGACAATCGTGGTCAATATTCAATCAAATCCAGTTTCCTTAAAATGCTCAATACATACAAAAATCAAAGCTTTAGTGGCTGTCAAATGACAAAAGGAGTTTCCGAGTGTCAAGTTCCGAGACGAGGTAAAAAATCTCTGATAGTGAATGCCCGTGAAAGACATTTAACCTACTCTGATTTTCCATGTACCAGGTATGTTAATGTACTGCCGAAGACCTGTCACTTCGTTTCTCAAAAGTCGAAATATAAAGATTCCAAGCAACTCACTTCCCGTTCAAAGAATAAATTTATTTTGATGAGAAGCCTATTGCATAGCACCGTTTTGAAAATTGCAAGTTGCTCTCATACTGACCAAAAAGGCCAGTTCAATGTCGAGGAGGTTTCCAAGATTGCATCATGGCTGTGGAGACAAAACAGAGGTGTTTTTCAATCATATTTTGAGGTACTTGCCGTATTCGAAGAGCGCAGGGTTACAAAAAAGCCCGTGTCCTTTCCCTCAGTAAGGAAACTGTCGGAAGCTATTGGAAAACAATGTATACCATCAACCTACAGTTACGAAACGCTGACCAATGGGGCAGACACTACAGCGATGGAGAGCAAGAAAACGTACAAGGCCTTCTGTGGCAGATTCTCTCTCAAGGAGGCTACAGGTAGGGTCAGGAAGAAGAAACCTATACAAACCTTCGCCCTCCGCTCCGCCAACATTGAAGACGTCTTTCTCCTATAGTTTTATTTTTTTCCCGTCTCTTCAATGTTCTGTTCTACACTCATCATCGTATATAGTGACCACTATACTCTTTCTTTGGTTAATGTCGACTAGGTATCATCACCTATAGCTCCTTTTCTACGAAGCGTCCTATGAAGCTGTAGGGAAGGGAAGCGTCTGATGTGACAATGACGTTTTTAAAGCGAGTGGCTTACATTTAATCAAGAAAAAGGAATGCCGGTGCATTGCACAACAAGTCTGAAAATTCACAGACGTAGAGAAAAATTTTCTGTGAAGTCTCTTAGTCCTGAAAGACCAAGCCTCTTTGACCTTCTTTTGAACTCGCTACTGTTGGTCCCATATTTCAAGACTTTGAAGAAATCCATGGAAAAAGTTGCCCCGAAACTCTATCTTATCTAAAGACAATAAGCTTCGTAAACTTTGAAACTTTTTGTAGCGGAATTTCATTTCCCAACGTTTATTGATATCGCAGTGCATTTTATAATCATGTTTATGACCCTGAAGAAAATGACAAGCGGCTAGCAAGTGCCGAGTGGTAGAACTAAATAGTTGGGTGTCTCAGTTCTTAATCTTGAGGTTCAAAGCTAAGGTTTGCCTGATGTGAAACATATGTAAAGAATCTTATACTGAAATGTGCTCATTATTCTTATCTTGCTTATAAGTGGACCACTTGATGGAACAGTGCTCTCAGCTAAGCTTTTATTATATGATCAAATGCCAATGAAACAGGAAGGAGGGCCAAATAGATACTAAAGCCTCTTATACTACACGCTGTGGGATGAACATTACAAATTGATCGATATGCTTTTCAGCAAATCATCAGATTGTATGTTTCTGGGTTTGGTATATTCACTTCTGTGGCTTGCAAAAAAGTGAGCGGTACGAGAATCGAACCCGTGTCCCAACCTTGGAAGGGTTGGATGATAACCACTACACTAACCGCCCAACTCGTCGTAGAGGTAAAAAGAAGTGTGGCAGAAGTCAAAGAAAGTAAAGTGGATATAACTCAAGACTTGAGGAGTAATTCAAAAAGATAGAAAGCGAACTAGGGGATCCAAACGCTGAAAAACGATTTACATATTCTGCCACTTGCGTTATGTTTTAATATACTCTTCTGAACGGCGAGAGATAGTGTCCAATTGGCGTATACCGTACCATTCAGTAATTATGGGCATACGCGGGTGGGTCGTAAGCATTAAGCGACAACATGCCCATGGATGACGAATATTACAAACTAAAAACAATACGAGTCGGTTGCAAACAAGAGTGAGAGGCTTGCTAGCATGTTGCTGCTGCTAGCCAACACAACCGAAAGGATGTCACAGACATACACGGCGAACGAACTTATTGAAGCCAAGCTGATAGGACTTATCAAACGGCCCTGAGCTTGGATCAGTGTACCAATATCTTTAATTTCAGTGAGATTAGCTTCAAAGAGACCAAAGTCTCAAGCTGTGGCCTATGTAATCATCAACATTGTATAACCTATCACATTGATGTCTATATACGAAATCTCTTTGTACGAATAAAGTTAGCCTGTTTGAACCCCTCGAGTTTTGTCGAGTAGTATCACCTTTTTATACATTTTTTTGAATTCTAGTCGTTTTCAAGTTCTGAATTGATAGGAAGTGCCTTCGACCAATCGCCCTTGCTCCTTTTGTCGTGACACTGTGCTGTATACCTTCTGCTACTTCTCCTATGTGTGTCGCGCTGTACGAGTATTGACCTGCTGGACCTCATGGACTCAGTTCTTCCTACCGCTTTTCGTAGTTTCTAGATTTTTGAGCTCAATATCGCGATGAAAGTCTCTCAAAACCTTTCCTTTGGCTCTCACTCTACCATGCTGAACAACATCTCTGCGGCTGCGGTGTGGTAGCTGGGTTTTTGGCGCTGAATAAATTCTTTACCATACACATAGACTTTGGGGTGCTCAAGCACATTAAATATTCCAGAAAAATCTATATGAATTGTAGTCTTGCTGAACCAACCAGGAAAACAAATAGGTGCCATCAATCCGCGTAACCGTATACAAATCACGGAATACGATAGAAGTTAGGCCATCGAAGCCCTCCAGCTCTACAGCTCAGCACCACACTTTTCAATCCTTTTGGTGCTTTAAAGTTCTTCGAGCTGTCAAAGTTAGATTGAAGGTCCTCTTAACTTTCACTTGCAGACTCCTTGTCGTAGTACCCCCCTCATTGCGCATACCTACTTCTATCATCATATCACTTTGTACAATAAAGGATAGGGCGTTTTCCCCCCTACAGTTTTCGAGCTTGACATCAAATTTTCAAGATCAAATAACACATTATAGGCTTTTGAGCATATAAAAATTATAAAATGCTCTTTTAACTTACATCCCCCCTCCCCCCACCCTTTGGCCTTCATACTTTACAACCATTCCATTCTACTTCTATGTATCCATTAGGCAGTACAATATAGGCTAGGGGGTTCAAAGCCGATCATTCACCGGCACTGACAGCAAATCTCAAGGTTTTCTTACGAAGCTTTTGATAAAATAGAGATCAAAATCGGAAAAAATGTCATTTGAGCACTTAAATTCGCGCGTCGTGTCCTTCAATTCTACAACCATTCATTGACGCCTTTTTTTGTCGATCACTCTGTACGATCGAAGTTAGGGTGTCCAAAGTCCTACAGTTCGGAAGAAGACGGCTCTAGTTTCAGTCTTTTTAAAGTGGTTTAGACTTTCCGATGCAGTATAGTACAGAAAAGGTTCTTTCAGCAAATGATTTTGGACTCATTGTCTTAGTAGTATGGACTTTACCTTGGGCCAACTACGACCTAAACATACCTTTGTACGACAAAAGATAGTAAACTTGAAACCGTCAGATCCTGCCCTTCAATCTTACAGTTTTCCAACTCCCCTGTTCTTTTTTATATTATTTCACTTGAATAGTACAAAGAAAAAGGTTTAAAAACCATTGCTGCTCTGACTAGCGAGATAACATATCCAAACATATTAAAACACCGTCCTACTTTTTCAAGTTTTGCGAGCTACAGCCTGATAAATCAATCAGAATACTGGCATTCTTTTCGAAACCGATTGAGAGCCTAAAAAGACATTCGTCTCAACATAACACACCAATATAGCATCATGCCATCCTTACACCTCTATCACCTACTCACAATGGACCCACCAGTAGTACGGTGAAGAAAATACGTCTCTTGAAGGTATTCTCAATACATAAATGTATTTAACTTACACTGATGCTGCGATTCTCTGCACATGCCGTCCGTGACCATATACAGAGTCACGCTCTCGTCATTCCCGAGCTGTACACTCATTGTTATCAATTCCAGCCATGAAAAAACAGTCATGGGGACATTTCTGTGTCTTTCCACCACTAACAAAATAATATCCACCTCTATATGTCAACACAATAAATGCCCAAACAATGATCACCCTGCAATACTGCCATCTTGATATTTATTTTTGTCCGATAGAAACTAAGTAGTTTTAAGCTCTCCCGATTTCCGGACCAGCAAAAAGAAATCATCCATTTCTTAGAATCTGTCAATATATTTCATTTCGCAATGAAGTATCAATTCTCTTCCAGCCTTCACTTGTCCAATACTGCCGTAGTAAGCCGATTCTATGTATACAGCCCTTCCACCAGTGTATCACGTATTCCTATCTATGGTAGAATGCTCTAATCGCTCCAAAAATGACCATTACCACGACAACTATCATGCCCACAAGGGTTTTAATGAAGCCAACAAGAGGGCTTGATAAAATACTACAATAGTGATTGCTTTGTACGCTCAAAGATATGGGGTTTAAACCTCTACAGTTGTGATGGTCGACACAACGTTATCCAGATTAGTTGTATTACCTACATACTTCCAAACTAAAAGTACAAGAAAAATATCTTTCACCAATGTCCTTTTCACTGTCTCCCAACTAAGGACATTTTTCATTTTTCCCTCCATTTTTAATTTTTTCAAGTTAAAAATGACTTGTCATTTCGAGGCACAGTCCTCAACTTTTTCTGTGCCACACCACTGCAGTCTAAAAACCTTAGTGTCTTTTAGCAGCGTCAAAGTAAGCTTTTTCTGACGACAGAAACTAATTGTTCTAAGTTACATGCACATTCTGCTGAAAACACCTGTATATCTTTTCAAATTTTCGCACACTTTTTTTAGCATCCTTACATCCATTTAAAGATCCTTAGACTACATACTAAAGCATCAATGATTTGCGTCTAACCCGAGATTACCGAAGCTGAGCGAGTTAATCACATGATGTGAACATTGGGAAATGTAAGCGATAAACGCTGCATTATTGTGAGGATATTATCGTATACTTTATGATGACCTGACCATGCTTGAGCATCAAAAATAAATCCGTTGATACGACGTTTACGACTTTTTCAAAACTCCCTAGAGAAATGAGGTTGGCTGAAGATGAGTCAATCTATTTAGCCCATATTCATCATTATTCAAATGTAAGCCCACACCACTCATGATTAAATGGATGTGTTTCACCTTCTCAAGCTGTGTTCTTGAAGAATATCACTCTATTCGCGGTGAGCTTGGCTGCACATATCCCTACAGCATTGAAAGTTAGCACTACCTTTCCCGAGATTTTCTGACCATTCTAGTATGTTTGACTTGGGCAAGTAAGATGAACGCCTTTTTTACACTCAATTGCACCCTTTTTCTTTAGGTACGGTATCACACTTCCGCGTTACTCTTCAAGCATATTGCATTATGTACGACCAATGTTGAGGTGTTTAGACCCCTTCCATTCGGTCCCACCTAATTGAGTTTCTAGGAACTCTGAAAGCTGTCATATGAAAGAGCTATAAGGATAGGAATATGTGTCCCCTAACACTCATTTGTAACCTTTTTGTCTTTGCATACCACCATTCCTTAGCGCTATTTATCATGAAAATCATGATATACGATACAGCTATCCCGTTTTACGCTCGGCAGTTCAACTTCAGAAAGTTACTTTTGCGTTAGTTCTTTTAAATAAC